CCCCCCCCCCCCCCCCCCCCCCCCCCCCCCCCCCCCCCCCCCCCCCCCCCCCCCCCCCCCCCCCCCCCCCCCCCCCAGTCGGTGGCTCAGGGCGTTTAGACTATTACCGCAGATACTAGTAGTATAGGGTCTAGCCAGGCACACTCGGGTTGTTGCACCATCTGTCCTACATCCGGTGACATGCTCCGGTCCCGAGCCGCGGATTTTGGAGATAGATCACGCACCCGCGCATCAGCGCTGCCAGGATGAGAAGGTTGAGGCTGTGTCTTGGGGTTTGAGAGCATGATCGAGCCAGCAGTTCAAATGTAAACCTAATACCCATGATGTTTATCTCCGCTTCGAGTTAGCATCGATGGCGGGTGTCCCAGGGACGGTTTGGTACGTCTGCAACAGAAATGGGTCGAGATGAGCACAACTTTGCTGGAATGGGCGTCAAATAGTCTCATGCTGCAGTCCCAAGCACATGAATTGACCTCAGATTGTAATACTGAAGTATATACATTATATGGGTGCAGCCCACAAGTGTATGTAAGTAGGGCTGCGATCCATGCTTAGGCAAGGGGGGAACCCTTGGATCCCACCATTTCCATCCAACATGCTTCGTGATATCCATCAATAAAACTGAAAGATGCGCTACGGCGCCGCGAGAAATTACGGGGGAAAAAGAACAGAATGCTCCGTGCCTGGCTAAGAAGGCAGGGCCAATATCGAAAACATACCACCCATCACCGGTCTAGCTCTGAACTGATTCGGGGTATACCCACCGGTATCCCCGTCCAACAGGTCACCGTATGGGATTGTCTGCGGCGTTGTGTTGATCCAGTGCACCTGCTTGTCGATGAACATCTTCCGCGTGGACTCGCTCGCCGCCGCCGCCGCCCATAGCTCCCAGTCGCTCTTAATCCAGTTGTGGCGGGTGTCGAGCGGGACTCCATAATCAGTGGCGACAGTTGGATAGAAGTCCGACTGGATGTTGTAGATCTGGTCCGGGACAAAGTTGAGGCCAAGTAGACGGTCTGCGTAGATATTGTAGAGGAGACCGTGGGAGCTGGGGTCGTTGTAATCTAGAACGGAGTGCGGTGGTGAGGCATTGAAGTTCACGCCAAAATCCTGCCACTGAGGAAGGTACTCTTCGGCTGTAGCATCGTAAGTGACGACGTTTCCGGTGAGATTCGCGACTTGTCCCATCGCCTTGAGCCCAATAATTCCTTTCAGGGCCAGATTTGTCTGATTTGCCAGCGAGCCTGCAAAGTCGTCCGTCGAGATCTGCTCCGCTGGGATAAGGGATTCATTGACCAGGTAGCCGGCCCACTGGTTCAGCTTGCCCCAGTGTTGGTTGAGATATGCGCTATCACCCGAGCGTTGTGCGTAAGCCAAGGTCATGATGATCATATTTCCACATTCCTCGAGCGGCATGGGCTCATCATTGCCTGCAGGGTAGCCCAAAGCGTTGGGGAACGTTCCCAAGTCGTGTATGGCGTAGGTGTTCGGATAATGTCCGCTCTCCTGGTTCTCATAAAGAGGATCCAGCAACAGCTTCACCAGCGTCTCGTTCAGGTAAAGAAGCAAAGGCATCGCCGGATAGATGACATCAACGGTGTTTGAGTCTCCATTTGAGCTGATCTCCTTCAGGAACAGATACGTCTGCGTGCCCTGAGCTGGAACCGTAGCGGCGAAGACCTGACGCACACCTAAAGTGGTCAAGACAGTGTAATTTTGGCCAGCGGCGTTGGACGTGTCTGTGTCGATCTTGCTGTCAAGGGCAGCCATTGCAGAGCTGGCTGACGAGTAATCGTTGTAGAAAGCCGCCATCGCATCTTCAGCCGAGCTGTAAGCTGACTTCCAGACCCCGGAAAGTGCTGTTGCACTTGTGGAATTTCCTTGATAGTTCACGACAGAGTCTTGGGATAGTCCGACTGTGAATAGGACTCCAGTTTCACTGGCGGACACGGAACCCAGATCCTTGGAAAACGCGAAAACAGGCCTAGAAAGTTTGGTCAGGATACCGAGCTTAGACTCCGGTGCGTAGTGACTCCCTCAACTCACCAGTCAGAATTGATAGCTCGGAAGTTGGTGTCCTTGGTGTTGTCGAGCGTGTGGTTGCTCTCAAACTGGCCACGCACGGCGGTGTCTGAGCCGATTTTCCACGTAACCTGCACATGGAAGTTAGAAGACATGTCTTGGACTCTCACATTTTCCTCTTCTTAACTTACCCCATCAGTATCGGCTGTGGATACGAACCACTGGCCCCATGCCGGTTGGTCGCTGATTTCAACGAATTGCTGCTGATTCGAGAGTTGGAATGTGTGATACTCCACGCCACCGGTGGTGCCATGATCCCAAGTAATGTTTTGACTCGCATCTCGACCACTCGCTAGTTCCCCGGAAGTGTCAAAGTAGACTTGAACACTGTGTGAAGCCCCGTCAGCAGACACCGCTGTGACATCCACATACGAGTGCTGCAGCGATTGTTTGACGAGGTCATCCGGGTAAATGGGAGAAAGAAACGTAGCTTTCAAGGTGACCTTCCCCTCGACGTCGAAAGTGAAGACAGTGTTAGTGGACGAGTAGGTTGCAGATGTCTGATTAGCCACGGCAGGCCCTGGAGCAGCTCCCATCCAGTTGTAAACGGCACCATCTACTGCCACAAAACCTTGCCATCCTGTGATTTGTCCGCTGTTAAAGTAGACGTTAGCAAATTCCTCATGCGGGACGGGAAGATCACATACGCCCAAAATGTCGGCCAGTGCCCAGCGAGAGAACCCCCAGATGACCCGTCCAGCCAGGTGCTGAGATAGGGTGATCTGACAGCCAGAGGCCAGGCTGGTGGTCTGGCAGGACTGAAGTCTATGGCTTGTGACAGACCACCAAACAATGCTGCCACTGTGGCGGCAAGTTGTGCCGAACGCATTTTGGTATAACAACCAGAAGAAAGAAAATATGAAGAGTTTATGATAGAGATTAACAGGAGCCGGTAAGGATGGGATTCCTGAGACCACGCCTCTCAGTCCCTATTTGGAGTTTTGTGGGGATAGTGTTTAGAAGGAAAGCATGAGACTCTTGGGATCTACAAGAGTATTATATACGGCAGCTTCCAACACCGTGGGACGAACCGATGGACCCCGGATGACACGAGCCAGTGTCTGCAGGTGAACGAAGGCTCGATTTGGTCAGAAGAGGAAGTTGGGATGTGAGATGATCTAGAAGGTTTGGAGACTAAGACGGGATGGGAAGGGGTCCTTCTTCAACAAACTTGGTCGTGTGAGCAGGTTAGATGTACAGGCCTCACGAGGTAGCCGTCATGCAGCACCGGGGGGTGATATTGGAAGGAAAGGGAAATTATACAGTAGGACCACACCCGCTCAAAGATGAAGTGGAGGGTGTGGCTGGTCGCGAGTGAGGGCAAGGCGACGGCGAGAGAACGGGAGCTAGGACTGTTAACCTACGCAGTGACATTCCAGTGCCGGGTTAACTGAGGGCGCATGTATGTTCCCTGTACCAAGGGGCAGGTCCAAACATAGCAAAACCTGTGCTATTGTCCATGCCCTGCCCCTGACACGGAGAGAAAAGAGGATGAGCTAGTTGTCCCGTCAGCCCCGTACGCTGTACCGCTGTGCGAATCGCGGCCGCCTCCAAGCGCTTGCTGGAGTGTTGAGGTCAGACGTGGGCATTGAGCCCGAGTCTGCAGGTTCCTGCAGGTCATGTATGGATAATGCTTGAAGAAACAGTGGGCCAAGTTCGATGGGCCATTGGAATGCTGTCGTGGGGGACTGGCAGACTCAGACCATTGCATGCGCTGAAAGCTTGTGACTTGGGCCTTGGTCATGGACAAGCACCTTGGCAGCAGAAACGTGGGAAAGAAGCGCGGTGGTCCTTGATCCCGGATGCCACGACAGTCTTGGACCAGTGGATGGACTCAAACTTGGCTAGACGTGACCAGCAGCAGCCGAGTTGAAACAGCAGGCTACGAAGCAGTGGTAGGCTGGGAAACAGGACGAAGGACGAAGGACGAATCAGGGCCAGAAGCAGGGCCAACCCCTTATTCGTGAGGCAGCACAGCCAGACGCATTGTATTGTATATGCTTGAGCTGGTGGGGGCGGCCAGGGACTCGACCAAGAGTTAGGAAAGGGGTACCTTGTTCAGATACCTGGATCGAGCCGGAACAACGGCTGGAGGGGGGGGGGCCTGAACAGGACAAATGGCTCGGCTGGAGGGTCATCGTGTGGTCCTTTCGATGACGGGCTCAACCCGATGAGTGGCCCGGAGGTTCGCGAAGTGCAAATTTGATGCCCAGGCCGGAGTTCTCGTCTGCATCTGCATCTGCATCTGCATGCTCCACGTTGGATGGATCAAGCATCACGCAACAAGCACCAAGCTCCCAAGACCGCCAGTCCTGCTGCCATGCCAGTTGACCTGCTCAGACCCTTGGCGTGGCGCTTGCCTGCCGTCCTTGGCGCGAAAGAAGCAAACTTGGCAGGTGGGCAGTCGAGTCGAGATGGACTGACTATTCGATCCAAAGCGTGAATGAAGGAATGAAGTGAAGTTGGACTGGGAGAAAAGAAGCGAAGCGAAGCCACAGCAGACGGGGCTGGCGGGGCAGAACAACACACACACCAAAGCAGCAATCCGCGGGGGAGCAGGGGTCTAGTCCCACCTGACGAGTGGATCATCAGGGGTCAGAGTGCCGCTGCCCCCGTTTCTTGGGTTTGGGGAAGCAACGACAACCGTAACCGTCGCAGCCACCGCAAGCCCCAACGGTCATTGCAACTCGGCGCTGCAACTTGCCCTGGCCAGTCTGCCTCGGAATCTTGGAATCGCCCTCGAACCCCTTGCATTCACTACCATTTTATCTGCATCGCATAGATCTACTATGTATGTCTGCGTAATACTCCGCGCGCCGATCGCAGCAATACTGACTGGCCTGGCCAACATCCCACATCGACCTGGACCTGGACCTGGACTTGGACTTCTTGTCCCTAGACCTGCGTCGACATGGGACGAACCTTCACCTCACCACCCACTCGACCCAAAAGAGCATCCCCAAACACCTCCCCATGCCTATACCTACCTAGTCCGACTCCTGGCAGGCAGTTTAAATGAATCCATGCCCACCTGACTGACTGGCCAAGCTTGGCCACAGCAAGCCGACCAGACCTGACCGCAACTTCAATGTCACGGCGCGAGGGACATATGTTGGGGATGCCATCACGAGGCTTCAAAGAGCGACCAGGCATCACCGCTAAGAGGCTTGAGCGTGCGCACCACGCGCGTCATGCATCATGTCGTGTCGTGTCCGTGTCGTCCGCCCCTTTTGAGTGGAAGTCGACAGTGCGTCTCGCCTTGAGCCAGTCGCAGCCCTCATACCACCATACATGAACAACAGCAATTTCCTGACCCCACATCCCACCGCATCCTCAGACTAGCTGGTCGTCAGCGGACCTCCCCGGAGCCGAAGTCCGGTGCTTCATTTGACGGTGTAAACTTGCCCCGGCTCGGAAAGCGATCGCCGGCGGCACTTACAAACAAAACCCTGACTTATTATCGGGGGAAAACGATCATCAAACTTGCACCTTTTTGGTAGACTACGACGCACGAGGCTCTACCGCACACGCTTCCCCGTTCCTTGGCGTTAAAACCAGACATTACGGGCCCAGTTCCAGCGCGACACGTGAGAAATCGACATAGCGTCTATAGAGCGTGAAACACCGCGAGTATCTCTTGTTATTTTATTTGAAGAAGAAAAAAAGGGGATCCGTCGAAAATTGTCCCAGATCTGCCGGACAGATACGACAAGCGCCTGGACTGCTGCATTTGGCAATGCAATACCTACCTCGATCCGTCTCGATTGGTGAAATCCAAGAGGCAGGCTCGGACTCCGGGTGCTAAAATGCGTGGTTCGCGTACCCGGGGATTGTTTGGAGCTGCCTCCCACCAGTCTCCCACTTTGCCTCACTGCGCATGCATATTCACCGAGACCTTGGGACCGGATTCTTTGTTGACAGCTAGCTGGTCAATGGGGATCTGGGCCATCATGGTGCATGTGTCGTGAATCGTTTCGCGGTCGGCACATCGGCGCAGATGCAATAGAAGCCTTGAGGTTTTCGAGCTCCGGATCCCGACGCTGTCACTCAGGGTTACATCACAACCAAGAATCTACTCGTAGACCACCTGGCCAGCATTGCCACGGTGGCCCTGACGGCACAATTTCCACTACTGCAAGGAATTTTGCGCTAGAAAGGTCAGATCATCGACCAGCAGCCACACCCGCTTCTTCGCCGTGCCGTTCAACTGCCGCGGCGCCACTTTCTGTGCCATTCCAATGTGGTCAGACGCCCGATCTCTCATGGCGCTATCCTATCATGGCCACCGCTACAGCAGCCACCGCCTAGGTCCCACGACCCCACAATTCGGGAAATGCACGCGATGTCTTAGCCGGGCCAGCGCCCGAAATGTCTCTCTTGACCCCGCACAATTTCACGCAGGCTGACACTTGGACCACATACCAACGAAGGCCTGATGATACCGTACCCAGCAGGTTCATGAACAACCTGAGTGCGGTTCGAGATCCTCAAGTTGCGCCGCTGTCGTCATCGAGGCACGCCTTCAGGAAACGTTACTCTCACAAAAGCAACCCATCATGTGGCCGCTCCTACTAGCTCGTGGAAATGACTAACATATTTTAGCAGATACACGTGTATTGCACGAGGCCATGGGCTGAGATGCGCTTCGACGCTAGAATCGGCAGCCCCATTTCACGGCATGATTGACGTGTTTTTTTCTTCTCACGTTCTTTCACTCATCCTTGTGGTTGCCTCCTCAAATCGACTTCCTCGGCACTCCCCGGAAGTCGAACCTCGGGAGTTCTACATACCCCAATGTTGACAAGTCGCCAGGCCCGTGGTCTCATGATATTTGCTTGGGTCACGACGTGGTCAGCTCAAGGTCGCATTCAAGGGCCACGTGGGGCAGCATCTCGTCGCTCTGAGCCTAGTGTCGCGAGAGGCCACCATTTGGGACAACGCGACGTCTCTTTGGTCGTTTTATTGCTCATTTGAGCCGTTGAAGAGGTGCCAGTTGCTGGGCTCACAAGTGTGGCCCTTTCGTGAAGGTCGCGTAAGGCTGTCGTCTTCGCGCAAACAGCACATTGTGCGCCACGTCGTACAGTCTTCGTGTTCTGCACTCGTCTTGTTTCGAGTGAAACGTCACGACATCATGTTGCTTGTCTGTCATTCTTTCGAATTAATGTCCTCAAACGCGGCTTTTTTACGAAAGCCTGTTTTGTGCCGCCGCCGGCTCGCAGGCTTCACGGCGCCAGTCTGAAGATACACCGGACGAACAACGCCATGGAGGTCTGATCTGCGCCGTTAGGCTCGATTCTAAGTTCGACCGCTGCAACGGGGAAAAGTCTGCCAGGTCAATGTCTGAAAACCTCACATTTGGGACAACTCGTGTACCAGTACACACGTGGCCGTGGCACAACAGGCCAGGCTCGAAGTGTAACGCGAAATACTGCAGTGGAAGATCAGATGTGGTGGCGCCCACAACGCGAAAAAACTTCTGGCGGAGGCTCAGAATGTTGTTTGGCAAGTGCTGAGAAGCGCAGTCGGGGACGCCACGTCCAGAGATGGCCTCATTCATCAGAGGACCTCCGGATTGGGCCCTGAGGACGTCCTCAGGCGGTGCTCGCGTGGACACGATGTTATGCTGTACTCCAGAACACGGCAACATTACTGATATTTCCTCCCCTGAGCTATTCTGGACTGTGTATGTCCCACGGGCGTAGGCCAGGTCCCTCAGTGAACGGAAGTATGAGCCATGACTCCGATCTCTTCAAGAGCTATCCATCTAGGATGAAAACGGCTCGCCCAAGGCTTTCGCGGCAGGGATGAGTCACTATCGCCTTTGAGTTCCGCCCCTAAAGAGGGAAATAAAAACATTCTTAGAACTTAGGAGGGCCCAGATGATTTACAGGCAACGCCTTTGAAAAGTTCAGCCCTGCTAGACCAAAATTCTTAGGTACATACAATGCGTATCCATCGAAGGATTTGAAAAGAAAAATTATCTGAGGTTGCTCGTCGAAAACCCTCCGGAGTGGCAGGACCGCCTGGATTTGCAGCTTGTCATCTTTCCATGAAATTCCCAACTCCTGTAAGACAGCCTGTTATAAGATAGACCGCTGTAGGATGAAGCATCCCCGTCACAGGTTGACCTATTACAGGATAAGCTGCTGCGAAATAACCTTCAACGTGATGGATTGTTGTGGCTTGACCTACTATGTGATAAAATATTGTGTGATGACCTGCCATGGAATGATCTGCTGTGGGATCAGCTGATGTAGGACAACCTGCTATGATATATATCTGAGGGCTTAGTGGTCAATGTCCTTGGTCAAAATCAATAGTGAAACACCTGTTGGAAGCGTGGGTCCGCGTCAAGCTGGGAGGCTATGTCAAATGCTGGCAGACCAGGCGTTTCATGGATGACATTCGGCACTTCAGTTCTTGCCTCCTGAACTCTGCCTCGATCTAGGCCAGCGTATTCAGCATTTGAGACAGGTGACATCTATAGAGGATCTTCTGCAAGATCAAGTGGCTGCTCTTTTGTTCTATGATTGGAGTTGGGCAAGCTTTCCAAGATGGTTTGAAACCGGCAGGACTGGTGGTTATTGTAAGCTTATCATTACAGGTAACAGTTCTCAGTGTCTCAAGTTACCCAGAAAGTAACCTGGTGGCCCAGGTATCAGGAACTGCCGACGGATATTCCTGCCGCCGGGCCAAATTTGATCTGGAGAACCGTAGACCAAGCAATTTTCTCCTGGGGATATAAGAAGCCTCACACGCTTCCGTTGCTGCAGGTTGCGAAATGATGTCGTGTCCAACAACCTCGCTTTCGCCAAACCGTAAGACACATCTGTCAAGAGCCTGACACTAGAATCCATGCGAGAGGGCCATTTCGAAGAGCTTTTCCTACAGGATGGTTTCCATCGGAAGTCACAACATGGCACGCGGCCTCGTCCGGACACGGCGTGCGTGCGTTCGTTTCACAGGAGATGAGGTGGTCAAGTAGGCTCGACCTCGACCAGCCGCGACTTCTGTCCAACTTTAATCGCCTCGGATTTCGGTCTCAAGTCAACAAGTTAACGGCTCACCTAGGATTGTCTTTCATGTGCTCAAGCAGAGGATGCTAGCACCTGATCCGAATCGCATAGGTTCATGCGTTGGGAAGCGCAGTGTGCTGATGTCTTGAGACTTCGGGATCCACTTCTGGGTCGTGGTTGCTTGGTAGTGTTTTGGGAATGCCAGTGTGAGAAAGCAATGAGCCTGTATTCCGAAACTATAACAAGGCAGTGTCGCCTGGTAACTGCAGGTCGATTTGGGTTTTGACACGGAAACATGATCGCCAATATGTGGCCTTCCTCGGGCACACATCGGACAGATCAGGCCGCGGTCTCCTCAACGGAGATGTACTCGCTAAACGGGTCCGTTCCGCTATTGTTGTCGTCCTCGGATGCAAGTCAGCTGTTCCTGCGTCCCGTATGGCATGAGAAAAGTCTGCATTCCGAAAGCCAGATGACCTGCGATGTTTGACGATGACTTCATGGAGACAAACAATATTCTCTTTGAGCGCTGAGGACTGGTAAAATGTGGCAAAATATCGCGTGATCCAACCAGCAAGTCGCCAGCGTCAGCATCTCGTGTGGGATGCTGTGGTGCGAGTCGGGCCCAATAATGAATACCCTCCCTTCTCCCCTGCGGTCTCCTCAACACGATCAAAGCGTTCCTCCCATGATTTTGGAGGGTGACAGACTCAATTAGGGAGGGGAGGAGTTACACAGCCAGGAACAATGGTGCCTGAACCAGGTGGTCTACACGGTGCCTGTAGACACGCGAAGAAATAGCAGGGTCTTGAGACGATCTTGCCACCAGAAGGTGACACTGGTTAGAGCGACGGGTCAATGATCGCCAGTATCAGGTCTCGTAGACCAGTGAGTCAGGAGTCCACTGATCTTTGGGTCAACGACTTCGCCACAGAGTCACGAGTCTTGCGCGGAAGGATCTCCAACAACGCTTGCATCGAATTTGAATGACAGTGTCATGGTCGGTAGCGGCCCAAAGACCAACGAAACCTTGATACGAGAGAATAAAAGGGGATGAATATTTTCCGCGCATGTTTACCGAAGGAACTGCGCCTCGGTCCCTATTATGGTAGAGGTTTCAAATGCCCATTGCCACCGTTGAACGTTATGAAGCCACGTTACTGAAGGGGCGAGTCTCACTCTTCAAACCCCATCTCACGCTCACCAGCCAAGCGGTTTAGAAATCCGGAGAAATTGGCTCCCTGTATGCAAGCAGCATCAACTAGCGAAACAGCCGAGATGATCGTACATCAACACGGGGTGGCTGTGAACCTTGAGTCACGAATTCGTCAACCAACCATGACCGAACTATACGATGCACCCGATCGAACCCGAGCTTGATTTGTTTCTCCTCGGATCCCTCCCGATCAGTGGGACCGCGTACACTATGAGAGGTTCAGTCGAATCATATCTATGATCATTCTCATCGCCTTGCTTATTCAGATCATTTCTACGACGCAAGACTGCGCTTCGGGCAGCGATAATTGTTCATCAAGAGAAGTATGCTGTGAGCAACTGCTAGATAGTATATCAAAAACAATAAAAAAGTGGTCTCCTGGATGATATGTCATCAGGATATCTCGGTAGGACTCCGGTACCCGACGTTGCAAAGCACTTAGTTTCAAGGGTCTAGCCTGTCACCCGTCTCGGCTAGGCTTTCGTGTCAGAAGTGCGGGCGGCGGCGGCGGCCTACGGCGACTCTGGGCCGGCGGCAATGCCTCTTCGGCCGGTTGCAACATGCACTCCGTAGACCACACCCTCGATTCACCTTCTCTTGGAGTCATGCATCAATTTCCTGTTTTGGAATGTCTGGGCCTCATGACGTCCGGTTTGAGATGTCTGTTCTGTCATGGCCTTGGCTTCCCTTGCTGGGCGAGTCCTCTGGGCTTCTCGCTCCCTCGATTGTGTTGCAGTCGCTGCTGAGTGAAACGAAAGGCTTGCTTGCTCTTGACCGACCAATCGCTCTGGGAAGTGTCTGGTCGGTAGGTTCACTCTCATCTATGTAGGGCTACAGGCGAACACCCAAGCAGCGCGCGATGCAACATAGAGCACCCCGGGACGGGAGGCGTGTATATTTAGAAGCGGGCACCTATCTTCCTGTGCCGAAGGGACGAACAGCTTGTCGGTAGCAAATCTGGAAGCCATGTAGTATAACCATACCTATACACTAAATAGTTACGCAGTTGCCCTCGTTATTGTGTGATCCTGGCAGATATGCGGGAACTTGCATTTGAAGTCTGCAGTCAGAAAAGTGTCCAAGCTTCCCGACAAGCTTCTGCCGAGGGGAAAGCCACTGCTTCGAACCTGGACTAGCTGAAACGGCTGCGATGGTGGTGCGGTCAGATTCTTGTGCAAGCCGCGAAGGGACCAAGCCCTTCGAGGGTGTCATATTAGCCACTAGACAGCTTGACCATCTGCAAGGAACGGCAGGAAAGTTCCCCAGATCCGCGACCCGTGGCGTGCTGATAGTAAAAATAGGTACGTCGGGAGGCGCCCGCCCCAGGTGCCTTCTGCGCGCCCGTACCAGATCTTCGACCAGCCAGATCTACCCGGTCCCCTGTTGCAAATCTGGGATCTTCTGTCAACCCTGTGAAAGTCTGTCTTAAGCTTGATTCAACGTGCCAGGCTGATGGAACTTTGTGGCTCCATCTACTCCACTCCGGAACAGGTCTTACAGCTTCTCGCTGGGCGCTATTGTGTTTGAATCCTGATGCGAGTGGCTGTCCCACGTCCCTGGCCACGGGCACAGACGTGCAACCGTTGATGTGATGGGCAGATGTCTGTTCGCTGTGGTTGCGTCTGTGGCTCCAATGGTACCACAGAATTGTGTTTTGGAATCCCAACTAGGCGGAGAGCAGTACCGATCTTCCAATATGTCTCTGCCTTCGGCGAATATAACCACCTGGTAGGTACATGACATGCCCCTCTCTTTCAACACGAATCGGGTTTTTTCATGATGATAATGGCTGTGCTGGTGTGGAGAGTAGCAGCTGTATCAGGTCTCGCGGCAACAGTTTCCAATACCAACTCCCGCCACTCGTACCATGCCTCTGGGCGCTCAGATGGAGTATAGGACACCGGGGGAAACGTCTGAAGTCTTTCTTTCCTGTTTGAGGCGGAGCTACTCCAGCAAGGCAAAGATCAGACCTGGACTCCAGCAAGACTAAACGGATCCGGCTCTGGATCCAAACACGGATGAACTGTGACGCTCCTGCCCAACATCGCTTCGTCTGAGCCATTGTTGAGACGATGTTCGAAGGCTGACAGCTTGCACCGAACGAGGCCAAGCCATCCTGGTCAGCCTTGAGATGAAAGTTAGATAAAGCTGCGGACACTCCCACCAGCCTTTCCCGTTGTTACCTGTCCTGCAGCCTCATCAGGTTTTGTTTCTCATCCGTTCTTTTTACTTTCTTTTTACCACCTCTGAGCCGGCTCAAGTACTCCAGGGTCGCTGGTTCCACCCTCGTTATTCCTTAATCACATACCGCCGTCCTTTGAAGTCCCCCCTACAGCCAATATGCGTGGCCTCAACCTCATTCTTCTTTTCGCCCTTACCGGACCCGGGCTGGCAGGCCCAACTCGTCGCGGATACGGGACTCTTGTTCAACGGCAGGACAACAGCACAGAATTACCGCCTCCACCTCCTGCGGCCGCGTCTGGTGCTGCTGACGCTCCACCACCACCTCCTCCTGAAGTTGCTGTAAGAAAGCCCCAATCTGATTACTGGGTCTTCCAAGGCTGTTCTGTGGGCGAAAAAGGCTTGCGAAAGAACACAAAGAGGCCGCAAGGCAATGTGGTCTCAAGACAGCCTTGCGAACCATCCAGTATCTGCGCCGTTATATAGGAACGAAAGTGACTGACCTGAATTCTCTAAGGCTTGTCCTCCTGCTCCTCCAGCCGCAGCCGCAGCTCCTCCCCCGTGAGTATTTCCAGTTCTAGAAAATCCGCGGAGATCGTGCTCTGCAAATGAAGAAGGTCCGAGCTGCATCGCACAGCTAGGCTTGACCAGGCGGCCTTCCCATATTTCCCTCGCTGTGCTTGTTCGCTAACTTGTGGTCATATAGACCTGGCCCCCCTCCACCACCGCCAGGGGCCTCTGGAGCTCCTCCGCCGTAAGTCTCCCCTCCAGGTTTAATATCCTTCTCGGGGATATTTCGAGACCCTTCGAAGCTGACATACGCTCCCGCAGACCTCCTGCCGCCGCTGGAGCTCCGCCACCGTAAGATCTCGCCCATCCCATATCCAGTATTTTCGTAGGAGTCCACGGAAATAGTCGACTGACACAGAGCAGACCTCCTGACGCAGCTGGCGCTCCACCACCGTAAGCACGCCTCGATGGACGAGCATCTGTCCTCCCAGCCCCAAGCATAGACGTGACTGACCTGGATCAGACCTCCTGCCGCCGCTTCGGGGGCACCACCACCGCCCCCAGCAGGCGGGCCACCTCCTCCCCCAGCGGGTGGCCCACCACCGCCTCCTCCCGCCGCCGCTGGAGCGAACTGCACAGCAGCAGCACCTCCACCACCGCCCGCAGGAGGACCCGCCCCTCCTCCTCCTCCGCCAGCGGCTGCTGGGGCTCCTCCCCCTCCTCCACCAGGCGCTTCCGGAGCTCCTCCACCACCACCACCGCCAGCGGCTGCCGGCGCTGCTCCTCCTCCTCCACCAGCGGCCGCGGGCGCCGCGCCGCCTCCTCCTCCTCCAGCAGCTTCTGGTGCCGCGCCTCCTCCTCCGCCAGCTGCTGCGGGTGCCGCTCCTCGTACGTGAAATATTCTTCTCCGCAGACAACGAGCTCCAGAAGAGCAGGATCAGTGCTAACACAATGCTCAGCACCGCCCCCAGGCGCCTCAGGCGCACCACCACCACCGCCACCAGGCGGCCCCGCAGCTGCGGGCGCTGGACCAGCTGGACAGGCGGGTGCCCGTAAGTAGAGCCAGAGGAGATTATCCCTATGCTCCAGGTCATATCGCTGTCTCAGGAAGAGTAGTAAAGCTGATATTAAGTCCTAGCGCCACCACCACCACCACCACCAGCAGCACAGGGGCCGGGCGCGCCACCCGTCGGCAAGGGCAAGGGGAAGCGCCGATCGCTTCCGAGCATGTCCAGCGGTGGACGGAGGGCTATCAAGGTCGAGTGGTGAAAAAGGGGACGAAGGGCGCTCTAGGGAGCAGTCCAATGCGGGAGCAAGGGGGCTCAACAGGCTCATCATTTTCACCTCTAGAGTCGGGCATCAGTCAGCATTTTCTTTGGGTCATCGGTCGTCTGGTTTCGAGTTTTGGTACGAGAAGAAACGGTGCTGCTGGCAGGCCAAACATCTCTCAATGTCTATTATCTATTCACTCTGATTAGGCAAAGACTGAATATCAATGCATAATATTCAGCTAAACTGGTTGGAAAAATTGCGAATGTGATCTTGTGGCAGTCTCGTGAAGAGGCGTGCTTCGTCACTGGCCGATGGCTGTTTGAGGGTATACTTGGACCCAGACGGCGAAATGATCTTGAATTTGAATTCCATGACGGAGGCGAGGACGTCTCCATTGCGAACTGGGAGAGTGGTTAGCAAAGAGCTTCCCGTTCGCATGTGCTCACCTGGAGTAACGTTGACTTGAATGGTCCTGGGGCGCCCTTCAACGGGCATTAATGTCTGAGCGCGGAATATGGCTGTGTGGGTGAGGATGGCCAACACGAGGCCTACGGACTCAGTGCCAACAATATCATTTTTTTGTACTTTTGCAAAGGGAATCTGTTATTAACATTATAATGATGATCTATACCTTCGGCTTCCGCCCTCATTGGCACCAATCCCAATGAAGACATTCTGTATTTCTTTACAGTCCTTCTTTCTCGAGCATACTTGCGATCTGTACGTAGAAGGCGGTAGCGTTGAAACTTGTATTCCTCGAGAATTAGCATCAACTTCGTACCAACAAAGAAGCCAGAGTGGACGGTTCAACTCACGGGTTCTCCTCTCCCATCAACTTCCTCATTGCCCATCTGACCCTATTTGTCCAATTTATCAGATCTAGGTGACTGACATTCTCCAATGTCCCCTTGTACGTCCCCCATTGGGCACTCTCCACGCTCACTAGACCATCGTTGGGCCCTTCCTCCCTACTCAGGACGTTAAAAGAGGCCCGGAAGGGACTCAGGAGAGGAGGTTTCTGATTCAGTGCCGCGCCATACGAGAAATACTGCACGTCTGGGTCGTCCGGCGTTCTCGGGTTGAATTCCTGTGCCATGTACTTGCGTGTAAGCTGCGCAAAGGCACCTGTGCCGAACCCTGTCGTGCGTTTCCACGCTTCGTAGACACCAGGTAAACGGTCCGGTCCTATTTGGTCTAGAAGGTAGTCTGCGTATGCAGACCCGTGGTGAGGGCTAGCGATTGTGACCAGGGATCGAACGTTGATGTCATTCGAGGGGTGCTGCTTTTCCTGCTTCTGGACCCGCCGTCTGTGGGCATAACTGATCATGTATCTCGCATCCAATCCGCCCATCGAATGGGCGATGATATTCACTGGTCGTCCATGGGATTCCGTGAGTATGTGGTCGCGCAACTTTGCAGAGCGCTCTTCGATGCTACCAGTTGGCGGCACTGTAGCAGTGATGACCTCGGCGCCGTGCGCGGTCAGAGCTTCTTTGATACCGTGCCAGTAATGGATTGGGGGGAGGTAAGATCCCGCAAGCTTCAGCTCTGCGAAGCCCAGAAGGCCATGGGCGAGCACGATTGGATATTTGGGCATCTGGATAAGGTGTTAACCCACGGAAATCCGGAGGCTGAGACTCCAGTCATTACCTGCGGCACCAACCGGTTCAAAAGGGTTGGTTGATTCGGAGCCTCCCAGAAATGAAGACCAAAGAATTGATGACTGGCTTCAGGGTTCGGCTGTTGACCTTTGTGTTATCCAAGACTTTGTCCTGCGCACATGATGGAATGCTGTTCTACTGGACCTGATTCCCTGGCAAAAAACAAGCGAAAGATTGCCCAGAGTCGCGTGCCTTGTCGCTCAAAAGTGAGCCTCCCTGGTCTTTAGTGATGTCACTTAGGCGTCGTAGCCCGAACCCTCATCGACGTCGAATTGCACCGGGACTCCCCCCCACCACATCAATCAAGAGGGGGGTGTGCAATCGGCCCCTAAGAAACAATAAATAGACTAGCATGGGCAAGGTGGAATGAGCAGCTTCTTTCCGAATATCATGGCTTGAATAGACCTGAACGTTTCTAACCAAGAATTTGAGTATCTGCTTGCACCAACAGTTGTAGTGTCCAAAGTAAACCCTCGCAATGTCCTCTGCTGTCCCAGGCCTGCCTACAACGCCTCTATAAACAACAATGTAGACACTCAGTGCCAATAAGGCTTTCTGGCAGAAGAACAAAAAAGGCCACTGGGATTAATCCGGCGATCAATCTGGTATCAATAATTTGCCACAGGGATAAATCGAACTCCGAAAACAACCGCTGCCTCACGCGGAACGCGTCCTCGAGCATTCCACAAGCCTCGACGACCATCACCAGATGGAGTCATGCCTCACCAGGACGTCCTCGCTCTTCGGCGTGCTTCTCGTCCTCGTCCTTCCTCCAAGTCCTCCTGAGCCAGCGGATCCCCCAGTCCTAGACCCGTCACTCCCGGGCGCAATCACTTCTGACTCCACGATTGGTCCGTTTCCATATTGCTGGCTCAGAGTCAAAGCCCGCGGTGGTACGAAAGGCACCCGGGTGAGTGTGCTCAGAGGTCTTTCGTAAGGCGGGGGCTCAGACTCGCCCGTCATTTGTGCTGGCGCCTGTCTTCTATTGGAGAAGCGGCGGTTTCCGCAGCAGAGCCCTGACTGTCCCATTGAATTTGCGTCGGTGGTGACTGATGGTGGTGGTGAGCGAGGTTCTTTACTGGCTGTACTGTAGCTAAGCCTGTATGCATTTGGCGAAGTGGCAAAGCTGGGGCGCATGGCGAGCAATGGCGACCCAAGGCTCCGTTGTGCTGGATAAAGAGCGAGAAGATGACGCCGTGCTTTCTTTCTCGAAGGTGATGTTGGTCCCCAAGCTCGTCCAAATGCTGGACCGGGAGGGAGCAGTGTCATTATTATGGCCGCGACGAGGATCAGAGTGCCGTCGAGCACGAGAAAGTATATATGTGATTGAGATAGACCCGAAGCCAGTCCACCGGCCAGTTGAATCATTCGAGCGACCGTCCGTGCGAGAATCAAAGCCAGAGCCAACTGCATGCCTGCGTCAAGAAGAGGTTAGCAAATGGGACTACATGTTGCATGACGTGATAAGAAAGAGGCGAGGCAGAGTTGGATGTGTGTTTTGGGTTCCAAACTCTATTGTCGACATTGAACTTACACAAAAGCGCCGTCTTGAACCTTGCCGAGAGGTAGATGTCAGAGAACCGGGGATTCAAGAACTCTCTATTGCGGAAAACCCGAGACATGAACCAAAAGTATAACCCAAAGAACCCCACCAGGCTCAGGAGTTGAAGAGCGAGACCGGTAATGAGGACGTTCACGCCTTGCTGGATCTCGACCATATTGTACCCTTTAGCCGCGAAAACGCAACCTACAGCCTGGAATGCCAGAGTGAAGCCGTCAAAAGCGAAAAAGAAGGAGTTCAGCCAGACTGGCTCCAGCGTGATGCAAAGATCACTGCCGTATATAGCGAAAACGTGCGGCAAGATGGTGTAGACGGCCGCAGTGATCAGTGTTGGCCCCAAAGCGGTCCCGAGAAGAGACAGAACAAAGTAAGACTTGCTGGCGAGGTCTTTCCGGAGTAGAAGCCTCGCGGCGTAGCCCGCCACTTCCAGGAGGAGACCTGCGCTCATACTCAAACTGTATACCGTTGTCCTGCATCTCGCGCCAACCCACAGATTGATGGGAACGAGAATCGCAAAGGCTGCTAGCATAAAGGCGGTGCCTTCGATCGGAGGAGGGCTAGAAAGCCAGCCCTTCTCAACGGGGCAGGTTGCTAACGTGCAGTCACCGGGACCAAAGCTCGCCATGACGGGCGAAAGGCGGTTGAAACTCTCGACAAGGTGGGTAATAAAGACACATGGGATATATGTGCGAGGAGACTGACAAGACACCAACGAGGCTGATCCAGCGCCGGGCCCTATGGTAGTTATAACGGGCTGACAGGGCCCCAAAGGGCTTGTCCCTAAATCTAAGGCCGGAACTCCGATGTGAAAGAGCATGTTGGCGGTGGCTGCCGAGCTTGTAGACTCATTGGCGGCGCTTAATCGATGTGGGGAGTGCTACAGTTGGGTTTTGGACCAACAGGTTCCGGCAAAACACTCGCTCATGATGTTGCAGCACTGCTGCACTTCGACCAACTGTAGTTCTGTCTAGGTGCAGCATGGTATGGGCTGCCGAGCGACTGGCTCGCAGACTAGAACAGAGGAAGATGGATGCACCCGTCTACCAAGTCTTTGATACCGTAATGGAGTGTATCCAGGCTAATGCAGACGCTGATTGACCTTCCACTTGGTCTTGTATCTACCTGTCTGTCACAAGGGGCTTTGGACAAAGCTATGTGTTGGCAGGACCGTGTAAATCACATCGAAGCCGTCAACTCGAAGGGTGCTAGGGGTGCCCAGAGCCCGCCAGAAGCGACGTTATCACATGAACAGCGACTGGCTGCATAAGCGGGCAAGGGGGGAATATGTGATGAGAGATATGCATGGCGATGTGGCATGTATATGTACCCGTACAAATAACCAACGCACTTGGAACCCGACAGTCTGGGCCGACCGTCCGCGCATAGGCGCCCAAGCACGATTACCAGACCAATAGGATGATTATACATAGATGAGGGCCTCACTGTCTCTGCTGCGGACATGGGACAGCTTGTTCCTGGTCCTGACAACTTTGGCCGTTGGTGCATCCAACACACATGACAGCCAATAAATCAGCATGCCTTGCGTCCCATGGGGTGGATATCGTGCAAGACGATGATCTTAAATATTAAGTTTGATGACAGCCATCCCCGCGCAACCTTAATGCACGTATGTGGCGTAGATAAAAGTCAGAGACATCTAGAGTAGCCTTACTGGTCAATTTCTTTTTAAGTTGCCTCCGTAATGAGTTTGGGAGGTAAGTTACCATACCTCACTGCGAGATGGTGTCGGCTCAATGGGTTGCCCTCATGGTGTGCCCGCCAAAAGATAAGGGCCTAAACGGAACAATCACAAAAGCTTGAGTCCTGCGGCAGGACAGTGTGTGAGAGCTACTGCGGCTGCTATGCCACGTAGTCCGAAATCCTGAACGATTAGCCGCTCGATTGGAGGCGTCGCGACTAAATATGCTTCCGTAGGATCAAACTAAGCGCGGTCCACGGAAAGTCGACCGGGAGGTTGGCGAGAAGCCAAAAGAGCCCACATAGCACAATCAGAGAGGCTGTAAGAGGTTGCACAATCATTACGACGCATCAGCTAACGCATCTTCTTCTTCTTCTCAGTGTAGGGTAAGCCTGGATAAGACAGCCTCTTCATCTGGCCGGTGTGACCCCCATGGGCGGGCGACCACCGCTTTGCATAGCGCGATGACACCCTGCACTTTGCCAACCTCGCCCTGTCGGGTCCTTCGTTCCGCAAGGGTTGAAATGGGGGTGCACCCGTCTTGAAGTCGGCCCTAGTCTTCGAAAAAGACTGCTAACACTGAAAAAAGCTGCCATTCGTCCCACACTTCACCCATCGGTGTTGGCGGCTGCTCGAGAAGGACGGATGGCTGCTTGACAGAACTGAGAGCTGTCGCGGTTCTAACCATACTCTGTTGACCCCTCAGCCTGTCGAATGAACCGGTGACATGGGTCCGTGCAGACATATGACTGTTGGTCTCGATTGGAGTGGAAAACAGAGAGCTCAGACGAAGATGTGATGCATTCGCCATGTTCATGTGGGTCGATCCAGCACGAGGATGGACCCACCAAATTCGCTTGCATAAGCCAAGACGTGAATAGCCACTACTCTCGCCCCGCTGAACACATTCTTTGTGTTAACCTGCGCCGTTAATGTCGACTGAGACCGTCAATAGAAATAGCTGTAAGGCACACATGGTTTGGTTCTAGAGTGTGTAGCCAGTTGGCAATTTCGAGCTTCACTGGTGGTAGAAGTTGCGGTCTAAAGCAATGAGGCTGCAAGGAGTGTTTTCTGTGTATGGAACAACATTGCATCGGCGTTGGTGCTCTTGCTGAGATACTGCTTGCGAGATAATGCAACCTCATCACGTTTCCTCTCCTGCCAATGTATGGGAAACTTCGTCACATATTCGACAATAGGCGACTGCTAAGTACAGGACACTCGCGTATGTTACCAGTAGATCCTCCAGATCCGACGTAGAGCCACAGCATCTCAATGGCTCTTGGAGTACTGGTCCACAATCTTCGATGCGGCCAATTCAGCCACGCCATAAATCATGGTCTGGATGTGACCCGAGGGCTGGATAGGAATAATCGAGGCATCCACGACACGCAGATTTTCCGTGCCATAGACTATCAGATCCGGCGAGACCACGCCACCGTCAACCTTTGGAAGCATGGCACAAGTGCCAAGAGGGTGATAGATGCTCAGCGTTGTATTCCTTGCGAACTCTTCCCACGCAGCGTCGCTTGTAGTCACATCAAACCCGGGCTCATACTCGTCCACCCAAGCCTCGCTTAAGCCAACGCTCTGCGCAATTTTCCGGCTGTATTTGGTGGCTTCCACAATGGCTCTGAGGTCGTACGAGTTCGACAAATAGCTCGGGTTAATTATGGGCTTCCCAGTCGGGTCCGACGCGTTGATATGTACGCTGCCCTTTGAGAATGGGTGCTGTACGACGGCTATAAGAGTGAAGAAGTGTGAATCGTAGTCGGCGGAGCTAGCTGGCGGGGCTCCCTTCACACCCGTATAGCCATCTGAGAAGATGAACTCAACCTCAGGCACCTGCGTGCTCAGATTCGTGGTGAGGTATGCCAGCTTGTGCTGGTCGATCACATTGGCTGGGTCTGCAGCTTGTCTGGCCAGATCAACGAGTTCCGAGGACGCATTCCCGAGGGCCTGGGCCCAGGTCAAGTAGGCATAGCCGCTTCCCGTGTAGTCGTACGCCGAATACTGATTATCTTCCCACAAAGCCAGTTGCTGGGCAGCATATGTGGCATTGGTCCGGAGCTCATCGAACGAAATCGTATAGTTCGGTTTCAATCGGTAGGAGTTCTGAATGCGAATGTGGTCTTGCAAATTCGATCCTACGCCAGGGAGTTCAAGCAGGGCATCGATACCAGCTGACGCGAGCACTGAACGATCACCGATGCCAGACAATTCCAACAGAGTTGGCGTTTGGAAGGCACCGGTGGACAGGATCACCTCTTTCCTAGCTTCCACGGTACTACCGCTAATGTTAACGCCAGTGGCAACAAATGAATCGGAATCATTCCCCTTGCCAAATACGATATTGGATACGATCGTGGTATTCCAGACAACCAAATTCGGACCGGCGAGAGAAAGATAGTCAATGGCGTAGGACCGCGTGTAGTTCGACTCTCGGATATTGCTGGGCTGATTCATGACACCGAGAGGATCCCCACCAAGTGAGTTGAGGTTGCTCCGGACACCCAGACTCTCTAGTGCTGGTTTAAAGCCATGCTGCTGAGGGGGCACGAAGCGATTGACAAGGGTCTGGATAGGCCCACCAGTCCCAACGCCTTCGTCTCCGTAGTCGTTGTTTGTGCGGTCGAAGTTTTCGACTTTCAACATAGCCGATATGAATTGTCCCCAGTTCCAACCTGGATTTCCCAGCGCCTCCCAAGCATCATAATCAGGCACACTGCCTCGATCCCATGTCATCAGATTAAGTGCCGAGGTTCCACCCAGCAGCTTACCCCGGTTAGCAGAGATGCGACGGCTGTTCAGGCCAGGCTGAGGAGTGGTTGTGAAGTTCCAGTCGTACTTGGACCCAAGAGTGCTTCCCTTCTTTCCTGGCACATTGATACCGAGCTCATTTGGAGCAGTCGGGCCGGCTTCGACTACCAGAATACAATCATCTGGCAGTCCTTGACTTAGTCTCGTTGCCAGTGCCAGTCCAGCAGTGCCACCGCCAACGATGATCTTGCAAGTGTCAGTACCAATTGGGTTTGTTTAATCCAGAGCAATGGGAAACCGAAAGAAAGGGGTAGGATGGCCAGAGAGTCTTACGAAATCGAAAGATGATGCACTGGTATTGCACTCGCCCCAGACCCCTGTAAAGGCCAGTGCTAGCAGCATGAGCGCGGCGCCGCGACGCGACGCGAGATTAGTGAAGCGCATGGTGATGCGTATTCGCAAGCGAACTGCACGCCTTGAGGAAGTTCACACATTCCAAGTCCGGAATGAAGAACAGATATACCGCTGATTATGAAAAAAGGAGACCTCTAGGCATATGGACCTGCCAAGGCCGCTGCGAATCCTTCGATATCCACACCGTCGAATACCATTATGGCGGTACCAATAATCGTGACATCCGTTGCCGGATAAAGACAAATGAGCTGACAAGCCCCTAGACCCCAGAGCCCTGTCCGACCGGGACTTTTCCCGGTAAACATGTGGAAATTGTTCATGGCTGCCGACGTGGTTTTCGAACACCCCGCGCCGTGTCCGATGAGATTGGTTCATGCATGCTAGATCGGCCTGCAACCCCGACAAGCCCATGGACTACAGCAGCAATTGAGGGAGCTAGATCATCTGAAGGATCCGATGTCTGATTGATGACTCTTCACTGGAGAGCATAGCAGCTAAATCGAAGTTGGGGTAGAATCGTACTGATCGATTTGACCAGACAATGATAAGCTCTGTCCGGCTTGGAAACATCTCTCTAGGCCCAAGTATCCGACGAAGTGGGGCACTCCTCAACGAGAATTGGACATCATCAATGTGCTTCTCGTGATACTATCTCAAGTCAAGCGTGCTTTGGGTAGGGGCTGACAGACAGACATCTTAGGCGTAGGAGTAGAGGACCCTAAAGATGCGGTATGTCTGCATGGGCTTTTAAGAATCAGGTCAGGGTACAACCCTGATTATACTCAAAAAGTCAACTCAAAAGCCCAGAATTGTGACAGTGTAGAGTATGTGGTGACAAGATACTGTGTAACTGCAGCGAACGATGGTGATGAATCGATTTGTTTGAAATGTAAACTCGGCTAAGGTGTTGTCTGATTTGAGGTGAGCAGAGTCTCAGCAGCTCAGTGACGGTTGAAGGTAGGCAGGGTTCGCTGCCCCACTTTTCACTAGCGGTGGCGCAGAACCTGTGGCGGTGCAGAAAAATCGGCGCACGAAATCCACCCTGCCTGCTCGCTCACTCGAGAAATACCGCCAAAACCTAGTGACTGACAGTGTTTGCCCTTTCTTGTCGACAACCCACCCCGTAACATCACCACCCAACGATTGTTGAAGCCGGCACCCCGTCAATACCGACAAGATGGTACGATCCTCGATGCGACTTAATTCTTTTCGATGGCCCTGCTGACTTTCTGGCTTCCAGGTGAACATTCCCAAGACCAGGAAGACGTGAGTGACACACCCTGCGATCGTCCGCCCCGCCCGCTCCACGAGCAACAAAAAATCGAACGACAGAACGGCCGCGCACGTCTGGTGCATCTGGAAATTTGGGAGGCATTCGATATGTTGTGACCGTGTGGGATTGCGCCTGGAAAAGACGGACGGAGAGCGGCCACCGACTACTCTGATGGATTGGACGCATTTCTCTGGCAGCGGGCGGCTTTGGATCATAATGCGGCACATCAGGACTCAATGCTGACTGAGAAATATAGCTACTGCAAGGGCAAGGACTGCAAGAAGCACACCCTGCACAAGGTCACGCAGTGTGAGTACTGAGAACACCAGGAGAATCACGATGAATGGCATTGGAGGTGCTGACTATTTGCAGACAAGGCTGGCAAGGCCTCCCTGTTCGCCCAGGGTAAGAGACGTTACGACCGGTACGTGTCACCGACTTCGACCTCACTACACTGTTCACCACCGAATCCACTCCTCGATCGAATCTAAACGCGTCCGCCCGTAGACACGAATGCTAACAACCCGATTATAGCAAGCAATCCGGTTACGGTGGTCAAACGAAGCCTGTCTTCCACAAGAAGGCCAAGACCACGAAGAAGGTTGTGCTGCGTCTTGAGTGCTCCTCGTGCAAGACCAAGCTGCAACTGGCCCTGAAGCGATGCAAGCACTTCGAGCTGGGTGGTGACAAGAAGACCAAGGGTGCGGCCCTTGTGTTCTAAACGGGACGCGCTTACTTGTCAACATCGTCTTTTGGTCTCTGCGGCAATTCTCACGACTTTTCTACACGGCAATATGGTGGTCATTACGGACGGGTCCTTCGGCGAAAGGATAAAATGCATGCAAACTTGCTTTCGATCCTCGCGAATGCTGTGAGGGACTGTGAGGGGACATCAGTACATAGGGAAATGCGAATCCTTGTGGAGCTGAGCTCGAGGGAGTCTGACTGCCTGTGATCATGAGAGAGGCTGAATGCCACTGAACGCATCGCCAGATGACCTGCCAGCCAAGAACAAAATACACACAGTCGAGCCATCCGAGTTTCCAGCATTTTTTTTGCGCCTTGTGATCACAAACAGGAACCTCGACTCGAAACACGAGCGGATGCGCGCATGTCCGCCGCGATGCTACAATGCTGCTCTTTGACCAGCCCTCTGGCCATCTAATGTGCTTGTGTATCTCGCAGTTCTAGACTGCACTACGGTTGGTGCAGTGTCTAAGAAGTCTACAACGTCTTGACTAGCCACATTGCCCAAGTGACAGTCACTTTAATCTAGAATCCTTCCCCCATCAGAATCGTCCTGCCTCCTCCGTACCATAGCCTACCACTCCTCGCGTCGATGCCCCTTTCCTGGCCCACAATCCACTCGCCAACGAATGACGCCTGGGCGCTGTCCCACACCTCCTTCTCCAACCAAGCGTTGATCTCATCGATCGTTCTGGTCCACTTCTCCCGGGTGGAAGGCGTCGCGTGGTCCTGTTGCGTCAGGTACCGGCCCAGTGTGATGTGCGCGCTGGGGACGACATACCGCGAGTCGACGTCCACACCCGTCGTCCTGGCGAGGTCGAAGACGTCCCGGCGGAGATGGTGATACGTGTACGAGTCATCGACGTCGTGGCCGCCGTCGGCCCCACCGGAAGAGCTGCCGGCCGGGGCGGCCGGGGGCGGCGAAGTCACGGGCTCCCCGGCGGCCGGGAGGAAGGACATGGCGAAGGCGGCCAGGTCATACGAAACCATCGGCTTGACGAGGCGGCTGCGGTGTGCGAAGGTGAAGTTGGCCAGTGCCGGGATCGTGGAGCGCATCTGCGTCACGATCTCGGCGATCTCGGCGGGCGTGCGGCTGTGTGTTACCTCGAGAGTGGTGAGATGCATGCGGTGAGGTGGCATGAGCCAAATGTCTAGTGCGGTAGTACTCGTCAGTCTTAGAAGCAAGTGTGTTCGTCCAGCCCTCTAGTGACAAGATCTGGACAGAACCGGAGGAGTCTTCCTTTTCACCAGAGTCCATCGACATACTCGGTGCCGCCTCCTTGAGAAGGGACTGTATTTTGCTAGCGAGCTTGATGATGTGTTCCGGTGGCCTGGCCCAGAATACGAGGCAGTTCCTTGGGTCCGTGAAGCCCGGCTCGATGCTAGGGTTCTCAAGTCTAAGCAGGAAGGGGTCGATGAGGACCTCCTTGAAATCCGTTGACAAAAATCTCTCCTTCTGCTGACCATTCCTTGTCACTCTGTGCGTAGAATACAGGGATTGTATCTCCGTCTGTATAACCAGTTAGCAATGAACGTTAACTTGCAGCATATGTACCTAAGCAGGAAACCGCTGAGCTGGTCTCGACCACGTGGTCCGTCGTGACACCTAGCTCAAAGGTTGTGACCCAACTCGTGTCCCTCATGAATGCATCTTGGACTCCAGTCGAGGCCGCCGAGAGCTCACACGTACCTCATCATCGTGGCAGGCCTCGATCATAGCCTTGTATGGGTTCTCTCCCGGCTTGATCTTGACGCCTGAGAGATCCTCAAGTTTGTTCTTGGCGTCGGTGGATTCGAGCGCGGGGCTCATCTTGAATTTCTGGGAGTTACCAGTAGAGCCAAGCCAGATATAATTCGGAATAGGATGCTTGCTCGTCGCAACCAGTGCTGCCGTTTTTCAATCTACCAGGCACACCGACAGAAGGTGATGGCTTCCGGCAAAAGAGGCTAGATTGTCAACTGGTCAACGCGGTGAGGTCGCGGCCGGGCGCCGAACCGGCACCGATCGGAAGGAGCTGTCGCAAGCTGGCAGAAATTCACTTTCGAGATTCTTAATGACATATTTTGTGTCTACCAGGCTCTCAGCTCGTCTTGATGACCAGACAAGCTCTAAATTGACTCTGTACACTGAGTTCCTACTTTGTTCATTCTTCAGGCCGTGCTCAGGCTCGATACGTGTGTGCCTGGGTCCCCATCACTTCTGGACAATCAGTATCGAAATAATGCACATTGCTCAGTCACAATCCAAATGCATACATAATCTACACAAGACCTAATTGCCAACACAACAGCATGTCAGTGGAGCTCGCGGACTTGCAACACCAACAGGGCTGACAATCACTGAAAGCACAGTATAAGGGCTTTCCTTGCTTGCTCGGTGTTGGTCAGGAATTTTGCCAGATTATCAGCCTCGCTTGCGTCATATTCTACAGTTTGCTCGTATCACGTTGAATAGGGCACAAAGAGGCAGCAAATGTCGAAATGAGTCCTTTCGAGAGCTATCTCGCAAACTCCAATGAGACCAAGTAATGTACATTAATAACAGTGTAGCTCGAAGCCAGACGAGTGATATAGACAGCAGATTGAATATTTACAGATCCCCAGACATCATTCTGTTCACAGTGAGAATGCTAAAAACATGCCATTGACATCAATCAAAACACATCGGCAGTTCAAGAACCTAGTTTCGTCGAAGCTTGGCAGACTTCTTGCAGTCGGGCTTGGCCGTCGTGGTAGGTGAGGACGCCGAGGCATCAGCGACCGCTTTGCCCTGGCCCCATCCGCCGCCGAAGGAGCCCCAGTCCTGGCCCCAGCCCTGGCCGCCCGCGGAGGGCTGCGCAGCGGCAGCGGAGGAGTATCTGGTAGCAAAGCCAGTTGCGGATGGCAGGCTCGGGGCGTAACCGCTAGCACCCACGTTCCCGGAAGAGGCAACAGGGGTAGCAGAGCTGGCACTGGCCTGGGAAACAGCATTGTTCTTGGTGTCCGCAGAGGAGCCCGCGCCGTTCAGGATAGCACTGATGGGCTGTCTGCCGGGGTAGAAGGAGGCAGGCATGGTGGGGATGGGGATCGAGGAAGAGATGTCGTAACCAGTGGTGAGCTCGTTGTCCATGGTGGAGTAGGCGGCAGAGCCGGACGTTGTGATGGTCTGCGTTGAGCTGTACGCAGTGGTGGCATCGGCGGTGTTGAGGCAAGCTCCTTGACCGTATGCGTTCTGGCACCCATACAAGACCTCATCTCCAGAGTCGGTCCAGACGTCGAAGTCTTCGATAGTAATATCAGTGCAAGGCACGGCTTCCGGGCAGTTCATCTTGATCGGGCCCCGCTCTGTACCATCGGCGCACGTGCCGGACCAGCCCGAGAAAGAGATGTTGGAATAGTTGATACCGTCGCCATCTGCGACACTCATGCTCGCCCAAGCCGTGTCAAAGTCGAGTGTATAGGCGTTCGAGTGACCCATGAAGTTGTTGAAGGCCAGATTCTTGACATCGCCGCTGCCACCGTTCGATTTAATCATGTACATCTGGTTGGAATGATGCGTGTAGATGTAGTTATACTCAATGTCGTGGATGTCTAATATCAAAAGGGTCAATTTGAGCTCAAATAGAGGTCATTATGGTTCAACTTATAACTTACCAATACCAGTAGCCAGCGAGCCCATAGCACAGCCACCACTCCAGTTGCAGTGAACTTGTTCAATCAAGAGATGATCAGAGGGGTCTTTGACCGTCACACACTACAGCATTTTGTGTTAGCCATCAACGCATTAAGAAGGCTTCTAGGAAAGAAAAGAAGACAGAGGAGCCCACTGTATGCTCATCGGCTGTGTACATACCTCATCTTTGTTAGACACTTCTATATCATGTATGTGAATGTTCGAGCCCCAAACATCGATGCCATCAAGACCACCTTCGTAACCTCCATGGATCACCATATTGTAGATCTCGCCATTCGTGCAAGTGTCGATGGACAGGTGAAATTGCGGAGCATCGACGAGGATCACGTCATGAACAGAGAAGTCCTGGACGTCGTAGAGGCGCAAAAGACGTGCTCCATATTCACCATTCTTGTGGAATTCATAGCCGTAGCCCTGGATTGCACCCTTGGAAGAAGCGCTATAAAACTCGAAGTCGGTGGAGTGCTCGATCATGAACATGTTGCCAGAGTCCGAGCCCGTTCGGTAGATGGTTCCCTCAAGGTTGATGCTCGTGCCTGTGCCTCCAGACAACTTCACCCAAGTTGCCATGCCGTAGTCTCCCTCGGGAATAAGCACTTCACCGCCTGAGGCGCAGGCTGCCCATGCCTTGGCAATAGCATCACCGTTGTCTGTGGATGCATCTGCAACTCCGCCGTAGTCCAAGATACTGCATTGCTTGGTGGACTGCTTCGCAGAAGTGGTGGTAGTCGGCCCAACTGTTCCTGACAGCTGAGCTGCGGCCGGCAGAACAAAGCTGGCCGTAGCCAGTAGGCCAGAAATAAGCATGCGAGGTGCCATGATGAGAAGATAAAAAGAGTGAATGAAGTGAAAGAACGACTATAGCGAGTGCGGTCGGTGGACGCCCGGTAAGATGGCGGATGAATGCAATGCGCAGAGATAAGAAGAGAGGACGAATTCAGACTGAAAAGGCGAGAGCCAAGATTCACTTATCACTGCAGAACATGGCATGGCATCGATCGTGGGCAATGGCCCAACATTTCAAAGCCGGGTTGTTTCGTTTCACGGTGGAGACGGCGGTTAACAAGGTCCCAGAAACATCTGCAGATAGATTTCGAATTCGGTCAGATCAGGACTAGAGGATCCAGAATCATGCAAGGAACCCTGAGAGAAGAAGCAGGATCATAGACATGAAGTCCTGCAGACCCGCCGACTGCTTACGTCCTCAGGGAGTACTAGCCGCAGGAGTACGGCATTTGCCCCTTTTTGCACATGGGGTCAACTCAAGTCGGAACTACGGCCATCGATGGGCGGTTGCAGATAAATTTGGGTGATGGGCCTAATACTGAACAGTTGCTAGGCCCTTGTTCCGTTTCGCCCCACCAATGGCATGTTGGTGGTGCCTTTCAGTGGAGGGAATGTTAGCGGGTCATTTCCTGTGGGGTTCTCCCGCTATGCACAAATCGAATTCTCCGTTTTCTCCGTGAAACGAAATATTTTATTGCAGGCCGGGCAACGTCACCCCTCCACCGGAACCAAAAGTTGGGGCACAGAGTCTCGTATAACAGACCGCGCGAGGATGTCAACGCTCGCGCCCGAGCAAAAGTCAGGTAGAGCTTTGTGGAGAAGGGGATACGGCAACATTCAGATCGCCTCAACGCTCCCAACCCACCGCAGAGCCCCAAAAATGATCATCCGTTGCCCATTCCTTGAATCTGATCTGTGAGCAAGACCCGAGAACTGCTTGGCCCAAGGGATACTACTCGATGACTTTATGAAAAGTTCTTCTTTCAGCACCGCGTGATTCTCGTCTTGAGAATTACTGAGCGACTTCCATCGAACGCCCGCAGCGTGTTGAGCGGTGCGATGCCCTTGATCACGGGACATTGGAAGTGCTCGTCGGAGTATATGAGCGTTGTCTAGTGCCTCAGGAGATCAGAACGCGTGGAGACCCACTTTTCAAGCTCGGTTAGATCGCTCTAGATGAAGTAAGCTTTCTTTGAAGTTTCCTGTGCCAGACTCTGATCGGCCTATGGCCTTTACTGCCGGGAGGTGGAGGACGGCGTTGTAGTACATCAATCATCGCTTTGGACTTTTGCCGCACTCAGCTCAGGTGTTGAGCACACTCGGCTCCAAGCAGCAAGTAGGTAAGACCTGTTTCCTAGGCCTCTTGAGTTCGTCTCTGAAAGATATGACCAGCTTCAGAAAGCAATCAAGTGCAGAGTCTTCTTGTGCCATCGCCGTGTGTCTATTCGGGAAGCCGACATAGAAGCGAAGTATTTTGAATAAGATTGTCCACATAATTATGAATGACAGAAGGTTCTGTGCAAACGTTTGCTGAATAGTAGGGTATAGCCTACCTAGGTACTAGTAGAAGACCTGCGAAGTGGACGATGGTCGCCGTCAAAGTGAACCCGTCACCAGCGTAACCAAATGTCGACTATCCACCGCAAAACAGTATCGATTTCCCTATCAATGGACATTGCTTTTGAATACCTAGGCAAGCGAAGGAGACTTGCTACATTCAGATTGTGCTACTCGTGTGATCCAATATAACCGCAGCATTCCGCAAATGAGCCCCCTTGATTATAACATTGAAGGCTAGCAACCCCTTCTATCGATTCGACAGAGTCAGTGATGTTCCGGCCGCGGTTCCCTGTCCTTAGAACGTCCCAGATTAAACAAAAAGACGTTCTCGACCGCATCGGTTACGTAGGCGCCAGCCAAATGATGGCAATTCAACGGGGACCCTAGTTTCCTACACCCAATATGCTCTCTCTCTTCAAATCGCCACCTATCTCACAGAGCCGCTTTGCCTCGGGACTCAAACGGCAGTACCAATACCAACAGGCCTGCTGCGATAAATAACGCACCACTCGTATATACAGGCGCTGCAGTCTCCAAATTGGCGAACATGGCGATGATCGGCTGGATATTATCCAAACCCCATATTAGCATCCGAACAAAGAATGTGTCTCTTTAGTAGTGCAACTTACCGCCATGATCCCGAATATACGATTACTGACAGCAGTCAAGGCGTTGCCCGTGCCTCTTTGAGGTGTCGGGAACAATTCCGGTGTGAATCCATAGAGAACGGCATACATAACGTTACTCGCAAAATTCCAAGCACAATTCCAGCCAAGCAGCGCGTTCGAGTTCAGCGCTGTGGTACTCCCATACAGAAAAACGCCTGTAACGACAGTGCTCAAGCTGAGGGCTCTCTTCCGCCCAAATCTCGGCAGCTCCACCAGGAGCCCACCGAGAAGCGCCCCTGGGATGCCTAAGACTGCTATTATCAGGCTATTCCTGTAGGTCAAATAGGTTGAGCCATCACCGAAATCAGCTCCCCGGGTCGCCTGTATGTAAGGAAGAAATGCGTTGTAGAGCGGGTAACCCAGCCCAATGAATGCCCATACAGCCATGATAGTGCCCGTGCTAAGTGCCATCTTGCGCGTTGCGAAGAGCGGTTTTACACGGCTAAGGCTGAGGTTTTCAAGTCGTCGTTTGACCGCAGTTGCGGCGCTGGTCTGAGGCACGTATCCCTCGGGCTCACAGGCCTTGAGATCCTCAAGCGTCAAGGAAGTGGCTTCCGACCGTCCGTTTCGACGGGCCACTTCGTGCACAACTCGGACAGCCTCTTCGTCTAGTCCCTTGCCCATCAGATACTTTGGGCTCTCATAGATCGTAAAGCACAAGAATCTAATGGCGAACATAATCAGTGTGATCCCACCCATAGTAATGACGAAGTACCGCCACCCCATATTTCTGCTTCGGGTACACGTCTCATCCTGTTGACAAGTGAGACTACCGAGTAAAGGCCACGCAATCAACGTGGCCACCACCTGCGCAATGGCCCAGTCTATGCTCAATACCGTGAGAAGATATTGATGGCTAGCAGGCAAGAATTCGAGGAAGATGGCGCTATCTACGGGGAGGTTGCCGCCGACGCCGAAGCTCCAGAAGGCCGCGAAGATCCCGATGGCGGCAAAATTGGGAGAGCTTGCTGCAATCATTCCCCAGACAGCGGCTGTCCCGAGGGTGGCGTTGAAGCCGATCTTGCGTCCGAAGATATCGCATCCGAAGCCCCAGAATATCGCCCCAGCAAGAAGGCCAATGTTTTGCGAGAGGCTGAGGAGGGGAGGTCTCGGGGCGTTGAACTCATTTGAGACTGGGGTTAATATGAGTGATGTCACGATGGGCCATAAGTTGTCAGAGGCCCAGCCGAAGCCCACGACGATGAAGAGCTGCCTTTTGGGTTGTCAGAGAAGGGGTGACATTTAGTAACAATTGGGAGTTGCAGACCATTGATACCATCCCATGCCGATATCTTGGATCTTGGAGCATGGTCAGTCTTGCAACACAAGCTTGAACACAGGTTTGCGACTTGCTGCTCGGTTCAGAACCCTGGCCTTTGCCTCGTAGACCGGGTCGATTTCTCCCTTTGGGATCGCGGCAGCGTCATCACTGCCAATACCGAAGTCGGTATCTACGCTGTGTTGCCGGTGTGCAGCCTCGTGCCCCTCGTCTGCTTTCTTGTCCATGTTGATACTGCGGATTTCACGTATGGCCGTCAAGGGCGAAACAGAATCAAATATCACAGGATGGGGCTGGGAGTAGAGATTGAAGCGAACTTCGTCCAGAGCTCGGAAGCAGTGGCTTTCGAGTGTTGTGTTGATTTGCCCCCGAAGCTTAGCAGGTGGTGCTGGAGTGGATGGGTGCACGGGTTGCATTAGCGCACATGTAGATGCATTGGAAGGTTTGCTCCTTCGGTCCCTGGGGCTTGGATTAGTGGTATCATTCCATCCATGCTAACTATCACGCCATTGCATTGGCACAGCGTCAGAGCGTCTGTGGCTCACTTCTCCTCCTCTGAAAGGTCACATTTCAAAGCATGTCTCAGTCACAATTACCACTTGCCGCATCCGGCTCTCACCTGGACCATTGCGTTTCCCAAAGAGACCTTTCACTTGCTTCGTAAGATTTAATATGATGCCAATCTTCTCTTGTCGCAACAGAAAAGTTCGCACTGATGGCAAAACGGTGTGATATACACACGTAAGTAATAGAATTAGATCATTCTCAACAAATTACATCGAGGCTCTTATTCTCATCTTATCCGGTTATAAAAGAATTTGTTTTGAAGGAATAGTATTTGTGTGCTTTCTTATTATGATGAAATGGCTCTCATTTAAGTCTAACTCAAACGCCGCCGCTTCTCTTTTTTAGGGATGTCGCTGAGCCTTACCATGCATATCGGTGCCGCATGTGGACGCCGGACGAGCTCCACATCAAGGACCCCGGAGGCTTCAGCGAGCTCGCGCAACTTGCTGAAGCCGTAGTTGGCAGCGTTGAAGTCTGGTGACTGCTTGGTGAGATAAGTGCCGACATTGGCCAAGTTTGCGTGGCCATCGTCATCTGCACAAGCGACCACGGCTCTCGTCAGCGTCCCGAGTGCTTCTGCGTCTAGTTTACCGGTTGCGGGACCAGAGGGCGCGGGCGCTGGAGTTGGTGAGATGCTCGCACCGGCTTGACTGCTCTGAATTGTTGCAACAAAAGGCCGCCGGGCAGCAGCTTCTGTGACACCATCGGCATGGATGGCGGGCGGTACCTCGTCGGGCGACACCGTTTCCAGGGCGTCGAAGTAATAGAACTTGTCGCAGGCACTGACAAAGGGGCGCGGCGTCTTCCTCTCGCCAAAGCCGTAGACGGTGAGCCCCTGTTCACGGATGCGCACGGCGAGGCGGGTGAAGTCGCTATCGCTCGAGACAAGGCAGAAGCCGGAAAAGCGACCTGTGTACAGCAGGTCCATGGCCTCGATAATCATGGCGCCGTCAGTGGCGTTCTTGCCGGTGGTGTAGGCGAATTGCTGGACGGGTTGGATCGAGTGTTCAAGGAGGCACTTCTTCCAGGGGCCCAGGTTTGGTAAGGTCCAGTCCCCGTAGATGCGTCGGACATTCGAAGTACCATGTTTTGCGATCTCGGACAGGACGCCCGTGATCACCTTGGCCGATACGTTGTCGCCGTCGATGAGTAGAGCCAGCGTGTCCGAGCCCATACTTAGCGTGGAATAAGAACGGCAGCAGAAGGATAGCTTCGAAAGACCTGAGTTTTGCGAGTTGGATTGATACCGAAGTTGTGTCGGCCGTTGGGGTTCGTCATTCCGAAACGATAGGTAAATCCAATTGTGGCGGGAATTCAGCTTTGAAAAGGCAGAAGCCCTAACCCTTTTTTGAATGTTGGATTGAGAGAAGTCAAGTATTGAAGAATATGTATGAAACTAGAATAGACAGTAGCATTGTAATGACATGATACTAGAATTGGCCGACGAGATGAATTGGTTTCTCCTATTAGAGATTAATTCAGACGAGGTTATTCTAGTTACCTGATTCATGCCCTATTGTTCGGTCCCTCGTGTGCTGGATGACTTATACAAGTTTTGCATAAATTTATACCGCTCGAAATGTAGTCTCAGAATGAACACTATCACCAAAACTCTTTGGCCCCAGAAGAAAAGACAATGGGAGCATTCTCGAGCCTCCATCGGTTCGAAGGCCGTCACCACGGGGCTGTAAGCTTGTAGGGCCTGTGTTTATGAGTGAAATAACATTTTTGCACAACCTGCCATCTTACTCTTACCTTCAGTAGCTCTAAAGTCTTAATCGTTTTCCAGGGTCACGATGCATGGTTTACGAACAAAGTGTCAAATATGATCAGCTTCTGCGCTCTAAAGTTCTTCCTGAAATCATGTTACATCCCTCCTGCTCCCCCTGAGCGTAATCGTTCTCTATCGTACCTAACGCACTCCATGATACAGCAATTTGCAGGCCCCAGAATCTGTCTCATGAGACCATTGAGGAGAAATAACTAGCTCGGAGCACCACTTCCATGTCTGCTCCTTGTCTTTCTAATCGTGTCATTCAGAAAACCGCGTATTGTGCAGGATCCCCACGGAACAAGCCGTCTACGAACACCGCTCGAGAAAATATTTCTACCTCTTTTTCTCCAGTGGTGAAAAGTGAGTAATTGAATATAGCACTGCAGACCAATAAATACCCGAAAACAACACTGCAGTGGTGAATGGGGCTCACAACCGACGGGGATCATGTGGGAGATGCACTAAGTGCATCATTTGCCCCTCTTTCCTAACCACGTTAATTATTTGGGCAGGTCAGCATCGAGACACATAAGAACCAATTTCATTTAGCGGCCCCGCGCAGGATCAGCACAGCCACCGTTACTGATAAGAAAGAAATAACTGCTCGCGTGACGAAATCCTTTTTACGGCAGGCTAAAGCTTTGCTGCGTATAGTTGATAGTCTTGAAGGCGCTGTGTGCTTAAACGCATCGGATGAACAGCGAAAGGGTCTCAAGAGTCAACGTGCATGTCTCCCCAGAGATAGGCTTCCTCTCCAAGGGCAAGCAGAACAGCTCATTCATATAAGAAGGCCCGCCTGCTCACTGTCTCACCCACTTCATGCCACATCTGCGTTTATGATAGACCTCCCGCCCTCGGCAACACCAAAATTACTTTCAGTATTTGCCACGGCTTCTGTGTCCCAACGTCACGATCATGGTCCAGGACGGTTACCACGGACTACAGTGGCAAAGAAGGAATTATCCAATCTTGAGCTTGGAGGACGCAAACAAGGTCTTGCGCAGAAGCGAGCTCTCTCAGGACCCAGGAGTGGACGGTCCTGTCCGCATCACTCGCTTCGACAGTCTGAGAGTAGAAGCGACGCAGCCATGCCAGGACAATTTTACCTATGAGACCGCTGACGTAGGCGCGGGTGATCCTTGGCATTTCTGGGGAGTATTTGATGGTCACGCGTGAGTCTGCCGGATGGATCAGAGGAAGATCGCTATTTGTTGACATATTTAGGGGTTGGCAAACGTCGACAGTGCTCAGCCAGTCACTGGTGTCCTATGTAGCACGAGAGTTGAAGCAGGTGGACAAGACCGACCCAGAAAGCATCGATCAAGCCATCAAGATCGCCTTCATCAAGCTTGATGACGAGATCGTCAAGGGTGCTCTGGAGTCTGTAAAAAGCGCTGGGAGCCGGCCGCGTGCAGAGACTATCGCCGACATCGCTCCAGCTAATTCGGGGTCGATGGCTGTCCTCAGCGTCTTTGACCCGGCGACGTCCACCCTTCGCGTTGCGTCAGTTGGTGACTCTCAAGCTATCCTAGGCCAACACGCCGCAGGCACGGGCGACGCCCCCTCTCAGACATGGACGGCAGTACCGCTCTCCGTTCCCCAGACACCCGACCGGCCGGACGAGCTAGAACGACTCCATGCTCAACATCCCGGGGAGCCGGACTCTGACCTCTTCACTCCGGATGGAAAACGCCTTCTCGGTCTTCCGGTGACCAGGGCATTTGGCGATCTTAGGTGGAAATGGCCTGACGAGGCCATCGCGGATGCTCGCAAGAAGTTCTATGCATTTCCCGCGCGCCCGAACGCAAAAACACCTCCTTACCTGACCGCAGAGCCTGAGATCAGTACCACTGTCGTCAAGAAAGGTGACTTTGCCGTCCTTGCAACAGGTGAGTGAGCTCTACATAAGAATTTCAACCTGACTAGACCTGTTGTTTCCCCCTTAGAGACACTGTTCAAAGCAAGTCGGACAGTTCGGAACAAGCATCTATATACTGGGATGCAGAGCTTGACTCACTTTCTGGGCATAGCATATCTCAGCCGTCCTAAATTAACCCCATTTGACTATCTTCTCCTATTGCACACATATACACAGATTACTGACCGACAAGTTGCAGATGGTCTCTGGGATACCCTGACGCCAGACAATGTAGTAGAATGCCTAAGGCTATGGCTCCAGGAAGGCAGACTCAAAGGCCCCGGCACCCTCAAGGAAGCTCAACAGCCCGAGAGCGCCGACTCTGCTCCCGTATTCTCCGGGGACGAAGAGCCCGAATCGCGCGTGGGCTACCCGTGGGACTGGAAGGGCCGGCCTGAGGACTTTGTCGTCGAGGACGACAACGCCGCCACCCACCTCGCTAGGAACGCCCTTGGCGGGAAGAGGAGGGAGCAGTTCTGTACCATCCTGGGTGTGCCGGAGCCGCACACGGACGATGCCCGCGACGACATCACGGTCCAGGTCCTCTTCTTCGGGGATATTGGGACTGACTGAAGGGAGGCCGTGTTGAGAGACTATGAGTTCAGATGTCTTCCCTTTTTGTTCAGTAACAGCAAGATGGTGGTTCCGCTCGCGTGATATTCCGCAAATTTCTTTCTCATTATCGTTTATGTTTCTTCGCTTCTAGTTTGGGCTCACTACTCCGGCGCTTTCTTCTTCTCCATCAGCCTAGGAGCCGGTGCTTGCCTTGCACAACAAGGGGGCTATCGTGTCCCAGAATACATGCTGAAAATGGCGACACGTTACCAAACCAGGCAGGGAAAACTTGCTCGTAGTCATTGAATTTCGCCAGAGCATTAGTAGCGTCCTTGAGATGCCGCGTCTGCGGATTGACTTCGGGGTAACAGCTGCCTCGCCATCTTTGATCTGGTCATATCAGTCCAGTAGAGGATGAAGGGGCTGCCAGCAAACATAAACACCCTAAGCAAATGGCACGGCATGGGTGTATGGCGATCATTATTTCGTATTATTAACGATGTTAAGCCTCCTATGTCCGGGTCGAGTCGGCAATGCACAGTCCGTCATCTAGAAGATATCAACTTCTGAGCCTCGACCGTGTTCTCCACCAAAGCCTCAATAACCCCCTAAGCTTAATGCCAAGTAGTGGGACCAAAGAATGTCCCATCGTCAGGCAGAGTCTTTGTCACTGCAGTGCCTAAAGCATCGAGGTTGTTCTCCCACACAGTGTTGCCCCACCAATCTGGGAAGTTCGCGCCGCTGAGTCCCAAGGCAAGCGCAGAGATGACGATGCACAGCGCGGTACCAATGTCGAGAGCACCGGATAGGACATAGGTATAACGACCTGTTGTAAAAAACTTTGGTCAGCATATGATTCCGCCAAAAATACTGTGAGGGTAGAGGACTTACTCCACCAGCCGAAATAAGCTCTCCGGATGAAATAGTTGAAGATGAGTCCAACAATGACCCACTGCCCGAGGTACCAGCACGTCGCAGGCGGGATCATACCCGCAGCACCAAAGATGGCGGGGAAGAAAATGTATCGGAGGATACTTCTAGGGAAGCGCCTGGCAACGAAAAACTGGATTGCGGGCAAAGCTGCTCCGATTAACCAGAAGTAATTGGTCCAAGCTATTTCCAATGCGTTAGTTATTTGCTACGGAGCAGAAAGACGGATGGACGACCATTTGGGGGGGGGGGGGTGTTGACACGTACAGTACAGAGCGCCTCCGCTGAATATCCTCTTAGGGCCGACGACACCCCAGATCACTGAAGCGTTGTAGAACGTCTTGGCGTTGGGACACGTCAAACCTTGAGTCTGGGTGGAGGTACAGACGCCTTCAATGTTGCCACGGAGGAAGTTGTAAGTGGCGATTTGGACCAAGCTAAGCCAAGTCACAGCAAAGAATTGGGCTGCAAACATTGATCGAGGCCTATGGAATCTCAAGGTCAGTACGAAGTAACCAGGAACAAATCTTGCAAGAAAGAAACGCGAAGCAGAATGCTATCTGCGTGTAAGACTGTCGTGAAAGCTGCTTACGGAATCTTCATATAATGTCCTATTTTGAGGTCGCTGACGTAGGTAAGTCCATTGTAGGCCATCATGTAACCCCTACAACATCCAGAGTTAGCTATGAATCACTGAAAAGCAGGTTTTGAAAGGCATCGGATGGAAGAGAGTCAGCATATATCCCTGGTGTATCTCAATACTTGAGCCCGACAGAAAGATTCGGGGCAAGTAGAGAAACAGACCAGGGGTATAGCAGATGTCCCTCCCTGGATGCATTGAAAAGGCATGGGAAGCTACTAACCATGACTTGAAAAGCATCATGGCAACTGGTTTTCCAGGCTGCATGTAACCAATGATGAGTTCGGTGATGACGTTCAGCCCGGTCTGTTGGTTGGTCACAGCTTGGATGACGCCCACTGGAAGGATGAGAACCACGCCAATCAGCACACAAATGATGTACGCCCACCATGTGAGATGAGTCTCCCAGTGCTGCGATGCAATCATGCCGAACGCGAAAGAGATAAGGAAGACGGTCGCAAACCACCACTCAGGTGCCTCGCGGTACTTCCGCATCATCTTCAAGTGGACATCGGCTTCTTCGTAGGTGGCGGTTCGGGCACGATTCCAGACGTCTTTGCCATAGAAGAGGGCGACGTGAACGACAGTCGAGGCAAGGGCGGCAAAGGACATGCCGTACGTCAGCGAGAACGCAGGACCAAGCATCAAGGGTGAGTACGCTTCGTATTTTGTCTGGTTGAAGGTGAAGTCCGGGTTGAGGATCCGGCTCGTGTTGTACGGGTTTCCGAAGTGGTCGAAGTTTCCGTTTGCGCTGATGGGCAAGTACTTGTAAAAGTCGGGGCCGCCGTAGGCAAGCCCAATCGAGCCCAACATCATCAGGATAATACCCATTCCGACGTTGAAGATGGCGAAAGCGGGAGTCTGCAATGGCGAGAGGAGGAAACCGGAAATGGTAGCCCAGTCAAACGAGATCGGAATCAGGCCAACACCAGTCTGGCCACCTAGGAGCTGGTTCACCAAGACGTTGTCCGGTGCTATCCATGTCGCAAATGTGAACACTTGAAGGAATGTAGCCATGACCTGCGGGATCCACTCGTAGAAGAAGGTTGCGGCAGCAACAACCAAGAAGAACTTGTAGCGACCAATCTTCCAGCCGTTTGCGAGGGAGGGGTCGGCCGGGCTGTGGTCATGAAGGGTATTCATGACAGTGGTGAAAATCAGGGTGGCAGGCCAGACCATGGCAGCGGGCCAGACCAAAAACCTCCTCATGATACCGGCGAGACCGAAACCCATAGCCTGAGTGGACAGAATGAGCAGAATCTGGAAGCCCCAGCCAAAGTGCTGCTTGTAGAAGATCTCCTGGGCCAGCAAAATGTCGAGGGCATAAGAGAGCGCAGAGCCAGCAGCCGTCATGATAACGATGATGGTGTGCTCCTTCATATTGAAGGGAGTCACCGGGTTGAACTCCAAGTGATGGCCAAAAAGGCGGAACTTCCAGTTGGGCATGGACGCATGCCAGCCCTTGCCCATGGGATAGGCGATCAGCTGCACGACGACTGGGGAGATGGTGACAGGAGAACGACGCAGTGCCAGCAAGACATTGCAGGCTGTGACAACAGTGCAAGTGACGAAACCGATACACCAGGCACGAATGGTGTTGACGGGCATCTCGAGGTCATCAGTAGGCTTCACCGACGCCCTGACTTCGGCGTACGGCGAATCCTCTTCAAGCAGCGAAGCCTCGACTGCTGCCTCCTTCTCCAAGTCTCCAGTGCGCAGTACCTGTTGGTGGACATCGTGTTAGATTGGAATGCTCCCCACCTAGACCTCCTCTCCGTGTTACACTCTCATGTGAGGGGCACGACGGGTTTTGGTAGTACACACCTGGTCAGCAGCGTCCAGCTTTTGAACCTCCATAAAAGGATCCCACTGATGAAGCTTCTTAAACTTCTTCAAGTCGGCCTCGGGGTTGATTTCGATGGGCTCGTCTGGAGAGGCATCCTGTCCTGTGGCCCGACCCTCGGACACAGGCATGTCCGAGGCCTTTCCACGGAAGGAGAAACGCATGGTTGGCAAAGCTTTCGCGTGCTCTTTGCTATGTGATTTGTCTTTGCGCCTTGTTGGTGTGCTGTTGAGTACGCTTATTAAAGGTTGGCTGGCTAGGCACAACCGTGCGGGAGGGACGTAGGTAGGAGGTCGTCGGGACGGAGGGCCTACGAACGGGAGGAAGGTGGGTGATGGGATGATATTTCTAGTCCCTGAGCGGCCCCGATGCAACGTGAAAGCTGCTCGCACACGGAGGTCAGGTCGCCTACACTACATCTCCTTGCGGACGAGCGGGCAGGGGAAGCAGCAGAAGCAGGGGAGCAGGAGACGCGCAGATCCACCAGGTCAAAGACCCTGGCCCTGGAGCCGTCTATCTTAGTGTAGTGTCCATATGCTTGACTGAGCTTAATTAAATGGAACGGTATCATTGGCGAATCCCCACGGGGGGCCGGGCTCGCTGTACCCAGGTAGACCTGGCGCATGCTGCACCGAGCTGAAGTCTGCTCGCTGTTAGAGAGAAAAATAAAGTGGTCTCGCCACTCAACCTGAACCTCAACCTGCCTGATAAGGACCTAGTTAACCAATTAGCCTCCACATTTGCTTTTCCCCCGCCCAACGAGACGAGCCCATTAAGCCCATCTCCGCGATCCTCTCCCATGCCAGTGTCTAGGGCTTTCCTGTCTGGGAAGGTCTGAGAAAAGGAGTTTGACTGGCGGGCAGTCGGAGCGATGAAATGTGCCTTGTAATGGCACAACGGCTATTACACAGCAAGAAATGAAGGCTCATGCCGTTTGCATCCATTAGTCTCAGGGCGGCCTCTGCCCCCTGCCTCGGCTGCAACCTTGCAAATCCTCTGGTGGGCCCTCTCGGACGGAAACTCTGAATCGAATCGATGAGCAGAGCCCCCACCGGTGAAGCGTGTATACACACTCTCAGAGATACGCATTGTACTCCTAAGCTGGGTACAGACTTCATCGCAATCTCCGCTGGGCGACTTGATAGCAACCTTTCGGGCTCGAAACCTTGCGAGTATTTATAACTCCCGACTTGCTGCTGCTGTCACCGTTGCATGCTGTAAGCACCCGCCCACGTCTGTAGGGATCGAGGCCTGACGGCAGCCGAGGGTGTCCTGGCGACCGGGCGGCAGGGTCCGACAGCCAGCGCTGCCGACAACTCCAACGATCCCGAGGTCCAGATTCCCCAAGTTTGCTAGTCCGGGCACAGACGAGATAGCCTATCATCCTTTTTAGTAAACGATCTTGGTCACTAACACAGTTCGGATACTCGGCTTAGATACACTGCCCGTACGACGAAAGTCATAGAGTCATTCAGTGCTGTCCGGCCCGATGATTGGCAAAACAGTTATCATTCAATCTTGCTTGAAGAACGTTCCCAATGATCTTCGAATGACCTCCTTTTCTGGTCGGACCAGCCAGTGTGCCATTGTGCAAGTGTGTAGGGTGGCATCGATTGTCTTGGCCAGGCGGCCAATGTGAGGGTCGCATCGCCTTTCTGGGGAGCCAAGTCGTGCCAAGTGCAGCCATCCGCCTCCCCGTCCCGCCCAGCGCGGTCATTTGCACATCAAGCACTTGCATAGGGCCACAGACAAGCTTCAGCCATGGTCTTGTCGGCCTTGTCCATGACCAGACAATTTGAGCCGCAGGAGATTATCCCACAGAAGACAGTCCCACCCAAGTAGGCAGCTCCTCTTGACTTGTTGGAGTTCGACATGCATTCCGCCGATCACAAAAGCCAGGCGGAAGGAATCCTATCGCCATCCACAGTGATACGAATAAGGACTGGAGGGAACACGAGCTCGATCGGCGCTACTGGCGAAATAGCTCTTGTCGCGCTTGTCAACACAGGCATTCCTGGTGTTTCAGCTGTCCTGAGCCCTTATTCGACCTGCACATAGACGACCATTCTTTGGTTCGGATGAGCTGGGTGAACATGTGGCCATTCTGACCCGGCGCGATGGTAGCTCATTTTTTGGTGGTTCCTGAACACCGAACGGAGATTCAAGCTCGGGGCCAATGACTCGAGGTCCAACAGCCGTGTCCTGCGCGCCCTTTATCCATGGATAGCCGCGCTCCATATTCGCGCCGGCGACCCCGACCTTCCTATTAGAGCCTTGGAGAGGTAGACTTTCGACGACGCTCTCGTGAGTCCTTGCCACCTGTCAATCCGACAACCGACACAGACGGGCTTGTAAAACCAACCAGGACATCCTGGGGAGCCACGCCCGACTAGCTGCACTCGCAGTAGATCTCACATGCCCACTTGCATACATGGGAGCATGAGGAGGCAGGTTGACGGATTGGCTGGCTGTCTGCTCGTGCCGACTTGAGGCGAAGGAAAAGCCACTTACGACTGGATTGGGTAGATGCGGGCACTCTTGACGCGAATGGGGCCTTTTACCGCCGCCCCATTCAGCCGTGTCTCGTTTCGGTCTCCGTGTACCCAACGTCACTAAAGGAATATCCCGTTAGAACACAGACACAGTCAGTAGTGACAATGAGTGAGAGCCATCCATGATTCGGTTTACATTTGTTGGACGTCTGTTGCTGACCTCACGTGACGTTTGAAGCGGAAGGATCACTCGAAGGATCACGAGGTTCGTGGGGGGATTTAAGCTTGATCTGGCCAACTGCAGCAAACAGGCGGGGAATAACTGGCTACTGCACGCAAGCGCTCGAAGGATCCCGAGGTCCTTCTGTTAGGGTTCTTCCAAGATTCTAGTCAGAAGATGACAGGGAGGCCATTGGATTTCCTTTACGTGTTTCGGTCTCCCGCCTATCTCCCGCCTGCCCAAATAAGCCTCGCTAGACAAGCTAGAAACGAGAGAGAAGGCGCTCTAGCAGTTCTAGAAGCAAACAGCACCAGCGGCAGCGAAAACATGCATGTGCAGAAGCGGGCTAGCCAGATCCACCCCATCCATCGCGCGGGCCCAAGCGCTCCTTCCAACGGAAGAGTTGTTTCTCGCAGTCGGTGAGCTGCAACAACGGATGTCGGATACGGAGCTCAGACGGGTCAACCCGGCCGAGGATACGGAGGCGGGAGGACCAGAGACAGGCTCCCAGAACTGGGTAGCTCTTGCGTCCCCAAGAAGTATTGAGTGGCCCACTGACGGGAGAAAAGCTCCTGGCAGCTTTGGCAAGGCCACCGCTCTGACCAGGGCCAGCAGACTGGGTGGCTGGACATTCGGGTCCAGCTCGCCCGAGAAACTCCTATCTGGCATACTACTAGCGCTGTAGCGGGACTCTGCCCTCGCGCCTGGCATATTTGGGCTTGGGCTTCGCCTTGGATGCGTTCTGGGTTTTCTTTCCTGGCAACTTTGACATGGGATAGCCTGAGGTCGTGAAGGTAATTCCTTCGACCGACCTTGCCTTGTGGGCACATAGGTAGGCTGTCTTGTGTTAGTGCTGGCCCAGGTCCCGATCACTTCTGGAGTCTGCAGTTACAGACCATCACACGATGGCGAAAGAAGGATACTCTACTGGCTGACGGTTTTTGAGAACGCAATGCCCAGTGGAGGACAGCAGTGCGGTCTTGGAGGATGGTGCAAATGCCGTGAACTTCTCCAGTCAGCGCCAGTTTATGCAGACCTTGCACAATGGCAGAAGAGGAGCTCTTCAAGTTCGGGTTGCAGGACAACCGTCGCTTAGACGCAAGAGTTGGTCAAGGACTGCGTCTGAGTAGTATAATCAGGACGATGCAAGACACTGCGAGAGAGCAGGAGCAGCATAGTCAGGACGATATAAGACACTGCAGGCGAACGCGTGCAGTGTGATCAAGACGGTGTCTTGCACTGCAACCGGGGACAACCCTAAAGGGAGTTCCAGGCTCAGACTGAAGTAGTACTTGCAGTCACAGAGGCTTGAGAAGAGTGTGGGGTGCGCAGTATGCGATGGTGGACAAATGATCTGCAGTGATTCGGAACAAATATGAGACTGCCGTTGAGGTCCCTTGGTGAGAAGAGAAGACGAGGAAGAAAGAACAGAAGGGAGGAAAGAGGCGGAGGAGACCAGGACAACAAACAGATTGGGCCACCCTCGACGCAGGCGGAAGGCACGACGGTTGTGGGAAGGCACGAACGTCTCTCACCTGCCCACCGGACCATTTCATCCGGACCTGTCCGCGACGAACGGATTGAAGACAGGTGCTGCAGATTATTTGGCGCTGAGTGCCCCTCAATCTGTGCAGAAGTGTAGGTGAGCTCGTATTTGACATCCTCAGGAAGGGGACATCTGGCTAATCTGGCAGCAGCTGTTGGATGGGGACTGCTCGCTTCAGGAAGGAGATCGGACTGCTAAAGGAACAGCAATCATCCGTCTTTTGAGAAGAGGAAACGAGAGGTGTGAGCCGTTAGTATGATCACTGCATGATATCTCTTGAAGATGGGATAGAGTGCTCATGCGGTCGAACACTTCGTAGCGGCTGACATTGCCACGTGCGGAACTGCTGTACGATGCAGGGCTGAAGTATGGTCTCAGACGTCTATGCAGTAGAACACCACCACTCCACGTGGGAGCCAAGGCAAGGGATGCGTCTGCCTACTTGAGCAATTCGAATGCTCCAACAAGTCGATCCGAGCTGTCCTGAGCTCGAGCTCTGTGGTCGCTGGCCAACCCGATACCGTAGCTGTCTCCCGCTGCCAACAGAGTCGGGTGGGTTACAACCCTAGATCTTGGAGAACTCAACGCGAATCTGAGTTCCACATCTCGAGAATTGTATGGTCTCCAGGACATCCTTGCGCTGTGGGAGATGGTCCATTCAGACACCTACGGACGTATACGAACTTGTTTCGGTTTACAACTCTCCTGATTACAGGACTGACAGACTGCAAGAGCACGATGAAACATTGTGGAGGTGTTGGGCCGGGGTTCACTGTCGTGTAAGCTGCAGGGCTGGCAGGCTGGTAGTGAGGGCAGTGAATTCAAGGCTTGAGCCTAACACCTTTGAATGCAGGGCGTTCGGCCGTTATGTGATCACGGGAGATCCACATTTACAGCAAAGGTTATCGTGTTTCGTTTCGCGGAGGTGGTCGGCCCGACAGAGACTCCCCCTGGGAAGAAACACACACCGAGCTTATTTGCCCTCTACCTTGCTGCCATATTACCTTGACACTCAGGGGCACATTCAATATCATCGTGATGCTGAGCAAGGTCTCATTTCCTTCCAAGTCTAATAGTCTAGGTATCAACGATGACGAGCGGTCTGAGGCTTTACTGCGACTGTTCTGGGGGGGGATCTGCTCTGTTGACACAATGGTGACCATGATGATCTTCAATCCTTCCAACCCTCCTGCAGACATGTTGTGGCCCACAGTAGCTCAACATCCGGGACCCGGACACCCCTGTGCAGATCAGCAAGGCGAGGAAGCCGATGATTTGTCGATGAATTCATTCCAAGATTGTCGGACTTTGTATCACGTAGGGGAGATGATGGTGTGGTGGTGTGCCCTTCGTATGATTACGCAGGAACAGGCCGAGACAAGTGACGGGCAGGATCTGAGCAAGCTCGACATGTGCCCCCTCGACCCTCGACAGCACCGTGACATGCTAAGTCGGAAGCGTCTTGATCTCGATCTGGGCCAGCGAAAGTAGCTTCCACGGCGACTCTAGAAGGATGATTGACCTCCAAAGGCGGCCTGAGCTTTGTCCCTGGCGACAGGCGATATGACGACGATTGACGTCGTTATGTGTTGACATCGTCCGGCCCAGAGACCTAGTTACATGTCGGACTGTGGCCCAAGCCTCCAGCGGCCTGGGTGCGTGACCTCTCAGATGCCTGGGTGTCAGCTTATCAGTTCTCAGCAGCCGCGTGGACGTTGCAAGCTGTCTTGGCTCCCCGGGCAGTTCGACTTGAATCTCCAGATTAGCTAGCAGTGGCTAGCTAGCTAGATGAACGTGTACGAACGGTGCCCTTGGATGTGTTCGTGCTTCTGTCCGGCCTTGCACGGGCACGGCACGTTGCTCCGGAAAGGGCCTTCCTCTGCCTTGGCTCCCCCCAGGTCCCCATATTAATTATTCAAGACGCCCAGGAATGCCGACGTCACAACCTGGATAGGGGGAGGGGCAATGTGTCTTTGATTGATTCCCATGTCGCTGGACTACTCTACACAGTAATAAACATGGTGGATCTCAGACCGGGCAGAGCACGTCTTCTGTCCTGCCCTGCTCCAAATAAAGCAGCGCGCCCATCCCCGTGTTGAGATGCAATCATTCCACTCTCACGAGAAAAAAAAGAATAAAATAAAGCACAACACTCGGACACACGGGCGACCCCAGCTCCCGCCAGCACCACCCAGTCGCCAGCGAATGCACATGCACCTGCATCCGCACCAGCTCCTGCACAGACATATCTATTTATTAGTGCCATTGTTGCCCGTCCTGCCAGTCCTGGCTCCTGCAGACTGAAAGCTGTCAATCAAATTAGCGCTCTCTATCGCGGCCGCTCCCGACTTGCTTTGAAATTGCCCGTGCACCTGCCAACTACGCGCCCAGCAGTGCAGTCAGTCAGCCACAGTCCGGTTGTGGTTGCATTGCATTTCATTGCCTCCAAGGTCTCCTCATCCACAGTCAAAATCACGACACTTACGGTCTTGGCCGCAGCCGACATCGTGCAATTGTTCTCTTTTTGGCCTACTCTTTGTAAGTCAGAATCCCAATTCTTCTAGTCAGGTCAAGTCAACTCGCTCAGCTTGCTCTGATCGCTACCGACGTCCTTTCCCTGTCCTGTCTCTGCTTCCAGTTCTCACAATTGCAAGCTGACCCGACAAAAGCTCTCCTAGCGCCATCGCCATCGCTGTCGACTGTAGCTTCGAGCACAGTGGGAGCCCCGTCCAAAAATACTACGCGAGTCAAGTCTTAGGTGGCCGTCCGTCTGCCGTAGCGTCCACACTCCATCTCGCAACAGTTACAGTTGTAATTCCACCACCTGTCGATCTCGTTCCTGCCTGTGAGCTGGCGCCAGCGCTTACTGGACTGCTGCACGCCTTGCCTCACAGAACAAGCACTTTTTCACTGCTCCAAGAGAGACACGAGCTTTCCAGACGGCATTGGATCGTGCAGTCGACCTAGATCGTGCCCCTCAATCAAGGCATCCACCCCATACTCTACACCGCTTGCAGGGGAGCTCCAGCTCGCCCCACGTTGCGTTTGGGAGAACCCGTCCTGGTGCAGGAAAGGTGGTTGAGCTACTGTGATTTGCCCACAGGGTTTGTTGCATCACCGATTGTCAGTGCTCACAGGAAGCAGACGACTCTCAAACGTCTTTCATTCAGCGTTGGCTGCTGGTTGCCGAGAGACAATACCGGACCCTGCCAGGAGAGAGCTCACATCTCAGCTGTTGTCTGCGTGTAAGGCTCTCGAGAAAAGTTATCCAACCATCCGTATCTCTCCGTCAGGATCCCGCATTGAGGATCCCACACTCTGGGTGTGGAGCCATTGGGTCTCCTCTCCGCAAGGTCAAGAATTCCAAGTCCAGACCGATCCACTAGCCTGGGGCCGCCAGCGGCAGATTACGGCCTACGCCTAGTCTTGTTCTGGAAATTACACCTACATTGAACCAGTTGGATCTCCTTGTCCCATCCCAAAAGCACTTGCACCATTCCGCAGTTGCTCCTTTGATAAAAGACTACGGTCATTCCCTTCATTCTTGTTCGAATTACTTTTTCTTCCAACGCCTCCCCCTCTCTGGTGTTTGCTCTATCCCTCAACCCTGCTACATCTCGTCGCCCCACTGTTTCCCAAGCAGAAGTCCCATCATATTCCATACCTGGCACACTATTGCTCGTGCTGAACGAGGCATCACGAAGAAGACGTCTCTCAAATCACTCCAAAAGATCACCGGCCAAGGTCGAGGAATAGCACCGGTCAGCCCCGATGTCAACGCCAAAAGCCCATCACAGATCATATACGATCAACCTCCGAGCATTGACGCCGGCTGCCGCACAAAGCAATCTGCTCAAATCGCATCACTCGAGCCAACAAGCTCACCTGAAATCCCACAAACCTTCGAAATCAACACCCAACGCCATCATGTCTCAAATCACCGAGTCCTGTCTCAAAATGTCGGCCGACAGCCTACCTCAACACAACCGCGAGCTTACCCTGCGGAGGTACATGTTACTCCAGGATGAACATGAATCGATCCGTCAACATCTTGATCAGATCTCTACCACATCATCTTCCTCGGCAAACACCAAAACGACAACGTCACCCACGCTCGGCCCCACGCGTCCGTCCGGCAACGGAGCATTCTCAGGCCACAGACGGACTGAATCAGCCGCTAGGAGGGCGAGCATGCCGCAGTATGACATGCCGCGACCACGCTTCCACCGAAGGGCCGGAGCACGCGCAGTTTCCGCTGAGGCGGAGACGTCCTTTGACCAGGAAACATTGGCTCAGATGGCGACTGAGGAAGCCAAGCTGGTCTCGGTCAACGAGGGTATCAAGCGGGCCCTGACCGAGCTGCTCAACTGCGAGACCGTGCGGTCTGACCAGGCGTTCCGAAGCTTCTGCATGACCAGACTGATGGAGACAGAGCAGGAGCTTCGGTGTGGCCGCAGGAGGAGGAGCTGCCCTACCGACTGAGGGCGACCAGCACACTAGGCTTTGACCATGGAGTTCTGCGGGTACCACTTTATTGCACGGTATCATGGTTAATCTCATTTACGCATGGCGTTCTTGGCTGGGAAATGGACTCTACATGGGCATTTGGAATCGCGAGACATATCGCTGCTGATACCCCCCCTCCTTAGCATTGAAGCAGGAAAAGCGATCATGCACTGTCGGTTTGTTTTATTTTTAAAAGGAGCATTGTAAGGCTAGAGCCGAAACGAAGGCGTGAGGCGCTCCTTGAAAGGACTGAAATAGAAGCAGTCTAGTACTTAGCATTCATTGCGCGGGTAGATAGACAGACGTATCTTATCCTTGCTAATATCGCTCACGTTTCCTCGCGAAATGAACCGAAGTCCGGCTTGTGAATATATGGAAACCAAACGTTATGAATATCCAAATGAGAACCATTGCACATCTAAATCGACATATTGATTGTGCACCAATTTTAGTAGCGAGAGCGGCTTCCATTTTGTTTCGAAGCGCGTTCCGATCTACACGGGCGCCAAGCTAAAATCAATTGCCCCTCGGCACTGACCGTGTGGACTGCCTAGCACGCCTAGGTAGCTTCTGGCAAGCCTTACCACCTGGGCAGGCAGCTTCAACCACCTCGTCACCCTCTACTTTCCACGAGCGCAATTCCCACCACGAGCCTGTTCGGCAAACCCGATCACGAAGTGTTCCTGACAAATTTTCTTTTCAACCAACGCCCCAAGCAGGCATGTCCGTCCTCCTCGAGACGAGCGCCGGCGACATTGTGATCGACCTTCTCGTCGACTACGCGCCAAAGCTCTGCGAAAACTTCCTGAAGCTGTGCAAGGTCAAATACTACAACTTTGCGCCCATCCACTCTATCCAAAAGAACTTTTCCTTTCAGACCGGCGACCCCCTTGGGCCGCTCTCGACACAATCAGATGGCGGCTCGTCCATTTGGGGACTTGTGTCCTCCGACCCGGCTGAACGAACCTTTCCCGCCCTTTTCCATCCCAAGTTGAAACACCTCGAGCGCGGAACCGTCAGCATGGCCACGGCGCCGAACGCGGCCGACGGCGGGGAAACCAGGCTGGCAGGAAGCCAATTCATCGTGACATTGGGCGACGACACGGACTACCTGGATGGTAAGGCCGCAATATTTGGAAAAGTCGTGGAGGGCTTCGACGTGCTTGAAAAGATCAATGAGGCTATCATCGATGAAAAGGGCCACCCGCTGGTTGATATCCGCATCAAACATACCGTCGTCCTCGATGATCCCTACCCAGATCCCGCTGGCCTGCGCGAGCCCAGCAGCTCGCCCGTACCCAGCAAGGCTCAACTGGCCACGGTGCGGATTGCTGAAGGCGAGGCCGATAAGCTTGGAGATGAGGACAACGAGGAAGCCGCAGCAGAGGCAGAGAAAGCCCGCCGTGAGAGGGAAGCACGCGCCCAGGCGCTCACGCTCGAGATGATGGGCGACCTGCCCTTCGCCGAGGTCAAGCCGCCTGAGAACGTCCTCTTTGTCTGCAAGCTGAACCCGGTCACGGTAGACTCGGACCTGGAGCTCATCTTCAGCCGATTCGGCAAGATACTCTCCTGCGAGGTTATCCGCGACCGCAAGACCGGGGACAGCCTTCAGTATGCCTTCATCGAATTCGAGGACAAGGGCGCCTGCGAGACCGCGTACTTCAAGATGCAGGGCGTGCTGATTGACGACCGGAGGATCCACGTCGACTTCTCGCAGAGCGTAAGCCGGCTGAGCGCGACGTGGCGCGACGAGACCAACCAGAAGAGGCGCAAAAACGCCTCCGGCGGAAACAGGGGCGGGTGGGGCGGTGTCAAGGAGCTCGAGAAGTGGAAGAAGTACCGTGACGAGGACGACGCGCCTGAGCGGGGCGACCGCTACCAGATGCTAGTGGACGCCGCAGACGAGGGCCGGGGAGGGGCGGCGGCAGAGCATGGCCAGACACGGACAGAGGGTTCTGGCCGCGACCGCCGCGATAGCCGTTCCCCTCCACCCCCGCGCCGAGAGCAGGACAGGAGCCACCGAAAATACGACCGGAGCTCGAGCCCGCGGGGGGAGCGCCGCCAGGACTCGAGGAGGCATCGAGATCGTGATGGTGATCGGAGGGACCGCCATGAGCGAGATCGAGATCGAGGCAGGGCTTATGATGATTACAGGCGGAGGTGAAGATCCGGGACCCGTTCGGAAGAGAATTATCAGTGATACCCATTCGTCTGCCAATTCAGCATGGCCCGACAGCAAATTCTTGAACAATATACAATTTATTCAAACAGCACGCACGCAGCTCACCCTCACGAATTGTTGGAGCCACGCCTCCGGGATCGTGAATTGTTTAGAGCATCGCACTCGTGTGGAATAGCAAGGTACACGGGCCTAACTCGTGAGTTCAGCCTTTTCCCCCTTTTTCCCCCTTTCTTTGACCCAGTTTGAAGCTGCTGTCTTTCCCATTGTCCTGGTCAGGCATGCAATCCTCGATACATCTCGAGCAGATGCATCAGTCTGGTACTTGTGCGTGCCAGCCGCATGGCCACTTACCTCGTGGATCAGAGACCGACAAAACGCGGAAGTGAAACACGCGTGGACTCGGTCGTATGGCGTCGAGAGAGGTTTTACTGGGGCTCCCAACCCACACAATACTTGGCAAGCGGTCTGAGATTACGACTTTTCGGTGGTCTTGTTCTGAACACGGCATGGCCCTGTATCTGCTCGTGGAGTGTTAGCGGTAGCTGACGAATGGAGTGATGTGCCTGGAGTTGTAGGCTCTCACAAGACATCGTGGAGTCACACGCATGTCTACCTGACCCCCTCTCGAGTTCGAGATGTTGAACCCGGCTTGTCGTTGATCTCTATTCAGCCAGAGACGAAGCCTACTGGGTGGCTATTCCGAAACAACAATTGCTGCCTGAGATCAGTGAATCAGACGCCTCAGTGCCTTTAACACACGCCTCCGTTATGGACAAGCGAGGTGGAATTTTCAGAATTGCCATGTGGCGTCTCGACGATGCCCGTCACCGACTATTCCACATTGCGGCTGTTCAAAGCTGATGCGTCCCTTGAGGTAACACTCATGGTGCGACAGGGCGCTCAATAGCCTCACGATGCTCGAACGTGAGGCTGCCGGTCTCACTCGACTGCGCAATCTGGGAAGAGGTCGCTAAATCTTGCTGCTACACGTGTAGCTGCATGTCTCAGAAGGAGCACACGGTCGGGTCCTTCAGATGAGAACAAAAGCAATCCACCGGTGACAACTTAATCACCGGCGAAGTGTGCTTGTTCACTCGTCAAATCTAATGTCATGCCATCTGTGAGACAGGGCCCCAATCCCAGGAGAATTGAGTGTGGCGTCTGCCGTGGCTCGCATCTTGCGACGCTGTGTCGCAAATGCTTCCAGGTCTTGGTATAATTAGCCCCATCCCTGCAAATCCCAGGGAGAAGTCTAAACCGACGGGGACTCTCGGATAGTGCATGCAGCTGAGCAGGATCGGGGCCAAATTGTTGGACGCCATCACTATTACGTTCGTCCATAAAATCTCTATCACGTTGATCAGGCATTTCTCAGCCTAGTCTGTTTTTTCTGGTCGCTTGGCCTTGCAAGATGCATGCGTTTCGTCCATTTCGTCCTGAGACATCCGCATCAGCCCGTTCGACCTGGGTGTTAGCAAGCTCTGGACTGCCTCAGGCGTAGTCACACGCGCTGTGTCGTATAGGCCATCGATAAGTCGGCTGCCACTCGCATGACAGCATTGCACGAACACGATTGGGAGAACATACTCGGGTGCTCTGGGCTTGCGCCTCCTTTTCGGATGACCAGCGTGGGGGTTCGTGGTTGGGACCAGTTCCTGTGCTCCGACGGTTGACCCACACTCACCTGACGGCATCACTTCTCCCAAATGACGGATTGTTCTCAGCCATGGGTTGCCGCAGAATTCTCAACCAAGAATTTTCTTCGAGAAACGACTAGGCTGGGAGCTGACTGGCCCACGCCCCAAAACGAGGAGGGTTGCATTTGGCCCAGTCAACTGCCGTGATGATCTGTCATATTATCGGGCAGGCTGCACTGCAGCCTTGTACGGGCCGCTTGATGGTGTACGCGACTTGACCTGTTGAAGGCCAACTCAGAGGTGAGCTTCAGAGTTGCAGTCCTCTGTGATGCCGCATGGATCTCAGGTCGGGCGTCCGTTCTCAGTGTGGATCCCGAGTTGCTGCAGGTTAGCAGAGGCCTCGAAGATCACACATTATTCACGCTGTCCGACCTACTTGTGTTTTGACACATCCACGGAATTTTATCTTTTCGATCTAGCGGATATGGATCGTGTACTTGCACAACATTTCTGCAATAAGCCCCGGCTCTTTGCCTGGCGTTTTGGGGACGCCAAGACCTGAACGGCTACTCACAAGTCCTAAGCAGATTTGCAGCTCATGTTGCAGAATTAGAGTCCGGTAGAGAACGTGGAGATGAGTCTCAAACTATGACGTCTCTTGGGATGGTCAGCTAGCTTTACAACCCACTTCGGAGGCCTGTATTCTCGCGCACCTTCAGGGACTGCGAGAAAAGAGTGTTTTCATACATTGCATCATAACTCAACCCGGGTGATACAAGACCTGTATCACGGTTACGGGGATTGGGAGCACCAAATCACTGCGTTTCGTTACACGGGGCGTAACCTTCCAAGAGTGCGAGCCTATGATTTACCCTAAAGCGGTGAATCTACAGCAGGGAAACGATCAGATTCTCGCTGCATGAGATACCAGGCCCGACAAAACTTGCACTTTGTCGAACGTTCCTGAGCTACAACACGATCAGTTGAGGTGAAGAGAGCGCTCTCCTACATCGACCGCCAAGAACTTCATCTGCAAGTCATCTGCCGGCTTGCGTCTGCCCTCATCGGAGAAGCAGGGGACATGGGCACACATTTACTTCGATGGGGCGACCCCCACAGAAGAGCGTGGACATAATTTGGTCCTCGAGGGGTAGATACGCCAGGTGCGTGACACCAAGGGCCTGTTGGTCTCTGGACTGGCCATCTCTATTTTCAACCGGGGCGGTCTGCAGTCTGACTGGCAGAAATCTTAGTGGCTCCCAGGAAAACGAGGGACCGTCTGAAGATGCTCGACGTTGCACGAACGGCAAGCCACACATAGTGTTGTCAGTCACGCAGCTACCCTGGTCGTGCGACTGGGGCGGAAGGCCCCCTTCCAATTTCTCAGCAGCCTGCTACTGCTGCGGCCTTTGACCACACCACAGGATAATATGTCCTCGATAGGCATGGCGCCAACTGAAGCTCCAGAATTTCCTCAGGAGCCTACCGGGGCGGTGGGTTCCGCCAGCACCATAACGATCACCATGCGGTGCAGCCAGACAAGACGATCTTCGTGCTGAAGTTCTGATTCTTATTTTTATCTACAAGACGAAGCTCCTCTCTCACAAATTCTCATGTCGCAGCTCGAATTGTTCTGGGAAGTGAATGGCGCTCCAGTGGTACTAAACTGGCATCGAGCTGGCGGCCTGCGTCCAGTGCCTTTGGACGCCTTGATGTTTCCATCCTATTTAGGGCTGAATCGAGGTTTCCAATTCGGATTGACATAAACCCAGATCGACAGGCGCTCGTCTATCTCTGTCGTCCTATCACGAGCCTGGTACGTGTAGGCGAGGTCCGGCAAGGCGGTTCCCACTCATCTCACATCGGTCGCTCATGGGTGTCTGGATGGCCGGACCAATACCCCAACCAAGGTGCATTCGGGATTTTTCTCTCACAATTAACTCGCAAGCCGCAATACCTCCTTCTCGAATGATGGCCTACGCGGTCGTGAGTTGGGCGTCCGCTCGTTCCGAGAACCGCGGGATTGTCGATATTGTCTTGCATGTTACAGACCGGGGTGTAATTTTGCTGAAGCGAAGGAACTGGGCCGCATTCTAGGTCCTTTGTCCCCAAAACCAGCCCCCAAAACTGCTTTTTTTATTCTTGCGTCGCAAGCCGAGTACAGTGCTCCTGTCGCAAAACGAGACTCCGCGTCTGCCTCCTTCTCTAGTCTCGCTACCACTGCTGTGCAGGTCTGCAGAATAGGCCAACAACCCTGGTCATCTAAGGACTTGCATTGACATACCACGGGAATCGGCGGGACGGATCGCTCACTTTCAATCGAGTGTGCTCCAGATTTTAGTGCTAGCTTGTCCTCAGCTCGCTGCGGTGCCTTGGATCCAGCGGCCATGTGACTAGCCTTTCTTGCATATGCAGCTGCCACGGCGATTTGCTGAAGATTTCCGTGGCCAGAGCCTCCTGTGGCTGGGCCCTTACCTGATTGTGGTTCAGCTAGGGCTGGGCGCTCGTCAACACATGCATTTGCCGTTGTCATTCCGTCCTCATCGGATGTCGACTGTTCTGCGGGATGCTTCCTCCCCTGCGTCTGAACTTTGTTGGCCACCCTACGATGCCAATCCAGGCCTTAGACGCCACCATCTTCGACCGGTGTAACGCGGCCGGTGGCCGAAGGAGTTCTACATGGAAGAATGGGTTGGATGGAACTTCTCCGCAGATGCAAGGCAAAATGGTGTGCATCCAACACCTGGCCTTACAGATGTGAGATGCATCATTCACGCAGGCAACCTGAAAAGGTGGGGGGGGGATGGAGTCGCTCGCTTCTGCGGAACTTGATTCCTCTCCGTCTGCCAGAGCTCGCGCAAGCATCATTCTGTTTCTAGAGCGTGGCGGTCACAGCTTGAGAGGAGCCTATCAGGGGTTATTTGTCACTAAGCAGCCTGCAGATCGAACTTTGGGTCCCCCTTCTTCTTTTTTTTCTTTCTCTCCCTCACCTTCCTCAAAGACGTCAATGATAACATGGCGGCGTCTGTCGGTCTGTTTTCAAGCAGGTCTTGTTGGGGACTCAGCAGAGAACCTCAATGGCGGCTGACGGCGCACCTGAAGGTTCCTCAACGAGATGGAGCCTTCATGGAGAAGCATCTTGGTCTAGGTGTGGATCTGGGACTACAGGGCAAACATGCTTGGTGATCTCGTGTATTGTTGCTCGCGCGTCCCACCCGTAACGCATACACAAGTTTGCCCTTGACGTACGAGAAGAGCTTAGGCAGCCGCAGCTTGCTGTTGCTAAAATCTGATCAGTCATTATTTGCCGCTGAAATCACCCGCCAACGCCAAACGGCCACTGGCCAGCCCCGGAATCCACCGTTCGAACTTGAGTCAACACAAGATGTCTACCGCGTCAATAGTTATCCACCCATGCCACCGAGCCTTACGCTGTCTGCCTTCCTGAGTCCTAATCCGGTATTTCGGCCACGTCGTCTTGCCTGAAAAGGAAGTAGAGGTTCATGCGGTCAGGCATGTCTAACCTCACCTTAAAGGCTTATTCGGCCCTGCTCCACATGCAGCTAAGAACGCTGGTGTGGAGGAAGGGAGACGCCTTTCTAGGACCAGCGAAAGCCGTGCAAGTCTGCTTGTCACCTTTCGAATGACACCTAAACTGGACCGCCCTGTGGCGACTCTCGTCGTTGAAATAAATGACTGACTTGGCAGTCCACGCGCGTCGATACGCATCAGCCTGGCGCCATGCGGTTTGATACCGCCGCCCGTGTGATTGGGTCTTTCTTCATTGAAGAGAAAAATACCTTTGGCGCGCCCTGGTCTACTGTGTCTTGGAGATCGGGCAGGCAATACAGTGCCCGACGGCCCTCACAGTATGTCTCTCTTGGCATGCTGCCATTCGTTAATCTGAAAAAAGGGCTGCGTCTGAGTGCCAGGGTCCTCTTCTTACCGGCCTAAGTAAAGTCATCTCCCGATGATGCTTTGTGTCACCTCGCTCGTCGCCCCACAGAGCACGGCCGGGAGATGTCTACAGTCCAGTGGGGGGAAGGCGAGATACCTCAACACCTTTTCAGCTGGTCCCCGAGTCTGCTTTCCTGATGTCTCCGTATGTCGTTGTGTTTTCTATGCATCACTGGCCCCCCCCTCCCTGCGGACCGGCTAAACTTTACTTGCGCTCATCTTAGTCTGGTACCCATTTCAGACTGTGTGATTTGGATCGGGAAAAGGACCATGTGCTCTGCAAAAATGACAATATCATCTTTCGCAACTCGCACTCGTGGCCTATTGGAACCGGACTGAAGCGTTTGCCCGAGGCTTCCTTCTTCCACTCCATTATGTACTGCTGGGTGGTAATGCTCCCCCTTGGGCAGCATGTGGGTGTACGGACGCATGATAGATGAGAGAGCCGAATTGGACAAGCGAAACGCGATGCAGAGTAGCCACACGAGCCTCGGATCTGGACGTCCGCCCTCCGCGGTTCGAACTTGACTTCAAGATTGGCCCCATCCGGAAGCTCCCTAGATTATCAGCAGGCTACTGTATCTCTCTGCTTGACCATGCAGTTCCACCCTGGAGACCTGGCTCCCGGAAGTTTTCGAGAAAAATGCTCGGCCGTTTGCTGCAACTCATGCGGAGCGACGCAGCTAGTTAGTCCGACGGCATACACCACGCACTGAGAGGACACAACCCCCATTAGACAGTACCCATGCTGCCGGTTTCAGCGTCTACTTCGCCGCTCGATCTGTCGGTAAAGCTCTGAGCTGGCGAGTATCTGCCCACTTGAAGACATTGGCAAATAAAGGGCCCAGGCCTTGCCGCTAGATGGCTCCTACCAGATGACAGCACCCGTCAGTTGCACCATGCGTGGCTTGTCATCGGGTTCTCCTTGGTCGTGGACCTGTAGATGGATCAACTGCACCGCCGTTTCCCTTGTGAAAGCTGTCTGCGTACACTTCGACGTGTATCCTACTACCGTTCGTTTGCTCCCCCAGAGGTCTCTGAACCGATTGGACTAGCCCTACCTGGGGGCGGCAGATTCGTGGTTATGTCCAGTCGACCCTGGTCTACACCAATGCAAGAACTGCAGCTACCCGTTGGGGCATACTGGTAACTGAGCAGCGGCTGACAAAATCTTCGACTGCTCCCATAGTGACAGCATGTTGTGTAACCCTCAATTAACCCAACGATTGAAAAGCTTCCTTCATAATATGAGATGTCAACTGCGTCTGGGAGACTTGCAACGCCGAGGCTCAAATAAGTACAACTGCCACAGGTGTCTGTCTATCCCTCCTGGTATTCGTCCCTCTGGCGCCGTCCGTTGGTATCTAATTACGATTAGCAGATTGGCATGATCTGGCGAGGGACTCACACGAGTTGGAAGTTTTTGATGAGGAGTCCGGACTGCCCACAGTAGCACGGAGGGTTCCATGCTCTGCTTCCTTCATTTTTACCCCGTCAACTTCCTTTCTCGCCACTCTCATCTCGCCCATCGCCGTCGCCTTCCAGCATTTTCTTGTCCTCGAGGGTCGGACCTCGTGATCTTTTCTGAAGAGGCACAGGAACTTCAACATCTTTACACACCCTTGTGCTGCATCTCTTGACTGGTATCGCTCTCAAACGACGGGGTTTGAAAACACAGCCGCGCATTGGAGTGCCCACCGGTGTTGAATGTCTATCGAGCTCGCAAAGCCTGGCCGTGCTCGACGACAGGGAGTCCTATACTAACCCGCTCTCACCAAACGTGCTGCTCCTTGGATCAGGACAGTCACGTAACAGCTCCCCTGTGTCGCCTCAGCAGGATCAGAGCAGTCTTGTTTTACACTCCAGACACTGTGGTGAACCTTGTGCGTATTTTGACGCCGTGTCTTATCATCCGGGCCTTGCTTTCCCTGGGACGTTTCTGCTAGGAAGAGCCGCTGGAGACACAGGGCTGTACCATCGAACCAGCCCACCAGCCAGATCATACAAGCAGCGACAAACACGCAACAACTGGGCCGACTCATCCGCCAGCTGGTCTCTTCCAGCGGACTGGACCAAGGTCGGCTTTGGTTGGACCTTGCACAATTCTTGCGGCTATCTGGTCTGTCTTGTCTCGCCTCGATAACCTTGTCCGCAACTGTCTGGCTGCCTGCTTCCCATCCTCGCCTACCCGCTTGTGTCTGGATGATTTCGAAGGTCATTCTGCATCTTAATGCCCCTGCGCGTCGCCCTCGCTTTGGATTGCCCCTTTCTGCTCTCTACCCCTGAATATTGAAGGCCACTCAAAGCCAGCCAAGCCAGCCAGCGGTCTCTCAATTAACGATTGTCTTGACCTACCTGCCTCGGTATTCCGACAATTCGCCAGCCAGTGTTGCCAAAAGCTCACATCCTAAAGGTCGCTGCCTCCCCCTCTCTCATCAAGCTGGACACCCACGCAGAGACACGCCGACTTGTATATTACCATGGTGTCCCGGGCCTACTATCCCCCTCCGCCTCCACACCCTCACGACGGCGCGAGATATCTTCCCAGCCGCTCATGCGCACCCTACTACTCGTACCCAGAACGTCGCTATCAGCTCCCCTCTCACGACGCCCGGTCTATGACCATGACGGACTCACAGAGTGACGAATCAACACCGCCGCGGAAGCGTATCGCTGTTGCTGTAAGCTCTGGCTCCCCTTCCCCTGAGCATAATTTCTCCGCCTCAACTAGCCTGCCTTGGTGTTGATGCGTGGTTGGATGTCCTTAGGGCACCAAAAAGTTGGGTCTGATTAATTATCCTGAAGCTCATGCTCAGCCACTAGTGGGCGCTTGCATCGTGCACCGGGGAACAAAGTATTACAGCGACATAGTGTGCTGACAAGCGCTTTTAACAGTGTGGGCGATGCCGCAAGCGCAAGATACGTTGCAGCGGAGATCCAGGTGGTGGACTACCGTGCGTCAACTGCAAGAATGCTGGTGTTGAAGCGTGCCTTTTTCTTCGGGTATGACCACTCTTTTTCAGATCGAATACCTCGGAACTAGGAGTTGTAGGAGAAAGCGAGCACCCAGCTGTTCTTAATCGTGGCTCCTTTTGATTGCCTAAATTTGTTGAGCGTTGTCTAACCAAAATGTTCGACCACAGGTCCAGTCTCAAGAGGCACCGATGCGAGAGGACAGTCGCTACGACTACAACATTGATGTTTCTCGCACACTGGCTCAGCGCAGCGGGGGTCCTATTGCGCACATTAGCTCTTCAATGGCCCAGTATCCACAGGAAATGCACCTTTTGAGCTCAGGGGGCATTCCCACGTCTTATAGGAGCAGTGGATACACCAATATGAGCACGAAAGGCTACTATTCTATGGGCACAGACTGGGGAGATGCGTACGGCGCAGACGGAGCTGTTGGCGACTACAGTCTGAGCGTGCCGCAGTACCAGGTGATCAACAATGACGCGTCGAATATTGTCCCGGGCTACGGACACTGGAGCACCCGCCAAAAGAGCATTGGGCAAGGCGGCAGCGTATACATGGACTCCGAGTCCGGTTACCCATACAGCACCGGAGCCAGCGCTGGTCTTGTCCACCGGCCAGCTGTATCTGTGCCTGCCGACTCGTCCGCCTACTCTTTCTCCAGCATTGCCGCATCACTCCCTTCCACAGGAAACGAGCGCCTTCTCCCAAATCCGGCAGCTGCTTCGCGAGCCATGGGAAGCTCGTCTACTACCTACCGCGTCGATGGTCTGCCTGCAGGGTATGGCGGCACAAAGTCGAGCCATGCGTCAGTTTCTGGCAGCCAGGCTTCACCAACGTCACCCATCGCTGATGTGACGGCGGCGGCTGCAGCTGTTGGGTACGCGAGCTCGTATGACTATACCTCAGTCGGGAGGGCTTCGCAACAGCATGGAAGCAGCTCGTCAGATGCGTACGGTTCCGTGTCAACAGGGAGCGGTGAGACCATTTTTGGCGAGCAGGACCGCAGCGCCGCCTCCCAGGGGTCAGCCGTCGACCTTACTGGATATACATACGGGGCCGCTAGCCCGGCAGACGCATCGAGCCTACGGCGCGCTTCATCCGGGTCCGGCTTGACGACTCGATCTGCTGCGGAAAGCAGCATCAGCACTGGGTACGCAGCCAGTGACGGAGCCCCTCCTCTCGGATCAGGAAGCTACCACAGCTCGTCTTCCTCCCATGGACATCACCACCGTCATCACCACGGGCAGTCTCATCATGCCTCTCCACGTCATGCAAGTCACCACCACGCCCACCAGCATCAGCTCCCTGGCGCACATGCTGTGCCGGGTAGCACTACCTACGGGGAACTTTCCGGCGGCGGCAGCAACTCTAGCAACGGAGTCAGTGGTAGCGTTGGTGGCACGGCGGCTACAGACAGCCACCGGTCTAGCATCAGTTCTCGCCGATAATTCTATGGGGGGCTGCCCGACACAGCGAGCTACCTTCGTTCGACAACCCCACCCCCTTACGCCTCCCACCGCTTCACCTCGTGTGCCTTGCCGCTACCGTTTTCTACGCTGCGTCTCTACGACCCGACATGCAGTCCACCGTAGCGCAAGGCAGAGAGCTTAGGGGAAGGGGTGACCGAAGAGAGAAGCTGACAATGGCAGACGCCCCTGGTCAACGGCCACAGGCGAAGCAGTGAAGGCTTCTTGCGCGGCCGCTAGCAAGAGTTTCACTGGACCACCCTTATCTATTGCATCTTTGAGGGCCTTTCGAGGAACATGTGCGTTAAGTCTGTTCTGATTTAATTTGTTGGTGGCAGAGGGGAGGTCGGTGCGGTGGTCGCCGCTTGATCAGCAAGAAGCATGTGAGAGCAGAACGGGCTGTCCGGAACAGAATCTACTGCAAAAATGATTGGTAAAGATCCGAGAAAGATCCCACGCGGGCTCGAAGTTATCAGAAGAGGGAGGGGGGATTACTGTCAAGACAGGACCCTGTCATCGTGCTTGGCTGTCTGCTGGGCTGTCAGTCAGGGGCGACATGGCCCAGGCCTTTCTGTGCAGCGCATTTCGCAGACGACCTGCATGGGCAACCAACCCATTGCTTTTCCCAATGGCAAACCGGTCAGTCCCAGATCCTGGGGACCCCAATCGCCGTGTCTCATACCTGGCCTTTCACAGTCCTTGTTGAAGTTCAGCGCAGCCTGCCCTCTAGTTCGCCTCTCGGCAGCCAATTCCGTTGAGATTGAACACGAGCTGGACTCGACTCGACCTCGAGACGGCATCATGCCTCGAGGGGTTCAATTGGCACTTTCGAAAATTCCAATGACTGGCTGCCACTGGTTCCGATCTGAATTTCGAGAGCCGCGCCACAATAAACCGGAAACAGGAGCATAGTGCGACACAGCCTACACCACTGACCAGCGTGCTATTTTTGGGGGGCTTGGTGCTCCAGCCTTGCTTGACGTTCCCGAGACGTATGTGGATCTTTGGCCAAGTGCCGACCGGTGAGGCCTTCACAACGGCATCATGCGCCAGCCAGGGCCCGCGAGCGACGTCAAGCTGCCTGGCGAAGATCGACGAAGACGATCGAAAAAGGGGGGCCTTGATAGAGTGCTGACAGGCCTGACATCTGCAATGCAAGAAGAACCGGCCGGGCCAAGGGACCATCCAGAGCAATCTATCCGACGGCGTGCATGTATACGCTCGGGAGGACCAGGTCGCTCGACGCCGACTGCCGTCCACTTCGCACCACCAGCCCGAACTGGATTCGACCTTCTGGGCTCCGCGGCCTTCCAATAGCAGGCCCCATGGCCCTCGCACCATGCTGTGCGCTCACCTGGGATCGACACGGGACTGGGCTGGGGCCACAAGGCTGCACACGATGCCCGACGCTGCATCGTGCCGAAGCTGGCCTGCTTCCCCTCCTGCATTTGCTCACTGCCAAATAAACCCCCCTCCCTATCTCCCCCGGTCGTTCTCGTGCCAGTTCGGACCAACCCTTTCGGGCCTGGGTCTGCTCTTCTCCCCTGTCCTCGAGACCGCGGCAGCCCGCCGACCCGGTGGCCGTTCACCTTGGTCGCTTCGTCTGACCTATGCTTTCTCAAAAGTCTTGTTTTTTGTTTTCTTTCCCAAGCCCTCTTCAACATTGCTCCCCAAGTTGGTCATTGCTGTTCCCAAAGCCATTCTCTGTCATGCCCTTTGAATGAGGCACAGCAAAACCGATCATTCCCATTTTGCATTTACATCATAGAGCCAGCCGGCCACCAGGTCCCTTGCTCCCATCTATTGGGAGGTGTGTTATCAGATATTGCGTCTTACATTGTCAAATTTCTTGTTTCTTGTTTTTTTTACCCCTACCATCACTAGTCTCGACCACCATGGTTGCTCTAATGTGTTTTAATATCGTTTAATATTTGGTCTAAACCAAGACAACTGAACCAAAATTCCAAGTTGAGAGCTGGATGGAGGCACAAGGAGCGGAAGCCGGAAAAGCGGAATCATTATCTTGTTCTTGTTTGATTGGTGTCATGGCATATTTGGGACAAGAGGTGGCGAAAGCAGGAAAGGTCAGGAAATTCAGGGCGTTCAAGCGAAGGTTATGATATTACATTGACATTGCACAACATTGTGCGCTGCAAGAAAAGTATGAGAGGGGAGCGAGACAAAAAGACTGTTCTTTTCTCACCCATTTGTTTGTTTCCTTTTCAATTTCCTCCCAGGGAACAGGCCCTGGGACCTTTTTTCTCCCCGTCGTCGACCAGCAAGCAACCATGCGGTGATGTGCTTTTTGCTGAAGGTATCCTGACGCTCCCTCACGGGGGTTTCTATAATTCTTCGGCGAGCACCTCTCCCTCGTGGATGGAGTCGTCCGACACAACATTATATTGGCGGAAAGTGTCGAGCTGTTGTCATCATCGTCGTAGCCAAGCACATGTACACCCTACGACGAGAGCACAGCCTGTTCGACTCGTGCTGGAGGGACGTTGCCTACAATTAGAGCCGCATCAATGGGTCAGTCCCAACTTTGTCGAATTCAGTTAGTCAGATCAGACATACTTAGGTAGAATTTTATCTTCAACTATGATGACAAATGCAGGTTCATTGTCATGATTGTCCTTGGCCTAGGCAACCGAGAAGCTGGAAGCGATAAGTCGCCGTCCACGCACGCTGCGAAGATCTTCCCAGCCGGGCTCTTGAGCCTCCTATCAATGTATAGACAGCGAACGGACTGTTCAAGACAATTCGACAAGCCTCGACGCCCCAAGCCTTATGTGAACAGTGTTTTGAATCCTCTAATGTTACTTTTATAAAAGATACTACAGTCTCCGTGTCAAGAACGTCACGTCACGGCCTTAAAAATTAGGTCAAGCCGGCAGAATCAAACCAGACGCAGCATTATTTGGTGAATATCCGAGAAGAGCAGCCAGGCATAGGCATATTGTAGTGGCGAATATATATTGTCTGTGTCGATGGCAGCTCCCCAAGCAGCTCAAGGCATGGGCCGAAAGCAGAAATAAGAATTAGTGTGCTAACTGCCTTCTATTTCCCATTGCTGTGTGTGAGCATCACCTTGAGCTGGTTGATTGGCCCTGAAAAGGGAGTCAACTACCAGTCCGTTACTTAGCCCTACGGCCCCAACTGAGAGGAATCATGTGGATCTAGCAGGGTAGTCAATATATTCATTTCTCAAGCAAGTTGGAGAGTGTGTGATCGTGGTGACCAATTCCTCAATCAGATGTCAATGGCAGTCTGAGATTGACTGAAACGACACAGAAAGCCGAAATAGGAGCGACATCTTGCGCACCACGTGTCCTCACCGTTACCAATGCCTCGGCCGCTTGCCAGATCAATTTCACCGTCACTCAAATAGATCGCTTGTGCAACTGTCAGAAACCGTAAACCCATTTGGGGCGCCGATTCAGCGGAGTTTATAGCACGCAATCAAGCGAAGCAACTCGAGGAGTCGCTCGCTGCACCCAAGGAGAGTTTTGCAACGTAGCAAGACTTCAACAACTCTAGGCACCATTGCTGTGGTCCTCGACCTCACAGAATGCCTTGAAAGTCACAAATTCTTCCTCGCCCTCGGTAGTTGACTCCAGGACCACCTCGGCCGTCGAGCCTACGAAGAAGACGTATCCTTGTTTGATTTCTTCCACGGTTGGCCCCACGGAAATCTTGCCCTTTCCACCGGTGCAGATGATGATGCTGGGCCCGTCCAGCGGGTCGAACGTCGCCTTGGCGCCCTCACGTTTCAGAGTGGACCGCACCACACTGAACTCCTCGATAGGGGGGTCGTACAGCATAACCTCGCTGCTGGAGCTGTATGCTGTGCGATTCAGAGTGGCGTATGCATACTCTTTCGGTACCATCTTTTGCTCCTCGATCGGAGCATAGTTGTACGTCAATATTGACACAAGTGTGTCGACATCCTTGAACTTGGGGGTGAAGCCGGCCCTGATGACATTGTCGCTGGCTGCCATGCACTCGACAATATCGCCCGATATGTAAGCGTGAATGTCGTCGGCCCGCAGGAAAAGAGCCTCGCCTGGCGCCATGGTCACTAGGTTGCAGAGAAACTGCACGAACAGGCCGTAATCGGCGCCGAACTGGCCATGCAGTCTCTTGATGAGCTCGGCAAGGTCCTTGCCAGAGTTGGGTCCGGCACCGCCACCGGCGAAGTTTTCTGTCTCTGCGGTGGCCTCATCCAAAAGAGCAGTTGTTGCTGTCTCAAGAGTGGATTGTGATTTGGACATAAGGGTGCCAAAGAGCTTCTGCAGGGCAGCCTTGTTGTCTCGCTTGGCGTCCTCGGATTCGTCGCCCTCGTGAGACTTGATGGTGCTTATGAAAGCGTCTGCCGTCTCTGCGCCAACGAAGTCACGCAGGGCTTTGACAGTCTCTAGGAAGTGTACTATCTCGGATGGAGGCCTGAAGCCGCAAAGTCCCTCGAAATCGGTGAGGGCAATGGCCATCTCGGGCTTGTGGTTGTCATCGGGATAGTTCTTGGGGTCCCTGGCATGGAGCTGCTCGGCAAGCTTCTTGTTCGGGTGAGCCTGTATGGACAGGGCTTTGGCGATGGAGAGGATCTTGAAGAGGAATGGCAGCTTGTTGCCATATCGAGCGATGACGGTTTGGGAGAGGAGAGCCTGGTTGTCTTCGACGAGGTCGAGGAGGGTGCGACCGGTGCGCAGGTCCTTAGAGGGGTTGGAAGGATGGGTGCCCATCCAGAGCTGGAGGGGATGGGAGGTTACTCAGTCAGTCACTGGCATTGATATTTTATATCCAGACACACTGGACGAACATACCTCGGCGTAGGGCTGGTCATCTTTGATTGTGAAGTCAGCAGCTGGCGTGGCAGCGGCAAACTTGGCTGCGGATGAGTCGTTGCCCTTCTTGCCCCAGTCATAGGAATTGACCCCGCACTGGAGTCTGAGGAGGGGGACCTGCATGGCGGAGGGAGAGAAGCTTCAGTGTGTAGGTGAAAGGTCCAAGTCGAACTGATGCTGGGCTTGAAGCTTGTGGCGTAGAAACGGAGAGGAGGGTCAGAAGTGAAGAAGTTGTACTGAGGTTTGGTATATCACCACAGCCAACCAAGGGAGAGACGGAGGTCAGTCAAGTCTTGGGTAAATTGGAGAGCTGACATCACCCCTCCAGCCCACCCACCTGCACAGTCTAGATCCGCAGGTCGTCGGTCGACCTTGATCTTGACCTTGCCCTTGACCTTGCTCTGGCCATGCAGCTAACAGCAAGGCGGGCAGCAGCTGCAGCAGCTGCAGGAGGGCAGGTGGGCAGGTGGGCAGGTGGGCAGGTGGGCTGCTATGGCGGCAGGTACGTACCCAGGTACCCTCTAACCCCACCATGGGAACGGGGCCAGCACGGTCACTCGTTCCTAGCTGCTCCCTTAGAAGACAGACAGCACCACTGCAGACAGGCAGAGGGAGGAAGGCTTGCTTGCTCTCCCTCTCACTCAACACACTCTCAGTCCAACTCTGCAGTACCAAGCCCAGCTCACCTAACCCATCAATCTCTCGCCCCCAGCCCCACCCAGCCTCTTTCCCAAGGTTCAAACTCAACCACCATTACCAGCACTACCCAGAACGACCGCCCTCCCGCCTCCGTAAGCGCCTGGGACAGCCTCCCACCCCCCCATCCCCATCGCCCACCCCCCAATCCTGAGCTCCTCCAGGAGAGCTCACGGGTACCTGTCTCGGTCGCGTCGTCCCCAGCCAGCTCCAAGGTACCCCCAGCACCCCCGTGTTCCGCACCGTATCCCGTCCCAACCCCCCGTTCCGCCTACCCGTTACCTTCCCATCGCCCAATGACGACGACGGGCTCGGGCTTTGATTTGCTGGGCAGGCCTCAAATGTTCCAAGTGTCCCGCGATTGCTTCTTCCCAAAAGAATGACATGGCAACCTTCCAGGCGCAATGACAACCAGACCAACAAGCCTCCGCCTCCAATCCGACACGAACGGTCCTCATCTGGCTCAAGGTTGGTTGCACACCATTCATCATTTGGCGCACACACCAGAACACACACACGCACACATACATACATACATACACATACACAGCACCATCCATCCCACCTAAGCCGTAGCCTAGCCTAGCCTCGTCTCTACTTTATACTCTCTCTCTCTCTCTGTGTGTGTGTGTGTACTCTACTCACCTTACTATTCTCTACTACCCTCTGTCTCACCTGCCCCTCTCCTCTACTCCTCACACATACAGTCCATGTTCCCAGGCACAACACAACCAACACATCGACCTCAGCCATAATCACCCCTGGACAACCACATTGTTACAACAGCAAGCACAGCTACGCACCAAGCCCGGTAGTGCAAGGCCGACCTGGGATAATATACCTATCTATCTATCAGACATACGCACACCTCACCTGCACCACCTGCCACAGCCTGCACTTGTCTCCCCTCTCCCTTTGACCTTCTGTTCCTCATCCACCTCTGGGAGTTGTGTAGGCACGACCCAGTTAGACACCAACGGACAAGCAGGAGCAGCTGGATTCCCTAATACTGAAGGTACGCTCCATTACTGCGCCGGATAATAATGTCAGGATGTGGAAGGGCACTCAGTCACCCGCATCACTGCCATCATGTTCTGCTTCCTCTTTTCTGCTGATTCCAATCCTGTTTCCTGTCTTCAATCTTGTTTACCACTTACTACGGCCCCCTTGTATCCCGAACTAGTAATTTTTGTATTGCCGTGCTTTCATCAAGCAGGAATTAGATTACCAGAAATGTCTACTAACAAGAAGCATCTTAGACTTCTGCGCGAGGTTGAGAACACAGACAGCTGGAGGGGCATGTCGCAACGAAACAGGGAGGCCAGGCCGCGGGCCCCTCGCAACAGCAGCGCCCAGGGCGAGGAGGTTGGGCTCTGGCAAAAGATCCAGGAGGATATTGCAACCATCATCGAGGAGGTGAATCAGAGCAACGACAACGTCCGCCAGATCGCCGGCCAGGAGAGCTACATAGCCAGCAACCAGGACTCCAAGGACCCCACCGACATCAAGTCCGTAGACCAAGGGCTGCACAGCCTGGACAAGCTCTATCGGGACGGCGTCAAGATCAACGATGCTACCGGAAAGAAAATTGCCGACGTGCTGAGCTTCATTGAGATCTTGAAAGGCATCCAGGAGGCTAAGGAGAAGGCTGCCGCTCCAGCACTCGGGTCATCATCCCGTTCTGCCAGCCTGCTTTCCGGGACCGGCCGCAGTTCCAGCCGTGCCGGCAAGCCCGACAAGGCAGACAGAGAACGGGAGAGGGAGCGCGAGCGGGAGCGGGAGCGTGAGAGAGAACGAGAAAGGGATCGGGAACAACGAGAAAAGGACCGCGAGCGTGAACGTGAGCGCGAGCGGGACAAGGAGAGAGAACGCAACCGAGATCGCGACCGGGACCGTGACCGGGAGCGGGAGCGCGAACGAGAACGTGAGCGTGACGCCGAAAGAGATGCGGAAAAGGACCGAGACAGGGACAAGGACAAGTCTGATCTATACGACTTTGACGGTTCCGCTGATAGCCCGCACCCCAGCCCCATTGGCGGCCACGCCAGGAAGCTCGGCGGGCGTAGCGGAGGAGCGTCAAGCGACCGGTCCGGCAACCGTGACAGTGTCCCGCCGCGCTCTGGCGACCGCGACACGCCCAAGGCCGACAGCGCGGAGCCGCAGTCTAGCAGCTTCTCGTCGGGGGCGCCGACGGTGGGGAGCTCGATCCGCGCCAAGGTCATGTTCTCGCGGGACCAGGACGTGGCGTTCAAGCCGAAGCCGCCGACGCCCAACGACACGACGGAGTGGTACCTGGGAAAGGTGAAGCAGGTGGTGGGCGAGGGCAAGGGCCGGCGCTACATTGTCAAGGATGAGGACCCGGACGTGCCGTCCCCGGCCCGGAAGGAGTATAAGATGAGCGCGTCTGGGATGATCCCGATCCCGCCGCCCAGCACGGAGCTGCCGAAGCTGGACAAGGGCAAGACAGTGTTGGCGTTGTATCCGGACAGCACCACGTTCTACAAGGCCGAGGTGACAGGGATGGATGCCAGCACGGGCAATGTCAACCTGAGGTTCGAGGGCGAGGAGCAGTCGGGCACGCAGCAAGTGGTGGAGCGGCGGTTTGTAGTGGACTATCGGGACTAGGGGCTCAGACCGAGTATGACGACTGCCGTGGAGGGGACCATAGTCTGTGCCTAGATTTATATTTATATTTATATTTATAGATATGGCAGATCTACGAAGCGGGATTAGGCTTGCTACTGCTCTGCTCTGCTACGCTATGCTAGTGTGTTAGTGTCGGGGATGTAGTTTGGGCATAGGGGGGGGCCGTTGAAACAATGGCATTGTCCATGTGGAAACTGGCCACAGGTGACCCGAGACAGGTTCCCTCCGGCTCGAACACGTCCAGCAACAAGCAGCAGGCAGTCACTCAGTCACTCAGTCAGGCAACGGCCCTAGGTTCAACACGAGAGAAGCAATCTGGGCGGCAGAGAGAGGAGAGGGGGTTGAGCAGGGAACTGGAGAAAATGATTATATGTCCATTGCTCGTTTCGTTAGTCTCGTTAGCCGCGTCGCTCCTGCTACTCTTTGGTGCAAATATCGGGTCGATGCTGGCAAACGATTGGGTTTAATTTCTCAATGTCCGGGCAGGTTATAGTTTGGGTGCAGATTAATATTGATGATCGATTGGCTGGGTGGGTCTGCCCATCTGCCCATCGCAGCTCGCAGTAGATACGGGGCAGCATTGACAGCAGTCAAGCAAATCAAGCAAGCAAGCAAAGCAGTTAAGCGGGTGCGGTGGTGGGTCGGTGGTACCTGGGTACCCGTGCACCTGGATACGCTGTTGTTCGTACTTCCGTACCTGAGCGCAAAGCAGCCCAGTGCCAAGGCCCCGCAGCTGGGGAGTCAGGGGCAAGCCAAATGAATTGAAACGCTTCGATGTTCCTGTTCCTGTTCCAACCTCCCCGCCCGCCGTTCGCCATCTCGAAAAGAAAAAAGTGCAACTCGAGCCGGCACTGTTTTGTTTTCACTTGCTGCATACATACTTGGCACACATACTGTCTGTCTGTCTGTCTGTCTATCTATCTATCTATCTATCGTCCATCTCTCGGCACAGGCAAAGCCCAGGCAAAACAAACAGGCTCAGCAACAGCAGCATCAGAAGCCCCATCAAAACATCGTCTCAAACCCGCCCAGGACCCTCAACTCAAGTCAACGGTCCAGTCGAGACCAAGAGCCACTTGCATTTGCATCTGCATTGCATTGTATTGCATTTTGCATTGTGTCGCATTGTGTCCCAATCGCTTGCCCAGTGAGTCGGTCGGTGTCTCTTGTCTAATAGATATATACTTTGGGTACCCATCAAATATCCATCCGCCCTGTCTGTTTCTCGCTCTCCCATCTCCCTCCCACAGTTCGCGTCACCACCAACCAATACACTGCATCGACGCAATCTCCGTCTCGCAGCACCACCTCTTTTCCTGCACTCCTCTTCCTCAATTCTTCTCCCTTCTCCCTCCTACCTCCTCGCCCGCTCTCCGTCCCATCATCAGTGAGGTACTACTACCTAGTGCTCACCCGATCCAGTTAGCTGGTCAACCCCAGGCTGTAACGGCTGTGTCAGTGAGTCCTGCCGCCTCCTGTCTGCGACATGCCGGAACTGTGCCACAATTGGATTGAGTTGAATTGGATTGCATCTCGGCACATCCCTACCCAGATCCGCCCTGCAACCACCCCCGGTTTTTCTGTGAAAGCCCACGACATCTGACTTTGCGTGCGCATTTGGCTTTTGCTCATGCTAATTTCCATTCATCCTTCTCTCCAGACCATTGCTGTCATTGCGCTCTGCTGCTCCACCGCCCAAGCAAGCACGCCCCATCCAGCTAGCCCCCCTCGAGCGCATCCCCGTCCGACGACATTCCTTTACACCACCACCATAACCACCACTTTTGCCTCGCTATATCCACGCGACACACTCCTTTCGCCTGCCTACCACCACCACCACCAACAGCTCCACCAGACTGTTTCCTACGTCGCGTTGCCTCTCTCAAGCCTTCTCGAGACGCGCATCACCCTGACTCGCTCCGTTCATCTCGCAAACCGCCGCCGCTGTTCCCCCTACCGCCCGCTTGCGCAAACCGATCGCAATTCCTAATCCAATTCTCTCACAAGGCGACTGTCCGAATCTTCCCAGGTTCTCTCCGACCGAAGCGGCCTTGCGATTCTTACCGTTCAAGTTGGCAGAAGCAACTTGATCCCCGAAGGTCTCCTGGAACGGCAACCTAATTTATTATCTTTCGACCGCTTTCGTCCACACCCAGACCGCCACAATGGGTGGCCAACTTAGTAAGATGATGGGCAAGATCTTCGGATCAAAGGAGATGCGCCTGTTGATGTTGGGTCTCGATGCCGCCGGAAAGACCACAATTCTCTACAAGTTGAAGCTCGGCCAAGACGTAACTACCATCCCAACTGTCGGGTTCAATGTCGAGACTGTCACATACAAGAACGTCAAATTCAATGTCTGGGACGTGGGCGGGCAGGACAAGATTCGACCCCTGTGGAGGCATTACTTCAGCGGTACGTGTTTCTGGTCCCAAACCGGGCTGGGCGGGAAATCTTGAGGTCAGACTGCAGAGACTGACGAGCAACCACGACACAGGAACCCAAGGTCTGATCTTCGTTATTGACTCATCCGACCGAGCACGGATGGAGGAGGCAAGACAGGAACTGCACCGCATCATCAACGACAGAGAAATGAAGGACAGTCTGCTGCTGGTCTTTGCCAACAAGCAAGACCTGGACAATGGTAAGCCAGGATCGGGCGCCTCTTCCCCAACACCTAGCACGAACGTAAACATGCTGACTATGATGTTCCTACGCAGCCATGAAACCACAAGAGGTGACCGAAGCCCTCGAACTGAATAAGCTCAAGGACAAGATATGGTTCGTCGTACCTAGCTGCGCGACAACTGGCGAGGGCCTTCTCGAGGGCCTGGCCTGGTTGTCCAACAACGTCAAGACTCCTGCCGCGCCGGCAAAGAAATAAGGCCATTGAGGAATGCGTGGGGACACGCGGAACGGCTATGAGCGTGCATACGCGCTGTTTTAATGCGTTTGGCGAATCAGGGCCACGATGGTGGTTGGCGGGCGCGGTAATCATAGGGCTACACACCAATCAGCCCGGAGAGAAAAAAAGAGAAAACCACATGTTGACCGATGTTGCTAAGGGTCCAGCTGGGTTTCGGAAGGCGGGAAACGGGGGAGGGGGCGTGGTTTCATAATGCACTCAGTCGGCTCGGCCCTAGATCTTTTCCTTTTTTTTCTGCCCTCTCTTCCTCTTCCTGTATCATGCTACTACGTTTGACGACTCCCTAACTTTCCTCCTCCTTTTGTACAGTCATGTAATTTTCGTCCTATTTGGCGCTCTTTCTTCATACATCTTTTTTCCCCCGCTCGGGCTTCCGGGAACAAATACCCAGAGAAGGGAGGGGTGGAGGGAGGGAGGAGCCTCCTTCACCACTCACCTGCATACACCACGTCAGAAGTCCCATTTTGTGGGGTCGTCGAGGGGACTCCCACCTGAGGCCCGAATGGGCTGAGCTGCGAGGCAGGACGTCTCCGGCCAGGTCGGGAGGGAAGCAGATCAAAGGGGGGAAGGGAGAGGGTGGGAAAATGGGAGCTCGATGTCACGACCGGACTATCCTATACACACCATATTAGAAGGAAAAAGCTCTCGGGGCCGAGAGGTGGCCCATAGAATAGTACCCAAGTAGTCCATTTGTGAAAAGCAAAAAAGAACTGGGCTGGCCCCCGTCCCCTCAACGACCAACTCACACTGGCTGCATTACTGACTGCAATTCATCCAGTAGGCCATATGACCGCCTCGGTCTGTACTGCGCATACTGCGCATACAAGCCACTCTCTTTGGATGTCTCGATCTCTATGGCTGTGCTGTCGTACTCGGTTCTATTCACAAAATTGTCCCAAAAACTCCCGCATATGATCGATGCCCTGTCCGTGGCTCGTACATTCTTTTCTACCCATGCCGCCCAAACACCATGCTCCCGAATAATGCATAAATCCCAAAAGGGTTCCCTTGAGACAGAACCTCAAATAAAACATGGATGCCAAAACAGACAAACACTTTCGTGTGTTCAAGACCGAAACACCTTTCGTCAGACGATATCACAGCCCGCGGGCAGGCTCCAATGACTAATAGAAAAACGTGCATCTCTCTTCATCGAGTCGCTTCTTCTTTCTGTCATCACCACCACCGACTCCCGTCGCCGCGGCCGGCCCGCGCCTCCTAGCCGTCCTGCTTGACCCTCTTGCCGGGGCGGACCAGCGAGTCGTCGGGCAGGCCGCTGCGCTTGGTGCCGGGCAGGCTGGAGGTGCGGATGTCGTTGTCGTCCTGGCTGACGCGGCGGTGCGGGTACTCGACCTTGAGGCCCTCGAAGCAGTTGGCGCTGACCTTGTCGGGCCCCGTGGCGAAGAAGGGGTGCTGCAGCGCCTGGGCGGCCGTCAGCCGCTTCTCCGGGTCGTACTCGAGCAGGCCCGCCAGCAGCTTGTAGCCCTCCTGGCCCAGCGACGCCAGCGAGCTGGGCCCGCCGTTGGGCGCCGGCGTGGACGTGCCCGTGCTCGTCGTGATGGTGCTGTTGTACCACTTGTCCAGCTGGCTGCCCGCCGGCTGCTGCTGCGACGAGTGGTGCCCGTGGTGGCCCCTGCTGCCGCCGCCGTGGTGCCCGTGGTGCGTCATGGGCGGCTGCAGCTGCGACAGCGACCCGTACTCGGGCATGTGCACCAGCAAGGGCCAGCGCTCCTTGGTCGGTAGGCCCATGATGTCCACGATCTTCTGCATCTGGTTGCGCTGGAAGGGCACCGTCTTCTTGGAGTCCATCTTGGCCTCCTCGCCCTTGAAGATGGGCCGCAGGCTCAGCAGCTCCGCGAAGATGCAGCCCAGCGCCCACATGTCGATGGCCGGCGTGTAGTGCCTGCTCCCCAGCAGCAGCTCCGGGGCGCGGTACCAGATCGTCACGACGACCTTATCGCCGCTGTAGAGGCTGTGGAGGGGCTTCTGGAACATCCGGGCCAGGCCGAGGTCACCGATCTTGACCTCGCCCGCGGACGTGACCATGATGTTGGCGGGCTTGAGGTCCCGGTGCAGCACCCAGTTGGCGTGCAGGTACTGGCAGCCGTTGAGAAGCTGGAACATGATGGACTTGATGGTGGCGGGCGGGATGGGGTGCCTCGGCTGCTGAGTGTGGTGGTGGATGATTTGCAGGAGGTCGTGCTCGGCGTACTCGAACACCATGAAGATGCACTTGTCCTCGAGGATGATCTCCTGCAGCTTGATGACGTTGGGGTGGGACAGCTCAGAGCACAGGGCCATCTCCCGGACGGCGGACTGCGAGATGCCCGTGTAGGTCACCACCTCGCCCTCCTTGTCCGGCTTGAACTTCTTGATGGCGAACTCGCCCTGCTGTCCTTGCCGGCCGACGGCCTTGTAGACGCGGCCATAGGTGCCACTGCTGATGAAGCCTATGACTTTGTACCGGTCAATGACACGGACTTTGGACTGGTAGCCAACTGGGCCGAAGCCGCGGTCAGATGGGTCTGCGAGACGGTCAGCCTTGGTTTCTTCCGAAGGGACTCGAAGACGACGGGGAATGAGCAGGAAGATCATGTGACATGAAGAGGGTGGAGAAAAAGTGAGATGAGATGAGGGCAGCCAGTCGTACATGAGGATGAGCCCTGCCGCGATAGGCCTGGCCTCCCTTGAAGACCTGACGACTGCCGAGCCAGGCCATACTGCCTTGCCGAGGCCGACGAGTTCATCATGTTAATGATGAAGAGGGGCCCGAGCAGGTCGAGGAGGGAGAGCGGCAGAGGGAGAAGAGGTGGCGGCGCGGGGCAGGAGGAGGAGGAGGAGGAGGAGGAGGGGAAGATGTCGGGCTTTGAGCAGCATTATTTGCTCAAAGGGGCCAAAAGGATGCGAGCGGCAAGCCTGACTAGACATGCAGTTGGCCCCAGCTGACATCCGACGGGGCCGGGGCCCTCCGCGACCAAGAACTGTCGGCCGAACGAGATCGGGCCCCGTTTCCGGGCTCCCCGAGGACGAAGATGGGGCCGAGATGAGATGTGGGGCCCGGGATAATTGCTCGAGGGGATGCTGTGTGCAGTAGACAGTACTTTGGGTTAGGGTAGGCTGGGCAGGAGGGCAGGAAGGCAGGTGGTGATGTCTGAGGGTGGAGGAGCAGAAGCGAGAGCGAGCGAGCGAGGGAGCGAGCGAACAAGGAGGTTGGCCTCAAGTCATGTGCATGAGACGGCCTTCGCAGATCATGCTCGAGAAAAGATCGGTGTGGGACGTAAGTGTGGATGAGAGCTCAGGAACGAGCATGATAGATCAACCGTGCAAGCGCAGGCGCAAGTGTAAGCCGCATTTCATATCGAAGCAATCAATAACGGTGGGCAAACGAGCGAGTCGCACAAGGGAACATCGCTCATCATCCCGTCCCGTTCGGGTGATTCGCCGCCACAACAAGATTCGGTGAATGAGGAGAACGCAACACCGTGCAATGGCCCACAAATACAAATTGATGCAGGCACGAGACACACAAGACCTAGACAGACAGACAGACGGGGACAGGCAGGCAGACACAGACAGTAGACAGTAGACACGGAAAGACACAGTGCTGTTGTTGATGATGGGAGCAGTGGCAGTGGCAGCAGCGGTAACCGCGGCGATGGTGGTGACCTCTTACCTTCAAAGGCAGCCTGGACACTCTTCTTAAGAATGCCCTTCGGGTACGTGTGCGTCCCTCCGGAGCCCTGCGACGCAACAGACGGTGGGTTCGTCATCCTCGACCGTTCAGCCCTTCTCCCTCTCTCTCCCGCGCTACACTCGGATGGGCCAGGGCGTTGGTGTTGAGGTTATGCTTCCTCTCTCCCGCCTAGGGCGTCGGATCAAGCCCTCGCTTGCGATTATGATTCTCATGCACGAGCTGATGCTTCGGGCAGAAAGGCAACAAGAGCACTGACGGCGTTTGCTGGTCTGAGCCGGGGTTGGACCGATACCGAGCGAGCGAGCGAAGGGGGGGCGTGTTGGCGGGTCTCCTTTGGCCGTTGCTTTCCGGACGAGCGAGGTTTCAAGGCTTGTTGTGTTGGCGACAGGTCTCGGCTAAGACTTATGGGGCTGGTTTCGGCCCGGGAAACTCAAGATAGAGAGACAGTGCTGGCGTTTCTGGTGTAGACTCTGGGCCTGGCCGTCATTGCAGCAGAGCGTAGCAGAGAAGATAGAGTAGAGTAAATGATCGGATAATGGAGCGCGCCCTGGTCGGTCGCAAGCTCCGTCGTCGCCCGCGCGTCGCTGTATTGTGCACGAGCGAAGCGATGAAACTCGGCTTACCCAAACGGGGTTTCTAAATTGCAGGTATGCAATGTGGCGGGGGGCTCCTAATGTGACGCTGGAAAAGTTGTCTGAGCCTAATTCGCGGTGATCTGGACTGTGGACGATGATATAGATCACAATCGACCCAAAGACAGCAAGTAGACTAGATATGGGGTCTACCTAGATAAACTGACAAGCTAGTGTAGTGGTCTATTCTGGGGCCCCCAGCACTTCGACAACAGAAGCCTCCCAACACTAACAGACCAGCAGCCAGAACCTCACATATCTCTGGTAGTCGTTCGTTCTCAGCCTCATGGACGAACCAGAATGCCTCACGCGCATTGCCGTCCACAATCTCCAGGCCGAGCCAACTCACTTATACAACAAAGGTACATGATACATCGCGGCTCTCACGGTACGTAGTCACTGACGCATTGATCAACTCGAAAATGATAAAATTTACTGCTCGTCTCTTTTCAGGCTCCATGGAATCCACAAGTCCTCTTTGCACCGAAATCAAAACCCCGAGCCCAAGCCACAGCCCAGGTGTTACCTCGGGCCCAGCTTCTCCAGCACCCTGGGGCCCTGCTCCTCCCACTCCTGCTTGGTGATCCACATATTCTCCTTGTCGGCCATGATGTTGGCCAGCACCGCGCCTCCCAGGAAGACCATGTGTCGCCGTCTTGGCGGGTCTTCTATCCTGACCTTGAACTTGCTCAGCCGCTCCGGGTTGCCGCCCAGCACCCGCGTCAGCCACAGCTGCTTGATCTCCTTCTCCAGCCGCGACGGCAGCCCCGGGTACATGCTGCTTCCTCCCGACAGGACGATGGCCTTGAACAGGCTCGAGCGCACGTCTACGTCCGCCGCCTGGATCGTGTTGAACAGGAACTCGGCCATGCCCGGCTGCTCGCAGTCGACCAGGTGGGGCTGGAACAGGCACTCTGGCGCCTCGAACCGCTCGCTGCCGACGCGGATGACACGACCGTCCGGCAGGGTGTAGCTCTCCACCAGGACCGTCGTGTCCTCGCTCAGGCGCTTGTCCAGCTCCAGGTCGTAGCTCACGTAGCACAGCTTCTCCTTGATCTGGCGGACAGTCTCGAAGTCCGCTGTCCGGTTGAGCGCGTAGCCCCTGCGCAGGAGAAGGGCGATAAGGTTGCGGGTGACGTCTCGGCCCGCGACGTCGAGCCGGCGTGTTAGATGGTTGAGGACGACGGATTCGTAGACGGGAACGATGTGGGTGACGCCGTCGCCTGAGTCGACCACGACACCGGAGCTGAGACCTGTGCGGTATAAGTGTCAGCATTTATTTTCCGTATATCTGCCTTGATACTTGGGACCCCCGTAGTTGAGTAGTTGACACATACCTTGTGCGTACAGGGCCAGGACGGCCTGGATGGCGACGTAGACACCACCGAAGCCGTAGCGGTCAAACATGACCTCGCACATCTGCTCGCGGTTCCTGAGGGGGTTCATGGGCGGTTCGGTCAGCAGGATCTTGCGGCCAGTGGTGTCGACCTTCATCTTCTCGGCGAAGGTGTAGTCCCACAGGTGCTGCATGTCGTCCCACTTCTTGACGATGCCGTTCTCCATGGGGTAGGATATCTGCAGCATGGTGCGGGCGGCGGCGGCCTCGTCGCCGCACATGATGTCCTTGATGACCATGTCGCTCTCGCCGGCGCCCTTCTCCTCGGTACGCAGGATCGGCCGGCCAACGATGGAGGGGTATTGGAACTCGGGGAAGTTTTGGGCGGCATAGCCGACCTTGAGGAAACCGGTACCGCCATCGAGGACTAGGTGGTGAGGAGAGCATTAGCTGTGTGCAGCGAGAAGCTGCAGCTAGGGCTGGGACTTGAAGAAGCCCAAGCCTGAACTCGAGAGCTGGTAGCTGGGGTTTGGGGGCTGATGGGGGAAGGCATACCGATGGGAGGAGGGTTGGCCATCTCGACGGTGACGGTGAGGCTCGACGCCGAGTCAAATCAAGGTTTCTGGGTGCCTGAGCAGGTCGAACTGAGCGATCGAGTGGTGTGTGGGCGTCCAAGATGGGGTGTTGGCGTTGGTCGGTGTGTTGGGAGCTCACGATAGTTGGTGTAGCTGGCAATGACGGTAGGCGGTCGCAGGAGTGGGGTGTGCCTTCAGGGGAGAGTCGTCTGCATGCCAATGCCCATGTCCATGTCACTCGCCTACTCAATCGGTTGATGGACCGTCGTCAGCGCCAGAACAGCATTAGTAGCAGGCAGCTCAGCCTGGAAAGGGCGGCTCAGGGGATTGGGGTCTGGTGGCTGCAGCACCTCTCCAGTGGCGCAAGCCTGCAGGGGTAAGAGCAGGGGGCAGAGCCAGCATCGAACCCCACCTTCCACATCGAGTGCACTCCTAGACTACATAGTAAAGGTTCACTCAGTCTGCAGTATGTAGAGCTTCTCGACAATTTCACTTCGTCACTGTCCGCAAACCCCTCTTTTGAATTGTTCCTAGTCAAGATACTCCTCTATCTCACCTTCTCTACATTGATCACCTGCAAAAAAAAAAAAAAAATGACGACTCGGTTGGTGAGGAGGAACATCCGCCTCCTGGTCATCAATCCCAACTCCTCCCAGGACATGACCCATGGCATGGAAACAGCAATCAAGACCATGGACCTGCCAGATGTATGAAAATGAGCATTTACTATTAATGAGATGACTGTGCCGGGTTGCGAGACTCAAGATGGGACAACGCGATGGCGGGTCAAAACAGTGAGGTAATCTATAGGCTCTAGGTACGGTTGCTGGCTGTGTAGCATGGCTCCCGGAGAGCTGTTGTTGAGTCCATGTCGAGTTGTCCCATCTGTCGCTATCGCAATCTACATACCATCTTGTCTCAAGCTACCGAAATAAGTAGGCTGATGGTGTTTCCCCGCCTCGCAGTCACTGGAAATCACGATGTACACCGCGCCCAAAGAGAGCCCAGCAAGCATCGACAACGCAGACCACATCAAAGCCAGCACCCAAGTCGTCTGGGCCAACCTCGAGGCCACTGGTATCCTCGAGGACTACGACGGCGTCCTGGTCGCCTGCTACAGCAAGCATGACCTGGTCCAGAAGATCCAGACCGCCCTCCCACGCCTCCCCGTGACCGGCATCTTCGAGGCCAGCCTGCTCGCGTCGCTCCCGCTCGTGCGGCCCGGCCGCGGCTGGGGCATCGTCACGACCGGCAAGTTCTGGGAGGCCCACCTCGCCGACGCCATCGGGTCCTTCCTCGGCACGGGTTCGGACGGGTTCCTCGGCGTGCAGTCCACCGGGCTGGTGGCCGGCGACTTCCACGGCGACGTGCCCCCCGATGTCATCCGGGACAAGCTCAAGGCGGCCACCAAGCGTCTGCTGGCCGAGGGTGACCCTGACTGTATCCTGATGGGTTGTGGCGGTATGGCTGGTCTGGAGGAGGTGATCCGCACGGCTGTGCGGGAGGAGCAGGGCGAACGGACAGCTAAGGATGTCTATGTAGTTGATGGAGTGAGGGCGGGCGTTGGTGTCCTTGAACAGATGGTGCGGAACAAGAGGATGTTTCAAGTTGCTTAGGTCGGAGGAGCCGATGTGTATATAGTGCTTCGTGGGGTTTCCATCGTTTCGGCACCTGCATGCCTGCTATATGGCCTCATCCTTAAGCGCAGCATCTTTAGCCCTCGGTAGTATTACTGCAGCAGCACGAGGAAAATTCGTTGGGCGACACACATCAGAAAATATTCAGTAATTCATGCTGTATCATTAAATCGTAGTCACTGAGGTGGGATCAAGTCCAAGGGAATCCTCCTTACGTAGGTCACCATCAACCACGCGATATGAGCGCCTCACTAATCCAACCGTCTGGTCCTTCCCCATACCTCATCAGCGTCCTTCTTGCCCTTTGTCTCGGGCACTTTGGTAATGATGAATAGTGCGAAGAGCGCGGCAAAGCCCGCAAAAATAAAATAGACCCATCCGCCGCGACCGCCCAGCCAGTTGTTCAGCGCCGTGTTGACGATGGGGAAGAACTGCGCCACAAGGAAGGTAGCCGAGTAGTTAGTAGCCAGACACCAGCTCTGTGTCGCGCCGACGGCCTCCTGGCCCACCAGCTCCGACGCGAGCATGAACGGCACGGGGCCCAGGCCGACGGCGAAGAAGGCAACGAAGAAGGCAACCGCGAGGGCGGACACAATCTTGAAGCCCGTGAGGATCGAGATAGCGAGGACGAGCGAGGAGGCCCCCTGGCCGACGATGGAGACGAGCAGGCATGTCTTGCGGCCCCACTTGTCAGGGAGAGGCGAGCACGCTGCGGTCATGACCAGGTTGACAGTTGAGACGAGGATCGTGAGAACGATGGAGCTCAAGGGCAGCAAGCCGTTGAGAAGCGCCACCGAGTACATCACGATCGAGTTGATTCCGCACAGTTGCTGAGCAAACATGATCCCCATGACCACGATCATAGCAGGCCGATAAAGAGGATCCTTCAGCGCCTGCATAACTCCAATGTGCTGGGCCTCTTCCTTGTCAGGGACAAGCGAGGCACCTCCCTCCGGAGGCTGAAGCAGGCCCGTTTCCTCGCCAGTAACGTTCTGACCGGAACCGGCCCCCCAGAGCGCTACCTCGTCATCGATGTCGACGTTTCGTCCCCTGATACGCTGCAAGATTTTCCTGCCAGCCACGACGTCGCCCTTCACGGTCGCCGTCCAGGCAGGGCTTTCGGGGACCAGGAAGGTGAGTAAGATCTGGGCGAGAGCAATGATGCCGCTGATTCCCAGGATCCACCGCCACGCGGCACCGTGGCTCAGGAAGTAACCCAGCACCTGGGCGGTCAGGATTCCCGTATTGCAACTGATCTGGGTGAAGGCGCCGAAGAAACCCCTCTCGGCCGGCGGTGCAACCTCAGAGATGTACAGAGGGACGATGACGGTGCTCGCGCCGGAGCCGAGCCCGGAGACAAAGCGTCCGAGTGCGATGACCCAGGCTGCGGTGGCCAGGGCCTCAATGGTCGCGCCAATGACGAATGTGATGGCCGTCATCTGTATGGACAGCCAACGGCCCTTCTTGGAAGTTATGGGCCCGGACGCGAGCGCACCGATCAGGCCGCCGATGGTGAAGATGGAGGACACTATTGCAAATGTCGGCTCGGTCATGGGTATGCCCTTGCATCCGTCCTTGTTCTTGAAGGCGTAGCTCGATAGCCCCGCGGCGACGCGGGCGAGGGTGCCGGACGGCGCGGCATTGTCGTCCTCACAGGTGATGACATGTTGTGGGGCGTTCAACTCGGACTAGATAGGCAGACAAGAGTTGTTAGCTGAAGAACGACTTGAGGTCGAATGTCAAGACTGTAGGGACTAGAGTCACCGCGGGAGGGGGACCGTACCAAGTGATAGCCGAATTGAAATGGACCGAAAGTCGCAACGAAGATCAGCAGAATGAGGTACGGTGACACATCGTGAGCAAACTGCCCCAGGGTCCCGGAGCTCGGCATAGCCGTCGAGAGGGGGAAGGCTTAAGCAGAGATAGAAGGAAGTGCAGGTGCACAGAATTCAATGTTCAATGTTCGAAGCTATCTAGCCAAGGTACACCGAGGGGTGTCGACGGCGTCTTGCAGGTTCGCAGGACAGTAAATGATGGAGGAGGTATCGGCTATTGATTCTCCAGCAAACAAAATGCTGAAGACACTAAGCTACATGTCTAGAACAATGGCAAGGTCGGATGTGGTTGAGGAGCGCATGGTGCGTGTCGAAGCCAAAGTGTTGCCATGTCGTTCGAGTGCCACTAAGCAACTGACGCGTGCTTGACGTCTCCCAGACAAGCCCCCCGGACGACTGGCCCCGGCTTGGCGGGTCGCAATGGCCTGCGAACAGTGCAGGACCATAACGTGAGCCTTCTTTGATGTCGCCCTTAACAGCATAAACCCGCCTTCGAATTACACATTTGTTTCTCAGTACCCATATAGAAGCATGAGCTTGTTCAAAATTGCTCATTTGCCATTTTGCTATTCAACACAGCGCTGCAGCCATGCTGATGGCATTTGGTCTCCCGCAATGTGCCTAACTTGTCCCGTCAAGCTCACTGTCCTCCAAGGATTCTCTTCAGGATGACCTCCAAGGACTCCGTATCCCCAGTCTTCACTCCAATAGCCTCGTTGTCAGTCTTATCGTAGAGAGTGCCTCCCTCGGCCCAGATGCGCCTCAGCGTGAGGACCGTAGCCTTGGCATTACCCTCCTCCCAAAGCTTCTCCTCCTCCTCGATGAGCTCGCTGAGAGGGATGTGGTTGACCTTCCATTTGGCTCCCGTCTGTTTCTCGTATTCTGCAAGGACCTGGTTCGGTGTAACCTCGAATGAGTTGACCTTGAGTGCTTTCCCCAATGAAGCCTCGGGGTGTTGCAGGGCTGCGACTACCAGCTTGCCCACGCTATACGTCAGAGGTCACGGTGTCAGAGGGCATCAAGTAAATATCACCAGTGGGAGGGTGTTGTGAGACTTACTCAGGCATTGTGGTGAAGCCGATCTTGCCATCAGCCTCAGCCAGCCACGCCTCCTTCTTCGGCACGTCGAATCCAGGTGAGAGGTCCAAGCCTTGGGCACGGCCGACCCAGGACTCGAAGTAGGGCCCGGTCACAACATACGTAACCTGCAGGTTCTTGACCTCCTCCCGGATGAACTTGCGAACCTTGAGCTTCTGCTGGTGCGGCTTCTCGTCCTTGCTCTTTGGCCCGTACTCGATGTCCGTGCCGTACTCGGACGGGAAGAACCACTTCACCTTGTCCGACTTGTCCGCCCACCTGATCAGGTCGATCTGCTTGGCGATGGCACCGCGCCCAAAGGCACTGATGACCGTGTCGATGTTGTGGTCCTTGTATGCTGCGCTCACATCGGCCTCAGAGTCGACATCACCGGTGATGACGGTCACGTTGCCAGCCTTCTTCCACTTTTCCAGGAGCTCGCCCTTGCTGTTGACCGTGTTGGTAGATGTGAAGATGGTGATGTGGCCAAAGGCGGGCTGGGCGGCAATGACCTTCTCCGTGATAAAGGTGCCAATGAAGCCAGTGGCCCCGAAGATTAGGATGTTAGATGCTTTGACTGAAGCCATAGCGCAGTTGTCCTTGGACGATAGAGAAAGATGGCTTGGATGAGGAACACCTGAAGCAGTGCGTTTAGACAATGTTCGATACTGGTGATTATTCAACAGAGTGTTCAACACAGCTTCAGAAATGTCGTTGAAGGTTGGAAAATAGCCAGAGACCTTTCTGTATCGCAGTGTTTGACATGTAGTATGTCAAGCTTGAGTGTTGCGATATGAAGCCGGGATGATGCAAGCGTTGGGTTAGGCGGGCTGAAGAGAGGGGGAAAGGACTCACTGTTGCGATACGCAGGCAAATGCGGGCACTCAACTCTATCCGCCTCCGTTTTGACCAGTAAATACTTGGGCACTCACTAGGCAGCGAGTCGCACTTTGGACACGGTGAATCTTAATCTATCATCCTCTACACCCAAAAAGAATGGCATCAATAAGCCTCACAGTCCAACAATAAATCACGTAATGGGGGACTCCGGGCACCTGCGGCACTTCGGAACACGAGTGGAGCTCTTCGGCACCCCGAGCCCGCCCAATTTCTCACTTCTTCCGTCTTCCGGGTCCCGGGTTCAAGACCTTTACCTCAGCATATCCGGACTGTTCTAAAAGCCACAGACGCGTCTAGATAGGTGGAAATCCATGTGTTTCCCTGTACAGTATTTATCTCACATGCAAGTTGTCTCAACGTTAAATGAGGAAAGGAAGTCTATTGGGATAATTACAAAGCGAAAGGGGTTTTCCTTTCAAGTTGAAACAGCAACACTGTCTATCTACGTCGCCCTTAAAGGGCCACCAGGCGAGCCTGCCTCGCCCTCTTTGCCCCTTTCCATAACATCCACGGGCGAAGACGCTCTTGACCTTCTGAGAGTCTGCGTATCACTAGATTCAAGATCGACCTTTGCCTTCCAACCCATCCACCAGTGGCCAGCAAAGAGCTCTTCCATCCTCTCGAGGGGCACTCCTTTCGTTTCGGGCGCCCACAGCCCCAGCACAACCAGCCCGATGGCGCAGATGCACGCCCAGAACACATATGCGCCCCAGATATGGAGGCTCACAAACATATTTGGCGTGACCCTGACCACAGCAAATTGGAACAGCCAGTGCACCGCCATGTTGAACGCATAGCAGACGCTGCGGATGCGCGTGGGGAAGATCTCGGTGCCGTACAGGTACTGGACAGTACACAGGCCGATGGACCAGCCGACGGCGTAGATGAAGACGCTTGCAATGGCGACGTCCGAAGCAGGCTTGTTGATCGTCCCGTGGTAGACCCAGACCCCGGTGTAGACTGCCATGTATGCGTGGGTGATGAGCTGCATGGCCAGGCCCGTGATGAAGCATCGCCGGCGGCCGATGACATCGACCAGGCCCCACGTGAAGATCATCGTAAACACCAGCTTGACAATACCGTAAGCCCCAGAGGTGATGAGCGACCTGCTGTCGCCCGTGACGCCGGCGTATTCGAAGATCTGCGGGATGTAGTAGGTAATCCCGTTGCCACCGGACCACTGCGCTACAGTCTGCATGGCGATGGCCAGTAGGAAACGTTTGCGGTAAGATGGCGTCGTGAAGATCTCCTTGACGATTTCCCAGGTCTTGACCCCAGACAGCCTCTCCTTGGACTGGATTTGGTGTTGCAACTCATCAAACTCAGCCTGAAGCTCGTAGTCGTCACTACTCTTCTGACGGAGCCTGGCGAGGACCGCCAGTGCCTCATCCCCACGGCCCTTGGATGCGAGCCATCTAGGCGTATCAGAAATGAAAAGGGACGTGATGAGGGCTAGCCCAACGGGGATGAGGGGAATAGCAATCACAAGCCGGTACTGCGGACGATAGTCCGGCATAGTAATACTCGCGGCATAATTGATAAAGAAGCCTGTGAGAGAAAGGTTAGTTACGATGGATCCCAGCCACAAGAGGCGGAACATCACAAACCGAGAGACAGAAAAGTCAACAGGAACACCATAGAGACGCTGACGATCATGCCACGGCTCTTGGCAGGGGCTATCTCAGAGAGGTATAATGGGCCGACGACGGTTAGGCCGCCGGCGCCCAGTCCGCCCCATATGCGAGCGAACAACAGGAAGCCATAGATACCCGACGAGAATATCTGCATCACATAGCCGCTCATGTACAGCAGGGCGAGCAGCTGCCAGCACCTCAGCCGACCGATCCGGTCGGTGATGGCCGAGGCTATCAGGGAGCCGAAGGCGGCGCCCAGGACGCCAAACGAGGTGATATTGGCCTTTCTGCTGGCCAGGCCAGAGGGGTTATCCACCCACTTCCCAGCGCTGAGATAGAAGTCATCTTTGAAGGACCTGAGGCTGACGGCGGCGCTGAAGCCACCCTCGTCGTAGCCCTTGGGGATGGAGCCACATCCAATGACGACGATGGTGAGAATATAATACCAGTTAACGGGCCCTTTAAAGGCGGCAGGCGTGGACCTCGACGACGGCATATTGGGGCCGTGGGAGACAAGCGACGGCTACCGCGCCCCTGGGACAGAGTGGATCAGGGCTGAAGTGTGTCCCTTTCGACTCGTGCTGGATGGCCTTGTCCAGACCGCAGGAGTACCGTGTACTCGGCCGACCTCCGCCGACCTGAGTCCCTTGGGCCGGCTTACGACGGATTCTGCTGGCGTGCCCTAGAGCAGCCAAGCGCCCACGAGGTCACGGAGACAGACCGGGGGGGTATGGGCAAAAAGGGACGCGGGAAAAAAGCAGTTTGGAGTCACGCCAGGACGGAGTCGTCAGCGAGCCTAGCAGAGAGCGTCGAGGCCTTGCAGGGAGCTAACCCCGGATGGAGGATGGAACGACTGGGGGAAACGTGCAGCGACGTGCAGAGTGGATGTGGCGTGCGTGGACAGATGGAGGTGATGAACCCCAGGATTCGGGCGCGTGGTCTGGCGTTTCCCGGGTCCGCGTTTGAGTGAATGATGTTGGATGGCGTTGCTGTGCATGGCCACTGTAGGGAGAGAGAATTGCTCACAAAAACCCGTCATGTCGACCCACCCGGTTATCACATCGGTGTGGACCGGCAACGGGTGGGTACCACGAATGGCGGCCGGAAGTTGACCGAACCAAGCAGACGAGCCGATGCCATGCAGGACGGCCGAGTCCAGGCCGATCAGGGGTCATCGTTGACAGCTTGTCCCGGACGCGGGGAGCAGCCACAAGGCTCTACGCCAGACGAACGACAGCCCTGGGGAACTGCCGAACGTCGCCAGCGATGCACACCTGGCTATTCCTGTTTCCCGGGGAAAATGGGGCTCAGGGGTGAGGAGGGAAGGGGGGGTCAGGAGACAATGGCGGCTGAAGAGCATGATGACAGGCCCATATGTCCCTGAGGGTCTGAGGGCTTCATCATGATGCCCCAAGCGCACCAGTCGAGGAATGGGCTCCTCCCCGTCTTGTCCTAAGCTGCTGACCTTTGTTGGATTTTTCTCTTTCAGCTCACTCGGGCAGAGACCGAGCAGCCTGCCTCGACGAATGGATATATGGGATTTCTGGATGCTCGAGTCTGGGCCTGGAAGGACTCGCTGGAGGCTTGTGAATTCTGACGTCTCGCCTCCGTGGGCTTATCTGGGTCTCGCTGCCTGTCCGGGAAGCTGTTGGGCTCGGCGGGCGAATAGCAGAGACAATTACGTCTCGACACCCACGGCCTTTCGCCGAGTGCCCAGTCCTGGACATCGGTGCTCTGGCAGCCGGGCTGGAGGAGGACGCGGCTGGGCTGGGATGTCTCCGAAAGCTTGTTTCGCCTAGGGTCCAGCTTGGTTGTAGTGGCGCCTGTAGCGCATCCGATTTGCTCTTCCAGGCCCTCCAGGGCGCTGCTCACCCTTCTGACTCCATTGCGCACGGCACATGGGCACATGGCACGTCTCGTTTACTGGCTGACTGGGCCATCACCGATGCCGTGACGCATCATATAGTAATAAACGCTCCGCTCCTTACCTGGAGCCTTACGGATGCGACCCTGGTTTGTCTGCGGCCCTGCACCACCTCGTCCTAGAGTTCCAGACCCAGATCTTTTCGCTGGATTCCGGAACTGTCTTAAAGGTCTGGACTCGGAACTCTGGGCCTGCGGCTCCTCTCTTTCGTCAGATCTTTCCGGTCATTTCGTTCCTCATCGTGCTGCGGAGGTATATGTACTCGGTAGCTGGTGGTTGGTCCGAGACTGGTTTCTCCCACGAGCTCAGCCTTTGACACTCAGATCTTCAGTCTCCCTATAAATGATCAACTGAACCCAACCGAAAGTGGTGATCCAACTTTATCAGATCAAACATGGCCACGCTGCTCAGGCACCGTTTGCCAGCAGGCATACTTGATAAGAGGCCCGCGTCACCCAGATCCAGGCCCATCTCACCGTGTCCATCTCTGATCGACATAAACGATAAACCAACATCATTGCACAGGGAGGACTCGAGGTGCAGCTCACCGGATTATTTCCAGCTCCCTTCACGGATGCCGGTAGGGTCATGGGATTCCCATATGCATGTCGTCGACCCAAACCGTTACCCGTTGTCGTTGGCAGCCATATACAAACCAAGCCCATACACCGTCTCGCAGGCCGTCGACTTTGAAACCTCTATAGGAGCCTCACATCTTGTCATTGTCCAGCCCTCGATATATGGGTACGACAACACGTGTCTGCTCGATGCTCTTCGCGCGTTTGGCCCAACTCGAGCTAGGGGCGTAGTCGCATTTGACCCGGAGGTTACCCCGCCCTCGACGCTGCGGGAATGGCACAAGCTGGGCGTGAGAGGCGTTCGGCTCAACCTGCGCTCGACCGGCAACACCATGGACCATGCTGAGATGGAGGCCGTACTGCGAAGCTACGCCGACGCCGTTCGGCCTTTGAACTGGGTCATCCAGCTCTACATCCCACTGGAAATGGTCAAGATCCTGGAGCAGATAATGCCCACGCTGGGCGTCAGGATCTGCATCGACCACATGGGAGCACCGGATCTTTCCGCGCCGCCCAAGACGCCTCGGCTTGACCCGTATAGCCTCAACGGGTTCAGCTCTCTAGTCAGGCTGCTGCAGGGCGGCAACACCTACGTCAAGCTGTCGGCGCCGTACCGGCTCAGTAAAGGCCGAGACTACATTAGGGACGTTGATACCGTCGCGAGGGAGCTGATCCGTGTTGCTGGGCGGACAAGAGCCGTGTTCGCATCGGACTGGCCTCACACAAGGTTTGAGGGGCTTGATATCCGGCCCTGGATCGAGCATGTCCTGTCCTGGTGCGGCGGCAGCCAGCACCTGGCCGAGAGAATCTTTAGGGATAATGCAAAGGAGCTATGGGCGTAGATTTGGGAATGGACCCTTTCTTGAAAATGGGCTTGGAATTATGGCTGGGCCATCTACACATGATGACTTTTGACGACAGACATGAGCGAGACGGGTTCGCGGCTGGCTTTTACCTTGCAAGGGATTTGGTATTCGGCCAGGATTTCGAGCACTGGAGTATATGAGGGATATATGATACCATACGAACTAAAATAATGTGGAATGAATACAAAATGACTTTTTGCCTCAAGACGACACTGAAGATGAAAAACAAGTAGAGGCATATATTCGAAATAGTCAGGATAGCAGACGAGCATCATCAATTGATCCCGAACTCAAGAATTGATCCCAACTTCAAGAGAGGACTCTGTTCAAAGGGCCGTGAAAGTCCATTGCTTGGTCAGTCACGACTTGAATAGGAGTCTACAGATACAGTCTAATTGACACAGGGTCTGTGGGCTGTTGTGTATCAACTGGACAAAGTACCTACCTCGACATGAGGGCCTCTCACCACAATCATCCTTCTGAAAGCGAGAACTCATCCTTGAGCCTCCAGAAGGGACGCTGTCAGACCATGACTGCATACTGAAGGATGCGATATCCATACGTGGAATCCTATATGCAAGCGAGGCCCAATTCTTCCGACTAGATGTGGTTTCTCCTGCAGATCAGCTGGCAAAATCGACGAATGCTGATCATGCTGATCATATCTCTCCTTCCAAATGCCGACTGAGGCAAGGCAGTCGCGAGACAAACAGTCACTGCTGGCTGACACCGAGTGACTTTGGAAGACTATATATACTCACCGTATCGCCCCATCGTCAACAACTCAGATGGTCCGGTGGTGTAGTTGGTTCATCACGTCAGTCTAACATCATTTCCAAGTGAATTGAGAGTACACTGAAGGTCCCCGGTTCGAGCCCGGGCCAGATCATCGTTTTCTTTTGATGGTTTGTGGTTCATGATGGATCACCGGCCGCTTGGTATACTTTTGACCCGTAGCTTCTGTGTATTCGCGCGCGCTTCAGTCTCCGCAATTTGTAATATAGCCAGTTGGGTTCAGAATTAGCTGATGCGTATATTCTGCTTCTTTTTAATTTGAGCAGCAATTTGTGGGTGATGTGGTTCACATGCTTAAGAGCGTGGTTTTCTTGGCGGTGAGACATTGGGTGGGGACCCCACCAGTTCAGTCTATCAGTGCAGGCGGGTTAGGGGTTGGGAATAGACAGACTCCAGTACCCAAGTATCCCATCTCAGGAGCAATTCCACTTACACGGCACAGCTGCTCGCTTTCTTCTCCTCCGTCACCCACGTGCGCGACTCCGAGACCATGGATGTGCGATGACGCCGGCGTCGATCATTTACTGTGCCGTGCAGTTTTCACCGCGCATTTCGGCCATCTTCCGCGCGGGGTCCAGTGTCTGTGGCGGATATGTTTCGATTCAAGCATATTGATCGCCCTCGGATCTTGGCCGAGGTTGACAGGTTGACGAAGAGGCAGAGGAGGGTACGCCCACCCCCCCCCCTCCCAGAGATCCGTGTTGCCGTGCCTGCTTTCCCACTCAGAGGGTCGGTCCAGCAAACATGATTTGCGAAACCCAGGACTCGCAATAACAAGGTTTCCCAGAGGCGGCCAGATGATCACTCAATGTGGAGCCGCCTCGTCCCTCAACCCGGGGGCTAACCGGCTCTCCTTCCTTCCCGGGATAAAGTTGGCCGAATCTTAGACAAGAGAAGCTTAGGACGCGCGAGGGTGGGATTACCTGTAGGCGAGATGGACCAGCGATCCCCTTGCTCCTCCCGCCCGGCTGGGAGGGCTCAAAGGGCCCCATTATTATCTCCATGCTTTCCATGGGACACCCCATATCTCCCGACTCTGGGGTAATTGCCTCAGATGGGTGGGAACGATCGACTGACGCCATCTACGTCTCGATTCATTGCCTCCCCCCCCTCTATCGAAGCATTCACCGCGCTGGCCTCGGCTGGCCCTTGATGATCCCAGATCGTCCTATTAATGACTCCCACGACTCGCACGTGTCTTGTGACGATCAGTCGCGGCTCCGCCGAGGTTATCAGTTAACACATGACCTGGGTCGGATCTTCGACTCAAAGTGGACAATGTCCTTCCATTACAATGCTATGTACTCTTGTGTATCTTCAGCCTCCAACCTCGATTCTGGCTCATGAGCCGTCGAGATGTCGGCTCCGCACATTTGTCTTCAAGAACAAGAACCTCAACGCCAGAACAATGCAGCGCAATAACTTTTGTTTATGACTTCTCTGCCTCGGTGTCAGGTTCCTCCACCGATAGCTTCCTCCACCAATGGCTCAAAATCTAACCTGAAAGGAAGACGGGTCTCCACTATCAGGCCATAGAGGAGCTTTACCGATGCTCGAAGTATTCTCGCGGGTGTTCCTGGGTGCTCATGGGATTTCCAAAAGACGCCGTGATTGGCTGCAGCGAAGACACTGCCTGGAAGACCTGATCTGAAATTCCATGGTGCTGAAGATGTTGGTTGATCTTTTCGGGCTGGGTGGTCTGAGGGAATTGGAACAGGGCCTGCTGCAGGCCAGGCGGTGTGCGGCTGGGTGAGCCGAAGCCCGTCATGTGGCTATCAGTGTTGCCCATCATGATCTCATGATGGCTCATGCGGTGGCCGTATCCACCGAAGGAATCTTGACGGCCTCGGAACTCGGACGACATCGACGATGCCTGTTGGTGTTGCGCGAATCCCGGCCGGGCCGGGTTCTGCTGCGCTTGTCCTTGGAAGCCGGGCGACGCACCACCACCAGGGGTCTGGATTCCCAAGGCGGCCAATTCGCGCAGGATAAGCTCGACTCCACTACCGACGATCGGGTTGATATCCTTCAATTTCGACAGGGCACGGATACAAAAGTCCAGCCTCCTCAGGGCAGGTTGCTGCTGCTGTAGCTGCTCCTCCGTCAACATTCCTGATGACGCGCCGGTGTTCTGCGCATTAGCGGCGGCTTGAACTTGTAGAAGGAATATCGACGCCGCAATGTACACGCAGTAGCTCAATGAGAGCACGGATCGATAGATGCCGAAGGACTTGCAGAAAAGGTCGAATATGGCGATGATGGACGTCGCCGAGGAGACGCACTCGAGCAGGTGCTTCGCGCGGTTGTTGTTGGGTGTGCACTCACGGGAGAGCATCGGTCGGTGCAGCAGGATATTAAACGTATGGTAAAGGCAACTGCTCGCCGTTGCCACCAGTCAGCGCGTCCCTTGAGCGAATGCATGAAGCAGAGGGAAAACATACTTGAGAGTGACGATGTGGCTTGGTGGTGCCAACGGGGGCAGCATGCTCGCGTCGATCTTCAAGAAATGCGGCAGATCCTCCCACCACTTCTTCAAGGCTGCCTCCTGCCTCACCAAACACTCCTGGATCTCGGACTCGGTGTTCAGCCCCAGGGGGTCGTACATATGGATCAGGATCTCGTTGAAGATGACCGTCAATCGACACATCTGCACGAAGCAGGATGTTGAGTGCGCTGCGATAGGTGGGTATTTCACGCCGTCTGGATAGGTGATGCCGAACGGTGTCCACATCTCGTTCTCGTTGGAATCATCGACTGCGTTGACCTGTCAGTATTACATACAGATCGGCTTGGAGAGGGCGGACCACGTACGGATCATCTGTGGCGGCGACACATCCGAGTGCTGTAGGCTCGGTGATCTGCCGAGGTAGAGACTGACGATCTTGTCCCAGAAGTAGCAGCTCCAGAACAGCCGCCGACGGATCTCGACATCCTCATCGCTGAATGGGATATTGCCTGTATATCGCTGGCTGTCGACACAGATACCCAGATGATCGATCATACGGAATGCCATGCCGCTGTACATCCATGCCTGCGAGGTGTTGCCGGCGCTACATTCCTGAGCACTTAACAGCAAGAGCGTCTGGACGGTTGGAATGGTGGCCACACCGCGGGAAATTTCCTCGAGGACCATCGCTCGCGCATGACGGCTGAACACTTCACCGCCATCATAGTCGTTCTCGAGACGTTCGCGGGTGTCCTTATCCCAACGGCCCCACCGGATCGAATGCGAGAGTATGGCATTTAGTAGGGTGTGTGAGTAGTATGGGCCAAGGAGCTGCATGTCACGGGTGAAGGTGGGACGATAGACAAAATTCCACAGGGGCTGGATCCAGCACCAGTGCGTGCTGAGTAAGTATTGGAACGGTTCCTGGGAACAGATTGGTCAGTTACGACTGACTCCTGTGAGAAGACGGGATGAAATTGGGAGACGAACTGGGATCTCTGAGAGGTCTTCCAGCGCCCGCTGCTGCCAGGCGTTGTTGACCAGTCGTTCTCTCTTGCCATAGAGCGGATCCTCCGAATTGGACGGGCTCGGGGCGTCACTGCTCTGGCCGCGGCCATACTCGCTGGGCAGGTGGAAGAAGCTGGTGGCGCCATGATACGTGATGACGCCCTTCTCGTCCAGCTTAAGGCCCTTGAACGTCCCCGTCAAGCCCTCGGACTCATGGCCAGTGAGGGAGCTGTCGTGCGAGGATGAGAGCTGTCCCTCAGATAGCCCACGCTGAGGCTGGGGCGGTGCGTGAGCCTGGGCTTGCGCCTTTGATAACTGTTCTTCCAGGTCCTTGATACGCTCCTCCAGGCGCTGGGTATAAGACAGCGTTGGGTTTCTAAACGAGTCAGCACGCAGCTCCGCACTGGGCAGGGTCAGGTGTAGGTGAGAGTGCCAGGGTGGATTGTGAGCATGAGATACACAAGCATCTTCGCACTCTCGAGGTGAGTGGTGAAAGGTCATAAGGGGTGGGGTGGACGAGAGGACGAAGAGGACGGAAGGGGATCCCACAACTTGTAGACGCAAGCATCGTTTCTTGCCAGACACCTGCTGCAGACAGGCTGTTCGCCTCCACACTTGACCTTGCGGCGGCGGCAGGGCTCGCAGGAGAATGCGCTCTTCTTGGTCGCCCTGGCGGAGCTCGGGGCTGCGGTCGTGGCGGCGGCGTCCTTGTGGCTGGAGGTGCCGTTGCCGTTGGCGCTGTTTTTGGTGGAGCTCGAGGCAGGTCCGGATGCTGATGACATTATCGCTGCAAGGGTTTTTAAGGTTTGTGTCGACACTGCCGGCTGCTGAGAGGAACAGTGAGACGGCAGAGCCTCATCGTAGGATCCGAATAAGGATCACCAGGAGAGAATTGGCCAGATCGGGAATGAGGCGAGGAGCACTACTGCGGTGGAGCTGACCCGAACCAGAATCACCGGGTCCCGTTGTCTCGCACGTTCTTGGCCTCTAGAGGGGTGTTGAGCAAGAGTCTCCTTTTTCTTTCTGGTTTTGTTCGCCTTTGGTTATTTCCGCCACTGGGCCGGGACGGGGCGACACAAGCGGAGCCGCAGGCAGACAAGACACAGGACGAAATGAAACGGAGTCGGGGGCATGCAAAAATTTGTATCACTCAATTCTGTCAAAAGCAAAACACAACGGTCGTTGTGGCGCCGGTGGTAGGGCAGCAGCACGGCGTGGATGGGGCCTCTGTCGACCCTCTCCTGAAATAGGTCCGCTGGTGCCGCTTCACTGTTGAGGTGCGGGTAAGTATCGTCATTCCCCACTTGCGTTCAGGTCCAAAGTGGAAATCCGACGGGTTTTCGCTTGGCCCAAGGCCCGTCGTGTCGAGATCCGAATAAAAGGCTGCCAGATTGGCTCAGAGCATCCAGAACCTCAGCATATCCGAGCCCACCAACAAGCCTATTCCATGCAACGACAACTTGTGTTGTCCTGCAGCAGACCAGATGATGTGCGTCAGGTTCATCCACCGTCAGGGTCTAGCCTGGCCATGCGCCGCTTGAACTCAAAAAAAATCTTTGCAGGAGATCTAAAACACTGGATGGGTGACGGAGCTGAGATGATGCCCGTCCCGGCCGCACTGATCCTGCCCAGCCTGTCCTGCCTCTCCTGTAGGGCTGCTGATGATCTCCTCGTCGCGATTCAGGGGGACGAGTGTGACGTAACGCCGTCGTCGGAACCCCCCGAGCAATCCCGAGTCGGTACCGATGTGCTATCGGGTCTGGACCACGCCTCAGGGGCAGCCGTGGAGGTTTTGGCGTGCCTGAGTGGTCCAACTACTTCTCCTGGGTGTCCAGTATCTCGTACGGCCTCGTATATCAGTGGATGTGCAGGTGGCGGGAGAGTGGCTGTTGGCCACAATAATCACACGACGAGACCGGAGAGCCAAGATCAGGAGAATTAGCTGACAAACAAGCCGAGGGTCTAGATATTTCTCCGCATGGCACAACCCTGTACCTCGACAGCCGGACGGATCCGAAGCCGGACCGCGACGGGGCCTCGGGCATGAACGAGCACAAACTGGACGCTGAGATAATGACAGCAGCAGCCGGCCGGCATCAGATCTGCGACGCTGCTCCGGCCGTCATTACTCACACGGCTTTCGATACACGTATAGATCGGGTACAGAATGGTCAGTATTGCATCACTCCCGGCTGCATGCAGACAGGGCTCCGATGCTCTATGCAGAACGAAGAGGGTTCGGATCGTCCCGGCAAGTCCGCCGACCACCTGCCCTCCCTTTGGTGAGAAGTACCAGCCGACGACATCTCCGCAGTTAATATCCCATCGACATCCTCCAGTAATATGAGGTGGATTGCGGCGGATGATTGTAAGCTGCCGATCAAAAGTCATATAGCCGAGTTACTAGGTGCGACGTCGTGTCATTGCAAATGCCCTTCAACTACCGACGACATTTTGTGGGCGTGGCCAGGCCGATCCTGATTCGCTACTTTCGTCCCATGCTTTGCCTGTACATTTCTTGACTCGAATGCAACTCTGCTTGCTGCTTCGATAGCGGCTTAATATACAATCACGATAGAATCGTCCCATTTTCCTCGATATGAAGGCGCCCTGTTCTCTGGCCTTGGCCGCATTCCTCTCTTTGTATATTGGAATCCTGTGATGTGGGCAGCATCGAATCACAACCGTGGCTGTGCGGTTGGGATACTGTTCAAGACAACGAGCTGGACGACTGTCTCGCAGGCTTTTGGAAACACGTCCACGGTCCGGCCTGAAGCGCTCGTGGGAGCGAATACGACTTTCTCCACAACACCCTTGCCTGCAGGCACGATGCCATTCTGCCAATCTACCTCTGCTATTGGCATCAGTAAGTCGTGACTCATTGGCCAGGCCCACAATGTAGTTATATATGCTATAGACCTAGGGTAACAATATGTTGAGAGGCTATGAGACGGGGCATTAAGGAGGGATTCGCCCGCAATTGCTGATGCTCACACAGTCCGCACAACCTAAGGAGGACTAGTGCTTGCTATGCTAACGCACTTGATGCTCGCTTACAACTACATTGGGTCCATATTCCACATAGGTGAGGCATAGCCGGAGTAACCCCGAGTCGGACCGGTCCCATGCCGAAGATCTCATGATGCTCATTCCGTGACTGCTTGATTACTATCGGGGCATCATTCTGGGGCTCTGCTGGACAAACTGCGATACTTTTAATAAGCTGGTGTGTATTGGGAGACGTGTATCCGAGAGGATGCAATACCCGGATGCCACGGCTGCGTGGGTATATGCTGAGCCACACATATGGAAGCAACTTCCGGACATATGCATGCTATTCCCACCTTTGTGAAGATTTGCTTCCGTCGTAATCGTGGACCACCTCAATGCTTGGCTGAAAGCCCTTTATTAGACTCTAGCTTTTGAGCAAGGCTATTAGCAGGCTGTATCCTGTTTCGCGAAACTGTCCATAGACCAGACCTCCTTAGAACTTCAGTGCGGACCTGAAAATTTCAGTGCCGTGAAATGATTGACATGAACTGATTACCATGGATGAACACCTCGAGCCTAAAGCAGGGATTTGCATGACGACTGCTCTGTAGGAGTGGATTTCTAAGAAACAAATCCCTTGGATCAGCAAGTAGTTCGATCCCAGCTGATGAATACATCAATAACACATAGTTTTCTTGTGTCCACCTCCTGACACCTGAGAAAATATCCATGACTGCTGACACATGGCTCACAGTCCCGCGCCGCGCAGTGCTGTGTAGGTTGTGTACTTGCTCAGTTACATTCATCACGCAGTCAACACTGACTACGTTGCTGGCCGGCTGAATTAGCTGCGTAAAATGCGCTTCCAGTCTCAGTACTGGCGTAATGGAAACCACTCAACCACATTTCAAGGACTCCATCAACCCTCTCACACATCGCCACGGTTGGGCAGCGGACATACTGGAGAGGCAACTATCCCTCCTGCCCTGTCAACCATCCTCCAGGCTGCCGAAAGTTCCTGTCAGGCTTGAACTCTCGGGTCCACCTCGACAGTGTCCCCCATGTGTTGGTGGCAGCAGGGGACGTGAACTCAGGCGTCTAGGAGGGACCCAACGCCTCCACAGCAAGGGACCCGAGTTATCACTTAGATCTTAAAAATGGATGTGTCGTCATTTGTTCAGCATTCAATTCCTTTTCGAGTGCGAGGCTGGGCGAGCGTCACTTAGAACACAGCACTGGATCATGACTGTCCAAATCAACAACCAACGGGGTTCTGGTCGCCGAGAATGTGTCACGCAAAGTTGGCCCGGAGTGAAGAGTCGGTGTTGTCTGAGACTTCTTCAAGCCTTTGAGACCAAAGGCAAGAGCCAACAGCACGCTGGTAGTGCAATATGCCTCATTGTTGCCCTTTTGTGCGAGAATTACTCGCCATTATCGTACGACTTCACCACAAAGAAACAGGAGCAGGCGTGAATGCGACCTCAGAGGCCAGAGATTGGACGACTCTGAACGCGTCTGCTCGACAACACGCCATCAGCTCGTTGACGCCGGAGTTGCATTGCGGGAGAAAGAACCTTCGCAATCCCATCTGGCTACCTAGAGCACCATCTGACTATGTCACGGAGTAGATAATCCTCGTGATTGGCCATGATATTGAGGCACTCTGCTGCGGCTGGTGCAGCTGCAGGACGCTACCCTTGCCCCTCTAGACCGGGCTGAGTTGAGTTTGGCCTGTGAGAAAGTCAAACACTACAGATGATGGACTCAGCGATAACCAGCTTTGGAGTGATTTGAAGGCTACAAGCGGCCAGATGAGCATCGTTCAGGACTGGTTGATCCCTTGGGAGCAATTTGTGGGCAGTGCAGGGTGGGACTGGACGCGTCGCGTGTCGCCGACAACGAAGAAGACTTGAGACGTGCGTGTTCTCTTGTGCCGTTCTCTCAATTCTTCCCCTTGTGCCGTGTGACAGGACGTTATCGTCCAACGTGGACTTAAACAGCCCGGGTTGGGTGGCTGCCGGAGACGCGAAGGGCTTCAGAACGGCTCGGCTTATTCACGTCGTGCCTTGGAGCCTGCAGTGAACCTCACACCCCTTAGACTAAGATTGGCGGATGAGATTCTGAGAAGCGGTGCTTATGTAATGATGGGCTCCACTGCCAGCCAAGGTTCCTTTTCCTTGCCGGGCTCCCCATTTCTGTCCCGACGCGGGGCGAGACGCGCACAACTTGCGGACAACGCGTCTACTACAAGTTTCGCGACTTCGTCAATTAAACCTCACCAACGGTCGCATCGCATGTGCTAGACCCTTGCACCTGGATCCTTACCTCACTCGCTTCACCATCACCAACCATATTCACCCTCTTTGTGATTGTTTTCGACCCAGAGCATGCAGAAACCAGGGCAGAATTGTTTGCCGCCCTTCACTTCTCTTTGACTTGCATGACGCTCCTCCCAAGTGACTTTCACATTGTCAGTCACACAGTCAGGTAGCGCTCGCTCGAGGACACCCTGCTGCCCGACTCTGGAGCCATAAATTGGGCCAACAACCTCGACCTCCATTGTCACCATCGCCCTTTACGGCCATACCGGAACCACTGCGACCTCCAACGGTGACAGTGAGCGCGACTCAAGCCACCCACCTCCCTTTCCCCCCTTGAGTGGGAGCACAGTCCCAATCGTTCTTGCAAGCTTCCAAAATGGCTGCTGCGAACGGTGTTGGCGATGGCATCTTCTCTGCCACATACAATGGAGTCAGTACAATCTCCTTCGCCCCATCAATGGCTATCTTCCTTGCGCTTTACTTCACGTCCCCCTCCCTTCCATCCCCCCCTTCTTTGCTCTTTACTTCACGTCCCTTTCATCTCTCAGACATTTCGTGGCCTGTTCCATCCCTACCCAGGAAGCCCTAACTAACCTGTCCCAACTTCACAGAACCCCGTCTGGGAGTTCCAGTTCTTAGGCCCAGATGCAAAGAGAGAGCATGTGATGCGACGCCAGTCCGACAACTGGGTCAATGCCACACATATCCTGAAAGCTGCCGGTTTCGACAAGCCCGCGAGAACTAGAATCCTCGAGCGCGATGTACAGAAGGGAAACCACGAGAAGGTTCAGGGAGGCTATGGTAAATTCCAAGGTAAGAAGAATCTCAGTGCTCATCCGCATTTCGTCATGTCCTGCAATCTTAAGAGCCTCGCTGACATTTGCGTCCTCTCGCTGTAGGAACCTATCTGCCTCTGACAGATGCACGAGAGCTGGCGCGACAACACAACGTCCTCGATCGCATTGGTCCCATCTTTGACTTCGTCCCCGGTGCTGTTACCCCACCTCCTGCTCCTCGACATGTCAGCAAACCAAAACAGCCTAAGAAGAGTGCGGTGATTGCCCAACCTGCTGCTATCAAGAAGCGGAAGCGCAATGGTGGGACCGACCAAACTTTCCCTTCCTGTGCTCGGGTACTGACCATATTTAGATCATTTTGCGGATGACTTCGATCGATCTTCCGTTGCTTTCCGGGATGATACACCCGACGACCAGACGGTAGCTTCCGGCAGTTATATGGCCGAGGATGATGCAGACAGGATGATTGTGCACAGGGTATGCATTCTCACGATGCTCTCATCTCATCCCTCCCAAGGAGGACTTGGAAGGCTACATGCTAATCTGAAAACAGCACACAATGTATGGCGAGGCACTCCTTGACTACTACGCCCTAGACATGCGCGACTCGTCTGCTCCGCGCCCGGAGCCCCCTACGAACTTCAGGCCCGACTTCCCCATCGACAAGCACCAAAATACCGCCCTACACTGGGCCTCGGCAATGGGTGATATTGACGGAGTCAAGCACATGAAGCGTTTCGGTCCGTCACTTGCTGCAAGGAATATGCGAGGCGAAACCCCCTTGATGCATGCAGTCAACTTCACAAACGCCTTCGACAAGCAGACATTCCCAGCCATTATGGAAGAGCTTCGAGAGAGCATTGGAGAGCGCGACCTCTCGGGCCGGACAGTTCTGCACCATGCCGTTTCGCACGCTGTCTCGGTCAAGTATCGGAGACCTGCCAGGTACTACGTCGAAACCATCCTGGGAAAGCTACAGGACACACACGATTCCACGTTTGTCGAGCAGCTCGTGAACTCCCAGGACGTCAATGGTGACACAGCTATCCACCTTGCTGCCGAAAACAAGAATACCAAGATTATTCGCTCGTTGCTTGGCCGTGGCGCATCCACCTCGATCCGCAACAACAAGGGCATGCATGCTGAGGAAATGATCCGAGAGCTAAACGAAGGCATTCGGTCACGCTCCGCCATGCCTCCGCCATCGTCTTCGCCGTTCGCCCCTCCACCTCGACGCCCGAGCGTCAGCGATGCGCTGCAAGACATGTGGAAGAATGCCGAATTTCGGTCCGAGGCCGCCAAAGCCGTGCAGAAGCGAATCGCCCCCAGCATACTGCAAAAGAGTAGAGATCTTGCGCAGATCTTCGAGAATCAATGGCAGGAGAAGGACGAGGCCGAGCAAGAGGTGCGCCAGATCCTGGAAAACACCCAAGAGGAGGCCATGGCTCAGATGGAGGAACTGCGCCGTCTTGAGTCAATGCTCGAGCCGGATGAGCTTGGTGCGAAGACGACAGCCGAGGCGGCGCAGTTGCGCACTCAACTCGCATCTCTGCTCAAGTATCAGAATCGCATTACAGTCCAAGGCAGGGTCCACACCGAGCTTAGCATGCAGGTCAATGGTGACAGCCAGGGGGCCAGCAGCCAGGCGAGTGGCCATGACGATCAGGACGAGCGCCGACAACTGGCACAAGAGCTTCTCGGCAGGATTAGCGACCTGCGCAAGCTCGAGGAGGACCTGGTGGCGGCGACAGGATTGCAGGGCATGGGCCAAGCCATCGAGAACTATCGATATCTGCTCCAGCTTTGCCTCGGCCATCAGGCGCCGGGCCTTGACGACAACCTGGACAACATGATCCGGGAAATTCAGGATGAGGTTGATTATACCAACAGCTCACGGGCGTTGCGTGTGACGGGCAATGGCGATGCACACGCAGTGGAACTTTCTGAAGGGGAGTAGAGTGCCTCCTCTGGGACTTTGGGGGCTGACTATGGCACGAGAGTGGGGCGTTGATTTCCAGGGACAGCCGGTAGTGTAAATTATTTCAAGTGAGGTATTCTCCTTGCTTTATGGCATAGGAGTTCGACGGTTCGGCGGTCTGGATTCATCGGCGGTCAAGATGAGGAGTTATGGCGGCGTTTCGACGGCCTTGTGAGATACCAAAATTATCAGTTTAGGGCGTCCGTAGCATCATCAGTAGGAGAATAGACGGACAGCGGACTATGGCAAGAGTGGCCAAATCGGCACTGCCTTGATACGAACGTGTTATGTATTGTAGGCGTGTGACCAATATCAGACACATGAAACATTAAGGCAGCATTTCGGTTATTCGGTCCTGCAACCCTGGGCCTTGTCAACTGCAGAATGCGGCGCCTACTGTCGGGTTGGCCAGAGACCACTTTGCGTCAGTCGAACTTGCAAAGAGGGCGAAAACAAAACTAGCAAAGCATTGTAGAGGTCTCTGTGTTCGGTGAGCTTTGAACCAATGTACACGTTCACGGTTTGTCTGAGCTTAGTATGGTGTTCATACTCATCCTCTGTTGGCCATCATTCTGCTAATGTGCCCAAATGAGAGCATATTCACAATAAATTAGGATATACACACACATAATGGCGTGTTTTGTGTTGTGATTGAGAACCGCTGCACTCGGTTAGGTTGATGACTTATTGTGCATCATTAAGAACTTGACCTCGGTCAAAAAGTCCGATTCCAGAAGGCTTGCCAGACAGGTACTGAAGAAGTCCGCGAGTGTCTCAGGTCCGGCATGAACAGACAGCTGCCTACCTCAGTATGATGTTATGAAGGCTCGTTGTGGACCTTGGTGTTTGGTTATTGACTAAGAGGGCATGCGCAACTTAGAAAATATAGGATCTCAGAACATACCTTAGGTATACACATGTTGCATTGTCTTCCAGACCCTGGTCAACACACTTGGGCATCTAATTATCTATCTAGGTGGCTAGAACAGTTCCCTATAAAACATTCTACAGGATTGCAAGGCTTCCCTAGTAGCAATCAATTCAGACCACATGTAGAGTTTCAAGACCCCTTTGTCTTGAGGGGCGACCTACTTTCGCAAGCTTCACCATGTCTCAGCGGTCATTCATGCCATGCGTATCTGGAGAGAAACAAGACATTGATAGCTTATACAATTTCTTTTGTCGCATGTTCAACACTCCAATTCCATTCAATCACGTTGAAAGACACATGTGGTCCTGATCCAAACTTGTGAACAAGCCAAACACCAATGCCTGCCCTCTGGGTATTCAATGTACCGTGTATGTGACCTTGACCAAGCACCAAAACAGACAGAAACCAAATTGTGAAGTCGTGAGGATCATTTAAATCATCACCATCGTCATCGTTGTCGTCGTTTTCTTAATCATCACAATCATCATCAACATCACCGTCTTCATAACCAGCGCTTCCTTTTTTGACGCGAAGGACACCCCTGCCACCTTTCCACCTGCTCGAATGACGCAGAGCTTGTATGCGGTAATGGTTGATGAGAATGAAAAAAACAAAATGAACAGAATGATTATCAGTAAGGCAAAAAAGTTGGAAGCAGTACAGTATGGGAGGAGGAAGAGAACAAACTAAGTATAGAAAACGCCGCCTCCCTTCCTTCCTTTTAGATCGGTATCTATACGTGAGCCTAACAAAAGAAAAAAAAATATTAAAGATATGAGACCTTAGAACCACAAAAGAATGCATGTGCCATTGCAGATAAAACGATCACCTCCCTAACGTATTCCTATTCTCGAGTCACCGCTTGTCCTCGGGCCGCACCCTCGCACCGTAGAAGCCACCGCCCCCGGCCGCAGCACAAGCCAGGCACACCCCGCCTCCACCATACACGCGGGTATGCCTCGTCCAGCTGGCACTAGAATGATTGAATGCGTCCGGGCCTTCATCGGGGGCTTCGCCGTGGGCACCGTACGTGCTGCTGTCCTCATGGCCGTGGTCGTGGTCGTGCTCCGCGTAGACTATTCTGACTCCTCCATCCACTGCGCCTGCCCCGGGAAACATGATCGAGGCCGGGTCGAAGGGGTAGTCGGTCAGCGGGGGAGGGGGGAGAAGAGGAGACGTTGGTGGATATGAAGAAGGGGAAAATGAGGTGTTCGACATGGTGCTTTGGCTGTGGTATGCGCCTACTGGCCCGGTTGAACTTGGTCCATAGGTATCTGCTGGTATGGGGATAGTTTTGGTGAAACCTCTTCGTCTGGAGGAGCCAACGGAAGGTGAATTAAGACGTGATGAGCCAACTCGGTTGTCTGACCCAGTGTCCTCATTGCTCGGATCTGTCCTTGCCGTGATGTAGCTCGGGATTTGGCTCTGATAATAATCAAAGCCCGGAGTATCGATGGCGACAGCCTCTAACTCGGCAGGATTCGATTGCGCGTATCCTGCAAAAGGCATGCGGGTTTCAAAGTATGTCTGGCGGCCGCGGTGGAACGAACCGGTGGCCAGCTCTGTGGGTGTCATGGATTGAGACTGTGGTTGGCTAGTGGGCCCCAGTTCGAGATGCTGTTGTACCGGTTGCCCTCTGCCCATGACCGAAAGGGCGTTGAAACCTCCGTCGGGATCGTACATCACCCCCAAATCATCTGCCATACCATAAGGACGGCCGAAGAAAGGAGTTGTAGAGCGACTCGTGGTCATGACACCCCCATACCCCCATTGCCTCGAGGCGAGGTCATCGTCCATGCTATCCTTTTCTGTCTCGGCGAGACCGGGGAACTCATCGCCAACATCGTCCAATGGCGGGAGCGAATGAAACGATGATGATGTTCTGACATGGTCGCTCTCCTCAGCAGCAGCGGGGAAGAAAGGGTCAGGATGAGGCAGGCCACTTGACTCCTGCTCGGCGCCATAGCTCGACTCATTGCTGACTCCACGTGACCCTTTAATTTCAGTGTGAGTTGTCCGCTCCTCTTCTTCCATGCTCCTAACGCTGCTTCCTTCGACAGATCCACCCAATCCCACTGGAGTTGTGCCACTTGCTTCCCCTCTGCTTATGGTCCAACTAGCCTGCTTTTCAAAGTGGCCCTGTCCCTGTCTGGCTTGCTCCCAACTGTCTATAAGCTCCGCTTTAGAGTCAGAGGAGATCCAGGAGGCAAATCCTCGTGGCGGATAGGGATTTCTGCTGATATAGTGCCCAGAACGCCGCGCTGAGAAGCGAGGCAGCACGAGCTTCTGGAATAGGTACGAGGCTGCGATTACCGCCGTGAAGGCGCTGATGAGTAGGCTGGATCTGGTATATAGTGACTGGTCTCCATGAAGATGACCGCTGTGCTGGGAGGAATCCGAGTCGCTGCCGGCTGATGTGAGGACAGGCATAGCTCCTGCAGCTTACTTATCGAGGCCCAAGCAAGGGTAAAGAAATATGATTGTACCTTGCCCGGCCGAAACAGTGGCCCACGAGATCGGCAGCCTCGGGTATTCCTTCTTTGAAAGTAGTATGAAGGAGTGTACAAGACAGATGGATGGGACTTGTGTGTCACGCATATGCTATCGGCAGTGCGAGCAGAGACAGCCGTTGAGGTGAGACGAGCCGCTGCAGTCCAGACGCACTGAGTGTCCGAAGAAGATCCGTAGTAGGCCAGAGAAGCGGGAGGAATGAGAAAAAGGTGGGTAATACATGAATGTGATCCTTTTTGAACACCGTAGAAGTTGGTAGAAAACGAGCAGACTGTTCAGGCAGTCCAGTGGATAGTAAAGTAGAAGTGACAGGAAGCCAAGGACAGGTGGGAGGGCATGAAGGAGGAACGAGCCCCAGACATATGGCGACATAAAGAAAAAAGGTGGAAAGCACCAACCTTGATATATCGCAGAGGAAGTGGATCGGCGATATTTGCAGAGTCGAGCTCGTGTCAACGGGACGGGGTCCCTTGGAACGGCGAGGTATCTGAGGGAAGAGTCTCACGTCGCGAGCATGGATCGAAAAAGCGGGCCGCCTTCCAGTCAGCCCGTAAGTAGCAGAGCTCACTTGAGACAGTGCCAATAGCATGGTACCGTCTGACGCGCGGTGAGAGAAGGTCATGAGGATGGACCGCACTGGCTCCCATGAACATCTGCCGGAGTGTGAGAGGAGGTTGGTGAGAACGGTGGTCAACGAGCAGCAAGCCATCTGCTCTTGTGGCGGCAAGGCAAAGGGACCAGGGGCCACGAGCGCCAGAATACTACCTGGGTACATTGTAAACGCTTCGATGCAGGTCGGTTGGGGTCAAGGCAGGTAGACGCCGTCCGACCCCAGATCATGGAGGTGATCGTCATCATGTACCGGGAAAGGAACATGCAGCAGCCTACAGTATGCACGCGAAGGAAGCTTGAGAGGTTCGCACCCCATAATAAGGACCCCCCTACAGGTGGACCCAGTGTCAGCGTGCTCTAACCCCTGCCCCTGCAACCACCGCACCGCAGGGCTGCAGATTAGTTAGTTGCGTCGCGCCGTTGCTCGGACCTCGAGTGATGAAAGAGACGGCGTGGAACCGTGGAGTTCCAAGATAATTAGGACGCTTGATCCACCGTCAGCAAACTTGTCAAGGATGGAAGGAGTTCAGCCTGCATTATCACGGCGTTAGACCGAGCTTGAGTTGTATGGAGGCGATACATCTGTAGGCAGAGACATTCTCGAGTCGGGACGCGCCACGGACACGAGCGCCTCTGCTGTGCCATGAACATACAGCGCCGCTCTTGGACGAAAGGGTGATTCCGTGTAAAGATAGTCTTGATGTTTCAGCTGCCTTTGACCCGCATGACTGAGTCTGATAGTCGGGCGGGGATAGGGCCACTGTTGGCTGAGAAGAATAGGGGGCCAATTCTCATGTTCTGAGTCGGTCTTGAAATCCGGCCAAGTTGGCTAACGCCGGATAGAGATTTGGCCCAACATCTCCCCTCCCGTTGGACACTCATTTGCGCCCAATGCTTGTATCAAATCTCCATCTTCTCAGGATTACATTGTCTCGTTCGTCTTCAGTTGGTCACCAGGCCGGGCCTAACTAGCCCTAGCGGGTCTTTTCTTGGCTGAGGTGAGCCGTGACATCGAGCCGGGTCTCGCCATTTTGGCCCGGGAGTTCGCGGCTACCAAGATTTTGTCGTGGCTTGACCGTTGGGACTGCCTCCTTGCCCGAGATGGAAGTCCGAAAAGCGGGAAAAAACCCCAAGCGTGTTGTTGGTTCTGTCTAGGAATTGAGCAGAGGCGTGTTTGCACGTGTAAACATGTAGATTACATATGTACGTGTGTATATATGCATGTACCGCGTGCCTGTGCCTGCAGGCCCCGAAGCAGACTCGGACGGTCACGAGTGAAGCAGCGGAGCGGTTGGCTGCGCGTTGGTTACATTCAGATGCATGTGCAACCGCACGATCTCCTCTTTTCTTACTTGCCGAGGTGGTCAGTGGATATGGTTTACCGGCCGGCGTGTGAGAATCGAACCTTGGTCGTGTGTTAGCTGCCAATGGTTGGGAGCACAGAGACAAAAGTACGTATCCCATGTCGATGGAAGGTCAACTAACCCTGGAAGATTGGATATATCCGGGATGAGATGCCTATACCTTGGCGAAAATCGGCAGGATTCAGCCCTACCAGACCAACCCCTGGAGCCGGAACATCTCGCCTTCTATTTCATCTCAGAGATCAGATCATCAGCGGCCTCGAGACAAACTTCAACTACCGAATTCAGAGAAGGGAGGTTGCTATCAACGATTTGGTACCTAGAAATCGTCTTCACCGCCTGCTGGCAGCGAGCTGCGTGAGCTGAAAAAGAGTCGCCAGCACGAGCATGGTCGTTGCCCCAACTCGGTGGCACAGTAGTCTCTTGCCACTGAAGAATCGATAGATTCATCATTTCAGCTGACAAGATTTTGCAAGACTTGCCCCCTCTATGCGCCTATTTCTTATCCGGTAATGCTCACCTGTCAGTTATACTATGTACGCATCGACGAGTACCAATACATAGACACATCTGAGACAGACGGCCGTCCCAGCAGGTTGGGTCAGTCCTTATTGGAGGTCTCGTTAAGCGAGCCTCGATCTCCCGCAGCCAATCTGTGGGCGTGGTGCAGCGACAGCACTTTGCACCCCTGACAGGCTCCAGCCACCTGCTTTTCGGGCAAGAGGAGGTGGATTTAAGGCCGGGCTGCCCCTGTACCGCCTCAGCCTTACGGGACTGACGACGCAAAGTATGCCCAAGTCCGGGTGGCAGGTTTTCTTTTGCGAGATGTTCGCTGGATTATTCGGCCGCTACCGTTGAATTTTTCTCTTTCTCATCAGATGCACCGGCTGAATCGCCTTGCAGATGGATGCGCAATACCTGCAGTACGTAGATAGCTTTGCCAAGTAACTCTCTCCAACTGTACATTCTTTTCTGGCCCGCCCATGCAACCCAAGATGGCGACGTGATGAATCGCACTCGCCCCTGGTGACGGACTTAATCTAGGTCCAGCATCCAAACGCGAAATGTTATCCAGACCGCTTCTTTACTTCGTTACTTCGCTGATCCCCACCTGACTAATGCTTTCTTCAGGTTAAAAGGTTGCCGCCCAGCAAGGATCCGTTGGCAGAGAGGCCTGACAGAATGCTTCACAGCCCCCAAGAGCGTCTCAGCCCCAGCTTTCGTCAGCACTCAGCTTCTCAATTCAAATGAATCCAAGATTCCATAGCATGCCTTCCGGAACTAGCCCCGTGCGCCCAGACCGTATTGGCCTCCCGTCATTTTTAAGTTTGTGCTGCTAGGAGCGCCTATCAAAAAGGATTCCGCCGCGTCTGTCGGCGCCTCTCGTGTTCCACAGAGCAGATCAGCTCACCTGAGCGCCCGGCTGTTTGCAGCCGGCCCCCAGACTTGAACCTTGCTTTTCAGACATCGTCAGTCTGGGGGCGCACGCTCAGCAAAAACTTGCTTCTGCGCATTCAGAGTGTTTTAGCTCCATCGCTCTCTTCCTATTTATGGAGGCCACCAAGTCGCTCAACACAGAAACACATCTAGGTGTGCATTCAGCCACGTGGACCAACACTTGGCAGCGTCACAATTTTGCCCCTATTGCCATCAGACAGACCAGTTGGGAACAAACCGCATGCAAATCTCTTGATATCTTCAACAGTACTGCTTCCTCTGATTCGACTGGTCGGAATACGAACTTCGGGGGCACGTCCCTCAGCCTATCACCTTGGGCGTGGGATCGAATCCTTCGGATCGATGGCACATGATAGTGACTGTAAGATGGGCGGCCATGACCGCACTTGTTGCTGCCCTGGCGGGTACGCTTGCTTGTCCAGACCCCAAAGCAACCCTATCCTCCGGCCCAGGGCCAACAGAGTGGCTTACAGCATAAACAAAAAGGACCCAATCTTTGTATTCGACAATGCATTCTACGAACATGTTACTTCCGCTTTGCTTTCTACGCAAGATGATGTAGTTGGTCGGCATGGCGGCTCAGAAACTGAACAGCAGTGCACGAGACACTCTCCCTTCAACCAGCGACGAATAAGAATGATGAGTGATGATCCGTGATGCATAGGCCCAAGGGGTAAAATGACCTTCAGCTTGACTCGATTTTCCGGCAGTCCATCAGCATTCCGTATCATGGACAGATCGATTGTCCAACCAAGCCTGACAGTCAACGGCAGACTTCGCTATCCTCGGACTTCGACTCAAGGGCTATTGATTTTTAACATCCGAAAGGTATCATTGTGCTTGACCAAAGGACGTTCTGCATGGCGAGACTAGTAAGACGCCCAGCACGGAACGCATACTCAAGTCGGTCATAAATTGAAAATGGAGTTTTGTTGGTCATGGTACTTGTGCCATTTCTACTCACAACAGTGGAGGAGATAACTCTGTTTAAGATTGGCATGCGTCGCTAATCGGATCACTACAATACATGGTACACTCACATAGCCAGGCGCTCATCAATCTCTGATGCTCACAGGAATTGTTGCGGCTTAAAGGAAATCCTGCTTATGACCATTGAAGCGCCAGCAGCCTTTATTTCAACTCAGATGCCAATCAAGGAGCTAAAGAACTAATAGCTGCTTATGTATAGGGCCAAACACGACAAGATCTCACGAGGTGGCTGTTGTTCTTTATGCATTGAGCCTCAACTCAGATATAGTCATGGCTCTACATTCAGGACCCACTCTGAGCAATGTTCACACCAGTCTTTCGTGGAGACCCATGATCACAAGCCCGATTACTCATGCTCTACCTCTGACAGTACGTCCTGTCACAATATCAATCAATTAAGGCCATGCGTATGACTCCATATGCTGACATGAGATAAGCGAATAGTCTAGCAAATATACCGCAGGAACCGAGAAACTCAAACTCCTGGTATGAGTTCAGAATGAGCAACTGCTCACTGACGCGTAAGCTTTGCGAAGTCGTGTTGCGATGAGTGCTGATTCAAATTGGCATCAAATCCCGATCCAAAGAGCGAAAGACATAAGCTCAGAACAATTGCCAGTCAGCAAATAGCTGGTATTGGGTCTAAACATTTGGGCTAATTTGTCACATGCCAGGATGGATGAGACAGCGGCGAAAATGGCCTATGTGGAAGAGCCGCAATCCTTTGTATCCTTACCTTTACTCCACCAACCTTTGTGCGAAAAGACAAGACCATAAGACACTCCATTAAATCCGTGGCAACATCGAAAGTAGAGCATTTGAAATCAATAGAGGAGCTGGAAGGAATGAAAGGAATGGCAAGGATTAGGGACGAGAAGGAATGAGCTTGGATCTGCGGGCGGCGATGGGCCATCCCAAAAGCCTCAGCCCAAATTTTTCAACCAACACATACATGAAATGTGACTAAACGAATTTGCCAGCCATTGCTTGTCTCAGCCCTAGTAGTTATCCAATACATTTCAAGACTAAAGTCTTGTGTCAACAGCCTGAACATTCGCTTTGATGTTTCGAAGCACATTGAAGACTAACCGGCTGAATGCACTCTATTGATATTTCGTACAACTGTCCAATTACCAAAAGCAGTAAATATATCACTTTCAAAAGTCCGGGACCGTCATCAAGTTTTGTTGTCGCTGCAATTGAAGAGCCTAGCCCACCTCGGAAATCTTTCTGGGCATGAATCCCTCCCAGGCACGACCGCTTCGGTCCCGAAAAGCCACCGTGCGTGGCCGACCAGGCCGGTGGCAAACATTGACAGTGTTAAAACTTCCCTGAATTGAAAGCAACAAAATTTTGGTCAGGGCCCAGACTGATTCTTGCAAGGATCACAAATGTGATGCATTGCTTCCCAAGAAATGTGGAAAAACGTACAAGGTAAGCTATGTAGAATCCTGTGCGTGTTCGCTGAACAGCCAACAGACACTGAATCAATTCTATGCCACCAAGAGACTAGACTCTTTGGATCTAACTTCGGGCAGACTACTGAATTTTGAAAATGAAGGACCGATAATGGCGGAGATTGAAGTGCAAGGCAGCTGTGAGACGGGCGTCCTCGAAATGCACAGGCCAAGCTCTTCCTCAGCACTGTTGAATGTACATACCAATAAATACTGGTCTAAAAACAGGAATTGTAGAGAAATATGGCCTCCAATATCGATACATGCATCTCAATTCAGGCATGGGGATCGTTGGCTCATTTGATACATACGAATACATTTTCGAAGGAAGAAGGTAGCCGAGGCTTCTATTTCATGGGAAGGAGGGGGCAAGGAAAATGCGAAGATTAGGAGGATCAAATTACAAACACGATTTGCGACAGAAAATATCAGAGAAATAATAAAGCAGAGTTCGTGCAAAGGAGACACTACAGTGAGTACCCGTCACAAGTAATGAGCGCAGGCAAACTTGATTGAAAAAGGGCGCCCAGAGTTTCGGAGAAGCCTATGCAGTCTGGCATTGAAAAGTTTGCCAGAAAGGAAAAGAAGAGGAAGTGAGGGGATAAATGATTATACAGTGAATTGTATGAGAACGTACTCAGCATATCAATAATGCAAGTCCTGGTGTTATGGTCAATATTCACAGGATGATCTTTTGGCTAGATCTAGTGTTGTCTATATTTTCCGGTAGGAAAGTTTGCATAAAATTTATGTAAAATCTGTTGAGCGTCAATCAATTGAAAAAACTGAGACCTAGCAGCCTTACTTTTGAGTGGTTTGTGATATGCATCGCGGGCTACTGCACAGTCCATCCAGAGACAGACCTATATGGCCGAGTGGTTCATAGCAACTCCAAGGTCAGTACTTAATGAGTCGCGATTTCTTTGACTTTTGGACCACCAAAAGCAAACTCAACGCTGACTTCGGCGACAATCTGTTCCCTACAGATTGATTAACGTGTCTAGAAAATAGGTACCTGCCTCTGCCACTGGATTTTGAATAAGCACATGTTGCGTTAGGTTTCTTTTAATTATGCTCAAAATTTGATACTATCGGATTTCGAAGATACACGAGCTGTGTGATGTCGATTTCGTGGAACCACGAAAATCTATGACATACCGGACGGATTTCAAGATATTTAAAAGACCTAACCTGGGAGGGTTGGCACTTTAGGCTTACGAGCGTCATGTATTATCAGAAACTAGGATGTTCAACTATCCCTCATAAGTCATTATTATGTGCCATGGTATTCCGATGTCTACTCAGGAGCTTGGCTGGATATTGTCAAGATCAGGCCAGCATTGCTCTACAATGTCCGCTTTTGCTGATAGAGCCTTCTTGGCGAAGGCTCCTCAATGGTATCCTTACCTTTGCTGCTTAACTCCCATCGTCTGCTAGTTAGAGACCTGCACAAAGTCTCCTTTGATGCAGTGATCTTCTGTAAGCTACAGCAGCCTAGTGAGGTACATGGGCACTGAAGCTCGGTATGAGCCAGCTGGTTTCTGGTCATCCTGGGGTCGAAGTGGAGTGAGAACACGACCCCCGATGAGCAGGAATTACAACGTACTCGGGTAAACATCCGACAATCTCAAGGTGTAGATTCTGCGGTAGGACAACACACAGCTCGGGTCTCGAAAATTGAAAAAAAGGGAAAAAGGGCATTCGATTTGAGAAAAAGACACCTTCTATCGTGAATCGTTATCATTGAGGCTGAATCATCCAGCAGCCATCAAGGCCGCAGCTACCAGCGTGACGGTAACAACTCAACAGAGCCATTGAACCCTTTCATATCCTCTCATCACATCAAACTCTTCCAGCCCTTGAGTGGGTCGGGGTTAACTTCGTCAAGTCGACTTGGCTTTGCTGCAGTTCCAGCTCTTCCCACTTCTTCTCTATCTTCCGGGACTCGTGGAAGAGGCCCAGCATCGGAAGCGACCCCGCGATGATACCTATTCCGCATTCTACTACTGTCCAGAGAACGATCTTGCCTGTGTTGAATAGGTAGTTGTCATCCGAGCTGTACGCATCGGCATAAATTGTGCGAATCAGGGATGCCATAGAGGCACTGTTTGAAAAATGAAATGGTCAGCTGGGAACCAAAGTACAAAGGCAAGCAACAGTCAGGACTCACACTACACCAAGACCCAAAGCCGCCACTGTCAGAACCTTCGACCTGAGGCGCATCTGAGGGGTCCACAGAAGAAGCGTCGAGATGGTGGCCATTGCAAGATCAGACAGTACGTCAAAGGCATAGGCCGTCTTAGAGAGGGCAACAAAGACGTCCGAGTCGATGCATGTGCCGTTGCCTGTCCAGTTTGACTCGATGGGCCTGCATTTGGCCAGCAGCGTGATGAAGCCGGCGATGCTCAGAATGCTCACGACCACGATGAGGCCCCAGATGGAAAAGATGTACCGCTTTGCCTTGGCGATGCCCTTGAGAGTGGTGAGAATGCTGGTCTTGATGAAGACTAGGTTGATGGCATAGAAGATCTGCCACAGGAAGAGGTACTAGAGCAACGTTTAGCATGTACGCCTGACAAAACCTTGTGGGATTGCCACTCTACCTTTCTGCCCTCTGCGTCCAACTCAGGGTTGAGTTTTGAATCTGGTGACCCAATTCCGACGAACGTCCCATGCATCACCATGCTGTTATGTACCAAGTTGACGACCAGCGCCGTGCACATCAGGTAGTCGTCACTGCCAAATTGTTTCTTTCTCAGTCGGATCCAGGCACGCAGACCAACAGTGTTCGTTGAGAGGACGGTAAAAGCGAGCGTGACGCCAAAGATGGCCGCCGCGAATTTCTCGGGCTCCAGCACATCTGCCAGGTATTCAGAAGCGATGGCGGCCATGGCGAAAGGTTTGTGGAAAGAGAGGTAAATGAGAGTGTGAATGGAAGGTTTAAAGAAAGTTGGCGTGCTGGGTGCTCAATCCATGAGTTCTATCTAGTGCCTGCCGTCAAAGAGAAGGGGGCCTCAGACTCGGATGAAAGAGAGACAACCGTTGAGGAGTTTTGGCGACTACTGGTCCTACAAGCCGCCTTCAGTCACTTAAGAAGGGATGAACTATTGGCCCCCTGTGCGCAGCCGGGGCAATGAAGCATGAACCAAGGGGATATGATAGGGGAGTGTGAATCCACTCGCGGGTGCAACGCGCACATCACATCGATATTCTTGGGAAAGCAGTGATATCGACCTCCATGCGGGGGGTGGGAAAATGCACCCCTGCCACCGGCTCCCTCAGCCCTTTTCGATTTAACCACCCTGTGGTCTCAGCCATGGTGCCGCGATGGCTGCGCTGCCCCCTTGACAATGAAGGGAGAACGGCCCCTTTCACGGTTCATGCGTTGCGCGGAGGGCGAAGCTCCTGAAGACAGGGGTGTGCCGAGTGGATCTCCCATCTATCTGTGTTTCGAAACAGGGTGTTTTATGCCAGGATCACCCAGAGGCAGGCTCCAGATCCCAAGTAGATTGCTCGCTACTCTGTCTTGGAGATCTAAACATGCAGATCATATCTGGTCCCTGACCCGCCAGGAAACAATGACAATGATATTGTGTGACTCTGGTGCTTGCTTACTTGGAGCGTTGGGCGGAATCATGTGAAGCTGGTGGATCAACGAATGGCTTACACCTTCAGTCATCCCGGTCGTCTTCGTTAGAACTCGAGAATGTCTTTCTTCAGCCGTCAGAGGCAAGATGACAGCCCGACAAAGGCTTTGCTTGAATAAAGACATAAAATTACATGCTGACTTGTACTTCAGTGAATTTCCTCGGTCTTTATCTCCCGCTTTTCTTTTGTTCTTGCGGAGCTGTGGCTGATTCTCTCAATCGGTCAGCCAAATCGTCTGTCCAACAGTGATTGGCAGCGGGGTGCTGCAGCCCAGACAGTGTGTAAGCTTGACTCCAGCCAGGCCCAGCTCGACTCGACTTCGACTCGACTTGCGGTTAGCGCCCCACTTTATCGAGCCGGGGCTGGAACAACTCTCGGGAGCTAGTCGCAAAAGGGACAGGGACCTCTGGAAAATTTGTAGTTGAGGTGCAGCTCTTTTGAGTTTGGAGAGAGGGTCTGATGTGTTGTGACAGGCGAGGATACTTCAATTCCAACAAAACGACATAGCACATCTTTGTCTCTCGCATGGTTAGAGCATTGATACACTAGCAGCCTCCCGCGCCCTCTTCTTCCCACCGCAAAACACGACCCAAAGCCGCGACAATGGCAACCGAGGAGGAGGTCAAGATCAAGTCCAAGGACTCGAAAAAGGACAAGAAGGACAAGAAGCGCAGCGAGTCCGACGGTGTCCACAAGTCCAAGAAGGACAAGAAGGAAAAGAAGGCAGACAAGGAGAAGCTCAAGGCCAAGGTCGCCGAGGCCCTCGACAACCAGCTGCAAGCAGATGTCGCCGCCTCCGTAAAGGCCGACGACGACGACGATGACCACCCTGGCTCCGACGTGGACGACATCAAGAACCCTGAGGTCAAGACGCAACTGGTGTACTTTGCCGTTCCATTGGCAGATGTGAAGGGGCATAAGAAGATTTACAAGACCATCAAGAAAGGTATGTTCTCTTTTGTTTACTTCCTCCTACACAACCACCCACGCCTCCCCGGGCCCTATCGCAGTCCCTAGAACCACCATCGTGGACCACCGCTGACTTTGTCTCACCACTCAAACAGCCAGGAAAGCCGGCGCCCTGCAGCGCGGCGTCAAGGAGGTGAACAAGGCGCTGCGCAAGACGCCGATCAAGGCGCCCGCCAACGCCGACCAGGTCCCCGGGATCTGCATCATCGCGGGCGACATCTCGCCCGACGAGGTCATCATGCACCTGCCCATCTACTGCGAGGAGCACAACGTGCCCTACCTGTTCGTCAAGTCGCGCCTCGAGCTCGGCAGCGCCGCCAAGACCAAGCGCCCCACCTCGGTCGTCTTCATCCAGGAGAAGGGCAAGGAGGGCAAGGCCGGCAAGGCCGGCGCCGCCGAGGACGACGATGAGGACGACGGCGCTAGCTACGCCGACGCCTACAAGGAGCTTCTCAAGCTGGCGCAGAAGGAGGCGGCGAAGCAGCTGAAGGACGTGCTGTCGGGCTAGGATGGGGGGAATTCGGGACCCGTGGAAGGGGGCTATCGGGGGCCCATCTGTGACAAAAAGGCGGGGTGTTTCTCTCGGGCCTGTGTGTCTCTCGGCCACCACCTAAAACAAAAATGGGATACCAGGCGTAAATCTGAGGCGGCGTTCATAGGCGTACGGGTTTACATTGTACTCAAGTGGCCGGGTGTGGCGGGGGATTTTGCGCTGTCTAGCATTTTCGAATCAAGCAGCATTATCAATGCGCTGACAAGACCCCATCCTGAATCACGACGACCGTTGTGATGACCAGACGGAAAGACAGAAGGACGTGCTGTCGCCACGCACGCAAGATATCGGCGACAACTTCACGAGCAAGATAGGAGAGATATTGAGGCTGGTGTGGTATCAAGCCTTGCGCAAGATCTAATCGCTAGCGCACAGGTGCCTTTCCGATTGGACGTGGTTGTGGAAATTATCGAGATGCGTAAGAAGTCACTTGAGCGTTACGAAATGGTGCTGATTTGGAGTGAATTATTCAGCTCGTCGTCACGAGGGAATACCTAAATTCCTCGAAAGACTATCTACGACCTTGTCTTGCTAGACGTCGACGTTCATACCAAAATCAAATCGTACAGTGCCGAAACTCCTATGCCTCGCGCCTCACCAGGTGGTACACCGACCCGATGATAATCTCATTAGTCCCTTACTCGAAGGGGTTTGTCCGGGTGCCCCACCATGTCAGGAAGGTTGCCAGTCCAACGGTCTCGAAGGCCTTGGCGACGACGGAGATACCGACGGTCTCGAGAGCACGCTTCTCCTGGAAAACTTGGGCGATGAACTGCGAGTGGCACAATGTTAGCAAAGTGTCCTGTCTTGGACGAAACTGGTAGCTACGAGGGAGCTCACGGTAGGGGCAGAGGTGGCCAGGAAGATGAGGCCGCCGAGGTAGGCAGCGCCCTTGTAGGACAGGGTGCCGGTTGCGTTGAGCAGGGCACCAACACCGTAACTCTGCAGGGCAGATCCGACAGCCTGTGTCGATGGTCAGCAGCTTTCTTCGGTCAAGGCAATAAGAGGGGACTGTGCTCACGGTTGTGCCCCAGGCGACAGCGACGGAGGTGGCCTCCTTGGACTGGATGAACTGCTCGCTCGAGTTGGCGCGCTTAGCACTCTGGTAGGCTTGGCCGAACAGAGGGCTCAGGACTTCGTGATGATGGTCAGTTTCTTGTAGCTTGACAGCGGTGAGGACTGCTCATGCTTACCGGCTGTCTCAACGGTCTGGTTGAAGACGGCACCCAGGGCGATGGCCGAGGGCTTGACAGGGGGGAGGTCTGCATCAAGGTTCTATGTTAGCGAGCTGCGCGACTGATGATGAGTGAGTTTTGCGGGACTCTGAAGCTCCAGGAGAGGCTCGCCCGCATCCATTGGCTTGGGGAGAGCTCGAGAGCTGGGCGTTGGGGCCTGTCTGGCATGGACACTCACAGTGCAGAGACATGATGGATTGGTGGGATTGTGGTGTTTGGTTGTTCTGTAAGGGAGTAGGTTTGATGAATGGTATGTCAGGACTGAGGTTCACGATGTTTTGGAGTACGTAGCATGAGAGGACAGAGACTGGGAGGTGGGCACATTGGCTTTTAAACCAGCAGGTCTCAAAGGTAAACGCCTATGATGCCGTTTGTCTTACGTTCAACAATCGTCACTGGTCCCCCAGCAGGGACTAGTACCTATGTAATGAGGCAATAACAACCAGCCAGCCAGCCAGCCAGGACCTGCGCGCCCAGCCAGGACTAGCTTCGAACGTCGCGACTTACCTCCCCTCTGATTTCGTCACTGCTGCCAGGTCCAGGCCAACGAAGATCTCCCAGGAGATTCTTCTCCAACCCGGCCCAGCCCAGCCAATGCCCATGCCCATGCCCATGCCTAGGCTCAGGCCCGGAGCTTGAGCTGGAACTGGCACTGGAACGGGAACTGGAAGAGCCCACATGCATCCCGATTTGGTTGATGATGATGGAGGACAACCTGGTCTCTTTGGGTCCTCCCCTCCGTCATGCGAGCCTGGAACCGCCCACGTCACAACTAGGCCTCCGTTGAGCCACCTCCGCCGTCCCAAAGGGTCCCAAAGGGAAAGGGAGCTTCCAAGGGGGGCGGGGGGCGATCTAGGTGCCCGGGATTTGTGAAGATGGGCGTACGGGGGACGTGGACGGTCGCAGGCCAATTTCCCCAGACACTCCCTCTGTCCCATGGCATCGCATCGCATCGCATCGGCACTATGCAGCGCCCTAAGCAGAGGAGCTTGGGTCAGCTGCGCAATGATGTCACTTATTTTGGAGTAGCTTTCTAGCTTTTTGCGCCTGGGGGGCAAGGGTCAGTGCGCCAATGTGCGTCCCGCAGCGGCTACTCACACTTGCTTGCTGCCGTGCTCATGCTTAGTACTGCACGAGTAGGTGCAATTATGACAGCGAGGCAAGCCACAAATCTTGGAAACGCCTCAATTGACAGGGGCCGAGAGTGGGAGATGCCGGGGCGCAGAGTTACAGCTTACACGTGCTCGGGGGCGAATGGATGGTTTACTGTACTCGCCAGGATGAGTTCTTGCCATGCTGATGCATGTCCAGGTACAAAGCCGGATTGCAAGATAATGGGTGATCTTACTTACCTGGAGTCCTGCGACTTCATTTCTCCCTTCTTTACCCATTTCTTCTTCAGTTCATCTAAGTCGCGTATTTATGGGGCAGTCCGTTCAAGCAGAGTGCACGCTCGTTAGTGCACGAGACTCGGGAAGTCGCCACGATATCAGCGGCCCAGAACGAACGAAAAATGCCACTCGCTTTCTACTTGCTTTTTGCACAATTCTACACATAGACTCACGCTCGCAGAGCGAGCCCGGCATGGACAGTACGTGTCGGCTTCACCTTGCCTCAGCTGCACGGGGTTGTCCCATCCAAAAAGGTTGAGTTATCCCCCCTCGCCTCCGAACACAGTCCTGTCTCTCCGGCCTCACTTGACCGAGGTGGGATATGACGCCTATACCACCATATGTTGGCCGTCTTCTCCCCCTCTTAGCGCTAGTAGAGCACGCACGTCTGAGACGTACTGGAGTCCTTCAAAGAACGGTATGAGATGTTGCAGGTCGTTGTCTGTGGGGTCATTGATCCAGCCTTGTATCGGGATGGCATTATCTACACGGTTGTCAGTCAGTTGCTGCCAGATCATCGAAGCTCAGGCGGGGAGTTGACGACTGACCTTGGTGGAACATGTAGCTGAGCGGGCTGTTGTCCAGTATCATGACCTTGCTCAGATCGGGCTCGACAGCACTCAGGTCCTTGATGAAGGCGCCGTGCCTGAATGTGCAGTGCTGCCGGTAGTACCGTGCCGTGAAGAACTTCCTCTCCGATTCCAGCCAGTCGATCACCGGGTCGGCGTATTCCTGCACCGATGCCGTGAACACCACGAGGTTGAACCATTTGCAGACCTGATTTGCTGCGTTAGTATCCTCTCCAACAGCACTTGCCGTCGCAAGCAATGGACGCCGGAACAGTACTCACCCGTCGCAGAAAATCGTCGCAATGCGGTCGCTTGTGAACGTAATACAGTATAGGATGTTGAGGCCCAATGCTGGCCTGCCCGCCGACCCCAACGTAAGTCGTGTTCAGCTTGACCTCCACCATATGCCCAGTACTCATCCTGCCCCCCTTGGACATGCTGTGGATCAAGGTCTCGTCCAGGTCAAGGATCAGGGTCTTCTGCGGCGTTTGCGCATTGGCTTCCACATTGATATACGATGGTTGACGTCGGGGAATGAGTGGTCTCGGAGGTGCCGGGGTCTTGGGATATTTCGTCAGCGCACCGACGGGAGACGTGGGCGACTTCAGGTGCGCTGATATGTCCTTTTGCTGCTGGCCACCCGTTGTACCTCGGCGAGAGCTGGTCGACTGCCCTTTTCTGTGTTTACGTTGCCTTAGAGATTCCTCGTTGTGCAGTTTGATCCGGATCGACCGCCTCGAAGGGCTGATCTCTTCAGAATCTTGCAAGGACTTGGGCCGTGAGTGCCTGCTACTAAATTCCCTGTCCATTTCAGACTCGGACTCGCTGGAGAGGCCCGACGTCGAGGAGCCGGACGATGGTATAGGGCGTGTTGTCATGGCGTTTCCTCGGCCTATATTGATAGTTTCGCCACGCGTCAGGCTGTCCCTATCCTCCAGCGCAGCTTTCTCTTGCATTGCCGAGGCCATTTTCCGTGGATTCCCGTGATATGCGCCGAAGAGCCTTTTGATTTGTAGCCAGGGGGCGAAATGTCCGTGTTCGTCGTAGAGGCAGGCGATGAGATAGACACCGGGTGCAGCCAGAGTAGACAGAACCCAGCGCAGTGAATCTATGACGGCGCTGAATATCCGTCTGGGGACTAGGTGCCAGGGCGACTGCCTGAGTCCGGAGTCCTTGGGGTCGCTTCCTGCCAACAGAGGTGTGTGTTCGTCGGCCGGGGCGCCAGCGGAATCGTAATGGTCGGGGTCCGCGGAATGAGGACGTTTCTCGTCGAAGCCCCCGGGCGAAGCGTGTTGCTCCTCCTCCTCCTCGGAGGTGACGGTGATGCCCATTGAGCCAAGGGAGTTAGACCGTGAAGGGGCAGGGGACGAGGAGGGAGAGACGCGGGAGGAGACGAAATTGAGGGAGTTCATGGTTGCCTCGTCGCCGGCCGAGCCATTAAGAACGGATGGGGCGGCGTTTGCGTCTGCGTCGGCGTCTCGAGTGTCTGGAGCTTCTCGCGGGTCGGCCGGTGGGTAGGGATGGAGTGTGGGAGGTGGAACGGGACGGTCGCAAAAGTCTAGGTGTTGCTGCTGTTGTGGGGGACTGGGCCAGGGACTGATGTGGGATGGGGCGAGCACAGCTGTCTCGGTCTCGGTCTGCGCTCCGTGTGTAGACAGCAGACAGGACAATCTGGCCGAGGACAGCAGTCGACTGCCGTCAGAGGGCGGCTCTGGGGTCGCAGCAGCCGGGAGCGAGTTTGTTGGGCAGAAAGAAAGGGCAGGGTAGGGAGTGGATGGGCGTACGAGTGAGTGATTGAGTGTTTGAACGACGATGCTCGGGTGGATTGAAGCAGAATGGCCTGTCAATCAGTCAGCCTGCCCTCTGTTCGGCCTGCCTCTTGTCTGTCTTACCACTGCGACCTCCGTAGCGTGGCGTGGCGGATAGGTGGAGCGGGCGGGTTGACAAGTGAATGCGACCCAGAGGAGACAGGGGGGAGGGGGCCGGGTGGCGGGCGCAGCCCAAGGCCCGTGATGTGTTGGGATTGGGGAAGGGGGGGGGGGGGGACTGGGGGACGGAGGAGAGCTACCTTAGTCTCCTCTCCTTGCTGCCACCTACTAAGGTACCTAGGTAGGTAGGTCGGCACCCAAGTCCAACCGAGGCTGTTATGCAGTACAAAGCGAGCACCAAGAAGAAGCATCATACACAGTCGAGCAGTGGATTGACGGTGGGTGGGTTCACATGTATTGATAGTCATGCAAGTATTCTCTCCAAAAGGCTGGCCTCCACTCCATAAGAGACTGGAATATATCTACTGTATAAGAGCAGCAAGAAGTTCCTGTTCAGATCCTGCTCAGGTTGCTGGGCATGCTCTCATATGTAGACTACTTAGTCTAATTACTGCACGTACGAACATGCAACGGTTTGTCAAAATGTAGATTTGCCTTGCAAGGTGTTGTATAGGTACTGCGCAGAGCAATAGAAGACACCCCCCACCTGGACAATGAGCAGGTGCCCAATATTCCAGATCAATGAGCACAGTACCTGATCCGTGTGTAAGCGTACGTGCCGTCTGCCCCTTGTGACAGCGAGTCCCACCACCGCCAGATCAACCCCACGTCAACGGTTTGAGGAGCTGTCAGGGCCACTACTGTACCTACATGGGCTACAAGTACCTACCGCTACCGCCTTACGCCATCCACCCGCGGGCTTGCATGTGGGAGGGACATGGGCCGGCTGCCCGCCCAGTCGGTCAGGCAGGCTTATCAGTCCCTGATAGCCACAGCACTCTAAACGTCCCCATGACCACTTGCTTGTAAGTGCAAGCAGGTCTAAGTGCGTGCACCTTGCACCTTGATGACCTCGTCAATTCTTCCCTCACCCGACACTATACCTACTGCCGACATCCTTTCCGTCCTCGTTCCTCCTACAGACCGTGGCACCCTAGATCTCTCCTGGATCCTATTCTATCATATTCTCTTCGAACACGCCATGGTGCTCCCAAGACACTGAAGCTGTGCTATCACACCCCCGCCAGACACGTCCCAGGAGACTCCGTCGACATGAACTCCCCCGCCATCCGCTTCCACCGCTGCCCTCCCAACGCCCTCCACGGCCTCGAGCTCCACCCCGCCTCGTGCGTCTCGCGGCTCTCCTGTCGCCGTTGAGCATTTCGGTAGATCTGCTCAACATAGGACCCCTCCACTCCATTCCGTCCTCCGACCCCTCGCCTGCCTGGCGTAGATACATACGTACACAGAGACTCCGACCGGCAAGGATACGGCGCCTTCAACATGGCCGCCTTCTTCCAGTCTTTCCGTAGCTCCGCTATGCCCAAGCGGCTGTTGCGCTATGCCATGGCTAGGCTGGACATCTTCGAGGACGACGCTCTTGACCTAGACAACCTCGATGCCGCCCTCGGCCTCAGGAATACCTTCGAGTTCAAAGACGTTGGCCTCAAGGTCGAGGTACGGCTACCTGCAGCTGGTTCCCCGCCCTGCAAATGACAACTCGCCTGTAGTTGTGGATGCTGATATGTTTTGCTGTGATAGAAAATAAGAAGGCATCTTAGCCTCCCCCCTGAGTATCGAATCAAAACGGCAAAGGTCTCCCGCCTGCAAATCACCATCCCGCTCGATCTGTATTCTAGCTCCATCCAGGTCACCGCGTCCGGTGTTCGTATAGGCCTGATAGTTTCAACACGCGATCAAGCGGTTGGAAGGCCCAAGAAAAGCGATAAGCAGAAGTCAGGCTCGGACGTGGTCCCCACGGCTGCCGATTTGGCACAGTCTTTTCTGGAAACCCAGCCATCAAAGGAGAAGAAGGCTTTGGAGGAAGCCCTGGCCTCCGAGAGAACAGATCTTGGGGCATCCGTGGCATCCAGTGAAGATAGCAATGAGGAAGATCCAGCATATGGTACCGGGCAAGGGCTGTCCCTACCGGTCTTCCTGACAGACTTCTTGCAAGGCGTCCTCGACCGCATGCTGGTCAATATAAGGGATGTTGCCCTTCAGCTCGAAGCCGATATCCCGGTGGACCAGAAAAGTAACGAGACTGAACCAGTCACGCTACAAGTCACTCTTGACGAGCTCGAGGTCGAAGGCGTCACGGCGCAAGCCCGACAAGATGGAACCGGCACGCGCATCGTACCTAAGGACGGCAAGCGTCACATATTACTCAACACTATCCGCGCCTCCCTCATCTCGGAGGCAGACTTGTTATCCAACCTTGCGAGGTCGCCGTCCATGACTTCTGCGGCGTCGAGATCTCCGGTGGTGACCGCCAAGAGTCCGTCATCGAATGTGGTGTCTTCCCAGGCCGAAAGCTCTCGCGAGGGCCTGATCGCTGACGCCAGCGACGATCTCTCCCAGAGCGAACGATTGCTACAGGACAGCGAGGAGGCTTTTAACATTCCTTATGAGCTGGATGACTCCAGCAGTACAGGAGACCAAGAGCAGGAACCTGCATCGTCTTTATCAACGCCGAGGGCCTCTGTCTATCATGACTTTAGTGGACAGCACGAGGATATTTCAGGTACTGCACCAGTGGACACAGAAGAGCCATCTCTGTGGTCATCAGCATTGAGAGGCTCAGCAGACAATGAGGATAGGCATGTTGCGGATATATCCCTCCAACAATCCATCTCATCTGATTCTGCAAGTGATGGTTCTGGAGCTCAACCTACGGACGATCTCGCCCAATCACAATTGTTTAGCCACGAAGAGGCAGAGAGTATGTACATGAGCGCCTTCTCACAGGGAGAATCTCAACAGCCAAGGAGTGGCTCGATGCCAGGTGCATGGGACTCAAATCTCTCGACCCCTGAAGATTCACCGGGATCGGAGAGAAATGTACCTTTACAGACGACTAGTAATCCGACTCAACATGAGGAAGAGGCTAGGCAACAGGACCCGACAATAACTGACAGCAAGGAGCCGTCTACACCGATGCGCTCATCCCTGCAGGAAGAATATTTGCAGGGCGAGAAGGATCCCTTCGTGGGACTTGAGTCAGCTGCTGAGCCCAGCAATGCTGCCATATCAGACGATTCTGAAATTCAGGGCCCGAACAACATTCTCCGAGAGATTGTATCTCTTCCGTCGATTTCCATATACTTGCCGACCAAACATAAGCATATCCAAGTATCGAGCTCAGACGGGACGTCACAACTGGCAAACTCGGCTTTTCAAAATGTTCCAGGGGCTTTCTCTGTCTATTCGAACACAGGACCGACATCGTTGCATCTTGAACCTGAGCCGGAGCCCACGAAGACAGAGGAGGATGATGGATCAATTGAGATCCACTTGACGCCTCTCGACATTCGTTTCGATGCTTCCGTCGGCTTTCTTCTCGTAATGCTGGCCCGTCGGCTACTAGAGACTCTCAAAGCATCACAGAAGCCGTCTGGAAGCCCCGAGGACGCGGTCGCACGGACAAGGGACTCGTCGATGCCTGACATCAAGCTTTCAGTGCAGAAGATATCGATATTGTTTCTCGAGAAGGTAATTGGCATTCACGCAACGATGGCAAAGGCGCCGGGCCCTTCGATACCGGGTTTCGAGGGCGAGACGCTCTTGAAAACTGAACTGGAGCATCTGCAGGCCACTTTCTCCCAATCTGACTCTGTGGCGGAGACCCAGATTAGTCTTGCGAAATTTCGGTTCGGGTATCAAGACAGCGATATACTGTCATTCGACCAGGAAGCACAGATGCGAGCATCAGTCAGAGATGTGTTTCCGGAAGCCGGGGCAGAGATCTCGATCAAGATATCAGCCTCCAAGGAGAGCAACCGATTTGAGATAAACACACTTCCGCTTCGTGTGAACTTGGACCTGCAGCGGTTGGATGAGACTTTCAGCTGGTTTGGTGGGCTAAGTGGCTTCCTCCAGATGAGCTCTTCAATGACTTCAAGTGGCTCGCCTGGGAAACCAAAGGCCAAATCTGGCAAGCCAAGAGGAGTTCGCTTTGATATCCCATCCCAGCCCGAGAGAACGGCAGCGGCCTCCGAAAGCAAAATCGATGTCCGAATAGGCGGTTTGCAAGTCGACATGGAAGGTAAGAAGTGTGGCGTTCGCGCTCGGACGACAGCTGTCAAGATGGTGAGCCGGGACGGCATTATCGGGGTTGGAATAAGCAAAATCCATGTGTCAGGGCCGTATGGAGAACGAATTCATGGCGGTGCGCCTGTCAATATCACCCTATCTAACGCGCGTATCGACTACCTCCTTTTCCCTCGGGAAGATGACTTGGATCGACTCCTCGCTCTGATTACCCCGTCAAAAGGCCAATTCGACGACAATGAGGATGAAATAATGGTTGATACGCTTCTGCGGCAGCGAAGGAAAGGATCTGTTCTGAAATTGACTTTGGACGACGTACAGGCACAGATCACCAGAGTGCATCAGCTCGACTCAATCCCTTCCTTGGGGGAGGATCTTGCTCGACTTGGAACCGTTGCCAAATATTTACCTGAGGATGACCGACCTGGCCTGCTGACACTTGGTCTCATCCATAACCTGGATGCTTCGGTGGATGTTGGTGGCAGGTTCGGGAAAGTGAATGCGCACCTAGCTGACCTTGAGCTGGCCCATATCGCCTTCCCGTCGCTAGCTGCCTTTGGAGTCCAAACTATTAAAGTCGACAGAAACAGTATCGAAGAGCTTGTTGGTTCAACTATCGACTTGAAGACTGGCCTCCTCGCACAATCACCGGTCCTCATGGTGCGAGTAATAGGTGATGAAATGGAACCTGTCATCAAGGTCAGGATGCGGAACATCAACTTTGAATACCGCGTTCCCACAATAATGGACGCACTGGGTTTGTCCTCGGAAACCACTCCCCAAGAGTTTGACGCAATGCTGGCGGCCTCTGTGGCCAATCTTGGAGAGCAGGCACATACCGCACTGGTTGGGAACCCGCCGTCGCCATCGCCACATTCGCCTCAGGGCGGAACCACCAAGCCGACCGTCGTCAATGTTGCTTTCCGTGACTGCCTACTTGGACTGAACCCCTTGGCTCTAACATCAAAGTTGAATTTAGTCCTTCAGGATGCCCATGTGGAGGTTGCTTTACCTGCCGGCGAGGATGTGAACGCAGTTGGAAATCTGAAGAAAGCGGCAATTCTGCTTATTGATGATGTCTCTTTGCTCGAAAACCCACAGAAACCAGGCCCCTCGAGGCACCGCGGATCAGATGTTCAAAGACAGACAGATATGGTGTCGACCATGTGCTCTAAAGGCTTCGTGAATATCTGTCAGATCTCTTCGGCGAGGGCTACGGTTGAAGCTACGGCAGGGCCCACCGGGGAGATGCATGTCGACATAGAGCTCCGAGATGATCTGTTGGTTCTTGAGACTTGCGCAGATTCTACCCATACTCTGATTGCGCTTTCCGGTGCCTTGAAACCCCCGACTCCACCGAGCCGGGAGGTTAAATTCAAGACCGAGATCATTCCTATGCAAGACATGTTAGCATCCATCACAGCCGATGCCTTCGGCAGGGCGGAAGGCGACTATAACTTCGACGATGACTTCGCTATTGCCCAAGAAATTGGTGGCGGGGACGACATGTCGGAAGGAGAAATTGTAGGCTCGAGTCCTTTGGAAATCGAGCCAAAATACTTCGCCGATCAGCCTGCTGTTGCTGAAAGCATCTTCGACGCTACATCATCATCTTTGATATCAGCCCCCACGATCACTCAGGACAGGGCTGAAGATCCCATCCCCTCGCAGCCTGACTCACTCGAGGATTTTGGCTCAAACTCAGAGATTGAAATCGAAGAAAACTACTTTGGACAGGATCCTACAGCACCTGGAGACGCTCACCACTGGAACTCGGCCAAGAACAGGTACGATGAAGCGAAGAAAGCTAGGGTGCCGAAGAGCCCGCTGAATGTGAGGGTGCGAGACGTCCACGTCATATGGAATCTCTTTGATGGCTACGACTGGCAGCATACTCGAGAGGCCATTACGAAGACGGTGGAAGAAGTCGAGACCAAGGCATACGAACGCCGCTCCCGAGCCGGCCGAAGATCCCTGGACGAAGCGGATTTCGACGACCAGGACGTTGTCGGAGACTGCCTATTCAATTCCATCTACGTTAGCATTCCTGCAAATCATGACCCTCGTGAGTTGGTTGGAGGTATCAATCATCAATTGGACGACGCAGAGTCGATAGCAACCACCTCGGTCACTACGACCACAACTCGAACGGTTACTGGCCAATTCCGGTCCAGGGCAAAGAAGTTGCGCCTCAACAGGAGCAGGCGCCACAAGATCACATTTGAGTTGCAGGGCGTCAATATTGACCTCATCAAGTTACCGCCAGGATCGGGCGAAACAGACACCTCCATTGATGTTCGTGTTCAGAATCTGGTTGTTTTCGACCATGTCCCAACCTCCACTTGGAAAAAGTTTGCCACGTATGATCTAGACGCTGGCGAGCGCGAGCTCGGTGCCAACATGGTGCATCTCGAAGTACTTCTTGTCAAACCGGTTCCCGAGCTAGCGGCTGTCGAATTCGTCCTCAAGGCCAACGTCCTACCACTTCGATTGCATGTCGACCAGGATGCACTCGAATTCATTGAGCGTTTCTTTCAGTTCAAAGACGAATCGCAGATGCCATCTGACCCTTCTCCGAGTGATGAAGCATTTATCCAACGCGCCGAGATCAATGCCATACCCGTCACGTTGGACTTCAAACCCAAGAGGGTGGACTATGCGGGCCTTCGGGGCGGGCGCACGTCGGAGTTCATGAATTTCGTGATCCTTGAGAGGGCCCGCATGACGCTGCGGCACACCATCGTCTATGGCACCACAGGATGGGAGCGGCTGGGAAATACCCTCAATGACATATGGACGCCAGACGTGAAACGCACGCAGCTCGCCAGTGTGCTCGCTGGTGTTGCTCCGGTCCGCCACCTGGTCAATGTCGGAAGCGGCTTCCGTGATCTCATCGAGATACCCATAAAGGAATACAAGAAGGATGGACGGATCGTGCGCAGCATCGGCAAAGGCGCGGCGGCTTTTGCCCGCACGACAGGGACCGAGATTGTCAAATTGGGCGCAAAGATGGCGGTTGGCACCCAGTATGTTCTCCAAGGCGCAGAGGATATGTTGAGCAAAACATCGGGCGAAGGAGGCTCGACTGTTGGTGAGACAGCAGCGCTCCAGACGGGGTGGGAGGAAGAAGACATGGAACCAGAGGAGAAGAAGCAGATCTCTCTGTATGCAGATCAACCCACAGGCGTCGTCCAGGGCCTGCGACACGCCTACAGCAGCCTTGCCCGGGATCTCAACGTGGCCAGGGACGCGGTTATTGCTGTCCCAGGCGAAGTGCTTGAGAGGGGAGCCGCGAGAACTGTCATGAGCAGAGCGCCGACCATCATCTTCCGGCCGGCCATCGGAGCCACTCGGGCGGTTGGGCAGGCGCTCATGGGGGCGACCAATGCTTTAGATCCGGAAAACCTTAGAAGGGCAGAAGACGTAGGTGTAGCCTCTTTGCTCACTCTCATTGTATCATGCTAACAGGCTTCACAGAAATACAAGCCCGGCCCCGGACGATAGTGGATACCGAGGTCTCAAGGTATCTTGATGAGAAACATATAACGCAAGCAATCACGTCGAGGGCATATGTCGTCGACCAAAACAGTGCCTGATGGTCTTCAGTTTCATTCACATGTTGCCGACAAACCACTCAGTATGGCACCGATGGGTTTGGTCTTCCTCGTCCACTCAGTTTCTGTTTTCCTTGCTCACCTCCGATATCCCATTGAAATTTCTTTGTTTTTTTATGTTTTACGCTTGGAGCAAGGAGCAGGAGGGAATCAATTGCATACGATGGGCGTTGGGATATAGAATCAGACTGTCATATCAATCATTGCATGGAGTCACGGACTGGGAGGTTTGAGGGATTTTCTCGTCCTTGGACACTTTCGGTAGCATAACAACAGCTGCTTCGTACTCTTGCTGAATGAAAGCGAACAATACGGATGTCGATGTAGACAAATTCAGTTAGATACGCTCGCATCGTGCTTTTTTGCTCCTGTGAATAGTGGCTCCCAATTCCCCACGTTTCCCACGCGGTTAAGTGACTGGAGTTTCGAGAAATACAAAACTCAGAAGCCGTCATCCTTGACGCCTCTGCTCTTCTCATCCGCCCTCCTCTCCTTGTTGACATCGGCCCACCAGCGGTGCGTCTCGTCCTTGCTAGTGCTGTTCCCGTCGGCGTCCAGCTCGTCCCAGGGGTTGGGGGTGAGGATATAGTGGATGTTCTTGACCCTATCGTCACGCCAGATGGGGCGGTGCACACCCTCCCAGCGCAGGGTCTTGAGGGCGTTGTAGATATAGGGCAGGGCGACCCAGCGGCCGCGGTACAGCTCGCTCAGCAGGCTCTGGTCGGCGAACTCGAGGTCGCCGGCGTTGCCGTCCATGAAGTCGACGATCTGCTGGAAGACCTCGGCGCTGGGGTTGACGACCTGCAGGCCGCCGTTCATGAAGCCCAGGGGCCCCACGGCCGGGTCGGCGCCCTCGGTCTGCGCGGCGGCCGGGTCCGCGTGCTGCGACGTGAAGGCGCAGTTCTCGGGCACCCAGTCCTTGGGGTAGTGGGCCTTCTTGAGCGGGTTGCAGACGCAGGCGTGGCCGGCGGCGAAGACGCGCTTCGAGTCGGGCCCGCCCCGCGCGGCGGCGGCGCCGTCGTCCAGCGCCATGGTCATCAGCTCGTCCATGTTCTGCAGCACCAGCATGTCGCTGTCGAGCTGGACCACGCGGTCGTACTGGGTCAGGCCGAAGGGCGTCAGCTTGCTCCAGCAGTCGTAGAAGCGCGGGTCGTTGCTGTAGTCGCGGGTCGACTTTGTCGGCAGCAGGTACTTGATCTTCTGGTGCGGGATGCCGCGGGCGTCCAAGGCCGCCAGCCCCTCTGCCGGGAAGGTGTCTGTGTAGAGGGCCACCAGCGGGTATGCTGACTTTTGCTTCTTGAGCGAGTAGTCCAGCGTGAGCAGGCCTGAGAGGTAGTTTGTGTTTGTGATGAGGGTGGTCCAGACTGGGTACCATGGTGAGCGTGAGTCCTGAAAGTGAGTGCCTGTGCCTATCTACACGAGAACTACTTACCTCTGCTGGAGTCGACTGCTCTTTTACCGTCTGCCATCTTGATCTGTGAGGTGGATGAATGGGTGAGATGAGGTGAGGTGAGATGTGAGTGGCCCTGCCGCAGAGATGGGAATATGGAAGATTAGAAATGCTAGGCAAGACGGCGCGAGAGATGGCGGTGTTGAGAATGAGTATCCAGTCGGAGATACAGAATGCTCAGACGGACGACGACTTTTTCTACATGTGACTGGCAGCTGGTGACTCTGCTTTGAGATTACGAGATATATATATGTGCAGCTATCGACGACACGTGGGCAAGGGGGTGATTGACTCGCCGCATAGCGAGGCAGAAATGGTTGTGGCCGAGATAGTGCTACAATTACACACCAAGCAGACTAAGGGCTGTTGAGTCTAGTTCTCGGCTGGCTGGGGGCGGGGGTCGCAAAACATGGCATCAATCTATTAAAGGCCGAATAGATGACGCTATCAGTCAGTGAAACGGCGTGGATCCGGCGGGTGCCAAAGGGAACACTGGGCGGTGATAAAAGGCCGGTCTGCGATATCGAAGCCTGACGAGGCTTGTCATTCTGTCTTCTCGGTCCTTGCAGGACCACGGCCAGCATATCGATCGCATCATGGTGAGGATCCATTATGGAATTGCCGCAGTGGCACGCCGCAGTGGCAGCACCGAGACCGAGGCTGATCAGGTCAGATCAGATCTCATGAGATCTGCGTTACACAGCACGGGACATGCAGCTGGACCGGACCTTGATCGCCAATATCCAGTTTGCCCAGACAGAGGGACGCGAATCGGTTTCGTGACCCTCCTCTAAAGTGGATTCTGCGTTTTGAGGCACCCAGGGTCTCCTCGACGGCGTCGTCCCGCATGTCTCCACCCTCTCCGTTTCACCTCTTCTGGTTGCGCTCAGGATATATTGGCATCGAAATGAGACGCGCACTGGCTGCCATGTCTCTAGCCTTCTGTGGCCTCCTGGGAGTAACACCATATAGACAAAGGAAAAATTCAGCTCGCATGGAGGGGTCGAATGCAGGCCCAGCTGCCCAGGTAGCAGATGGAGGGGTCTCACATGCCAGGGGCTCTCTTATCTTATCGAGAACTTGGTCTTGATGACTCAGCATGGCAGAGCTACCTCTGGCCAGTTCCACTTCCAATTCCATGCTTGAGAGCTTCCGCGGTTTAGAACTCCAGATCCATGTTCTCGACCTTGACCACCACCGCGACTTCGCCCGCTCAGATGCCTCTCGTCGACCCCGTTACCATGTCTTCGACCGTCACAAAGACAACAAAGGCTCAATCAGTCTCTGGAAAATCCAATGAGCCCCCACAACTGCATCCCGTCCACCTCGAATCCACCACCGCATCCCAAGCCGCCCGCCATGTCTTGCCCGTTGCTACGGCGAGCCTCTTCCTCGCCAGCTTTAAGCGCCTTGTCGCTGACCCCGTCCCGACAATGACGGCTTCGCTACCTGTCATAGCACTTCTGCAGGTTCTCTACGCCTTCCTGTGCCTCCCCGCTGCTGGGTCCGGCTCCCCCAAGAACAGGAAGCCCAAGCCCGGTGAGAAGAAGAAGGCCGGCGACGGGTCCGGCCCCAACTTCATCATTGTACGCAAACATGCCCATAGCATCAGCTTTCCCTCACTCAAAGGCTGACCGTGTTAACATGATCTCCCAGGCTGCCCTTCTATCCCTCCTGCTCTCGTTGATCCTGACGCCGCTGCTCCACGTCACCATGATTCTGTTCGGGGCGCCCCTGCTCACCCACGTCTCCCACACCTTCCTCTGCGCCGCCCACCTGTCCCTGCTGACTGCATTCCCTCTGTTCTACTGCCACGGCGTGGACGCGAGCACATGGGCTGCCGTCGCTGGGTTCAAGGCCCCGTTCGATGAGACCTTTGGCGGGCTGCTGGGCGGGTTCCTCGGCGCCTGGCTGGGCGCCGTGCCTATCCCCCTGGACTGGGACCGCGAGTGGCAGAAGTGGCCTGTGACCATCCTGTCTGGCATCTACGCTGGCTACGTGCTCGGACGCGTGCTAGGTGGCACAGTGCTGTTTGGGAGGCGCTTTTGAGCATGGGGTCTTTGTTCTAAACTCAGAAGTATTATAGCGATTTAAAGGCTATGTTCCTCTGCCATGCTGGTCGTCTGAGCGATGCCAGGCTATGTAAGTTGGGGTGTACGATACTGTCTTGATAGCTTGGCGAAGAGCATCAAAATGATACCCACTAGAATGTATAAAATATTGAATCACTTAGGTCCTAGCGCCAAACATCATCTCTGATGTCTCCCTTCAGGGTCCCGTCTGCTCTTCAATAGACTTAGAATTTTAATCAGCCCAGCCCTTTGTCCGCAATTATAATTTGTGGTTTCACTTCCTGGTTCTGAACTTGAGTACATTCTAGAGCCTCCAGTCGTGTCGAGTTTTTGAGGAAACGATCGCAAGGGAAATGGTAAATCCCACCCCTGATCCCAATACTGAGCACCCATATACCGCACCAGACTCGCCCATGAAGACTTAAATTTTGCCATTTATGCAAAACAACTACCAACAACGCTAATGGGCCCCCGGAAGAAAACGGTTTTCTGCACTACTTGACGCGGCTATCTTGACACTCAGGCGCAACAGACTTTCTGCATTCCGAGCCAGTCCTCAGAGACAACTCGCGATCCCGAATTCGATCCTAGCAATATGCTGAGGTGGAGCGCAGCGGCCGCTCAGTCTCGTAGTCGTCGGGAATGACCTCGTATGAGTCATATAGGTTGCGGTTGTCTGCTGAGAGTGTCCGTCTTGCTGCCTCAAGTTCAACAGCCGTGGGAGGAGAAAGCCCACAAATGACGGCTTCGGGTGCGGGCTTCTCACTGCCGTTTCTCCTCACAGATGCATTGTGTTGCCGACTAGGCCCGCTAACACATTCACGCCTCCAATGGCTCCTCAGATCCACAAGGCTGGCCAGCGACGTGCCGAAGCTGCGAAGGAATCCCAGCTTCATTTTACGTATGGCGGGAAGTGTCGGTGCGGACCCGAGTATGATAACAAGACACTGTTCGAGGCTAGCCCATAGCGTTCCCGGGGCAGTTCGGTAGAGGTTGCTTTGGTGTACAGTGACGATACGCATGATACAGGCGGCCATGCTGAAGAGAGAGCCGGCCATGAGGACACAGAGGCCGAGGCGGCGTTGCAAGGGCATCTTCAGCTTCCAGATGATCAGTATTGGAAACAGCACGAAGGTCAAATCGGTCAGGGCGAAGACAGCTACAAATTGAACTCGCAGTCAATCATCCTATTCTTCCCTCCTAACTTCGTCCAAGAGACTATTTGTGCAGACAGGAGGGGAACAAGACATAGGGATACCACTCACATCCTGATAGGTAGACCATGGACTCTGCAACAATTGGATCCCACCTCCGTGCTGGAACAAGCGGGTTCCAAAGGCCTTCGACTGGGCTTGCCTGTGCCCAGGTAATGACAATGGACAACGTACCTAAGACCGCGACAAGCGAGGTAGTCGAGACCAACCACCTCTTCAGCCAGGCCTTGGTACCAAATAAGCTGATAAGAAGCATAGTAATCGAAACCCGAGCGGCAACAGAGGCGCATACACCAGGCACAGTGGAGATATAGATCCATTTAATTATGTCCATCCACGACGTGGTCGTACCCATAACGAGATATTGGTCATGCTTGTCCAGGCCCCGACGGTAACCCTCTGTCATACATGCTTGGCTGGCGATTTGGAGCACCTATTGGTTATCATCAGACACTCGTCCTAGATCTGTCGTTCCTGTCCATCAGGTAACATCTGGAAATATGCGGCACAATGAAAAGAAATACCAATGCAATGGACATGACCCAGTCATGAGCCTTCAAGCCCTGCATGTGTGCGACCTCCATGCGAACATAGAAGCGTAAACAAATGACAATTATGGATAGTGCCGTGAATGCCCATGTTGCGGCCAGAATGGCAGGCCCATTGTCGAGAGAGTCGTTGGACATTTTCACTCATTCAAACTGCATAGTCTGCCCTGTTGGAGGATGTTGTAAAGGCAAGTGCAGTGGTGTCGTCTTGGCGACTGAAGATGTCTAGGGTGTAGTCTAGGTGCTTCAAGAACTTATGCACATATGCACATCGCTCAATGCATTGTACAGGCTTACCGTGACACGGCCCACGGGAAGTTGAAGCTGCCCCAAGGTTTCACGGCAGGCCAAGACAATGTTTTCCCCTTTCAAAGTTACACTGAAGGATTGTTGCGGAAGACCTTGGAGAAGATACCACACACGCGTGGGATGACGCCGCGCTGCATGAAGTGTCCATGCCTTGAAAAGCTGAACTATTCCAACCATATGCATTAGAACCCATGCCCGTGGTCCAGATGCTGGAGTCAGCCTGCATATGTCTCCTGCAGTCGTCAGCCCAATTCAGGTATATTGTCGAAATAGACAAAGGGTGTTTCTCGGTTGCATGGAAAGTTGCTGACGTTTCAGCCTGCTTTTTCTGTAATTAATCAAGGATATTATTTGGGGGCCAACTTTGCGCCAGCCAAAAAGTGAGGGCGTCTGGTGCTGAAAAGTCGCAACGGCCCCCAGAACCCTGCGGACCAGAGGCACAGAGTGGGTGACCTTGTGCCCAGGTGGTATGAGATTACCATGAGTAACCTCAATGTCCGATCGCTACTAAGCCGGTAAAGGGCTGTCTTCACATTGATCCAATTTCACAACTTAACAGGCAATTGAGATATTTTGAGAGGCAACTCCACTGCCTCGAGCCCACCATTTCATGCCGTGGCTGACCTCCGAAGCGGCAGCAACTAGTCCCACAACATGTTTCTGCAAACGATCCCGTTCAACCTCAAATGGGCGGAATTTGAGTCTGAATAGTTCCATACGTACTTAATACCATCCTTCGAATGTGGCTCAGCGGCTTGCGCGGGCATTTCTGGCCTTGTCAAGCTGCGGCAAATGACCGCTCTATCCATGGCCCCACGATGCGAACTGGCAGCAAAGCAGTCGAGTCGATTCCCAGCCTCATGCCGGAGTAAATCCAGACAGGACTGGCCCAGACGAAGAAGGCAAATACCCAAAGACATCCCAGGATATGGCGAAGGCGCGCAGGCAGTAAAGCGACAATTACAGGCCTAATGGCATCCTCCAGCATTATGAAGGCAGCGTGCAGGAGGAAAAAGACCAAAGCTCCGTTTTCAACGTCTGGCACACCCATTAGCCGATCCGCGTGGTGGTGTATCATGCCAGAAATGAGAAATGCAATCATCAGACGCGTGTAGCGAGAGAATGCCGAGTGGCGCGAGACGAAAGGGAGAGTATTGTCGACGATCAGCTTGGCGTGGCCTGTCAGAAAACAGCGGAACATCTGGTGCCAGGAAACACTGCAAGTGATCATGTCAGTCTTGCACAGCCGGAGCCTACAGCCAGCTGCCAATTGCCAAGTGGAACTTACCCCCAGAAGCGACGAATGGTGTATGCTTCCGAAAACGATCCGTAGAGGGGAGGACAGTCGGCGGGAGTGCTCAGTCCCAACAGCACAGCAACAATGGCACCCACGTTGTTCATGAAAAGGTTGAGAATGCCAGTTGTGAGCCAGTATCCGACGACCGTGCCAGAACGAAAGATGACGTCGCTGGTACTCAAGTTCCGCAACGAGAAAAGAGCGGCCTTGTCTGCTCGCACCATGGCTTGTTCTGGAGGCGGCATTGAGACTACGGCATCGACGAATAGATAGGCCAAGAGTGTAGTTGCAGCGCGCTTGAGAACGAACCCAGTCCTAGTTTGCACCCGAAGACCGATCGAGGACGGGACATTCTTCACCTGCCAGGGGGTACCAACTCGTCGAACATTCCACAAGAGGGCCATTGCCGCTCTACTGTCCGACAATGTACCCGAGTTTGACCCACGGAGATGGATAAGTTGCCCGGCGTGGACGCGGGTAACTATGATCAGGTCTGAGGCGCTGAGGAACTGGACCCAAAGCAGCGAGGCCGCTGTTGCCGCCCAGTGTGGCCTCTCGTTCTCCAGACACATGGGGACAACCACACTCTCCATCCACATGGTGGTTGCGCACAATACGACCAGCCCGGCGGTCCGTTTGCTGGTTGACTGCGCTGCCGTGCTGAGAACCATGAGAGTGAATAGGGCGAGGAAAGCTACCTCGGCGCAGAAAAAGCCCAGCGCAGAGCGATATTCGCTATCTGGCAATTTGGCTGTCATTGTGCAAGTTCTTCAAACTTGTCTCGACGGTAGACTGGTGATTCCGTCACTATAAGGATGGGCAAGGTTGTATGAGCAGACGGCAAACGAGGTAATGAGAAGTGAGTCTTCAGCCAAGCGAAGCCTCCAGGGACGAGGATCGTGTACCAACCAAGTGCCTAGGCGATTTCTATAAATGTAAGTTCGGCCTAAGGTTGCACCAGGAAAAGCTCGACTTGGGAGGTGGGCCGCAACCAACTCATATCACAATGCAACTCAGAACTTCCAACCGCTAGTCTGCACGCGACATGTGGACCTCACCCTGCGCATCCGCCAACGCCAACGGTGGCACGTAACCAAAACAGTAGGACGAGGCCGTTGGTGGCCGAAAGACCCACTCTGCTCAACCTGGACATGCCAGTGCTGCTAGCGGGATGTTTGACGTCCTTCTCGGTTATTTCAAAGAAGCGCCAGCTGAGCCATTCGACTTGTTCATTTCTGACCTAGTAATGAACTTTAACCACCATGCGATTAAATCGTAACATTTTCATGTTTGTGGCCGTCTGCAATAGGCAGAAGATCTACTACTGCTATCAGATTGAATTGAATAAAGCCTTCAAAATAAACATTTGGACATATCCCATTGCCATTGCGTTGCACACTGTATATACGAACACAGCAATTTCCATCCTCGCTCCTTTCTACTGTCACACTATGACGCCGGAGACTAGGTCAAAAGCCAGTAATCGGCTGCGCACCTGCACTCGTCAGCCGAAAGGACATCCTCCTCCAAAGTTCTATCAAGAGGCTGATATCACAGCCGTCCAGCGTGATGCGGATGGAAGGCCTTCAACGAAAGGTTCCAGCTAGGCCACGATTTCGGTAGTGAAATGTACATGCTGGATATGTTTGTCGTCAATGTGGCGCGTCCGTCACTCACCAAAAGACCTAGACGTGTTGTTTGAGCCTGCTCGAGCAACGATCCAGCTTGCGGTCGACTCACTGCTCGTCTTGGACACGGAGAATTGGCAGACAATTGATCTGTTAGACACGATGTGCATGATAATTAACCAGGCTGGCTGTCGATCTGTCCTTGGAGTCTCTCTGTGTACTAACTTACGATACCAAGACACGGACTTGGTGTTTGAAAAGCAGCGCTGTGTGAGCAACTGTGCAAATCGTGATACACAAAAGGACCAAGGCTGGGTGGATGCTCTCTCTTTTTTTGCTGAAGCAACAAAACGTGCATGAAATATCAAGAAAAGCCAAAGAAACACCAGAAGCTAACTGAGCGTGAAACTATCATCACGTCCCAGCCGCCTACCCTCTATAGATCTCTATTCCTCAACTACTCAGCAATCCTGTCTCAAACAAAATTGTCGTGTTAATTGAAGACAGACCAATTGGAATGCCTGTAGCCTACCATATCCAGTACTACTTAGAAAAGTATGCAGCTATATTCTTTTCCACTGCAGACACATGTAGGCTGCAGTGGACCCACAAATATTGTCACCCACCTCGTTGTACACAGGCAGACGTGGTGTGTGACACAGTTTCAGGTCTGGCCTCATCCTATATGTACTAGAATCAGCCCCATTGTAGTACGTGCATGCATGTTATTTCCGAGTATATGTTGTCCCTCGCGAGTTGACCGAGCTTGGCAACTAAAAACGTCCCAATTTAGATATCCCTTGCTTGGCCAATTTTCCATAGAATACCCCCATTCTCTTATTGATTCATGGGCCCATCCTTTCGCACAATTGCGTTGTCCACGGTATTTGCCTACCAACCAAAGCATTTCGACAAGTCTCGTCTCTGGTCTACTATTTTTGGCAACACTGACCGCTCTGATGGCTCTTACTATTCCGACGGGATGGACCCAGAGCTCGGGGTGCTTAGCCACGGGGAACCCATGGCGGTGGGCTATCACCACTGGGTCTGGGGTTCGATACTTTGACGTGCTAGGCAGCCCGGCCGAGAGAAGCGCTTGCTACCCCTCAGGCTATCAACCGACTTCAGGCCTTGTGTATGCGGCAGACGGGTGTCCAGATGGATTCACTTCGGCGTGCCCAAAAGCTTCTAATGGCTTTGCCTGGACCATCTGTTGTCCAACGTGAGTGTCACGTTACCCCCAAAGTTCGGTCACTCGAACTCCTTGAATAGTCCTGTCCTGAGTCGCTTGTGCCGATATAAACTAACACAAGATGGAATTTGGCCAAGTGCATATATTTTTAACTGCGATTTGACAACGGAAGCAGACATCGCAACCATGTTTTGTGCATCGGAGTCTCCAACCCCGATCTCCGGGTCCATGCTGTACACAGCAACAGTCACGGGCTTTGGAAAGGGTTTGCGGAGCGTCGAAACGTATTTGGTAAGATCATATGATTATTCAATAAGTCCGCCAACAATATCCTATTTCTCAACCACGGGCACATTCGTCACAAGCGGGTATCAAACGACTGGGATTCTGTGGGCTATGGCTGTCATGGTAACGTCTATGGTAGGTCTTCTTTCTCACACCCTAGTGTTATCTTCGTCTTCCTCAGATTTTCGTGGTTGCAACAACCTGTTCTAAGACCGTTGGGTAGAGCGCAAGCAGTGGGCAAATAACTGCCACTAGCCTAGTGACCAGCAGCCAGACCGGGACAACTTCGGCAGCATCTTCGAGCACCGACCTTTCCGCAGGAGCGGCAGCAGGAATCGGCGTCGGGGCTGGGGCTGTAGTGGTGTTGTTGGCGTGTGGGGCCTGGTTGTTTTATCGACGTAAAATGATAAGTGGGCGGGCATTGGGCCCAGAGAACGGGAGCCGTGGTACTGGTGCTGCTGTGCAACAGCTCAAGCCGCCGGAGAGTGGAAGAGTCAGGGCGGTGCCGTTGGATGGACCGCTTTTTGAACAGTATAATGGTGCTGAAAGGGTGCATGAATTGGAACCACTGCCTCCCAGACCGAATGAATCGTGGTAGATATGGGAAATGCAAATGATTAAGGATACCGACCTGTGAGAAGGTCCAGGTTCACTGGTACGTCAAGGCGGCATCCAAGAGGCAGACGACAGGAGTGGAGAATAACTTATTTGAGACTAATACAGCCAACGGAGAAAGCTCCGTGGCAACAAAATTAGGTCTGGAATATTAATCAGAACCCTGACAATTTTATTGCTTCACTGGCTTCTTTCTCCGTGAAGACTTTATATTCAAAAACAATCTCCCAGGAGGCTGGGACTTTGTTGATGAGACAGCCGCCTGGACGTTCAATGTGTCATCTTGCATGGCGACGGTGCCGGTTCTTGCCAAGAGAAAACTTAGCGACGTTGTCGTGCGGCATTGACAATAGATCCGGCGTGGACCAACCATCTTGAATGATAGTTTCGTGGACTCAGTTTTAGAATTTGAGCTGTTTGGGGACTCTGGCAGCGTCGAAATTTTGGAAGTATTTTTATTTACTGTGTAATGATTTAAATTCTCTTCTGGTGCAACCCAGTGCGGTAAATGACTCGGACACAACCCTGTGGAGAGTACTTCAGTTTCCTAAGATCCCTAGTTATATGCATGCCTTGACCAGCAATTATCCTCCAATAACAATATTTGTCCATGCCGCCGAGACTCACACAATCAATGTGTTGTTCCCATTATAAAGCCACTCGACAACGCAGCATGTCATCGAGAATATTGAGCCCGGGTATGGCTTGATCAGAGGACAGCAGTGTAGCTTTAGAGAGTCTTTAGGACTTTGAATGCTTGATCTGTTTATTACATGGGATGGTGGCGAGCAGTAAATACCCGGTGTTGTGTGTTTCTGAAATTTTCTTTTCCCACCTCTGCTTTGTATTCTCATCACAAGCTGGCGGCGACGTTGACTTTGGCATCAATGTAACACCCAATTTCCTCCCACATTCAGCGCGCAGAAGTTTGGGCATCAGCTGGCGGACAAATCGTAGCACATCAAGCAATTGCCAAGTCAACCTGTTCAGACCAATATACGATGCTCCAGGGGTTAATGAGACTTATATCAGAGGCTTTATACATGTGAACTTTGGTTTAGCAGTCTTAGGTTGAAGCATTTATATTAATAATGCTGTATTGAGGTGGTCTGGCGAGTGAGGTATCCTAATTCTAGGATGATATTCCTTGGTCGTTTACTTTTCGGTCGTATTTTTCCGGAACGAGCCGTCTGCAATGGCCACGGGTAACCCTGGAGGTTGCTCATAAATACGGAACGTTCTAAAGCGCGGGGTGGGACAGATCACATCCTTGTCATTTCAAGTACAGCACAAGCACCAGGAGAAGATGACGGTAATTGATTTAAGATAGATGTGAAGTTGAGAAAAGACAGGAGTGCCCTCAACGTTGACAAGCACCATGTTTCCCTGCGCTCCTCTCCTTTCATCGTCGCTCGCTCTGCAGTCGCTATCGTTGCCTCCAGTCGCTCGTTCAATATGCTCTCCAGCCATGCTATCGTCTTTGCGCTTTGCGCGTCCTTTGCGCAAGCAGATAAGATGGTACATCCGTCAGTAAAGCAACCAAACCAAGACACGAAGACTGACTTTTGCGACGACAGCTACGTTTCTCTTGCTCACAACTGGTGACCCAACGTCTCGATCCGTGAGTATTACAGCAGAAGCAGCTCATTGAATTTTCCAATCTTACAAATCTGAACAGAGTGGTCCAGCCGGGACAGAACCCATCTCAACATGTACATCAGGTACGCACAGATCATGACAGTAATTTCAACTTAGAACGTCATCTAATTCCGCTTGTACAGATTGTTGGGGGCGTAAGTACTTCCAAGCCTACAAGTATACTCAATCAGAAGACTGGAGCTTAGCAAAATAGAATGCTTTCAATGTCACTATGGACCCAGGTCTCGACATCTCAGCCACAGCAGATTGCACAACATGCACTTTCACTGAGGATATGTCCAACTATTGGACACCAACATTATACTTCCGGGCTCGAAATGGAACTTTCAAACGTGTTCCTCAGATGGCCAATCAGGGCTTCAATGGCGCCGTGAGTACATCTCTGCCTCATAGATTCCTGCGGGTTTCCAGTCTCATCCAGTTCCTCTTCTGACAATCGCCCAGAACGGCGGTATGACAGTCTACTATGTATCGCCTGATGATGCAAGCGTCAACATCACGGCTTTCGCTCCGGGATTTCGCATGGTCGTAGGGGACCCCACCAGCCGAGAACAGAGCTTCAACGGCGCGATGAACTCGTATCGTTGCTATACGGGGAAGAACTTCGAACCGAATCCGTTTGGCGTGTCCGATAATGACACATCCACGTTTCCAACCCAGTACTGCGCTGGTGGTGTGAGGGTCGCGATCTTCTTTCCCACGTAAGGACTACCTACCCACACATACATGATTAACCGGAAAGAATCCATGGGCTAATAGTGATTTTAGGTGCTGGGACGGCGTCAACCTCGACAGTGCCGATCACAAGTCTCACGTCGCATTTGGGTACAACGGATGTCCCGCCTCACATCCCGCCCGTCTCCCCCAAGTGTTCTTCGAAACAGTATGGGACACAGGCGTCTTTCCCCAGTCTGAGTGGCCGGAGGATGGCAGCCAGCCGTTTGTGTGGGCACAAGGGGACGCGACAGGATACGGTCACCACGCTGATTACCTATTCGGCTGGAAGGGTGACTCGCTGCAGCGGGCTGTGGATGCGAGATGCGACTTTACTGGGTGCACGGAACTGCAGACACAGAACTTTGCGACAGGAAACACGTGTGTCCAAGAGCCGATAGTAAAGGAGCAGATCGATGGCTGTAAGTATCACAATTTGTTGAACACTACAGTAAACTACAGGTGCTGACGGTAACACAGGGCTCGACACTTTGCCAGGGAACTTGACGGTCAACTAACCATAGAAACAAGCCGCTTTTGTACACAGAGATCAGGCAGTTGAGAAAAGTAGACCAGGAACCAGCTCTGTGCTGAGCGTGAATACAATTATAAGCATACCTGGCAATTGCTAGCTTCTGTATTATGATCGATAAAAGGGCGCAGTTCGTGACGACACTGTGGTATTGGGTTGATTCCAGAATGAAAGACGCCACTAGAGTCCTCGACAGGAAACTGCAAATTGTGGTGGCAAAACCCAAGAGACGGGGTTGTGAGGCGGGAGGCAATGCAATACTTTGACAATTTCAGATCCTTCAATGCACGTCTTCTGCACATATTCGCTGCAACTGCAGAAGCCGCTATATCAAGTGAATTGAATCGCCGGTCTAGGACAGGTAAGACGTTGCACCCGATGCAAGCATTTTGGCAGCAGCTTGGGGGGGGGGGGCTGCAACGACTGGGGATAAATACGACCCAAGAAGTGTGGTCTAGAAGTGGCTTGTCGTTTTCCGTAGAATTAGACATAAATTACCTACTTCACCCCAAGTAGGACTGGTTATAGGCTGGTTATAATATTATTACGACAGCGCGCCCGGCTGCTCGCTACCCGTGTGCCTACCCACCCAAGTAACCACCTTGATCATCATTGGAAGCTCTCCTTGAGAATATCCGGTTTCCTGTCGTTCAGATCCAAGATCATTTGCCCAAAGAGGCCGTTTGCCCATGAGAACCTAAGCGACGGTAGGGAAAAGAAATTGTCAGCAAGTGTCACTTTCTCTATCGCAACGATGCACTAAATGAAGGAAACGATGACGCGCGGAATTCAACTTTACTTACCACTGTCTGGTCCAATCGCTCTGGTTGAAGGAGTTGATGCTCTCGTGAACCAGACCGAGCCCATCCGTGCTCGAGACGATTTCTTTCAATGCGCTAACGATCTCGGCATCATTATCGGTAGTCAGGATCCTGACGATACTCGCCATCGGCCATGCCATACCCGGTCCTTGGTGTGGCCCCCCAACGGCATTAATCACCGGGCCTCGCATGAAGTATGGGTTTCCGTTGATACCAGAGTTGCTGTTCTCGTCCAAGATGATCGATCTGGTATTCTGATAAACTTCGTCGCTGGCATCGAGGAAGCCCAGAAAGGGCGCAGATAGGATAGAGGGTATATTAGCGTCATCCATAACCACTGCAGAGCCGAATCCATCGACTTCATAGGCGTAGACTTGTGTCCCTGTATTGGGGTCGGTGATAATGCCGTGGGACTGAATAGCCGATCTAATGGAATCTGCCATGTTGCTCATCTGCGCTGCCAGGTCGGCTCCCCCCTCGAGTTTGGCCATGATTTCAGCCGTGCTGCTCAGGTATCGGCTGAACATCATGTTGGCTGGTATGAACAGCTGGAAGATAGTGCTATCGTCGCTCGGCCTGAAGGCGCTTCTAACCAGCCCCGTGCCGTTGCCCACGGGCGACCCCAGTCCGTCGTTGGCAAGCGTCTCAGTGGCGCGCGTGGTGAGGCGGGTGAAGGTATAGGGGCTGTTTAGAACCTGCCCGTCGGCTCCGTACGTCGGGGTCAACATTTCCGTAGCGGTGTTCAGTACTGCCTTTACTGCGTCAACCCATTGAAATTTGCCAAAGAAGTCCAGATCGCCCGTGGAATTATAGTAATTAGTCGACACCTCTAAGAAGGAAGCGAGGGAATCCAGCTCGTATTTGCACTCGAATACGCTTGTGTTGCTGTATGCGGGCACAACAGTATCCTCTGATGCCGCGCTGTTCACCGACCCTTCTACCCCTGACTCAACCGGAGGCTGGAAGGAGTTGCAGTACGGGCTGGTTAGGAGGTACCTCGCCTGCAGATTAATGACGCCCCTATACAGGCTAGCAATGCTATCTGCGCTGTCGTCGGCCTTCAGCACAGGCAGGTAGCTCTGCATCTGGTTTGCTGAGTCACGCAACCACATAGCATTGATATCACCCGTAATGACGAAGGTGAGCTCCTCCTCGCTGTTATTAGCTGCGTACCCTTTCCACCTGATGGCCGTGTCGAGTGTATTAGGATAGCTGTTCTGAAATAGCCTATATAGGTCCGGGTCGGTGATCACGCCGGCCATGGACGTTATCACATCCTCGACGTCCGAGGAGTTGAACGTCCGGCAGGACGGGGACGGGCGCATATACGAGAGCTGGTACGTGCCGTTGGAGAAGGGCTCATGGCGCTTGGTCGAGTACTCCGAGTAGTCCGGGCATTCTTGGGACTGTGCCAGCCCCAAGAGGAGGGCGGCCTGGACGAAAGGGGTTGTCTGGAGCATGATGACGAGAGGGGTCACCGAGGCACCAGAATTCGCCCGAGCTGAGGAGGTTGAGGCTCGACAACCTGCTGAACGGAGATATATATGGTGCAGCAGCAACAACTCCAAGAGCAAGAGCAGGAGCAGTATCGGCTGTGGGCTACGGCGGCTCGTGCCATGATTTTGTACCTGAGGAGGTTCGGGAGCGACGAGAGTATGATTGCATTAGCTCATACCGCATGCTACGTGCAGGGAAGTAACGCGGTGACCTGCAGTGACTGCAAGGATCAAAGAAAAGGTTGATGATCAGGTCCGAGATGAGTAGCGGCCATGCGTGCCCATGCTCGCTGCGGGGGCGATGCTACGTTCCAACGGTTCATGGAGATCATCTGAACTCGCTAGGTTTTCGTCGTTTCCGCCCCACATCCTCCCCTCTAGTGTATATACTGCCGCCATTCGCTTCTAGTACGTCCAGTGACCTAGGCATCGGGTGGCTTGGTAGGTCGCAAAGGCCAGTAGAATTAAAGCAAGAGAAATCAACATTTGATGGCCTTGGTGAAAACGTCAGCAATCAACACGTGGGCATAATGCTTTGGAGCAGATACACTGCAGAAACCCCAACACAGGTTCGGATGAGATCCACTGCGGAGAACCTGGAGTTTACATACAGATTTGGGATAGGATGCGGAGAAGCTGCCCACGATGCCCACAGTCTGACTCGGGGTTATGAGATGAACAGTCGGTCTTGCTTGGAATCGGCTAATTAGCTTAAGATATCGGATGCCTTGGAGCTTCAAAAAAAAAAAAAAAAGGTGTTGTCTGATGAACACCCAAATCTTAATCTTGTTTGTTACCGACGCCAACAATGAAGCCAGCGAGATCGCTGAAAGCATTGAATGCATAGCTAACGATCAGCACCCTGTGTCTTCCTGTCAGCTACCAAACATTCAGCACCTGCATTGGGTATCAAGAGACCACCGCGCCAGGGAATATATTGCTGATTTTCCCAATGGCATCTGCTAGGCCTACGTGGTCGACTTGACCGAGAATACCGGCTGTTGAGGGAGGACACAATGGGCCAGGTTCGAGATACAGCTAGCAACATGCTCGAACGCCTTCGCAATCCCGGCAGTAAAGAACACCGACAATCACGAACCATCGCGAGAACCAGCATGTATTCAGATACCACCCTTCAAAAACTCTAACCTGGATGAAGACCAAGGGCTGAAATTAAAGGTCAGGTGCAGGCGGCCCGATAGCGAGGAAGATGGATGGCAAGGAGAGATGACTGTGGTGGAAGCAATGCTCCTAGGAGGCTTCAACCTGGGGGATTGGCCTGCACTCACGACGTGTCTGGCATGGTACAGTTCTTCGTAGTGGCTGAATCAGCTGTTCAAATCGAAATTTCTGCCGACAAGCAGACTTTTATCAGTCCGCCTGCTGCTCAAGCGAAACACGATCAAGGGACAGTAGACTTCAATCTTAAACAGCTCACGCTCTCATCGGTCGTCGACTTTCTCTACGTCAATTTGCACCTCGTCAACAATTCACGGACAGATATTGGTCGTGTTCTGCGATGATTTCGTGAGATCGGGCCTCTCCCATCTCGGCATTCGGTTGAGTTCCTTGGCGCTCTGCTGGCATCGTTCCAGTAAACTCTTGACGACTTTCAACAGTCGTCTCAGAAGCCAGACCTGCCATTTACGAACCTTATTGCCTCGTTACGAACCTTATTGCCTCACAGAGCGTGAGTAATAGAAGTGAGTTCGCGTTCTCGCAAAACATTCAGCACAGCAGGCTTCATGCCATCCAAAAATGGCTTGCTGGGCCCCATACTGCGATTCCTGGCTTTTCAGGAGCATCACGGTCAATCGAAGCACTCGAGTCCATGAGGCTGGCCGGTATGAGTCATTCTGGGCGTTCAAAACTTCACATCTTCTAATTGAAGGACATACGCGGCGCTATCATCGCAGACCTCAGTGTAAATTTTGCGTACTGAGTGAAACTCTCGTGCGAACTTCGTAGTCGTGACACCAATGTCGGCTTGTTGAAAACAGCGACGGCGACCGCCCTTGCGGACAATATAGCGCTGATTCTGGTTTCATCAAGCTTTTTCAGTGTTCGACTAACATCATACTTTGTTAAGATACGGGTGAGACTCTAGGCTCACATCCAGACAGTTATACTGCCCTCTACCGAACAGGCTATCCTTTTCGGTGATCACCTCCAGCTGCACTTATAGATACATAACAATTAGCTTCTGATTAGAAGCCTAAGAAATTTTTACACTTGCTTATAAGCTATTCTAGGCTTCCGGTGACCGTACTTAGGACTTAGAGGCTCATGTCTCCTTTCATTTCTGGACCGACAGGTCCAGCTGCAAAGCAGCTACTGAGGAAAGGGTTAATTCCAGACCATCGAACCAGATCATTCATACAAATCGCCGCTGGGCTCTTCATGTCAGTGTACCCATGCTGTTTGCGTGGATGGAGAGCCTGGGTGTCTAGACTTGCACTCGTAGGGCTCTTGGCTTTGATGTGGTGGGTGATTAAGCGAGGGGTTAAGAAGTTTCACAGAAGAGGCTATTATAGGAAAGTTGACACTGAGATACCACTGGATGACCTCGAGCCTTTGATGGGAGGAAATGACTCCGTGGACGAAGCTGAAGATGACTCAAGGCGGTCTCTTGTTTCATAATCAACATCTTCTCTCTTTCTTGCAACACTCTGTAACGTCTGATGCAGCTCGGATGCACCCATAGAAAGCCGGGTGTAGTGGGCTCAACCGCCCATGTCTCAGTGCACCTACAAGAGTCGCATCTCAAGTTATCAGATCTGCGCTTGACTTGCGTATAATCCCACACGGTCTTTGGGGGGACAAAAAGTCCTTAACAGGGTAGTCAAATGGTCCTGGGCAATTCCACAACCCTCCCCCTCCCTTTTTCTCTTATTGTTTGCTCTATCGTTGATTTCCGTCCTCAGGATGCTGTTTATGAGATGGGGGACTGGCTTTGCAACATGTGACGCTTCCAGGCTCGTGGCTACCAACAAGATTAACTGTAGTGCGCAAGATGGAGGTTCAACTGATCTTCTTTATTGAACCGAATTGGTTGCCTATTCACATCAGTTATGCGGACCGAGAATGAGACTTAGAATGTTACTAACCAGGATATCTACTGAAAAGGTGTACCGAAGTATGCATGGGTAAAACCCGCTCTAGCCTAATATGATAGCCGCTGGTTTATTTCTTTGTACCGAATTCACCGATTAACGTTGCATCGTCAAATAACCTCTTGGCAATCCCGCGACCGTCATGGACAGACTGCGGGCGGGCATGCCACGGGCGATCACAGCTTTGGTTTGGCACATACCACTCCTCACTCTTGCCACAAACAATGGGAACGCGGTTCTAACGATCCAGTACATCAAGTGGTCTCGAATCGTCAGAACTCAGCTTTTGTTGTGGGTACCAAGGCATTACCGGAGTAAAGAAACCATAAAGCTGTCTCTACAAATATGGTGAAATCCTCGAATTGCCTTGCGTCTGGCTGGTGCCACCATTTCCTCCTCACCTTGGTCTGTTCATCGGTCTTGTTCGCTCTTCCGACTCATGCCCAAGATGGTCCGCCAGCAGCATATCTCAGGGTTCCCACAGAGCGACAAGCCGCCTGGCATGAACTAGAATACTATACCTTCATCCACTTCGGGCCTAATACCTTCACAGATGAGGAGTGGGGAAGAAGCCAGAGCCCTCCAGACGTCTTCAACCCCGTCGGCCTGGACACAGACCAATGGGCCAAGACATTCGCCGACGCGGGCATGTCGGGCATGATCCTGACAGCAAAGCACCACGATGGCAGTAAGAAGCTTCCGGATACAAGTTTAATCCTTTCAAGAGCAAAAGTCTGCCATCTGTGATCTATTTGATTACTTGCGTCAAGGCCTTTGGTCAGACTGCGGATTCTGAGACGGACCATGGGCACATGGTGGCTTGATTATTCCTCCCAGTTTTCGTAATAGCTTCTGCTTTGTCGCTTTGATAGCTAACAACAGATACTGCAGTGGCGCTTTGGAATACGTCCACGACCACGTACAAGATCGACAACGGCGCGTGGGCCAAGAATCGCACCGCCCTGGGGCTCGAGACCAACGTGGTCCGTCTGGCCGCTGCCTCAGCGAAAAAGTACGGCATCAAGTTCGGCGTGTACCTGTCTCCGTGGGATATCCACCGCGATCCCGCGATGCCAAAGGCCGGCCTCGAGGGCACAATCTACGACGAGCCGCAGATCTTCGGCGATGCGACGGATGGCGACTACAACGCACTGTACGCTACGCAGCTCACCGAGCTCGTGACGATGACGCTCGATGACGGCTCACCGGTCGAGCTGTTCGAAATCTGGCTCGATGGCGCCAGCGGCTCGGACACGGTGCAGACATTCAACTGGACGTGGTTCCGCGACATCATCCGCGAGCACCAGCCGGACGCCATCATGTGGGGCCACCAGGGCGTCGACGCGCGCTGGGTCGGCAACGAGGACGGTGTGACGGTCGCCTCCAACTGGCACACCATCAGCCGCACGCAGGACGACGCGCGCTACGGCGAGGCGGAGCTGCAGACGGGCGTGCGGGACGGGCTGTACTGGACGCCCGCTGAGGCCGACGCCCGTATCCGCGATGGCTGGTTCTGGCACGCCAGCGAGACGCCCAAGACGGCTGAGGCGCTGATGGAAATGTACATGCAGTCTGTGGCCAGGAGCATCAACTTGCTACTTGATGTGCCGCCCGACACGGACGGCGTCATCCAGCAGGTGGATGTTGACTCGCTCGAGGCTTTTAAGGGACTGCGCAACGCCTTCTTCGACCGGGAGATCCTGACACCAGGGCTCAACGCAACCGCGAGCAGCATCCGAAACGGAGACGTGGCACTGTATGGACCGGCGAATGTGATCAACAGTGACACCGCTACGTACTGGGCCGTGAGTGCTAACGAGACCACGGGGTGGGTCGAGATCGATCTCGGTGGTGCGTACTCGGTAGACGCTTTCATAGTCCAAGAGCACATTGCTTTGGGTCAGCGCATTGGTGGTTATACCATTGAAGTTGCCGTGGACGGACAGTATAAGACGGTCGTCAATGGCACTTCGCTCGGATACAAACGGATCGATAGGTTGGGCGCAGCTGCACCGGCCACGCAGATTCGATTCAGTGTCACTCAGGCCAACGCCACACCTCTTCTCCAGAGCGTGCAGGTCTTGGGTGAAAAATCTACCTAGGTACATAATCAATTTATCGCATTCAACCTCATCAAAACCAGCCTTTCAATTTTCAAGTGCAACGAAGCCATGGCAACGACAAGGGGGCTCATGAAAACCCTGTGGCCGCAACTGCCCTAGCCTTACAGCCATCAACCTTGACTGCTTTCTGAGTTAAACAAGTAACATTTTCAAACGAGAAATCCTAGCTGGTAAAAATGCTGCGATGGCGGATTACGTATTATCGAGAAAACCTTTTAAGCTAACTTGAAGGCTGTTCTGGCCCTAGCGTAACAAATCCGGCAGGGTCATCTGAGTCAATTGGATGGTTTGTATTGGAAAAGGCGCCACAGCACTCAGCATCACGGCTTCTTCTGATGAAGTCACAACTTGCAGCAGAGAGCCACTCGGTTATTAGGCACCCGGATCTGAAGTCGCTACGAGGGCAGTAAAGTTGCGCGGCAATCGAACGCAAGAGCGAGGTGCTTTTGAAATTATCACTTTGCATTTCAGAGCCGGGCCTCTTCATATAGCTTCGAAGCCTGCAGCTTGTCTCTATATTCATGTCTCTATATTCATACATCCCTAGAATTTGTCTAAATCATGGTAGATACAAGTCTGTGTTGAAATCCCTTCTGCCTAATGGATATGATGCTAATCCCAGATATTTACCTGTCTTGTCTACTTGCCGGGGCATCCACGACCCCAACCAGTAGAAATGGAACAGCAATCGGCATTCTGTTCAAAGATAACATTAACATAAGTGCATTGCGTAAAACAGGTTCGCTGTTCTTATTAGGACTTACACATTTGGTCCGAGGAATGTTGTAATCAGTGGCACAGTATTTATGTAGCGGACAGTAGATGTTTCCCGGGCCATAGCCTAATTGTCTGAAGCAGGCGGCCTCAGATGAATAGCAGCAATCGAATTCACCGTCGCACTTTGAAACTTGTAAATCAGCTTTCCGCTTGCATAAGATGGAAAATGCGGCAACAGAAGAGTATTGAAAACTGGCTTACATCTGCATTTGGATCACCAACGCCAGGGGCCTTCTGTCTGCTGGCGAGTTCAGTCGGACTGGCAATTGCAACTCCCAGCATGAGTGAGACGATGCTGGCAAGGACGTAGGAGGACTTCATTGTTCTGAAAGTTTGATGAAGTGATTTCTAGCAGTGTAGATGGTGCGTTTTGGGCAGGAACGAGTGACTGGTTTCGAATAGTTTGTAGCGATGAGGAGTGTGAACAAGCGATGTGTTGTAGTATAGATCGAAGAGATTGCAGCCAGTGAATTATGGAGTGATTGCCAGCTTTATATACTGGTAGATACATAGGAGGTATAAGATTTGTCGGACTCACCGACTCTGTCTATTTCTGTATGCAATTTCCCTACCTATGCATTTCAGACCTATGCATTTCAGATGTTTGATAGATTAGAAACGACAAGCTTAGCACTGTTTCATCCAAGCTTTGGGTTCATCCATATGTTGAGGCACTACTAAGTCCCACAGCTACATGTCACGTTTTTGCTGCCGTGCGAGAAGTTCCACATCCCCTCATTCAATGTGAAATAAATAATTGCGTGCATGATCTTGACAAGATTGGTATATGGTTCACAATTGTCACCATGAACAGGTAGAATTGTGTCAAGAAAGTACGTATAACATTTTGTCAAAATACAGGACCCGCTCTGTGTTGACAAACAGCTAAGCTAGCCCTAGCCCTGCCTAGCTTGAATGTCTTAGCACTAAAGTTTAATAGAACTTCCAAGATCGTGCATGACTTGTTAGGTTGCTCGTTTAGGAGCGCCAAGGCGATCTAACTTGCTATTCTGGCAATTGAAATTGTGGCTATGTACTAAGGGACGAAGAATCAAGGGCACTAGTCGAAGAGCGATGGTATGCGCTCGAGCGTAATGAACGGTCGATTCATATATTCCGATGTTGTCATCGTGAAACTATCTCTTACCTTTAGTGTCCAAATTTTTAGTCGCTCAAGCTCTGCAACTGACTCGTTGGCTCTGCGGCTTTGCGCTCAGTTCGTTGCCCAGAACTCTACGCAAAACAATTCTCAAAATAGCAGCACCATGTTGTGGCTATATCCTGCGATCTAAGCGTATTTCAGCCTTGGATGCGATATTAGATGAGCAAAGAATACAAGGACACAATGAAACAGTCTCAACGTGTCGTGTCGAAAGAGAATTGTGCGACTGTGTTCAGGCGCAGACTGTAAGCAGACTAGATTTTGAACACAAGGCAGTTCTTCATGATTCTGTATGAGCGCGAGTAAACTATATAAACAAGAGGATTCCTATCCGACTTTCCAAATATATTCTCTTCCTTGCCATCAGCTCTTTACACATTAAACCTCCAGCTTTAAGATTTCATTCAAGAATTTCGACACACTTTTATTGCAAGACTCCGCCCAGCTCAGACTTTCACAATGCAGCCCACCAATGCTCTGCTTGCTCTCGCGTTCTTTGCCAGTGCCGCAAATGCTGCGGTAAGTTCTGCTCCTGCTTTTCACGGCTTTCAAGCCTTGAAAAAACAGCAAGATACAAACGAGCTTAGTGTTGACGTGACCTTCTTAGTGTATGATTGCTGGCAGCATTGACCCGAATTGCTGCTGGGGCGGAAAAGATAACGTCGATGCCTGCAATCGACAGGGAGCGTGTAATGTTGGTGGAGACACAGACAACTATTGTGCCAAGTTTGGCATCACACCAGCACAATGCGTAAGTCTACCTCTTCTTAACTTATGCTGGGCAAATATTGTCTTTTGAATCAATCGCTGACATTTGACTTATTGTCCTACTACAGGATGCTGATTGTTGCGATACACGGACAAAGAAGGGGAAGCCTTGCCCTAAGGGCAGGAATGCTTGTGATCGGAAGACAGGTTGCCCCAACCGTTTGTAAAGTCGATGTACTTTAAACGCCCTTTGATAGGATCATTGAATTGTAGATTCACAAAAATCACAGCTAGTCACCAGTTGGAATTGCTGAATTTATGATGTTTCTGCCTGTCCTTGGTTTCCCAAATCTCTCATTGTTGTCATCAACATCAACCGAGTACTATCCCGCTCGATACTCGTGCCCTTTTCGAGTTATGATAGCTTGTTGCCGTCTCAACCGCTTTCAACGACGCCGCTCAGCGTGAGCGAGAGGCTAAAGATGACGAGGCTATTGGCAAGAGAGCGAAACAATCATACGCTTCAAGTCGACTTTATATTGGAAAAAGCATTGAAGATATAATACCAAAAGTGATGATCATGAATTGGACAATTCATACGTAGCCATTCAAGATGTCAGAGTTACCAGTCTGAAATATCTACTGCAATAAGACCGACTTGCAACATCTATATCGCGTAAACGTGCTCGTCACATAGCTACGCCTCATCACCAAGAAAGCCCAAACCTCGGCTTTAACCCGTTCTTGCTTCATCTCTCAGGCAAAGGATGTCTGGCTAGAGACGCTGCTTCAGCAGATCTTGGCGGAGCAGGTGAAATGATCGGGCTTTTCTCAATTCCTTGCCTGAAATCGTGCTCTCACCAAGAATTGTGTACTCTGGCCGCTTTTTGCAGATAATTGTATATGATATAAGTCAATTTCCTGCTTAAGTTCACATGTTTACTTCAGAGATCCAAGAATCTAGCAGCGCCTTAGAATTGACATGAGTAACGTTCAGTCTTGATAAAGCCGGACAAATCCCATTATACTCCCAATTTGGCTCAACCTGTGGGCCAGATTCGAATGAGGATAGGAGCACTGTTATTTTGTGTGCTCTCAGAGATCCGTTACTGCTGCATAAAACATTATTGATTGGCGCCAAGGGCTCAAATGTATTGTCTGTTGACTTGAGATGTTGCAGCAAGCGCCCGGTTCCTTCGTCCGGCCTCGTTCTCAGGAGGTGCAAAAATTCTTTACAAGCCCTGAGATGCTTCTCTAAAATCTCAATTAGCCTTTTCATGAGGCCAAACTCTTTGTCTCCACCGCAGTTGATGTAGCTAAAGTGACTTTGATTCGCCAAGCATCGGCCACATGCTGGGCGCTGACCATCGCACGATTTTGATCTTTGGTCAGTATATTTGGAGACGCGTCAACTCTAGGGGTCAAAATCAGTAGAAAAGCCGCAGCAAGTTAAACTATCAATGTCCATATCTATAAATGTGGCTACTATGCCAATAGGGCCTCCCGCGTTTTGCCACATCCGCTTGCTCGTTGGTCTAATAGTACGTCGTCTCGGGCGAAGAAGCTCACATCCATTTTAGGTACAGCATCCCTGACTAGTAATTTCTGACCGGCACCTTTAGTGCGAGTAAGTAACTGTGCGTGCTGTGTTACCTTCAACGGGGTACTCGTTCACTAATGCGGAGCAAGCCAAATCATTGATTATAGTGTAGTACACAGCTATAAGTCGGTGAATCATGATGATTAGTGTGTATAATGTGTCAATGAAGCACAATAGCACTAGGTGGGCCAAGTGTGGGAATCAGATGAACCTTGCAGAAGAGCAACATTCTGGGCCGACCAAAAGGGCCGTTCGAGCGTTATACGCAGAAACCCGCAGTTGACGCGACCTTCTGCTCGCCTGGCGCGAGCCTTCTGATAGTTGGGCTGGATTTTCCCAATGCGTTGTGCATTCGCGGGGCTTTTTCCTTCCCTCTTCTCTCCTTAAGCTTAGCATACCCGTACATAGCGCCATTAAGACAGTTTCTAAAGTTGGAAGCCTCGGTGATCTGATTGAGTTGGGGACCGCCTATTTCCCTGTAGTTGAAATAACCTGCCTAATTGACTGAGGTTTGTAGCTCAAGGTCGGGTAGCGGCCCGATGTATCCTATCTATGCTTGTGTGCGCTGAGTTTAAATTCTATAAAGTAGTGCAATCTTAAAGCCTTTCTAAAGCTACATAGCAATACTTGGGAACCACACTCATTTCAAGTCTCGCATCCTTCGAAGCGAACTTGCCCTCCATCTTCTTGAATCGAAAGTTCCACAGGAGCAGCGCGATGACATTCCGAATTTGCATGTATGCCAGCTTTTGACCAAAGCACTTCCTCGGGCCAAGCCCGAATGCCAACGTGGGCCCTGCTCTGGGGTTGAAAGATAGCTGCCCGTTCTCGTTTTCTACGAGCCATCTGTCGGGCCTGAATGTCGCGATATCCTCAGGGCTCCACGATGGGACGTTGGACTTTTTGCGGCGCTCTTCGGTGTGCAGCCCCTCTGGGCAGGGAATCGCAGGCTGAGCGACACCTGGGCCTCCTGTGGGGATGAGGATCTCGGTGCCTTTAGGAATCGGCACGCCAAGCAGCGTCGTGTCACACATGGTATCTCGCTTGTCCTGGAAAAACGGCGGCCATATGCGAAGCGTCTCCTCGGCGAAAGCCTCGAGGTGAGGAAGGTGACTCTTGTTGATCTCATTGGTGTTTGGCTGCCGCTTCTCCTCAACCGCGGCGGAGAACGCGCCGTGGAGTTCCTCACGGATCGTCTCCTGCCACTGGGGGTAGTCTCCAAGGTACCTAGTCATCCCTGTATAACAGAGCCTTGTCAGTCTCTGTCGGCTCGCGGGAAACTTGAAATGCGCAGCCTCACAGCTGATACTTGTTGCACTGGTTTCATGACCGGCTGTATAGTAACCAAATATCTGAGCTAGTGTTAGCGAGGACGCCGAGTATAGCCAGTTTGGTGCCTTTAGACCGAATTGCGGTGGAACACTTACCTCGTCTATTATGCGCCCGTGAAAGTAGTCAGGTTTACTTCCGTGTTTCTCAGCATACTGTTTTTCCCTGAACAGTATCTGGTCCAGTGCTGACATCATCACAACTTCGCCTTTGCCCTCCATCCGAGCCAGAGCCTTCTGAATCTCGTTTGTAAACACTTTTCTTACAACTTTAAATGCATTTCTCAAAGCCGGATCTGTCAGCATCCGCAGCTTGTGCTGGATCGGGGCGTTGATAGACCGGGCCTGTTCGCCTTGGTACTCTGTCAGTCGATGAAAGGCCGCAAGTGTTGGCTGATCAGGCGCTCGTGGGATGTTGACGAAGCCGTCTTTTCTCTCCTTTACAATTAAATGTTTCAGTCCCTCAGTGAATTTCAACTGGTGACTGGTGGAACTCATGGTGTCTTCAATAGCAAAGGCAGCTCCGTTAACCATATCAGAAACGCAGTCGAAGATATCCTTGATCGCATCGAATGGTCGACCGTTGGCATGTTGCGCTTTAACTTCCCAAAGTGTCACCAGCATTGAAGCATAACGATATACCTGAGGCGCAGATACCTGCACGTAGAATTAGTGTTCGATTGAGAAATATTTCGACCTGACTTTATTTCTAGGGGTTTGTGTCTCTTGGAATTTGTTCTAGGTACATACCTCATTCAGAAACTTAGGTGTCATTAGGTCACGGATGAGCTCCTTGCTCCTCTTGTATTCTGGGGAACCTGATGGCTTGGTAATGTGGAATTCGGGAGACACCTGTCCAAACAACCACTTGAACCCTTTTCCGCGGTTGAACTCTTTGGTTCGTCGAACCATTAAGTCCTCGATTTCCATATAGTCGGAGATAATGACAGCGGGTGGTTGTAAGGGCTTGATCCAGACCTGGACCATCGGGGCGTTTTTCTCGGTGAGCTTCTTGAAAAACCAGGGAACAATGTTGCCATCATTATCCTTTGCAAATCTCAACATTTCGGGCACGTTACCCAAGAGGCTTTTAGATGCGGCCTCATCGTACGGAATGCCGGGGATTGGTTTGGGTAAGGCCCAGCGGTAGGCCAGGTACAGTAGTGTTCCAATTGTCACCAAGGCGGCGATCGGCACAGAGGCTGTTCGTGATGATCCGCTTGGCGTGGTTACCACCATACTGGCATGATTCAGCAGAAGTTCGGTTTGGTTGGACATGTCGCGATGCTTGTATCTAGAGAATGAGAATATCAATAGTTAACTGGCTAGGTATAGTGTTATAATGTCACTGATCTTGACTACACATATATATGCAAAATCTCAAGCCAGAGCCTGTATCAAGTCTTGCATTTCTCGAAGTCAAGTAGAGCGACAAGTCGGCGTCGGCTTCAAACTGCAGCCCGAGATTGCCGCAGGCAGGCTACCGACATAAATTAGGTCAGTGGCTACCACTGTTTGAGGGCCTGTCTTCGAATATTCTCAGGCGGGGCCAGCGGAAAGCAAAACACCTTACCCCACTCTACCCCCCTGTGCTGCGGCGCACAAGAGTACTTAGCTGGGATACCCCAGCGTTGCAAGCAGCTATTGGTAGAGATCCTAAAGCAGATTCCATCGTATTTATACGGCTGATTCCACCGTATTTATACGACAGGTTCGTGGTCGTTGAATGGTGTCATCCATAATTCAGACGGGCTCGCCGTCAACGCCAACGCCTAGTTTAGCCGGTGTGGCCGGGTTCAGGACATCCAGGGCACACTTGGCATGTCCAGCATGGCGATTGGTATCTGGACACCGCTCGTCAGGGATTGCAAATGTCGTAGTTTGACACATCATTTGGTCAGTAGAAGTATACAATGCATTCTCGCTATAGACTATCTTCTGTATGACAACCTCTTAGCTTTCGAAGAAGACTCTAAGGGTTTTGCTTATGAGAGATTTTCCATGTACATTATACTTCTGTCATTCTTCACATCACATTGATCTTCTTTTGAGATCCTGGTGAGGTTTATATAGGACCTGAATCCTACTGAATGTGAACATTTCGGAATGCGCAATGCCTCCAGCTCGTTATTCTCAACTGTCGGGTATGTGAGCGGCTTGTTCCTAGTGAGCCAGAAAAGTTTGTCGTCACAGTACGAGTGTTCATTTTAACACGGCATCGATTGACGCCTATTGTTCCGTTCCTTGACTAGGGCAATGTTTTTGAGGGAATGTGTGTGTGTGTGTGGGTATGTGGCTCCGTATGTCGTACTTCTTCTGTAACCCCCTCCCTCCCTCGCGTCGTCCGGCGCTTCGGCCTTCAGTTCGAGTGCCGGAGACTGAGAACGTCTCCGTACGGATCCTCAGAGGTCCTAACCGAAGGTTTGGTTTGCACAACTTTGCAGGCATCCCAAATGTCAATTCTCATTGCACTTTTCTCATTCATGAGCTTGGGTCAACCAAGTCTCACTTTGCGTAGAAGTCAAAAGTTGACATTTGGAATGTCTGCGTAGGAATAGGTCGGATGAACTGCCTGCTCTTCACTCGGGCTCGGGGCCAGGTTCTCAGTTTGATTGTCGAACCAATTTCAATACAGAGTGGTTACAGATGTGTGCATGTGCGGTGTGCACAAAATAGGGTGCATCCACGTCATTTAAACTTCGTCGGCCAAGATGGATTTAAAAGCATAAGTCCAGGATGTTCATGCCTCCTTAATGCCGATTTTAGTTAACGCCATAAGTATATTACATTTGTATATAATTTCAAGCGTATGCCTCACTTATAGGCTATCCGTGTTTTTTCATGACACCACCGAAACTCAGAGACAACCGACAACATGTCTTCTTCATCTTCGACCGTCCTTGTAACGGGCGCAAATGGATATCTCGGCTTGCATGTCGTTGAAAAACTGCTCAAGCATGGCCACACGGTTTGCGCGACAGTGCGTTCCAAGAGGGCTGCCGAAATAGTCAAAACAAATTTTCTGGAACAGTTCAAGTCTCATCAGCTTCGTACCGGCTTCATCGAAGATTTGACCAAGTCAGAGTGCTTCCGCGACATATTTGATGAGACCATTACCAGTGTCGTTCACGTGGCTAGTCCTTGCCCAATGGGCAAGAATATCCAGGACAATGTACGCGAAATGCTTGGCCCGGCCATTGCCGGTACTACAGCCGTACTAGAAGCGGCCAAGACATACGCATCTCCCTCGTTTCGCAGGGTCGTGCAAATATCTTCTTTCTCCGCCATGCTCGACATCTCCAAAGGCCCCCGTCCGGGGTACGTCTATACCGAAGCCGACTGGAACCCAGTGACATACGAAGAGGCTGTGACGGAGAAGAACCCGACGGTCCTGTACGTGGCATCCAAAGCGCTGTCTGAGAAAGCTGTCTGGGAGTGGAAGGCTGAGCATAGGCCACAATTTGACATCGTTTGCCTGTGTCCATCGACGGTTTTCGGTCCTCATATCGATACCATTGAATCTATCGCTGGCCTGCACTCGACGGCTTCCCTTCTCTGGAACCTGGTCGATGCCCCCGAAGTCCCACCACTTGACTTTGCTGGAGTCATTGACGTGCGCGATGTTGCTCTCATGGTTGTAGCCTCCATCGAGAAGCCCGAGGCCAGTGGCAAGAGGTTCCTACTGGCGGAGCATTTCGACTGGCAAAGCGCTGCTGACGTGGCCAGAGAAGGCCTGCCCCAAGAATCTCGCTCCAGAATTCCGGTAGGCAAGCCTGGCTCTGGTAAGGTCGAAGCTCTAAGAAATCTTTATACTGTCGATGGGTCTAAGGCAGTCGAGGTTCTTTGTGTCGGATATCGACCGCTGACTGAGACGGTGAATGACACTCTGAAACAGTTTCTTGAGGTTGAAGCGAGAGATAAGGCATCTTCAGCCTAAACAGATTAGATTATTGGTAGAATCGGAGTACCAAAACTTAATATAAAGAATTACTAGTGGGAAAGAGATAGAAAACAAACGTGGCTCGCCGATGTGTGGGATTTAGATGTTTAAAATATGATCAATATCGCGAAGTGGTCAGGCCGCCTTTCGAAGGAGACCAGCTAATGAGAGTCGTGGTATAGACGGGAAGGGTATTTGCAGGAACGACGATGGCATGATGTCGCAGAGACAGATTCAATCGCCCAAGTCCCCCCGGCGAAAATGCAACGGCAATGTCAGATAGCCGTCTGGTTGAAGCGGGTCAGCTGTTCCACGACCTCGTCAACTGTACCGCAAGGGTAAGTTAAACATGGCACACTATTTCCGGCCCATGAGGGCCAGGCCACCGCGAAACGGTGGTGGGTAGACATCAGCAGCCTCTATAACGGAACAGCGGACGACGAGATACAGGAACAATGATCTCCTCGAGAAGGAAGCGAGGCCGGGCGATAGGGAAGAGGCCCCTTCGCCGTGGGGCTTGGTTTATTCTGGGGGGGGGGGGGAGAAATGTCCAAGTGGGTCGGCCGGTCGGCCGGTCGGTCGGGATGGCGCCCCCAAGGTGTGAGGGTGGGGGCCAGGGTTTTGGAATCTGGAGTTTATATACATTATTGAGGGGACTTGCTTCCTCTACCGAGCGAAAGCATTGGACCATAGGTAGCAGAAAACTCGGGATCCCGTCCGCTCTTCATAGATACGCTGCATACGCCGCTAACCGCTGGGTTAGTAGTTGAGTCGGTGACGACCAGCGAATACCCGATACTATATGATTTTTTCTTCTTTTCTATCTTCAAGTTTCATACCGCTACTCCGTGGTCTCATCACAGCATTTCTTTTTTTATTGGATGGAGGCCCAAAGCATATTGGAAGGTGTACCCTCGAGACCAACTCGAGACCGACTCTGAATCATCGAACAGCTAGACGATCGTCCTGTTACCACGTATTCGCCAGGTGGGTCCGAGACCCAGAAGCGCCCCGTTGGCCCAGTCAGATGAATTTACTTTCACGTCAGGGGCTGCAGTTCTGCTCGGATCTCCTCCGGGTACCCGAGCCGCTTGTAGGCCCCGAAAACGCGCATGAGCCCTCTGATCATGACCAGGTAGAAGACGCTGAGCACGAGGTCGCGCGGCTTGGTCACCACGGCCTTGACCTTCCCTGCTCTGCCGGGGCCGGCCTGCTTCTCCTCCTTACGACGGCGGTCGCACACCTCAAGGTATAGCTTCGGGTCGTCTGTGATGACACAGTCCACCTTACTGCTTATACACCACTCCATCCACGATTCCTTGTTGACGGTCCATGCGTACAGGGGCCGCCCTTCGGCCCGGCAGCGCTCCCTGAACGACCGTCCACCGAGGCCGAAGAGCGATTCTTGGCGCATGTTGATGGCTACGTTGGGAATCTTCATGTATTCCCTGGCTAGTATGAGGGAAAGACCAATATAGGTGATGGCGAAGTCTGGGAGAAGCTCATGGCAGAGCCGGAGGTGCTCCGCCTGGGTGTGGCTGTCAGTACATGCTTTTCGCTTTATTGTGGCTGATTACTGTGGGGGCTTTGTGATGCTAGGCCTGCAGGAAGGAGGAAGAAAACGACCAGGGACTCACCCGCCAGCAACCAAGGACGATCCTCTTCTCCCACTTCCCTTGCGGCGCCTCGGCAATGGTCGCCGCGATCCTCGGAATCATCTCCCGCGGCGCATCATCGATCTTGATGTCTAATAGCACCCAGATCGACTCGTTCCCGGGCTCGGCCAGGTACTCGAGAAGGTCGATCAGCCGGCACATGTTCTGCCGGGGCTCCTTGAGCGTCTTCAGCGTGCTGAGGTACTCCCAGTCGCAGTCGCGGACTGCCTTGTCCACGCCGTAGCAACGCTTGAGGTCTTTGTCCTGGAAGGAAGTCAACAAGCTGGCTCGTATCCGCGGGTGCCCGCGTGAGTGGGTGAGCGGGTTGGCTACGGAGACGTACATGAGCTATCACCACTATTCCGTCCTTCGACAGATGGACGTCTGTCTCGATGGCATGGGCGCCGACCTCGACGGCACCGCGGAAGGCCCCCATCGTGTTCTCGGGGAAGCTGGCTTTATAGCCTCGGTGGGCCACGGCTTGTGGGAAGCCATTGTTGATCCCCGGCTGAGCTCTTGTCCATGTCGCTGTGATACAGAGGTATGTGTGAGCCAATACACTCTAAAACCTTTCAGGGAGACCGAGCAGTGTTACCTGGTGGGATTCCATATTTGTCTGTGTCTGTGTCTGTGTCTGTGTCTGTGTCTTGCACCTTGTCCATCACCCGTTGACGGAGGGCCGAGTTTGTGATGCCTACTTCACCCATTCTGTATTCGAGGTGATATATTTCTAGATTGGGATTTGCTGATAATGATATGGTCTCTAATATGGCTTCGTTGTGAAGTCGCTGATGATGCCAGAGTCGACGTCATGAGAAGGAGTAGGGGTTAGCAGCCATCATGATGGGGACTTCAATTGCTGGTGCTGTCAATTAGTCGTGCGACCCCGTCATGCATGCAAGGTCATTGAGTAATATGATATGTGTCGGTCTTACTCCGACTCGATGTGGCCGGTGGACTTGTGGGCTCCCGTTGTTCTTATGGACCAGACCCGCTCACTATCAAGGTAGTTGTGACGATCGACGGCGGCCCGCGACAAGGAAAGGCCGAGGAGGAGAAAGCATGTACTTAGTGGCCGAAAGGTCGAGGCCACAAGCGTCGGAGCGCCTTTTATTTGGCAAAGAGGTAGTAGGTGTGCATGTCCGCTGCTGACGGGCTTCGTAGCCCACCTGCCGACCTTCCCTGACCCGGAAGTGTCGGCGACGGGTTTCTATTCGGAGTTAACTAACAGTAAGCCCGCCGGCCGACTCTAGCACATCCGGCAAATGGGAAAGTCGCTCTTGATGGCGTGAGCACGTCAGCGGCTCTCCATTGGTAGCGGTGATACACGTCTTCTTGCGGCTCACGCACACTTGTTGCACTCCACACAAAGGTCATCATGCAATTTCGTAACTGTGCTTCGATACCTACAAAATCATGCAGCGGTTATGTACCCAACATCAAATAGTTCTGCACGAGCGACGATCCAAGTACAATGCCGAAAGACGCAGGCATCCATCCCACCTTATGTCGAAATCGCTTGACCTTTGCCTACCCAAGGCCCCTACCCAAAAAGCAATCCCATGGTAGAGTCAATCCGTCAAACAGTCCATTCCGAAAGGACCAAAATCTCTACCGATAATTCTGCAACACGGGGAGTACTCCTCCTTTCCAAAACGAAAGCCACACTTGACAAAACAAGAGACAATAAACTCAGGCTACCCTGCCGCCAAAATACAGAGTCAAAATTCACAGCCCAAAATTGCTACCCACTGGCATCCCCTCCATCATAAAACCTTCATCCCCAGCCCCAGGAATCATCGTCCCATGATTACCCTGGAAGTCGCGGAAGTCCAGAGATGACAGATCGTCACCCCCAGACACAGAGCTTAGACTCTCTTCGCTTAAGCTCCCACCCTGCGTGGTGCTGAAGTCACCCAGGTTGAATGTCGACAGGTCCAGTGAGTCGGGCGACCAGCTCCCCTCTACCGCTGAGTTCACGGGTGTCTCCAGCGATACCTGAGGACCCCCGTAGATGGCGTCGTAGAGATTGATTTGTCCACCATCGATTTGGCCAAGTAGGGCCTCCCATTCGGATGATGACACGCCTCCGGCAGCAGCTTTGGGTGGAACTTGAATGGGTGCGTAGTGCTGTTGGGTCGGGGTCCCACTAGACGAGGGGTGGTGATTCTGGGCCGGTGAGGACGAGCCAGGCTGGTTCGGTCCATTTCCTAATGAGAGGAAATCTAGATTCGTCTTTTGTCCCGATGACACTCTGGCTATCATGGCAGCCTGCGAGGTGGATAGACGTTGGTCACGGCGCTGCATGATCGAAGCTGGATTTGGCCTGACGCTGTCGAAGGACGTGCGAGAGGAGGACCGATGTAGGTCCGGCCGTCCCGTGCCGGGCACGGGGGTTAGGTTCGGCATGGTCATTCTTCGCAGCTTCTCCTGTTGCGACAGCAGATCGGTCTCGCTCATGCTTGCGCCTGAATGCCGACCAAGGGGATATTGTTGGGACTGGTGTCCATGCGACGACTTCTTCTTTGGTCTCGGGGCTGGCGATGTCCGCTGTTGTTGCGGCGGTGGCGCAGCCATACTCGTGTCCGGACTCTGCCTCGGCGGCGTTGGTAATGAGCTAATCGGTTCGTCGAGGCTGATAAGCACGCTCGCGATTCGCTTGAAATCGTGCGTACTAGGCGCCTTGATCCGCTCGACAATTTTGATGACGGCATTCACAAGCCGCTCATTGTCCTTTAGCATCTTACTGTCTTGCTTCAGATCCATCCCTTGGTACAACAGCGTCATGCCACAGATCAACAGAAGGTCGGCCTTGTTGAGGCAGAAAGAGAACGACATGCTCCTCTCTTCGAGCAACTGAGCAATTTGAATCATGTGCTTCGCTGATTCGCTCACAGATAGTCGGGCTGGTGCCGCCTTGTGACCGAGGCTGGAGCCAATGGCTGGTCTGTAGATAAGTGTTCGAATGTAGTAATACGTAAGAGACTAGTTGACGTCAGTATACTGAAGGTGGAAGATCGGGAAGGACTGAACGCATACCAACAACGGTGACCTGCTACCAGTGACATCTGTTGACGGCTTGTCTTGCCGGAAAGTGAGCTTCAAGTGCTGGGGCAGGTTTTCGGACCAGTTGTCGAGCTCTGCTTCAAGCGCGGACATTTGCTGCAAGGAGAGGTCGTACGAAGTTGCGGCTGGATAGAGCTTCTCGAGCACCTTGGCCATGATGCGAGCAGCTCGGAAGAGGGCCAAAGCAGACGAGAGCTTCGTGTATTCTCCAGGGAGCGTCGGCTGGAAGCCTTTCTCGGTGACGTATTCGTCGTCGGTGTCGGAGGGGTATTCCGCGTGGGCGTCCTCTTCCTTGATAAGCTTAGGAAGCCCCAGAATTGCAGCAGAGAAGCAGTCCAACGTGTAGAGTGTCCAGAAGACCTTTTTGCGGGTCTCAATCGTGAGGGCTCCGAACGAGAACCGCTTTTGACTCTGGTGAAGACCGAGGCGGTGAGACAGGCCGACCGCGATTCCCTTGTAGTGCTGGAGGCGCTTATAGTCTGCCCTTACTGTGCAGTATATCAAGGCAAGCACCAGGCATTGCAGGGTGTTCATGGTGTTCTCCATGAGAACTGCCTCGACTGACCGTTGCCATTGTTGCTCACAAGAAGCGATCTGGACCAAATCCGGCCTGTCGCTAGAGAGAGCAGCGATGCTGAAGACAAGGTGCAATTGTGCAAGCTTGTGGTTGTTCTTGACCTTTTCAGGGTCCGACACAAATTCTTCATAGATGCGTAGGAACGTCGGTTTGTGTATGACGGGGAACAACGGCGCCCACTCCTGGAAATAGACATTGACACATCGGTCAGTGAAGAGACGTGGCGGAACTCTCATCGGCACGGCTGAGTCTTTGGACACTAGAGGGTAACAACCCTGTATATGCAAGAAGGCATCGGTGTTGAAGTCCGAGGATGGCTTTCCGGCTTCTTGCAATTTGCGCTTGAAGGCCTCTGAGTGGGAATTAACATGGAGCTATGACAAATCGCAGTGGAAATGAGCTGCCTTACCTACGAAGCCTCGCCCGCTTGATGGACCCATGAAGTACGAGTCTGAGTTCTCAACCCCAAGCAGAAGCGGTGAGGCTTGGATCTTGAATGTGTCCTCCTTGGGCGGCGTCGGCTCTCTCCCTGGCCTGGTCTCGGCCGGCGAATTCGCGCTCGATTGCATACCCGAACCGGAGCTTACGGACGGCCGGCGGTGATTCCCGTGCATCTTGGATAGCATATCGATCTTTTCGTCCTTCTCATCCAGCAAGTCTTTCAGGTCGCGAACCTCAGCCTCCAGGACCCTGACTCTCTCCTCCAAACTTTCTGTGTATCCCCTGGGGAACGCGCGCCGGCTCAGTTTGTCGCTGGTCTTGCACTCGAATCCGACATTGGCACATTGCGTGCAGCATGGGCGTATTCCATCGCATCGGATTTTCTTGCTCCTACAGCGGTCGCAGGCTTGGGCGATCCGGCTTTGCGTGCTGGTTCCCACCTTGATCACCTTCATGGGCAGTATTCCCGGCATCTTGGCGAAAGCGAGTTTGGGCGCACTCGATGAACGCTTTGCGAATGACGAGACGGGTGTGAAATGAAAGAAAGTAACCCCTTTGATTCCGGTGAGATCGACCTATGGCATTCGTCTCGTTTGGTCGGTCTCAGGACTCGGGGTTGTCGGGTTTCGTGGGGAAAGGCGGCGGCTCGCTTAATGTTCACGACTCTGGCGAGTCATTTCAGTCACGTTGCCAGGAAGCCGTGCGGACCATGCAGTATATAGTGGCCCAGCGCTCCGAGTCACGGTCTTATATAATACGGTTTTTGAATGGACAAAAATGATAAGGAGAACCAGTGCGGCAGGTTACGGGTTGCGAGAGACAGTAATGTGACAGGAGTCAGAGAAGCCGTCGAATGCAAGGGAAATTTAGGAAAGTTAAACCAAAGGACAGCATGGAAGAGGGTAGGGCGTGACCAGTGAGGCGAAAGGGTGGTGGAAGACCCGGCGCGGGCACAATGAGAGGGGAGGGGTAGGGGGATTTTTGAGCAGGCTACGCCGTTCAGAGTTACGGACGGAGGACAGAAGACGGAGCGGGCAGGGGTGGAGTGAACAGGCTGGGCCAGAGGCCAATTGTGACGGAGACAAATGGCCATGGCTTGGAATCTGCTAGTCCCCCCAGTCAATCGAATCCCCCCTAAGACTCGCAACGGTGTGGGAGCCAAGAGACATCATTCGTGGGTGCCACGAGGGAATCTGGGGTTGAGCAGGGGGTTTTCTGTGGGCTCGCGGCGGCGGTGGGGAACGTGGTCATCATCCCTCAATGCTGACCCGGACAAGTGTCCCAACGGGTCGCCCTCGTCCCGTGCCCTGGCCTGCCTGTGGCCGGCCCTCTCCAGCGTCCTCGCGGGACTTGAGGGAGAGGGCAGGCCCGAGCATTCTAGAACTTAAAAGGACCAGCCCCTGGACAGCGCTGCCGGTTATTGGCAGAGACGCCAACCCGTTGGGAGGACTAGCGACGCTGGTGCATGGGAATCGTAGCAGCAGCACAGTAGTCTCGCAAGGGATTGAGACGCCATGACAGGGCCGGGATCCAATCAATTGGGTTGTGTCCAGGCCACTGGATCTACCCCAGACTTGTTGGACGGGGCGAATGTCGACCCCAGAATTTGAATTCCACGTCGAGTTAGCCTTTGCCATCGAGACCCATCGCCCCCAGATTGCCTGATTGCCTGTTTCCACAGACCAACCTAAAACATAGTTCTCAGTCGATGGGCTCGATGCCGAAAACTCCCCGCCATGAACGTGCAGGAAAGACACATGTTGCATGCATGCAGGATCTGGTGTCACGATACAAAGCACCGTTTTCGCTTCCGATCGTGCACCGCTGAGGCCGAGAAGAACGACACACCCGCAAAGAGCACCAGTTGTCTTGTCGTGTCGCCCGCCGCTTGCCGAATGAGGGAGTGAGTGTCTCTGGACAAACACTGCCGTTGTGATCGTCCCATTCAGCTCACTGACCCTGGGCAGCCTGCCTCATAAAATTCCACATATAGCCTTTCGTAAAGGATGCGGCAGCTTGGTTATGTGGCAGATCTAGCCTCTGCTTGTCGCTAGCAGATTTTCCAAGCAAACTAGACATGGTCTGCCGTCATTTCCACGAAATTTGCCGTGTCACTGGAGTTGTTTTGCCCATAGCACACACAGCACAAGCCCGTCCCCTTCCGACCACACCACCCGTCCCGCTTCTCTTGGATCCTTTGGATGATGATGAGGTTTGTCTCTGCGAATGCTCTAGGGCTCATAGGCACCAAGCCGCAAGCGTGACTTTTCTCACCGGCTAATGAGTATCGCCTTTGCCGCTAGGAGGAGCGCTGCCCAAACTGTCGGGCTGCGGATCCGCGTTTTAATGAGTTGGCTGTCTCACTCTGCGGCTAGCTTTCCCAACGCCCGATCCTCGATCCGGACTGGGGAGCATGAAGCCATGCTGGCAAAAGGGTGTCTTGCCTGCGTCTGGGGTCGCAGAAGGATTCTTTCGTTTATCATATTTCACTCTGATTCGAGGCGATCCCTTATCGGTTAACCACTTGTTGGTTTCCTGTTGAAGGATGAGGTGGGGTGCTCGACTACTGTGGTACAAAGGTACAGCCCAAGGTGCTTCTTAGCACCATCCTCTTGCGTTTTGTACTGTTCAGAGCAGTGAAACGGCCTGTGAGCCCTTCCGGATTCTGCCGACAACCGAGTCCCGCACAGGGAAGCGGATCGAGTACAGTTTCAATCTAATTGCTGCCATCAACACTAGGTGAGAAGCTGAGCACCTAACTGAAATCATCACCGCCGTCGTCTTCTTGTACCTCACTTAAACCCCCTTCGGATATCGCCATGGACCCAAGGTAGGCCGTCACATCTTCGAGAGCCATGAGCTCGGTCCGCTGCAATGGCGTCAGTTTCCATTGCACTCAGAATTGGGAAACAACAGCATCTTGATGAGGGCTGCAGTGACCTTATCATGGAAGACGGTCGAACTTCTGGCTACTTTTGGTGGGAAAGTAGGGAGACTCACCTGTTCTGCCAGTACTATGACCGCTTTGTCAATGATCTCTTTCTCGACAAGTATCAGCGCCCGCGCATTGGAAGCGTTCGATGAATTTCCCTGGCCTGTCGCAGACACCGCGCTGCTATCGTCAGGCGGGGATGAATTTAATCGTTCCAACTGCTCCTCTAGTCGTTGTGATATTACCATATTGACGCGCAGCTTGAAGACGCTGCAAAGTTCATGGTCAGAAACAAGCTGTTCGAAGGAGCCAGTATTGTCAGAGACATCCTGGTCTCGCCAGAACGTCCTGAGCTCCCTGCCGCCTTCCTTGTCCTGAAGTATTCTGAAGTCCAGCCCGTCTTCTTCATTCAAGATCATGAGATACGCAAAGGGACTTGTGCATATCACTCTTCCATCAATTTCTTTGATGTCGACTGATGGGGCGTCTTGAAAGGCGTAAAACTTGGCCTTGCCTAAGGGATCATCCGGTAAAGGGCTCATAGGTAGCCTAAGACTCTTTGCTGCTGAGGTTGAATCTAAGAATCCGTAGCTGAACAGCATCTCCGCGGCTGGCTTCTGTGAGCCGTAACTGATGTTAATCTCGTCTCCCTCCTTTATATTACCGCCTGGGCGAAGTAAGAGGACAACATCATTGTCGGTGTTCTCGTCATAGTAGGCGTTGGCGTCATGCGAGTGATTGACCATGTCGATACATGGAACAAGAGATGGACCTGATTTAGGGAGCTCGAGGACTCTGGAGCGATACCACGCGTCGACGAGCAGCCAATCCGCGAGCTGGACAGCATCATTGTCCCAGAATGCTGAATTCCAGCATTCAATCTCTGATGACTTCTCGCGCACTTCATCAAATTCGTTGCTTAGAGCCACCATCTTCGCATCAAGAGCAGCCTCTAGAGACGTTCCCCGGAGGAGCGAGCGTTCATGCTCCTTCCACAGAGTGGGTACGGGGACAGCGTCGTCGAGCAGTTTGACATATTCGGTCCATTGATTGGGAAGACCAGCACGTTCCTTGTTGCCAGAGGAGAGGACCAGGTGGACGAGCAGAAATAACAGAATGTCATGACGCGGGCTCTACGCCTTGGTCAGTAAGGCACGAACTGGTTGACGCAGTCCCACTGACTTTGTGTCCACAAGCATCCAGGAGCTGCCTGAAGCTCCTGTCTTCCTTGGCGTACTCTTCGACGGCTTCGGTGCTCAACACAAGGCTGTGAGGGATGGATATCAGAGGTGCCTCTCCAGTGGTGGCCAGATCTTTCTTGGCAACCACCCCGGAGCCCTTGTGCGCAATGGGCTTCACTTCGACGTTGCTGAAAATGCCATTGTTGAAGCTTGTCCACACGGGGAGAGATTCTAGGGGCAACCGTCGTGGAGCCATCGCGGAAAAGCCCAAAGCATTTCCCAATGTCAAGCAATTGTGAATTTGTAGCTGGCGAAGAAGCCTTTTTTAAATAACCTTCGCACGGCACCATCCGCTGTTTCGCTTCTTCGTACCTCCGTCATACTGCAATCGACCCCCCTGCTGGAGAGAACCCCTCCATAGTGGGGCCTGGTCTTCGGCGAACTGTGGCTACCCCTGCCCCGCCATGGGCGACCTGCCGGCCGCCGGCGTGAGAATCTTGAATCCTGTCTGGTCCTACCACCGAGAGATAACCACCAACTTGCACTCACGCTTCAGTACATCGCCTGAGCAGCTTGTCGTCCAATACTTCAAAAGCCTACGCTGGCGGCTCTTCTTCACTCTTCAATATGCCTCGCGACCCCTTAATAGGACTTGTTGGCAAGCCCAGTGCTGGCAAATCTAGCACTCTGAACTCACTTGTACGCGGACCCTGATTTCTTCCAAGATGTTGAAACTGTGCACCCACTGATCTCGCGAGTAGACGGACGCAACCTCCAAAGTCGGTCAGTACGCCAATGATTCGTACAGATGAAAATCCCTAAGCTGATGAAGAGTGGTAGGAAATTTCCCGTGCGCGCCCACCTTTCCCAGAGGGGCAGTCCTGCCCTCAGCCCCGTTACTTTGAGCATTCTGGCTGACCATCTTGTGACCTGCATCTAGATTCACCACCATCGACCCCCAACGCGCCATAGGATACCTACAGATAGACTGTGCCTGCCAGCGGTACGGTGTCTCGGACCGGTGTAAACCGAACTACGGCGCCTGCGTCGACGGCAAGCGCAGCGTGCCCATCGAGCTCCTCGACGTCGCTGGTCTCGTACCCGGTGCGCACGAGGGCAAGGGCCTGGGCAACAAGTTCCTGGACGACCTCCGCCACGCCGACGCCCTCATACACGTTGTCGATGTCTCGGGCACAACGGACGCGGAGGGAAAGAACACAAGGGGCTACGATCCAAGCGTCGACATCGCATGGCTGCGCAGCGAGATCGTCGCGTGGATCAAGGGCAACCTGATGCAGCGCTGGGGGAGCATCCGCAGGAGACACATGGCGGTGAAAGCGACCGCGGTGGAGACGCTCCAGTCGCAGTTCTCTGGCTACGGCAGCACGTCCAAGGTGGTGGCGCGGACGCTCGACAAGCTGAACCTGAAGGAGCCGCTCGAGGCCTGGAGCGACGACACGATCGACCAGGTCGTGAACGCGTTCACGGACGAGAAGTTCCCCACCGTCATTGCGCTCAACAAGATCGACCACCCCGACGCCGACGCCAACATCGCGCGGATCGCCAAGATGCAGGACCCAAATACAATCGTGCTCTGCAGTGCCGTCTCGGAGATTTTCCTGCGGAAACTAGCGAAGCAGGGCTACATCAAATACACTGAAGGCAGCGAGTTCGTGGACACGAGAGAAGACCTGATCGCTGACGGTGATCCGGACGGGGGAGGGCTGAAAGAGCTTGACGACAAGAACAGGACGAGGATAGAGAACCTAAAGGACATGGTGCTGTACCGGTTCGGCTCGACCGGCGTGGTGCAAGTTCTGGCCAAGGCCGCAGAGCTGTTAGGTCTGGTCCCGGTGTTCCCGGTCCGGAACACGACATCGTTCAGCTCGGGGGCAGCAGACTCGAAGCATGTGTTCAGGGACTGCGTGCTTGTAAAGAAGGGCAGCACAGTCGCAGACGCGGCAAGGAAAGTTATGGGGGATGCGCCCATAGCATACATTGAAGGTATTGGTAATCAAAGGGTCGCGGAGGACGACACCATCTCCGTCGGCAAGAACGATGTTAGTCTGTGCCTCTCTGGATCATACGAGCCATGTTCTAACTCGCTATATAGGTCTTGTCATTCAAAGTTGGGCGGGCGTAGCACTGTTGGATGCTTGAACTATCCAATATTCCACAAGAGTGTGGGAACACGGCTGATCGCAACACATCTTGTGCTTCGGGCCAACGGATCGCGCCTCACAATTTTGCGTGCATATAGCAAGCGACGACATAGGCAGAGGTAGCAATTCGGGTAACGAGGGGATTTTCGTTGGGAGCAGCTTCATAGAACCATCGATCATCCGAGTGTCCCAGGCCGGCAATGCCGCAGTCACATCACGATTTCGTACCTGAGGTGACGTCATTTCATCAATTCGAGAGGACCCGAGCTCGGGCGAACCGGAAGTCAATGCAAGGCACGCGAATATCAATTGAGTCTGAATGAGAATGGTAGGTGGTATTGTAGTTGATGCCGTCCAGGACGTATAAGGGGTATCGTATCATTATCTAGAGAATTGTCTCTCGGTAACCTGAACCCGCAAGCCGACAGCCTGAGCGTAGGCTCTTAAAAGAAAAAGGATGCAAATCCCCCTTTCCCCCAGAAAAAAACCAAAACAAAACGCAGAATGCTATAATCCATGGTGAGGAAGCGCATCGCAGCAGGGAACCCAAAAAAGAATAAGGCGAATCACACGCCGCAGGTCCACGTTCAAAGTCGTAGAAGGTCGTGGGTGAGTCGAAGAATCTGGTGAGGGAGGCGGTGTTTGGTGAAAGCGGTAATGGGTGATTAGAATTGGCTGGTAAAACGACCAGCCCCGCTTACGGCCAGACGCCGATTGCTGATCGTGGGGCACATGGCGGTGACAAGCCGTTGACTCTTGGGAGAGAAGTTTGAATTGTCATGAGCGTCCCGCTTGTGTTTGCGAAAATGCCGCTCGTTGCTTAATACTTCAGGATAATGTAGCTGTTTGGTCAAGGGTTAGCACATGCTCGCCTTCAGATCTCAGGGGGTGTTGGAAACAAATCATTCGGTAACGTACAGAGCGTGGATGATTCCAGGAATGTAACCCAGGATGGTGAGCAGGATGTTGATGAGCAGGTCGGCACCGCATCCGCGCTCGAAGAAGACACCCAGAGGGGGCAGGAAGATGGCAAGGACGATCTTGCAGATGTCGCTGTGGGCAGCATTGTTAGCATTGGCAGTGGCCGCGAATGACGTCTGTCTCGCGAGGGTGGGGGCGGTGATTTACCTTCCGGTGAAAGGCATGATGGCTGTGTTTGGTGGTTTGTGTTATCGGCTAAGCGAAGTCGCGATAGTTCTTTGAGAATGGTTGAGGATTGCGAGGGAAGAGGATTCCAATTGTCGTTCGAGATATGGGGCAGGTCCTTGTGTGAGAGCAGGAGTGGGCGTGGGTCAGTCTTAAGTAGACGCAGGCAAGGCAAGGCAAGGCAAGTGTTCAACAGCGCAGCGGTTGCATCAGCATAAGGGAAGGTGTCAAGCGTCCAGCAAACAAGCTTCAGTCACCTGGGACAGGGGAGGTACATCATGTTTGCCAGTCAGTCCTCACAAGTGCGTCATACACCCACCCGCCACAGGCCAGCACAGGGCCAGCACAGGCCGGTCGCCGGGGGCGCTGAGGGAAGGGGGAGGGGGGTTCGTTGGGGTCGCTGCCGTCTGGCCCATCTGCCCACCAGCCTATTCCCGCGCTTAGGATCGTTTGCTGCCAGGTTTTGCTGGCTGGGCTGGCTGGCTGGACTGCGACCGAGTCCAGATGCGTACAGGCCATCTGAAACCAATCTCCCAATCTCCCGTGCATGTCCAGCCACGCTGTTGGAGCTGGGGGCTGCCCGGGGGCAAGCGACTGGGGGAGGCTTGTCGTCGATGTGATAAAAATGGTTGGCGGTGCATTCTTCGATCGGGACCTAGTGCCGTCTGTGCTGTGTCTAGTATTCTGTTCTGCACCAACGGGATCATCCTTCAAGGAACAATGAAAAGCAAATGAGGCCAGTCCCCACTGGCGTGCAGGCGGGCTGTGCTGTCAGGCTGTACAATACACCCCACCATGGTAACATTTCAGTGGCTCGAGAGTGGTTGTTTGAATGAGTTCGTGCCGGCTTGGACGGGGACACACCGTACAATGTGCGATGCCAGATGGCCCAGCACCACAGCAATTATACTCCGGAAGAGTCTATCCGCACAAGCCAATCAGAAAATTTCCGTATCTCGCTCGGTAGCCTCGTCCACACTGTCTTAACATGTCCGTGGCGGCATTGTTCAGTCCCTAGAAGTGGCTGATGAACAAAGGCGAAGACCAACCATGCTGCCATGCAAGCCATGCCAGGCCTTCGGAGGACCCGAAGCATCCTCGTGCCAGCCCGCCCGGGAAAGCGTTCAGCATCCTTGGACTGCTGCTGCATGGGCCGATGGACTGCATGGCAAACTGGCACTCGGCACCTCTGACCCGCGCGGCTTGCCTCGCGCCCAGACTTCCACTATTTGGGTACCCACCACCGGTCTTGGGACTCCTGTTAGCGACACCAAAGATTGCGCGTATCCTCGCCTGCGGTATTCTTGGCTGGGGCTTGGGTCTGCGACCCAGTTGCCGTTTCTTGCAACACTTGTGCAGATGATTTAACACCTTGGCCATCTTCTTACGTCATCCCCACCGCCTAGGCCAGCTGCGTGAAGCTCCCAAGCAGTCCAAGTTGCCATCGACGATCATCCGATCTGCTCTGCCAGAGGTCAGAATGATGGATGGTACGGCTCTGTGTGGCACAGCTATTGTGGCTCAGCTGTGGCGTAAAAGGTACGGCACTAGCAGACCGGACGCCAGTACGCATCCCGGTGGTGGGCGTTGCCGGTTTTGCAGTTTGGGAGGCCGATGACAGCATCGTGTCGGCCGTAGGAGTGTAACGTGCATTGCAGATGCCGGGGCTGTTTAGAGCTAGTCCACTCTGAGTGCTCGATCGTCTTGGTCATGGGCTTTTTCTGCCGGTAGAGCTACCGAAATAACTGAGGCGATCACTGCGCGGATCTCGGAGTTACTAGGAAGCAGGCCAGCTGGCAACCGGGGCACTGCAGTCGGGAGTTCTAGCAGTTCTAGCTCAAGCAACCTCAACAGCATGGAACGGACAACAGATGTCTCGCCATTGTGCTGAAGAGCTGTAAATCCACAAATTCGTGCTTCAATGTTACTATGCAGAAAACAATTGTCTGTAGAGAAGGGATCAACGTTGGGAGCTCAATACTGTATTGAGAACTCGGGCATCGTTAGTTTGAAAGCTATGGGCTGGCGAGCGAGGGCCACCAGCTGTGTGCCAGCTGCTGACCAGCTGCGCTAGCCAACCCACAGTTTGGCTTCAATCGGCTTCAAGCTTTGCGCCGCGAACTTTTCACCCAGAGCAGAGCTTGGCACCTCCTGGACATCGCAAATACCACCAACTCCAAGACCACCCACCAACGGCGCAGGATATTTTAACCTCTTTGCGTCCTCTTCCACCTCAAATCAGAAGCAATGGCTCCCCAAACTGTATGTACATGACACCGCTTTGCTGCTGGCCCAGTCTTTCGGCCAGAGAGATCATGGCGTGATGCAGTAGGCTAAGGTCAAATTTTCAAAATCGCAGAAGAAGGGCAGGTCTTCCAAGACCACCAAGAAGGTAAGCAGTATTCCTCAGATCAACCCTCACCCCTCCTTTTTGGCGCAACGCTGACGATTTGCGCCCCTGCAGTTCATCATCAACGCCTCGCAGCCCGCCAGCGACAAGATCTTCGATGTCTCCGCCTTCGAGAAGTTCCTGAACGAGAAGATCAAGGTCGAGGGCCGTGTCGGCAACCTGGGCGAGACCATCCAGATCTCCCAGGTCGGTGACGGCAAGATCGAGATCATCGCCCACAACGAGCTGTCTGGCCGATACCTCAAGTACCTGTAAGAGGCGCCCACCCGTTCGAGAACTACGAGAGGCCGGGATGATGGGTGTCTCTGGGGCAAGATGCTGACTATGATTCGCTTTGTAGGACCAAGAAGTTCCTGAAGAAGATGCAGCTCCGTGACTGGCTCCGCGTGGTCTCCACCTCCAAGGGAGTCTACGAGCTCAAGTTCTTCAACGTCGTCAACGACGAGGCTGATGACGACGACGAGTAAGCGACGACCGTCGCTCTCGACGACATATGGTACTGCGCCGCGATGGTGGACTTCTGAAAAGGACCGCCGTTGGTGGTAAAGGCGGAACAGCCTGGGTTTCCACTCAGCTTTTGCTGGCCGATTTCCTGGGCTGGGTTGGGCGAGCGCAACACAGCTTTGCCTGCTTCCCGCCCGAGATAGTAAATACTATCTGTGTTCCGCTAAACTGGATTGGAGATTGATTGTCTATATGCTCGTGTGAAACGTCTGGGTATCAATGACCTTGTGACTCTGTGTCTCCCAAGCTTTATCCCTAAGCCCCTTGGCCTGATCCTCTGCCCCTCTAAGGAAGTGTTCTCATGACGCCTTCAAATGCTACCAAGGCCATCGCGTTGGCCGGAAACGCCCTCAAAAAGCATGGCAAGAACCCTCGCCAGTAGCCCTTCCATCCACTCTCCCTGTGTACTGCCACAGCCGCCTCCCTCCATGACCTGAAACGCCGTGTACCGTCGCCGAGACCACCGCCTAATGGATCCGTCATAATACGCTGCTTGACAACATCACTAGGATAGCTTGTCAACCAAAACACCTGCGCACTCAGCCCTCCGGCCCAGAAATTGATCGCTGGCGCGCTCAAATTGGTGGAGTTTTTCATCCACCGGCTGAACAGGTCGTAGCTCCCCCACCAGAAGAAAAAGAACGAACGGAAGATCAGCGTCGCAGACAGGCCGTGATACAGCCCCTGTATTCCATGCGCGCGCCAGATCTTGCTCACGCAGTCGATCGGCCCCCTATACAGCCTCTCGCTCTTATTAGCCGAGTACTGAATCTGTAGCCGCGCCTTGACGTGCTCCACCGGCGCCGCGACGAACGAGACTGTCGAGCCCGCCAGGATGCCAGCCAGGCCGTGGCCGTGGGCGGGTAGTGGCAGGTTTGGGTCATGGAGGGGGTGCAGCGGCGGGTTAAATATGTTGTCGCGGAGGAGGCGGCGGTAGACCGTCAGACTGCCCAACATAACACTGTCCATGAACATCCATCCCACGAGCGGCGGGGTTGCGCCCTTGTACAGGCCGTAGAGGCCCTCATTGCGAATTGTCTGCAGGAGGCACTGGAGGGGCCCAGAGAAGCGAGCTGAGTCGGTGGTCTGGAGCCGGACCTTGATTGTGTCGAAGGGGTGTCCGACTAGTTTTATTTCGCTTGATTAGTAAAATTCAATTCCATGGAGGAGAGAAGAGGCCACAAGTGCGTTGAGCCAGAGATGTTTCCTTACCAGACAGCTTCGCAATACCGGAGAAGACGCCAGCGACAAATCCCTTGTAATTCTTGATCTCAACGGGCTTCTCCTGGGTTTTGACTGCTGCTGCCATGTTCGCTGCCTCCTGCTCTTAGGCTGAGAGCAGAGAAGCAAGGACAGATTGACTTTCGCCGCGACAAGGAGAGGACAAGACCGAGGATCATTACTTTGGGATTTTCTGAGTCGGGCCTGTGGTGAGGTAATCGACCTCGGGACGTGGGGCTTGTCGATAGCTACGCGCGTTATCCCTGTCGGGGCCGGGGGAGCTCCAACTACACGCGGACGGCAGGGACCGAGGTAGGCTGCGGTGGAAGAAGTTGACACATCAGGGCCCAGCCCATTGTGTGTTGAAAATGCCTAGGCAAGGTCTGTATGCTCGGTCCTAGACGGCGAACTAATGTCGCTGTAAGATGGAACAAACCAGCCTGACCGAGGCGGAAAATTGCCCGGGAATTTGCGACGGCTCATGTGAGCAGCAATGCGATATCTGCGGCGGCCGCATCAACAAGTCTCGGTGCTTTTCTTCTGGATCTGCAAGTGATTCGCATCGTTGAAGAGGGGTCGAAGCGGGGGGAGAGCCAGTCATTACGATCTCTGTCGTGTCGCCTTGGAATTCAGGTTGGAATTCAGGGTCAGAACAGAGCGTATGAAGGAATCGGCGGCAGAAGACCGATCGCCAGAGGCTGTGGCAGCGGTCATGAGGATATCGCGGCAGGGATTCAAGGCTTGAAATGAAGGAGGAATGCAAACATGTGAGGGCAAGACTGAAAAGTAAGAGTAACGGAATTGTAAGGACATGGAGGACTGAATGTCAGATTCGAACTTCGTGCCTTGACGCTTCATCTCATCCGAATTTCAGCTTGTTACTCTCATGATATCCCCGATGTATACCTTTGGCGCCTATCTGAGATGGACACCACGTTGACACAAGATCAATTCCATCTCAGGGCTCGTCTGGGGCCTCAACCCTCCCTCCCCGTATCAAGACGTAGGGATCAAGTTCCTCAGCGAAAGGTCATAAACCACATCCTCGACCTTCTTCACAGCATATTTGACACCATCCACCCGCTTCCTCAGGATGTCGTTCTTCAGGTTCAGCAACTGGAAGCCTGCGTGGATGTCCTTGACGAAACTGCTGATCTTCACCGCAAGCTCGTGGTCTCCCAGCGTCACGGCATTGACGGCCAGCCGGGCAAGCTCATCCGTCAGGCCGGTGACCGCCAGGAGGTACTCCTCGATTGTGATGTGGAAGGCGTCACGGTCTTTCAGGTTCACGGGCACTACGAAAAGATATCAGCTGGGTGTCCTTGTCCAAAGCGCAATGAGAGCGAGTGCCAGCCTGACTGACCGTGGAAGACGTGCTCCCCGACCTCCTCGAGGGTCAGAAGCCGTCCCAGTTTACCCTCGGGAACAAGGTTGCCACCCAGCCAGCCTTGGAGAAGCACCGTAAGGACTGCATCCTGGACAGCCCGGGTCCACTTGCTGTTGTACCTGTAAAGAGCAAATTAGTACCGTCCAATAGTCCCGGAGCGGATGTGTGTGTACTTGTAGTAAGGGTGCTTGGAGGCCACCTCGCTCAGTTGCGAGAAGTTGTCGACCTCGGTCTTGATGGCGGTCTCGACTTGCGAGAGCAAGCCTGGGTAGTGAGATCTTGGGGTCGAGTGCACCCGCGAGAGGAGACCCTGGGTGTAGGACACATCACGCTCTAATTTCTGGATGATCCCGTTCAGATCATCTCGCGCCTTGGTGTCTTCGTCGATCTTTGACTTGAGATGTTCGAAGATCTGGGGGTCAATCATGCCAGACATTTTGTCGTGGATGAAGGTGAGGCCTGTTCGTGACCGTCACTCTGGCGCTCACGGAATTCTGCCAACGATGTCTGCAGAGCGGTGGTCTCAATCTTTTCAGCCTGACCACACGTCTGAATCTTTTAGTTCGGCAACTGTAGAGAGGAGTTTCGAATGGAGAGATCAATGTGTCGTGGTTTGTGTTGGCTTCTTCAACCTTGGAGTGCGAGCGAAGACTTCGCCAGTCAACAGCTTGCCCCGAACCCTGAGCGATCCCCCTTGGTCGGCCCCGTCACCGGGTCGGAAGGCACTTCAACTTACAATGCAAGATCGACCTTGCGAGCGATTTTCCTCAAGAAAAAATCCAGACAAAGATGCATCTTCAATCTGTTTGCGTTCAAAAGAGAGCAAGTCACTATCTATTATGAATGTCCAGGTTTGGTGGGAGTCGCACACAGAGCAGCACGTCTGTCACAATCATTGCTGAACCTACCGTGGCTGGAGTATTAGATACAGTCTACGATGAATCAACAACCTGGGTGGCAATCGCAGTGTCAAATTTGCTTAGTGGAGCCTATTCTTCTGAGGGTATTGAGCATTTTTGATTTGTTTCATCCATTCGTATCATTAGACATTGTGTATAAGCCTCGCCTCCTCACATCATGTTGATGTTTTTTGAGCCTCCCTCGGGCTCCACGCTATATCTCGGTGGGTATTGATTATTTACATTTGGTTGCTTGGTATTAGTAGTTTCCTTCCCCTGAGCCGGAGTGCTCGTCTTGGATCCTGACTCAGTAATTTTCGGAAATAGTGACAGATTTGGTTGTTTCGTAGAACCTGAACCGGTCCCTTGTTGCGAAATGGTCTCTGGCTCGTTGGCACCCGAGCCTCCTTCTGCTTGCCCAATCTTCACGATGTCAACGTTGGCAGGGTCCATTACCGGCCGATTCGATTCTTGAGCGCTAGATGAAAGTGGCCAGTTACTGCTCCTTTTCACTTCCCTGCCGGTTTGGGAGGATGTCGCAACCCCGATCGTAGGCTGTGGCTCAGGAGGTTGCCTGGTGGTCTGTTCTCGTTGTGGTTCTTTCTCTGACCTTTGGTGCCATCCTTTATTATCCCACACCATATTGCTACTGCCGGTCGGACTTATAGGTCTTTTAATGGTGCCTTTGAGCTCCGCGATCCTCCGTCGCTGTTGTCGATTTCGACTCCGTAGGAAAAAGATGAAGCCAACCAGGGACAAGATGAATGTGCCCGCGATGGAAGCGACGATCGCAATGGTTGTCTGTGTCACACTGACTGCGTTGCCCTGAGAGGTCATCACTTGAGTTTGTGCTTGAGCCTAAATTGCATAGTGTTAATCACCAAAGCTGTTATGAGCTACCAAGGTGTTGGTACATGCCGAACTTACTCTGACAGCACTGGCATTTGCTTGTTCGATTGCAGCAGATTGTCTCGCCGCGGAAGCCTCCGCAGCAAGGCTCCCTGAGATACTCGCCAAGGCAATCGCCGCGTTGTTTGAGGCGGTAGCTATAGCCGCGTTCGCGCTATTGACCATGCTGGCCATAGCGATGGCAGCGCTGTTGCGTATATTTTGTACATCCTGGGCCGATCGTATCTGCAATTGTTGTATAGATTGCGATAATATCTGTGTGGACTGCGACAATTGCTGAACTGACTGGGAAAGCTGTTGAGACTGTTGCGAAAGCTGCTGGGACTGCTGGGAAAGAAGTGCAATGCTGCTGCTAGCTGTGACAACAGCGCTGCTAAGTGACGAGATGGTTGCTGATGGGTTGGATCCTATTATGACGTTCACTTGGCGCCGTGCCAACGATGTTGGTGTTGGAAACACCATCATGGGCTTCCCGAAAGTATTACTATTAACTCAAGGTCCCTGAAGCGACGTTGCGTCCCTGCCGAGGCCGGTTGACATTTGGTGTTTCTCCACGACTGAATAATTCGGGCTGCCTTATTCTACAACTGTTGGTCTAGGCGAGGTTTCAAGAAGAATAGTTGTCTGTGTCGGGAATATGTATTGATTTGTACCGCGGAAGAAGAAGAAACAAAAGGCACTGTTATCTTGACAGGTCGTGAGCAACTCGTAAGGTATTTGCTACGATGCAAAGAAGCTGGTGAATTGGTCAAGAAGAATAGACTGAAGCAAGTCCCGAGCCACAGCATAAGGCAGGTGAGGAATTGCCACAATTTGCGACGTTCAGCCCGGGCACCATGGGGCATGGTTGAGTGGTGTCAGGGAACGCGCTGTGACATTGACCAACGGTCATGTTGGGATTGTTGCTCCGTCGACTTCGGAAAGTCGAGTCACGGCCAATGTACGGAGCCTTCCGAGAGATTCCTGCAGTTTGCAGGACACGAAACACTTGATCACGTTGGCGCTTCACCCGGAGTGTGTGTCGGCTCCATTCGCCCTAAATCCGTCTGAAGTCGTGATTTGACGAGATCAGCCCGTCAGAACTTAAGAAACCGACTGAAAACACTAGATCAGTGTGCTTATCAACACCGGATAACCAAACAGTTGCACAAATCGCTTTGCACTATTGTTTTGGGGAAAATCTCAATCAGTTCCCTCGCAGGAGGCATAGGGTATGGAATCGCCACCCGTCCGAGCCGGATGTAGCTTTGCCGGTCCCGTCCGCTATGCCTTGCAGCCAAGACGGCAGCCTCCTACATATCTGCGGATCTCGACGTCCACCGAGTCCATTGGCTCAGCTTCCTGTTACCAAATGAGCAGGATGATAAAAGTTTATGTCTGCTTGAGAAATCTCAAAAAGAAAGAAAAACTCGTGTCTTTAACCAACCCCGACAGGTATAATTTGGGAGAAAACAGGTACAAATATCCGTAGAAACTGTACTTCCAGCCATTAATTGGTAGCTCAAATTGGTAAATAGTAAGCAGGGGATATTTGGAATATCCTCCATTTGTGCTGTAGTAGTTCACACCATCAGCAACACCTGAGCATACGTAATTGTCCTCAACTGATCGTGCATATGTATGCTTGACCCACACCCACCACACAGGCACCAGCTATATATCAACTCTCTATAGTTATAAAATTCCAGGAGATGAGATTTCTGTATTTCTCTCGACTTATACTTCATATAGTTTCACCTGATCTTATGAAGCCCAGCCTTTGATACGCAGGAATGAGCTGTACTGGCGCATTCATATCCGTTGGCACAATCCCAGCAGTCGAGCTAGATATACCCGTTTGGCACAAGCCAGTAATCATCACCTTCCGGAAGATCGACCAAGCTTGGCCATATACTGTACTCAGCGGCCTCATGTCAAATTCCGTGAAGGGACGTAAGACTGTTCCTGAAAATTTGGACCTGGCTACAGCTTGTCAGAGAACCGTCCAATATCTTAGTCCAGATGTTTTAATTTGTGACCACACCTTCGGATGAATTCAGAAGTATTCTCCGACCTAGACAAAAATGCCCCTCGTGTTTTGGATGCTCAAATTCCAACGTGGAGAACCTATCGAGATACGGGACGTCCTTTCATCGGGGAGCGCGGCCTCAACAAGTTCACGCAACGTCGATGATGCGAGGTCACTCTCTGTGGAAAAACTAGATTCAGTGGAAAGATCAATAATATGTAATTTTTGACTTGGTATTCGATATAATATGCATCGGTTCTATGCTCTCCATTTTGATGATCGAACTTTATGAGCGGCAATGCCTGCTTAAGATCGGGTGCATCGCCGCAGTACCAGAAAGCATGTAGGTCAGAATGAATAAATGAATCTTACTTTTAGAGTAAGAAGGATCATTAAAATCTGGTGCACCTATCGGAACCACGTGGCCTTGTTCATTGTTCTTCGCACGCACACTACAAGCTCTTTGCACTGCTACTTTCCTTGTCTTGCACTGAGACCTCGAAACATCTACCATGAGAATTTAGTTTACCACAACTTCGGAAGAATCCACGTGAAAGACTCTTGCCCTTTGAATTTGTGCCTAGATTGCAACGAATATACGATTCGAAAGTGTTCTTTTTACTTATATTAGTTGAACGCCTAGCCCCGGTGACTACAATTTCAACGACCTCCAGAGTCTTTGATTAATGGTGTATTCAAGGCTTCTACGGGAGTGAATGATGACGGAAACGCTTGGATGGTCGTGACTGAGGTTGCAACTCTGTTTCATCATCATCATTCTTGCGCTTTCTCGAAATGCTCACTTCTTTGTCCAACTTTTCGACAACTGATTCGACAGCTGACTCTATTGGTCTCACAGGAGTTGGCTGAATGATTTGTTTCTGAGAAGCCGAGACAAGCGGACCTACCTGGTCCCCAATAGGCGAGTCGCATCCAAAGAGGGAGCCGTCATCGTTGGATGCTGCCCCCTGATTTTGCAATTCGGCAAGAGGGATGGCATCGATGACACCCAGCAGAGCCTCCAATTCATTGTCTTCGGATGGCCCGGGATTCGAGGCTTCAGGACTAGCAGGCTGAGGAGAAAGGGTCACGTTGGGTGTATCAATTGCGGGAATGGCAACGCCTCGATTTTCGGCATCTCGCTGTTCAGCCTGGAGCTTGAGCAGCCTTGGCCGCATGTAAGCATTTATGTATTGAGAAATCTTATAACGTTGCTTACCGACGGCCAGTGAAATCTTCTTGACGGTTTGGTTCTGTTGGAACATCGCAAACACGAGTTGACGCTCACGGCGGGTGAGAAATGTAGGATGCGGCATACCTGGCTGTTCAACAAGGATCTCCTGCTCGTCAAACGGAAAGAGACCATCTTCATATTCACTAGACTCAGTGAATGGCTCGCTCAGGGGTGATTCTGTCTCGTATCTGATATCGTCCGGCCGCGATTTGATATACGTGTCGATGTAGATGCGTAGAAGAGAAGAATTTTTGCAAACAAGGTCAGCCAATTTGTGGATATCGGACTTGCCTCCCCAATATTCCGTAAAAACTGCACGGAACTGCTTCCCTGTGAGCCAGGTCGGAGACAGTCTAGCCCCTGGTACAGCATCAGGTGGATAAGAAGGAGGATTTTGCAGACGCTTGGAGATCTCGCCCTTGATGAAGGTTGGCCGAACCTCGATATTGGCCTTGCCTGGCATCACATCTAATGCGAGACCGCAAGCCTCATCGTTATCGTCCTGCGATGACTTCGTTTGATTGAAGGGGACATACTTTGAATACGCCTTCCCTTGTTGCATAGCATTCTCCTGCTGCTTGCGAAGAGCCGAGTGCAGATCGGGGTGCGCAATACAATTAGGGTTGGGGCAGCTATATGGAGTTCGTGGCCGGATTACATCCTCGAAGTAGAAAATCTTATGACCTGGGCCCTGCTGGAATTCGTAGGTGCATGTTGGCTGAATCCACCTCCCCACCGGCGTGGCACAAATGAAACATACTACAGATGTGTGATAGCACATTGTGAAAGTAACTAGGTCGTTTTCCGCCAGGGAAAGTTGGGTATAAGGAGTGATGTAAGGTTATCAGGGACTGGGCAGAAAGTAAATTAAATACTGCCTCCATCTGATCTCACACACGGCCCAGTGCCGTTCGTCTTTGTTGGTATCTGGCCTAAAGTCTTGAATACGATTGTCTGTCATAGCTTCCTTGCAACACTATCGTGGGCGCTTTGTCAAGAGGAAGACCCGAAATAGCAAGGAAACGGGCGACTAGAACAAAAGCCTCTTGTTATGTCGAGCCATCGACTGAAAGGGGGTTCCAGTAGATGGTTGAGTATTATAACGCAAAAGAATTAATGAAGCCACATCAAATATTTGTGCCTTGAACCAGGAGCTTCACCATTTGTATAGTTTTCCCGATATACATGAGACTCTCTTTTCATTCAACATTTGTATCTGTAGGCATGACCCGGCTCCGAAGGTACAGCAACTGCGATCGGGCACGATGCGGCAAACATGAACTCAACCTCTCTTTGTCCAGAAGTGGACGGAGCACTTCCCACCAATACCTTTGCCTGATCCCTCAGTGTCCTGTTCACCCAAAACTCACTGCCTGTGATGAGGAAGGAGAGCGGCTCTCATATATAGGACTCGACTCCGGATGACAAATCATTGTGTTCCAATCGTAGATGACGCCAATCTTGGAGCAGCCTCCTTTTACAAGTCTTTGTAATTGAACAATAGATGGTTAGCCTCCGGGTTGAACTGAGGCGTTTCTCACCCAACCCTGGAGCAGGATGATTAGTCGTGGAATTCAAAGTGACGGTCTCCCTGCGCTCTGACACGTTCCTCTTTTTTACCTGAACATTGAATGACCAACCACAAATGCGATGTATGGCGAATGACTGACTGGCTGTGCCTCCCTCACACACTCTTGCAGGCTAGCCTTGGTCCCCTCCCCCCCAACCTGGACTCCTCCGCATGCGCGCCCAGTCACAGCCTGGGATTGTGACGGATCCAATCAAGTCACAATTTTTGAACCAACATGTTGACTGAATCTTCCCCGACTGATGGTCACTGATACCACCCGGTGCGCCGCATTAGCCATGTTATAAAAGACTGTCAGCTTTTGACGGGGCCCAACATTTCTTAATGTGATTTCTACTCACAAAATCTACCGCCAGACAACATTTTTCGGAAACCATTACACAGTCATGGAAGGCAAGAGTCGTCCACCATCTATCAAGGAGAGACTTGCTTCGCTTAATGGTGCCTTCCCAATCGATGAAGCCGTGGTTGAAGGTATGGCGCACACCGGATATGAGAAAAAAGAATAAGAGAAACTGATGGATCACTCTGTGTTCAGCCTTGCCAGAGGGCTCTCAATTTCTATCTGTCGAGCACTTTGGCAACAGCGCTTGGACCGTTACCGGACGAGTTACTGCATGAAATGCTGCTGGAAACGAGACCAGTTATTTCCTAAAGGTTTTTACAATTCTCCTTCCAAAAGCCTCCAAGACCTTGTCCTGGGTATTCACTCACGCATGACTTCCTCACAACCTCCAGGTCGCCTTCGAAGATCACGGTATGATCATGTTAAGAGGAGAGTACGAGTCATCGAAGTTCATTTGGAACCTCATGAACGACTTTCTCCCCAAGCCATACGGATTCGGCAGGTATAAGGTCTCACACCCGCCAACGTATTTCTACCTGGCTGAATTTGTGAATATGAATGTCACCACAGCGCCTGATCCAGCAGAGTTCACCCAACGTCTTGCACAAATGCACAAGATGAGCAAGTCGCCGACGGGCAAATTCGGGTTTACGACGCAGACTTGCGATGGACAAATTGCTCATACTGTCGACTGGAAAGAGAAGTGGTCGGACTTCTACAGAGACCTCCTCATGGGGGTGTGTAAGAAAGACGTGGAGACCAATGGGCCATGGCCAGAGATGGAACTGGCAGCGAAGCAAGTGGCTGACGTTGTAATTCCGCGTCTCCTTGGACCGCTTCAAGAGAACGGGAGGACATTAAAGCCCTGTATAATCCATGGGGATCTCTGGGAAGGAAACATGGGAATCAACACGAAGACAGGCGATAGTTTACTCTTCGATGTGGGATCATACTTTGCTCACAACGAAATGGAGTTGGGCCATTGGCGGTGCGAATTCAGCACCGTGTTCCGAGATAAGGTTTACACGGAACACTACCTGCAGAATTACGCAGCTGCAGAGCCTGTGGATGAATTCGACGATCGAAATAGACTGTACAGTCTGAAAGGCGCCATTAATTACTCCGCCGGGCATCCTGGTTGCTCCTTAAGGAAGACGTGAGTACCGCTCAATCATCCTAGATGACAAAATACTTGCTGGATCACACCAGCCCGGTCATCCCGTTTACTCACAGACAAAATTTTGCAGTGCCTACAACAACATGTGCTATTTAATCGAGAAATATGCTCCTATCGACGGTATTGACCAATATGACCCTCACATCGATCCGTCAATCACGGGGGCCCGGATCACTCCTCATTCTTCTGAGGGTTTGATTTAGACAAAGCGGGTCAGACAGAAGTAGGAAAATGGTTATAAAGTTTTCTTTCGATTATGCTCAAAAGCCATGTGGGGATATCAGTCAGATTCTTTTACCTATAATGGCTCTTCATGTGGTGCCCGAACTGGAGACCATCTTTGAGCGAGAGTCCTCACTACTACCTAACGAGACTTTTTGTGAGGCTTGATTTTATGTAGACGCGGGTTTCTTTCTCCGGCCACAATTCGATGAGGAGTATGTACAGCAAAGGCTCTGCTGCTTTGGAGGGTTATTTTACGGTCGATGCCCAACACACTGGGCGGCAGCAATTGCATCTCGGGCCGCCGTCTATGACGTGCCTTCTATATTCCACATGCGCTTAATCGGCTCAGGTGATGGCGTTGTCAGGAACCTATTGCATTCCGTTGTCATAGAGATTAGCCCTTCTAGATTTTGATAAACATCGGTTATTGAACCAGCGCAGTGCTTTTCCTGCACCCTCCGGAGCTGTCTCGACTGAAGCGGCCCTTCGGCACCAACAGTGATCAGCCTACTCCGTACACGGAAGCACAGCGGCGATCGTTCCCCGCCCTGACCTTTGTGCACACTGCTGGCTCCCCGCCGGCAGCTTGAATTCTGAGCTTCCGTTCTTATGTTTGTGAACGAAAGACCCAGCAGAAAGTGTTGCAAGATGTCCGAGAATGTGTCTGCATCGCAGGAAGTGGCTGTTTTGGTCAACACTTCGGATGGTCCATCAGAGGACGAAGACTACTCCGTATTCTCGGATGCTTTACGCCTTTATCTCACATACCTCCTAGGCTTTGTTATCATCCTTTCAACCCTTACGGCAACCATCTACTTCCCGCTCATTCCGATGCTGAGTGCTCACTTCTCCGTTTCCATCCAAGCAATCAACCTCACAGTAACGCTCTATGCAGTCTGCCAAGCGATATCCCCTCCTCTTTTCGCATCTCTGGCTGACTGCTACGGCCGGCGTCCTGTACTGCTTCTACTGATCGGAATCTATGCCTGTGCAAGTCTGGGACTTGCGCTGAATCGCAGCTCCTATGGATTGCTCCTGGGGATGAGAGCGGTCCAGAGCATAGGCGGCTCCGCAACGCCGGCGATCGCATATGGGATCGTGGCTGATGTGGCGGTGGTATCGGAGCGAGGGAGAATGCTGGGGCCCATGCTCTCCTTCTGCAATGGCATCTCGGCCGTCGGACCAGTCATTGGCGGAGCCGTGGCTCAGAGCACCGGAGCCTACGTGTGGGTGTTCCTGGCGTTGCTTGCCGTGGCAGTCGTCTGTTTTCTCCTAACCGGCTTCACACTCCCTGAGACGGCGAGAGCAATCGTCGGCAATGGGTCCAGACCAGCCCATGGGCTTTCGAAGATGTGGACAACTAGTGGATGGGTCAAAACAAACAAGGCTACATCCAAACAGGTTAAAGAGGCGCCAGTTCCCATGCCGCCAAACACGTACACGCGCCCAAAGTGGACTCTAAAAGCAGCTGTCCATTCCTTGAGGATAATCCTATATTCCGATGCGGCTGCAATCTTGTGGATGATCGCATCGTCATACTCGGTCTATTACACCTTCCAAGTCGCAATTCCGGTGATATATGAGGAGATCTACCACTACAATGACTTTCAAATAGGATTGACCTTTTTGCCAGGCCTCTCCGGTATGACAATCGGCGGAATCGTGGCGGGAAAGCTCGTGGACAGGAACTTTGCCAAGATTGCACGGCGAGAGAACATTGCTCCTGACCGGAAGAAGACAGAAGACTTGAAAGAATTCCCAATCGAAGAAGCGAGGTACAGACACATCACGTACTTCATTGTGCTCGAAGTTGCACTGGTGATAGGGTACGGATGGGTGATTTTCCGTCGGCTCCATCCGGCCATACCTCTTGTGATACAATTCTTTGTCTGCGCGGCGTCCACCCTTCTAAGCCACACGGCGAGCGCGCTGCTTGTGGACGTCTTCCCAAATAGCTCGAGCACGTCCTACGCTTCCGGCCAGGTCATGAGGTGTGGTCTCAGCGCGGTGTCGGCAGCAGTATTGGACCCACTCATCAATGCTATCGGAAGAGGGTGGTATTTTACCATGTTTGGCCTGTTCGTTGGACTGAGTGGAATTGTCTCAGTGACTATAAGTAGGGGGAAAGGCATGAAATGGAGGCAGAAGCGTTGCCATTAGGCCGATGAAAGCATCCCCGATTTATTACATGATTGAGAACATCCAAATTCTCGATTCCAGATCCAAGGACCAGCTCCGTCGTCTCCTAATCATCGACTCGTTGCATTCCTGTAATGTGTGTTCTGGCCAGCAATGAGGGAGATACTTAGGTAGGATTTGAAGGCATATGGATCGTTCTGCTGTGATTCTGCATCACGCTGGCAATGCTGACAAGCTCGATTTCTAGTCCTTGTCAATCCCATGACGAAGGATCTCGATCTGCTTCTGGATCTCAATCCACAACATGTTTTTGTCCAGGTCGCCATCACCATCTTCACTGTCGAGAACATCGACCCATCCGTCTTCAAGTTCTTCAGGTTTGTCCTCTTTGCCCCGTGCGATGGCGAGAAGAGCAGCGACAAATGCCTCTTGCATGTAAGCAAAGCTGAAATCATTGGTGATTCCTGCAATGGCCACGCAAAGCTTGTCCGGAAACTCAATTTCCTTATTATCCTTTAGTTTGTTCTGCCAGAACTCACAGTACATGGTCCTCTCTTTCTTGTTCGGATTATCGAAAAGATATTTCCGGTCGAAGCGTGAGGGTCGTTGCTGAATGAGTGTTAGTTAAAGTTGTTGTTGTATTCTCAACGCAGATACGCAACTGCCACTCACAGAAATGCCAGGGTCAAGGCGGTCGAGGTGATTGGTGCTGCCGATCATGAATATGCCGTCGTTGGACTTGAGACCATCGACTTCGTTAAAGAAATAGCTCTTTACGTTGTCTGTGATAATGGTATCTAAATCCTCAAAGATGAGGTAACAGGGCGACATTGACCTGGCCTTATCGTAGATGGTCTTGATGGAATACTCAGGTCCCATATACGATTGGAGAGACCGTACGTATAAGGTGGGGATGGGGTTTTTGAGATTGTACAGCTGGTTCATCATTGCCTTGATAGAAATTGTCTTGCCATTTCCTGGAGGGCCATAAAAGATGAGGCCTCTCTTCCAGGGAACTTTGAGTTTCTCGTAATCACGTCGTGAATTGAAGAAGCGCATGTGGTCGTCAATGACAGCCTCCTTTCTCTCCGGGTCCATAATGACGCTGTCCCAGGAAGCATTGCGGATACTGTCGTAGAGATCCTTGCTCTTTTGCCAGTAGCCGCTGTCATAGACCCAGATCTCATCGTGCAGGTCGCTACTCCATTTGCCGGCAGCGAGGATGAGACCCTGCGTGAGTTGTTCGGAGACAGACAGGATGAATGTGAGCTGGCCTTGTGGGTAGGCTCCAATGAGGCCTTCCTTGGCGTCTACGATGTAGACGATGAATTCGTGGCCGTTCCATTTGTAGAGGAACTTGTCAAAGAGGATCTCGTGGAGCACCGACCCGCTCCCATCGCGCCGTGCAGGCGGGATGTAGGCAGTCAGGGCCAGGGATGAGGGCAGAGGTGCCGAAGATGGGTGAATGCTGGTGGATTGGCTGAGGTCAGAGTCGTGCTTGATATTGGCGGTAGGATCGTCAGGGAGAGGATTGATGGTGCCATTGCCAGAGTAGGCGAAGCCCAGGAGGTCGATTGGTAGGTATGGGTGGATGATTGAGCATTCGAGCGAGGGGTACTGCTTCTTGAGTGCGGCTGAAATTACATCAGTAGTGCTGAGTCTGGGGGCAGATGAGTGCTCAAAATATTGCTTGGTAGTGCTGTCTGGTGCCATTGTGAACGAGAGGTGCCGCTATTGATGCAGGTTGTCGACTGGCTATCTCTGCTGAAGAGACCAAGTGTTGAAGCGGTTGAGTGAAGTGAGGTGGACGATGGACAGGCCAACGTGCTTGCTCCCCCTTCCCTCCTGCCATCTTGGGACTGGGGTGTGCGGGTGCGGCTGCAAATGCAGATGCAGATACAGGCGCATGGCTGCCTACCGTTTTGTACACTTGTACCACGGGAGATCACACTACGTAGATCACAGTACGTAGATACAGTACGTAGATACGTGCGTACAAGTTGGGTAAAATGTGATCGAGACGGGAGGAACAGCCAAGTTCTGACTTGACTGGTAACGGGGCTCGTCAGCACTTGAAGTGATCCTTCGAGCTTGCATGAATCAAAGCTGGGGATTCCGTGTCGGTGTGCAGAGCAGCTATGGGTTTGGCCTGTTGCTGGTGATGATCGTCAATAACCTCGAGGCAGGCTGTGGATGAGTCGGATAGCCTTTCCCGCGAAGCCCTTGGGTTTTAGTCTTGTTACACTTGCATGTTGTCATCTTCACCTGCTTCTGCTTCTGCTTCTGCCTCTGAGTCTGCCTGCATAGTGCATAGCCTACCTACGTAACATAGTACAGCACAGGCAGGCTGACGTGGGTCGGCACCCCGTAGAGTAAGCACCTTGACCCGCATCCATGAGGCAGCCACCTGCCCGTATTTTTGAACGGTTTCAACCGTCCCGCCCGTCTGAATCTCCTTAAAGGGCTGAACTGGCTGAAATGGCTGAATGGACGGTCGGTCCTGCCTGTTGGTGAGACGGGACGGTGGCGGAGCAGCTATTTAGCGCTGGTGGGCAGGTGGCAGGTGGTAGACGGCAAAGCAGGCTCGACGCAGGCCCGACGCAGGCTCAGGGCCAGTCCCATCGGCCACCGAAGGATCGGGACGCCTGCACTGTCTTTGTCCTCTTGCAGGCAACACCCGCCAATCCCGCCGCTTTTGTGGGGTCTCGTCCTACCGTTTTCCTTTGACAACCACTTGCAGCGTGTCCAACCAAGCCCGAGGCCAAGTGCATGCGCATTTCGTGCTCCTCTCCTGAGTCTCATCGTACCTTTGTGCTGCAGCTCAAGCCCGGTCCGTCATGGCAGTGCTGCCTGGCCTGCTTGGGGCGTGTTGGCCTCAGAAACAGGAGGGAGGCAAGCTTTGGCTTTGGCTAAGTCTTTGGCGCGTCCACATCCGCACCCGCACCCACATCCACATCCACGCCGCCGGTTGACTCAACACGGCGGCACAGCATTTCGAGGCCAGCCATGTGTTTTTTGCTCAACTGAGCAGGCCAACCGCCGGCCAGCCCAGCTCAGCCCAGCCTATCTCATGCAGGCAAGCTTGCATGGGGCGCATATGCTTGATATATATAATACACGCTGCTTTCTTCCTGCTCGCTTACAGTTCACTCGTGGCTTGTCTCTCACATACCACTATCTCAAAGCAAGTGAAGTCGAGGCTCCCTGCTCTTGATCCCACCAAGAACCTGCCCAGCCTTAAGGGTCCACACCAACAAAGGCACCAACAGTTACCAACATCATTGACTGCCCCATCGATCCAGATCACTACTTCAAATCTCATCCACATGCCCTCTTCAAGCAGCACCTCCACTCATTCAAGCGACATGGCCGACGACAAGAAGGCCGCCGCCGCCGTTGCTACTGACGCCACAGTCAGCAAGCGCCCTAACAGATCATTCTCCCGGCGTGCAACCTCAAAACTGAAGTCCATCTTCTGCCTTCCCAATGAGTCCAAGGCCAGCCTGCCTTCTAGTGATGAGGCCGAGCAAGACCAAAAGAACAAGGATGAGAAGCCAGAAGACCAGACCATGAAAACAGAGTTCAAACACCTCGATCGAAAGTTCGATGATGAGGATCAGCCCTATTTCGTCGAGAGAAAAAAGGAGGATATCGAAAAAGCTGAGAAGAAGGATTGGTGGCAATTGTTTGCCTTCTGCATAGTTCGCCGCTACGACTCGGACGGCGACCTTGACGAGACCTATTTATACGTGAATCCCCAGCCCCTGTAAGCATTGCCTATCCCGCTCCCCCAAGAACGCCCAACACTAGGCTAACACATCAAAGGCGCCAACTGTTGAAAGACGTGATTGGAAATTATCCCGCCGACCCAATAGATGTCGACGATGTACAGATTCAAGCTCCTTACCACTCCCTATTTCACTACAGGAAAGAGCTCGAGGAGGTCGGTATCGCACGCTTCACAGAGAATGGAGACACTCATTCCCTCGAGCAACTCAAGCTCCTCCTAGGATGGATCAAGACAACCTTTGAGTTGGAGATCTCAGCCTATGAGAGGTGCATGTCCAGCGATCTCAAGGCCATCGCCTACGACAAGCTATGGACAATGTTTATGCCCGGTACAATCGTCTATGCGCAAGTCCAGAAGCAGCACCGTGCCTTCCGCGTTGTGGATTACTGGTACGATGACGACGACGAGGAAAATCCCGGCCTGAACCTGAAAAGCAACTTCGTCGACTACGACGGAGAGAAATTAGGCGTCAGGAGACTGGATTTGTTCATTCCCAAGTATGGCGGCACCAGAGAAATCAGAGACCAAGAGGTGAAGCCTCTAGGCCTGATGGAGGATACAGACGAGATCAAGGATAAGATGATTGCACGCGGCAGAAAGTTTGAGAAATACGCCGTCGGCCAGAACTTCCTCCAATACACCGGATTAGGGCTTAAGAGGGACCCACAATGCCCACGCAATTACATAAAATTCGACGCTACAGGTCGGGTCATGATTGACGTCAAGACGTACCACAGGCTGGATGCGAACGATTCAATCTGGGTCGTTGGCTTCGGGAAAGATCATGAGGAGGGCAAGTTGACCGAAGAGGACTGTCTACTTGCAAACCCTATGTGCAGGGGCTATTCCATGAACGCCAAGAAGTTCCTCGAGCTGTCTGTCGATAATTTGACGGAGATTGAATGGAACACCAGCTGCTTTGAGGATCTGGTCCTCGACGCTTCCACGAAGAAGACAGTCCAGGCTTTGGTATCAACACATTCCAAAAAGCCCGAGTCCTCTGACGGGAAGAATCAGGACGGCTTTGACGACATTGTCAAGGGCAAGGGCAAAGGTCTTGTTTGCGTTCTCCACGGTCCTCCTGGTGTTGGCAAAACGTTGACGGCAGAATGTGTTGCCGAGTACGTACAGCGCCCTCTGTTCATGGTGTCCTCCGGAGACCTGGGGGTCACAAGCGAGCAGCTGGACGTGCAACTCACTGAGATCATGGACATGACTTCTACGTGGAGAGCAGTCTTGTTGATCGATGAAGCCGACGTGTTTCTTGAGCAGCGGGCGTTGCATGATCTTCACAGAAACGCAATGGTGAGTGTATTTTTGCGAGTGCTGGAATACTATGCTGGTATTCTTTTCCTCACAACAAACCGTGTCTCAACATTCGACGACGCCTTCAAGAGCCGTATCCACATTCCGATCAGATACACAGATCTGGACCTCACATCACGCCTCAAGATCTGGCAGAACTTCTGCAAAAAGGTTCCTGGTGGAGTGGAGATCTCGCAGAAAGAATACGAGACACTGGCGGAGCACGAGTTGAACGGTCGGCAAATCAAGAACGTTATCAAGGCAGCGGAGAGCCTGGCGGCGTTCGACAAGGTCAAGCTTGACTTCAAGCAGCTACAACAAGTGACCAAGATCCAAGCTAGGTTTGAAAAGGACTTGGAGAGCTTTGGGGACATAGATTACACTGCCCCTGGTTCGGCCAAGAAGCATGCGCAGAGTAGACATTTCTACATGTAGTGCGGCATCTGACCGTATAGATGATAACCTTGCTTTTTCTCGCAATCCCAAACCTGCTGAACTATGACGCCGATACAATGCCCACAGTGATTCATATTAGCCCCAACCCCTGAGAAGAAAGAAGCAGAAGAACCCGCCATCTCGTCAGTAGGATCTGATGAGAGATTGCGGGACCACTTAGATCGTTCCAGACGCATCGGGAAGTGCGACCTAGAAGGGTCAAAGTTGACGCCATCACTCCCTGCGACATGTGAGCAGCGATCCGTGAGCAGAGCTATACTAGATAGACCCTCGTCGACCCCATGTGGCATCGGACTGCTGGCAAACCCAATTTGGACGTCTGAGCACAACCTCTAGATCGGCGAGCCGTCTTTTGACATGGCGCGCTAAACTCGATCGCGTCCTGCAGCGGCTATACGAACGCAATGTGATGGTGTTTTTCCTATTCCCGTCTTGGCGATGGTGCATCTGGGGAATATCGATTCTGGTACGCTAGATATCCAGCTGCAAGCCTATGCAGCGTGCCGGATCTCCAGGGGCTGATCATTTAAACACGCGAGGTAGCGCTCCCTTTTTGTCTTGCCCTGATCCGTCGGGGTTCCGGCCGTTCATCACCTAACTCTCTCGATGATCTCGAGTCTGTGACTCGATACAGTGGTCAACTGGGCTTCGAGCGTTCTCTATACTCGACCCAGAAGGAATATATCGGGCCATGAAGTTCACGTTATTACTGGGTGTGTCCTTCACGACACTGTTCTGGACATGTTGGGCGCAGACGAACCAGACTGCATTCCTCGATGCATTCGCCCACGTTCCAGTGTGTGCTGTGAGTGTAGACGGCCCCTCATCGACCCCATTAGAGAACTCGCTGCTGACGGGGTGATACCCAGCAACAATGCATCCTATCAAAAATACCAGAATCAGCATGTAAAACATTCAGCAATGCAACGTGCATATGTACAAACCAACGGCTCAAGGACCAGACCCAGGAATGCCTGGAGACGGCTTGCAGCGTGTCCGATATTCTCACCGTCGGCAGAGTTCAAGCCGATGCCTGCGATAGCCCCCTGCGGTCGATGAAAGCGCAGCTGATGGCTCCCCTGGCCATCGAGCTCTTGGGGATCCCGGCTGTGCTCCTCCGGCTGTACAGCCGTTGGAGATACACGGCCGGCTACGAGATCGATGACTGGATCATGGTCGCCTGTCTTCCGATCTTCATTGTCTTCGAGGTCATAGGTCATATATGTTCGTCCGCTCCCCTCCCATTTCACCAGACCACGTCAGACGGTGTGAGCGTAAACAGAGCTGACTTAATCATCATAGCTGGCCAGCTTGGTTTTGGCGTCGACGTTTGGATGGTTGAGCCGTCCGTCTTCTCATACGCCCTGAAGCTCTTCTACGTCGATGAGTCTTTTTACCTCGCCGTCCTCATCCTGACCAAGATCTCCATGCTGTTCTTCTACCTGCGCATCTTCCCGCAGCGGAAGTTCCGCTGGGCCTGCTACGGCGTGATGGGCTGGGTGGCAGGAAGCGGCGTCATCTTTATCTTTATGCAGATATTCCAGTGCGTGCCGGTACCGTTCGTGTGGGAAGGGTGGCTGGGCACCTTCGGCCAGCACCGGTGCCTCGACGTGCAGGCCCTCACGTACACGGCCGCTGGGTTCAGCATCTTGCAGGACCTCGTCATCCTCGTCATGCCGCTTCCTTTGCTCTGGAACGTCCACACGGGGCTGCGACAGCGCGTAGACATCGGCATCATGTTCAGCCTGGGCTTCTTCATCCTGCTCACGAGCTGCATCCGTCTCGGCTTCCTCGTCAAGTTCGCGAGCACCTACAACCCGTCGTGGGACTACGCGGGCCCGCTGATCTGGTCCGGCCTCGAGTGCGGCGTCTCCATGATCGTCACCAGCCTGCCGGCCATACGCACCCTGATGACGCGCAGGAAATCGTCCCTGGCCGGCTCGACCGCCGTCAAGCGCTCCGACTACGCGTCGGAGGGGTCGTCGCGGTGGGGGAGCAGGGCGAAGAAGAGCACCAACTGGTCGCTGTTCACCACCAAGGCCGGCACGCAGGTCCAGAACGAGAGCGAGGTCGAGCTGGGCGACAAGGTCCGCTCGCCGGAGTCGCTGAAGATGGACGCTGGGTCGGTTTCTGGCGTCGGCCAGAGGCAGTCCTCGTTTGAGTGAGGATAATTTCATTAGCGTGTTTGTTTCATGAAAAGAGCATCCGGCGACATTGTATATGTTTTCTTGTTCAGCGTTTCCAGGAAATCTTGTGTGTGAGTCCTTTCACGTCACGCAGGCGTACCATTGAGGTTTGTTTCAACCCCTGTAAATATCATGGTGTATTCTGGATTCAGATGTTTCCATGGCCTTCGATTCCATAGGTCAGCTGCAATCTGGTAATAACCTCTGCATGGTTCCAGCGAATTCATTGTCTTGTACTGTAGAGGTGTGATCTTCTTTTTATAGACATTGCTTTCTATTCGAGACTTTTAGGCCCTACAATTAGATCTGTCTGCTGTAACTCATTCGCATACTTCAATCAAGACCATAGATTCATATATGTGCTGGCGAGGTCTACAGCTTGTGATAGTCTTGTAATCATTGAGAAGCCGGGACAGGTTTCGCTGCCATGACTCGCTGAGGAATCGAGGCCGAAAACAAGGTGACGTCCTGGTGAATAGCAACTTGGAGCACGTACACTAGATCGTCTTATTCTTAGTCGAGGTGTTTGGTATGTCCCGTGAGCCGCACACCCGCAGATTATTCTCATTCATCAATCGTATGAGCCCGCAGATACACAGACAGATTTTTTAGAAGCCAGAGTCTTCTAAAGAGAACACTGCTGCCTATCTGCTCAGTATGCGCCGTAATTGGTCGCAATCGAGCTCAGCGCAGGACTGAGAAGTGGAAACGCAGTGCTACCAGTGGCATTGGCGTGCAAGTTTTTTGCCTTGCAAGGCTGCTCAGCCGTTATGTGGCTCAATACAAAGGTCTGGAGTTAGTTGCGAGTATGGTTTATCCATATCGTGTTCCAGCTTAGTCGCTTGTCCAGGACTGTTCACCTCGAAATGCCAGATTGTGAGCCAATAGTAACAGACTCGAAAGCTGTGTGAGATTAAGAATGTTTGTCCCACTTAAAATGGGGCCGAGGCACCGGCGCCGATGGATATGGGTGGTCCGCAAGCTCCGGCTCGCGCTTATCCTAATTTCATGCTGGCCTTCTAAACATCACCGCCTTCTCAGATACGCGGAAGAGTTTTAAAGATGCCTGTTGGAAAGCCAATCCTTTGTACCTGTTTTGATAGCTTGCGTGATATTTTGAACACTTACTTATCCACAGTCGTGATCGAATCTGCTCTACCCAACGGCTCGGCCTGGACATAAAAGCAGTCCTGGAGAAAGAAATCCATATATCAAAAACTTCAACGGACATAGAGACACGGCGGTAGACATGCATCGTCATCAAACGTCGCAACATTGAAGCACACGGTCAGGCCGGAAGCAGCAGAAATGCTTCCAGAGTAAAGAGTGTCTTGCAATCAATACTGTGATGATGGAGCCCGCCCCGAGGAACAAATAGGGGTTGGTTTTAAGGAGAGCCTGGGCAGACGTAATGGTATCAATTATGCCGAAGGAGAGCGTCTGATACGGCCTCCTGACTGCTGCTGGATCGCAGCCTGCAAATTGTCTGGTGCCGATGTCTTGTGGCTCCTACCTCGAATCCAGGGACCACCACTTGGTAGTTTCAACATCCACGACGAGCTTTTACGCTGCCAAATGCCAGCAGATCATCAGCCACAGGACGTGTGTAGGACCAGAGCAGCCGCACGCCGTACTCAACGAATATATAGCAAACGTAGTGATGCAGACGACGGAGACGAAAGCTGAGATGCATGAATTGCTGTGACAGAAAGTGATTTCGATCAGCGGTGGCGCAAAGTCTTGTCTTCATTGCAGCGGCAGGGCGCCGACTCAAGTGCCTTATTATATACGGCTTTGTGAGGAATCGATTCCAGTATAAAGTTATTATCCCGCATCGATCTACCTGTGTATTAGGGCCTGTCGCAGCGAATCAATATGCCCAGAGGCGTGACGTAGTGGAGAGCTCTCGCGATCAGCCTCCGCCTCCTTTTCTCCATCAATTTGTAACGCCATTGCGGCCCCTAAGTATTGACTTTTACAAGAACTGGTCAGATTGTCCTCGGCCAAGTCGTCCAGGGGGCTGTAATAACAACACGAGGCAGCCGAGGACGGGCGAGGTGTGGTTCGTTGGTAGCAGGGGCGATTTGATGGACCAAGAGCCTTGGCTCCTTGGAATTTGGCTGGGCAGTGGGCCCTTGGCACCCTGATCACCCTTTCCGGCGCCAAATTTCCTAGGCCAAGACCTGACCTAGTCGACAGCTTCTTGGCTGCCAGACCGGCGGCAGCCAAAGGATGGCCCATCATTGCCTTCTAATTTTACCTGGGAGCGTGGCGCGTCTCCTGAGTCAATGGGGAGAAAAGTATATCATCCCTTGCCGTTGGATTCCATTCACCAACGCTTCCGGTTTTCCGTTGTACAACCTTCAAAGCAACATTCCACTTTGTTCCGCCGGCGGTTAGTCTGTTAGCAAGCCTTATTGCTTCCGAACCGCGTTTCCACCTTTCCAACACTATTCATCGTCACTCGTTCCCGACTGGGTAGTTCCTTAATTCCAATTAGAAATCATGAAGACTGTATCCGTTCTGCTCCTTGCGGGCACCGCCATTGCAACACGAACCGGCCCTCTCCAGCCCAGACAGTCCAGCAGCAGCAGCAGCACGCCAGAGGTCACAGTCAAGGGAAATGGTAAGAAAAGGCCCATCCACAATAGTGAGAGTGAGAGCGAGGGAGGAACTATCGTAACTGACATCTCACGCAGCATTCTGGGCTGGTGATGAGCGTTTCTACATTCGTGGTGTGGCATATCAGCCAGGTGGTGCCGCAGACGCCGCGGACCCCTTGATCGATATCACAAGTCTCACAAGAGACGTTGAGAACTTCAAGGAGCTCGGCATCAACACCATCCGTGTGTACACCGTCGACAACTCGGAAAACCACGACGAGGGAATGAAGATTCTCGCCGATGCGGGCATCTACCTGGCCCTGGATGTGAACTCGCCCAAGTTCTCTCTCAACCGGGCTGACCCCTTCCTGTCGTACAACGAGAAGTACCTGCAGTCTGTCTTCGCGACTGTCGATGCTTTCGCCAACTACACCAACACCCTTCTTTTCTTCAGCGGCAATGAGGTGATCAACGACAAGAAGACCACTGGCACCGCTCCTTACATCCGCGCTGTCACCCGTGACATCAAGAACTACATCAACGCCCGCGGCTACCGTACCATCCCCACCGGATACTCCTCCGCCGATGTCTCCGAGAACATCGTTGAGCAGCTCGAGTACTTCGACTGCGGAGACGACAGCTCACGTGCCGACTTCTTCGCCTTCAACGACTACTCCTGGTGCGACCCCTCGGACTTCGTCAAGTCTGGCTGGAAGGCCAAGGTCGAGAAGTACACCGGCTACGGTATCCCCATGTTCCTGTCTGAGTACGGATGTATTGAAGATGAGCGTGCCTGGGGTGAGGTTGCCGCGCTGTACTCCACCAACATGACCACGGTCTTCTCTGGTGGCATTGCCTACGAGTACTCGGTCGAGCCCAACGGATACGGCATCGTCGAGATCAAGAACGGCGAGATCACCCCCAACGAGGACTTCGAGGAGCTGGCCACCGCCTTCAAGAACACGCCCAACCCCTCTGGCGGTGGTGAATACAACTCCGACACCACCGCATCTGAGTGCCCTGCTCAATCCGAGAACTGGGAGGTCGCTGACGAGCTGATCCCTGCTCCCCCCTCCGGTATCGAGGAGTACATGGACAACGGCGCTGGCACTGGCCCTGGTCTGTCGCAGGACGTGACCACCTCGCACTACGGCGGTGACACGTACTCCGAGTCCAACATCACCATGGATGGTGTTGTGGTCGCCTCCACTAGCAACGGCTCGTCTTCAAGCAGCGGCTCAAGCGGAAGCGGAAGCGGTAGCTCCTCCCAGAGCGGCGCGATTGGATCTGCTGCGCCTGGTCTGGTCCTGTCGATGGTGTCTTGCGTGTGCCTGGGATTGATTGTCTTCTTGTAAGACACTGCATACAAACCTGTCTGGTCTTTTTTCATAGCCTTTGCCATATTTGGGTGTACTGCTTTGGAGCTACAGAATTCGTAATTCGTAAATAGACTTCTATTATAAGCCTCAGCTTCCTCTGAAACAACGCTTCTCAACGCCATCGTCTTTGGCGCTGCGGCATAGCCGGCAAACGTGACCTTTTTAGTCGTCTTGTCATCATTGTGAGAAAGGTGCAACTTGTAGTTAACTGGATTAAGGCGAGTTTTGACCTCTTGAACCCCCTCACCCCGCGGAATTCCCGAGGTCACATGTCCTCCATACCAGACCAACTTAGGCTATAACAGGTGGACGCCGGCCCCGCTCCCCCTACGTCCTTGACTACGCGATACGGCAACTCGAGCTACAAGGTATTAGGCAAGAATTTACGGCCAATCCAACGCGCATATGCAGACACAATGGGTGAGGAATGGGAAGGGTTCACGTACGCTTCGTCCACGGACAGTCAAACAAAGTAGTCATTTAGATTGATATCTATTTCAACTTTCATATGACGGTATCCAGGAAGCGTATTCCAATATTTGAGTCTTGAGATTTCTTTATTCTTTATTTCTCAGCGTCTAATCAATGTCAATCGACTAAAATGCCTCAGATACCCTTTCGATGCCGCAGTGGACGGTTGATTACCAAGTGCATTGCTCTGTACAGGCATCGGCAGGAGTGGATGATGAGGCCATTTTGACTTTGATGGCTGTTTCTTGGCCTCCTCTTATAAGCCTCAAAAGAGAAACTCGGTGACAGTCGAGCCTCTGCGTTTCCACTTTCAATGCTAGTGCACTTGCTGTCCCATAGATTACAACTCTCTAAACCTGTCTCGATGCATCTACAAGAGCGCGCCCCCATGTCCCCCACCGGCCCCACTCTGGGGCCCCGGATTCTCCATCCGGGGTAATAAGATTGAATCCCACGAGAAGCGTTCGTCTAGTTTCCTGTTGAGGTTGTCACTCTGCTTGTGTCGTAAGGTTTCCGGGCAAAAACTGGTCACCTTCCGCAAAAATCACCCCATACAGCCCAATTATCTTCACGCAAGATGTCTGGCTGGAAATACGCGTTTTCGTTATCCAAGGCTGAGGTCAAGGACGCAACTCCGCCAGGAACAGTCCGCCTCGTTGGTCAGTGCTATACAATTCATCCAGTCATATCTCAGAGCCTTACACCAATCTAACACGTACCAAATCACAGACCATCACGTCCATGAGAAGGCACTCGAGGCTGGACAAACTCAGTCTGATACTTCGGATTCCGCCAGCGATGAGATCGTTCGTTTTCCCAGACCGTCCGCGGACCCAGCCGATCCTCTTAACTGGCCATCATGGCGAAAGGTCGCCCTATTGTTGACAGCTTCCATCTATGCCTTCGTCGGCAACTTCGCAAGTTCAGGCCTGGCGCCGGCTTTGCAAGCCTACAACTTGAATTTCCCCACCGACCCGCAGCCTTTCTCCCAGCTCACGCAACTTATTGCCGTTTCGGTCCTGATGATGGGGGCCTCTAACATCTTCTGGGTGCCGCTGTCGAATATCCTGGGCCGACGGCCGATATTGCTACTGGCTACACTCCTTATGACATTGGCCTCCATGTGGGGTGGCCTCGCGCCGTCTTTCAGCTCTCTCCTCGCCTCGAGAGTCTTTCAAGGCACCGGTGCTGGGCCATCTGAAACAGTGGCCCCTGCTCTCATCGGAGAGGTCTTCTTCCTGGACTCGCGCGGCAGGGCTATGGCCATCTACACAACATTCCTCAGTCTGGGCTCCATCATCGGTGGGATCAGCGGGAGCTATATTGCTTTTCATCAGGGCTGGGCGTACGTCTTCTGGGTCAGCACCGCGCTCTCGGCAGCTTGCTTCATCGGAACCGTGCTCTTTGTCCCGGAGACGCTGTACACCAGGAGTAATGTCTTGTCGCCACAGTCTTCTCGCACACAGCAGGACACGTCCAAAGTCGGAGAGACCCTACATGTGGAGAGGTTCCCATCGGCCAACGTCGTCAGCTCAGAATACCGCCCCTACACCTTCGCCCGCTCCCTCGGCTTTGGCCCCGTTCATGGAGGCAAAGTGCTGTCAAACTTCATTCAGCCCTGGAAGACGCTGGCCCTGCCTGGTACGTGGGTCGTGATGCTTCATTACGCCGGTCTCGTCGGCGGGATCGTGACGATTTCTACCATAGGAGCTCAGCTCGTCTCACAGCCGCCCTACCTCTGGGGGGCCAATGCTGGTCTCATTAACGTTGGCCCCATAATTGGAGCTCTCCTGGGTGCGGCATTCACCTACTTCACATCCGACGCGCGTCTCCTCGGCCAAGCCAAACACGAGGGCCACGGCTTCGCTGAGCCGGAAAGCAGGCTGCCGACCAGCTTCCCTGGGCTATTCATTGCCACCTGCGGCCTGTTCGTGTTTGGGTTCTGTGCGCAGAACCCGGGACCCAAGGTCTGGGTCGGTCTAGAGGTTGGGTATGCGATGCTGTCTTTCGGCTTGATGCAGGTGCCCTCCATCGACTTCAACTATGTGAGCTTCCCTCTCTTCCATCCTATGTGCGCCAATAACAGTTGTGGCTAACCTCTCTCATGAAGCTCATCGATTCATACTCGCATCTCGCTGGTGACTGTTTCGTTATTGTCACTATCCTTCGATCGGTCATTTCGTTTGCGTGGACCTTCTTTGTGGCCGATTGGGTGGCTGAAAAAGGACCAGCCGAGCCCTTTGGAATCTTCGGCATGCTGTTAGGCATCTTCAGTCTCTTAGCAGTTCCACTGTGGTTGTTTGGGAAGCGCATGAGGATCGCGACCGCCAGCCACCTGGATATTCGGTCTTAATGTAGCCAGGCTGGCCTGGCCTCACACCATGGCAGATCTGGAATTGCCCGATACTGTGGTATTTGTTTGATTGTTGGTGTGATTTTGACAATTGCAGCTTATTGCCGAACTTGAAGTTCTCTGCTTGCTATCATGTTCACATGTATTGCGTCTGGAAGCTGCCATCGCACACTGACTTGATCTCAGTGTGCTTTCTATTTGATTAGCATCTAGGCATGAGGACTCTCGAAAGGAGTTGGTACGGTTCTAAATTTATCATATCCCATCAAACCTGAATCTATCATGGTTCAACAACAAATTAATTGAGTTGTTGACTTTTTACTATACATGCTGTTCGTGAGTGTTGTGAAAAGTCAGACCTGTTCAGTGAAGTATCTGATACCCCTTCATGTCGGAAAAGAAAGGAGGATGGGGTAAGAGAATTGGTTAGGGGGCTTTAAGATTGGAAAGGAAGCAAGTTCTAAGTTGGGCGCTACGTGGTGACGGCGATACTGACTGTCATTTCAACAACATAGCATTGCGACTCTGAAGGGATTACACGTCCATACCAAGCTGAGCGTATTGTCTCCGAAAATTGCGAACATTGTCTAGTACAAGGAATGTTTCCGAATCTCTAGTCCATGCGTGCCCGATCAGGCACGTTTGCCCTATGCAGAAGAGGTGAACAGTACCAATGCGACCGGGTGATACTCAAAGAGCTGGCTCTCAAAGACACTCGGATCCGCCGTGACACTTCGTGCAAAGTGGCGAAAAATTATCGAGTAGGCATCTTTTGTAACAGGCATTGTGCTTTTAAAAGGACCTTCACGTGTATCACCTGTGAATTGTCGCTGATTTATAGTCGTCCGAGCGGGTCGCTGATGGCGATGCATCGACGACTCAATACTGAGGCTAGAATGAACGGCTTCATCAATGTTCAAAATATATGATGAGGACTCTTTGAAAACTAAAAGTACCTTAAAACTATTACTTATTCCATCCCCAACTGATGGTCGAATGAACATAGGTGCCCGCGGTGAGGTGGCCGTCTGCAGCTGCGGCTGTCGTTAGGGTTGCATGTGAAGTTCCTAGGTTGTAAACCACCGCAAGGCTTCCAGCGCGGCACGGTGCAGAAAATATCCCGAGGTCGTCAGAGATTGCGCTGCCATTAGACCAAGTCAAAGCCCGGCTACAAGGCTTCCCGCATTCAAGAGATAAAAAAAGAAATTTGCGACATCCGTGTTCACGGAATTTGACGGAATGTGTTAGCGCACATTCTATTCAGCCTTACTGAGCCGTTGAACTAACTCATGGCGTCATGGAGAAATTTCACATGCAAGGCCGGGATCAAAGGACTTCGTTCAGATCTGTCCCACGACAGACCCATTCACGTGGCCAATGTGAAATTTGTTTTTACAATCTCCATGACGCCAGTAATCGGGCTTCTGACAGATCCACAAGCGAGTGGACCCGGGGCTTCGAGAGCCGAGGTTGGCTTACCGTAGTCCCGGACCATTACTTATCGCCTCATCTAATCCCACTCGCTCCTGAGCATCTTGTCAGATAGATTTTAGACATTCTTTTGTTCTAGAAGTATAGATTCCGCTTCTGTCTTTGGTTGTGCCCCGGTTCTTTATTCTCCATTTTTAGATCGTTGCATTAGACGATAGACGTCCTAGACCATAGACATCGCCAAGTCACCGCAACATCGCTTCCGTCCGCGCTTGAGCAAGATGAGTGCATCGGCTCAGCCTCAGTCCAAGCCAGGGGACTTTGAGGCCGTTCGCAAGTCCATAACCAACCTCCTCAAGCAGCCCGAGTACGATGATGGCTCCGCCGGACCCGTGCTCGTGCGTTTAGCATGGCACTCAGCCGGGACTTATGACGCCGAGACGGACACTGGAGGTTCCAACGGCGCTGGTATGCGATACGAGGCCGAGGGGGGAGACCCAGCCAACGCCGGCCTGCAACACGCTCGCCTCTTCCTCGAGCCAGTCAAGGCCCAGCACCCCTGGATCACATACTCCGACCTCTGGACCCTGGCGGGCGTGACAGCAATCAAGGCGATGGGAGGGCCGGACATCCCTTGGTACCCAGGGCGGACCGACTTCGTCGACGACTCCAAGCTCCCGCCGCGCGGCAGGTTGCCCGATGGCGCATTGGGGGCAGACCACATCCGGGCGATATTTTACCGGATGGGGTTCAGCGACCAGGAGATCGTGGCGCTGAGCGGCGCGCACAATCTGGGCCGCTGCCACACGGCCAACTCGGGCTTCGAGGGCAAGTGGGTCAACAACCCGACGAGGTTCTCGAACCAGTACTTCCGGCTGCTGATCAGCGAGGAGTGGAAGGAGAAGACGCTCGAGTCCGGTGTCGTGCAGTTCGCCGCCGTCGACCCCATCACCGAGGACGAGCTAATGATGCTGCCGACCGACCTGGCGCTGGTCCGCGACCCGGAGTTTCTGAAATGGGTCAAGGTCTACGCCAAGGACAAGGACGTCTTCTTCGAGGATTTCAAGAACGCTTTTCTCAAGCTGATGGAGCTGGGAATCAACAGGGATGCTGACGGGAAGATCACGAACACGGACAATGAGCTAGGAGGTTATCACAGCGCCCCAAAGAAGTCGGAGCAGTTGGGGCGGCCAGGAGAGGTCCAGAGCAAGGGTCAAATTGGGAAGGAAGCAGAGCCTCTCGCGAAGCAAAATGAAGAATTCAGGGCACGGGCGAAATTGTAATGGCCATCACAACCCGTTTACAATTTCGGTGGTCTGGTTCCATTTGCGATCATGTTTAATTTCGTTTCCTTTTTTAGACGAATGAGCGTCAGTGCTGCTGGTACCTACATACTGTATAGAATAGATGCAGCTAGATTTAGATTTAGAAATAGATCCGGGAGAGGGTTCGCCATCCGTCCGATGCAGAGTATATGTTAGCGGGTTTAAGTGAATCTTCACTGTTTCTTTAGCCAGTGGCAGTCCATCTCGATTGGAGTTATACTCAGAACACTCGGCCATTAGGACGACATGGATAGGCCGTTCCATTTCGAAATCAACGCTCCCATCTGTAGCGCTATCTCATGATCTTCATCGGCATCGGCTCCTTCGCCGTTTGTCAAAAGAGATTTCCGCATCTCTTCGTGCAATGGCAGGGCGTACGAGACAGGGACGTCTTTTAGGTCATCCCCATTGAATTCAAGGTTTTCAAAACACCACCTAGCCGCAGGTGGGATCTCTTGACCCAAGCTCATCACAAGTGTGTGAGTGCCCTTCAGAATAAACCTGACAAGAGGAAAATAGTGCGCGGTGCTTCGCTCCATTCCACAGGCGCGCGCGAAGAGATCGTGCGATCGCGGCTCGTGGAGCAGTGACGCCAAGGTGATGATGGTGTTGTAGAGCCCATTGGAAAAGTAACTCGAGAGCTCAGGTGACCAGAACCTGGCGTAAGTTTCTGACATTTCGACATCATTCTTACAGTGTTGGAGAAGCAAGTCTGTGACGCTACCGCGGTCGCCAAAGCGGGTCTTTTGAGGAAGCGGGCGTACTATTCCGTACGCCACTTCGTTGATGAAAAGCCTGGATTGCGGTCGTGTCAATGGCAGTTTCCCTGTCCCAAAATATCCACGGCTTAGGGATACAGAATCACGCACCTAATGTAAGAAGTCTGCGGTGACCGATTCTCAACTCGAAGGGCAGGGGGCAAAGACTCCTTCCAAGTAATGAGTCTGACGTAGCTAGCCCTGCGATGCCGTACATCTTCTGGGCTGCCAATTTCGTTCCCAGCCAGAGCCTTTTGGTTGTATTCCATGATTTCGTGGAGCATCTCCGAGAGATGGCATTGTGCATCAAGAGAAGCAGGTACCAATGGTGGTGGGGGCGAGTCCAGCAAGTTAAAGGCCACACCCTGGAGGTCGACATTGTTGAAATTCTCACCTTGACTGTGCATTGTGCTGATACTCGGAAACAGCCGCGGCACAGTGGGAGGGGCCAGCAGCGATGGTTGCAGATAGACAAAGCTGATGATGCTAACGGGTTTCGGAGCCTCGTATCAGCACAGATCGTTGGAAGCGCATGCACAATTCAGACACGAATTACTATGCTTACCTCTCGAGTATGAACAGGCCCCACAATGATCTTGAAATTACTTCCCTCTCTAGAGCTTGCTCTGGTTGCATCTCGTCTAACCTATCAAATCGCCTGTCCAGGCGCAACTGCTTCAGCATATGTTGCGCCTTTTGGAATGGTCAGCACGTGGACAAGAAATAGAATGCGCCTCGTGGAGTGGAAAACCGACCATGTATCGATACATCAAGCCGGCCCGGTCTTTTCCCATCATGGCTGATACAAAGAAGAGAACATAGAGGCCAAGAACGGTGGGTAGGCTGGTGCGCCCACATTCGAGCTCAAACAGCTTCTTTGCTTCATCAACGAAACGCTCCGACATGTTGCACCGTAAGGTGGACCCCATGTGACGTGCACTTCTAGATATAAACTGCCGATGCTACTGCGTCAGTCGGCGAAACAATGAGGACGGCAAGCGCACAGACTTAGACAAGTCAATAGATCGAGGACAGTTGGCTCTTACCGCTCTGAAGGCACATATGGCGTTGACGAGGAATGGAGAGCAATACTGTGCAGTGTTGGGATCCATGCGCCGCATCTCAGCCAAGAAGGCGCCGGGATGAATACAGGAAAACATATATGCATCCCACGAGAGAAGGCCACCGACAAGCTCAGAGACTATGCCATCGCCGGCAACGGTCGTCCAAGGCCGGGCAGGGACACTGACAAGGCTGCTGTTCCGGGCGTCGTCGTCGAGCTTGCGTATCCTGGGGTCGTTCAAGTCACTGGTGGCGGCGAAGAGAGAGGGGCTCGGCAGGACAATATCGGCATCCCTGACGGATTGCAAGACGGCGAGGGGGTCCTTGGAAAGCCTCATGCGCTTGAAAACCTCCCATGCGTCGGCCTCTGATCTGTTGTGGATGAAGTCGTAGAGCTCGTACATCTGGGCCAGCTCGTCCTCTGCGGTCTTGCCGCGCCTCTTGAGGGCGACGGCGCGGGTCTCGCCCTCATTTGCGCGGTATTCGCATGCTCCACCGGGCGAAAGGCGCTCGCAGCGACTGCATTGCGGACGACGACCGTCACACTAGATATTAAGTTAGGAAGTGGGTTCGAAGCAGTGGCAATGGCAGCAGCAGTGGTAGGGAGAATGAATACGAGTGGGCGGTAGCATCAAAAGCACATTGGAGGAAGGGAAGGAAGGGTTTTGGAAAACGCTCACGTGTAGGAATAGCGTATATATGTGTGTATTTATGGGATTATATATGCATGTACGTACTTATGCACATACATACGTACATATGTAGTTAGGTAAATACGTGCAGGCGACCATGACTTAGTCAGTCACTCACCTTGACTTTCTTGAGGCGGCAGGCCTCACAAGCTGCCAGTACGGCAGAGCGCCGAGGAGGCAGGGAGGACGATGGCGTAGATGATGGTATAGGCGAGGAGGAGGGCACGGGCAATGCAGTGGGTACAGGCTGCGCAGGTGCGTGACGAGCGGCGGGGAGGATGGGGATATGGTTCGGTGGCATGGCTCACGACCGAGTAGACCAGTAGAGCCGACCAGACGACCAGCCGGTCATGGTACTTGATGTATTGTGTAGGTCCGAGGCAGATAGATAGATAGACATGTAATAGCTATGTAGCGAGAGAGATGCACGCTGCCTAGGGTGCACGCAAGCCGTGTAAGCTGGACCAAGAGTGAGAGAGGGCAAGGGCTTGTTATAATGTGCGAGGTGAGATGTACGAGTTGTACGAAGTGTACGAAGTGTACGAAGTGTACGAGGAGTACCTGCACAACAATAGAACACGCGGCGGGTGGGCGGCAGGCAGGCTTAGGTACAGGTATTGGCACAGGCACAAGCATAGGCGCAGGTGAAGAAAGACACAGGCGATGTTGTGTTGCTGATGGGTCATGGGTCACGGTTAACCCACCGTACACGACTGTTTTTGTTCGTTGCACGGGAATCACTGGAACCATTCAAACCCCGGGAGCGAGAGGGAGGTGGGTGACTGTGCTGGGGATAGGCAGTACCTAAATAGGTACGATAAATACTGGCTACTTGGTATCTACATTGGTACCTTGCTTGGGCTAGAACGAACCCTTGGAAGGTTGGCAGTTGACCGGTGATCGTTGGTAGGGAACAGATCTGGACAACCTCTGCAGAACAACCTAGGAGGCATTGAGTGGCAGCAGTAAGTGCTATTATAATTAACTGGATGCATCCATCCATTGGGAATTTGCTTTGAGGCTGCCCACGAAACACGGCTGGGTCTGTGCAGATAACACGCGAATATACCTAGGTATGGGCTGTTCTACTTCTATACCCTGCCCTGGCCTGCTCACCGGCACCAACAACCAGCAACAGCAGCACCAGACACTAGAACACGGTACAGCCGTCGCCCATCAGGTGAGGTATCGCCCTGCGCCGTTCCGTATGTGCTCAGTACGGTGCAGGGCGCTCACGCGTGTACCGTCGGTTCCTCTGGTTCCTCTGGTTCCTCTGGTTCCTCTGGTTCCTCTGAGCTTGCGCCAAGATCTAACGGCGTGCGTCGGAGCCATCTCCGGTCGGGCCAGGAGCCAGCTTGCCATTTGCTGGTTGGCCTCGGCCGGTCTAGACTCTTTACATCACCATGGGGGAACCCTGTGCTTTTCCTTGCATGGTGTTTGGTCTTCCAGGTCTTCCAGGTCTGGGCCTGCCTCCCGCCTCGCCCGCGCCCTCGCCACCACCACCTCATGATCGACACCCACGCCCATCATGCTGCATTCTGCTTGTCAGATCGCAAGCCATTTCCTGCACCCTCCTTGCAGCAACTGGCTGCATATCCAGTCTAACACTAACACTACTGCCTTCACTGTTTTATTATGGAAGAACTCCGACTGCACGCCACCAAACAGGAGGGCCATGTGCCCTGCAAGTGCCATACAGCTCACATAGTCAGTCTAGTCTAGCAATTACATACAGATCACACACAGCCACCAGCCTTGTGCAACATCAAAACCTGCCTCTGCCAGCTCTACAAGCTTGTCGCCTCGCCACGACCCACTGCGCTGCATAATAGAGCGCAGCTGCCCTCATCTTGTTTCCCTAATCCGGATACCCCAACATGTTCATCAATGCGGTCCCTTCATCATCATGGCGGTTTGCTTCTCGTCTGCGACAACCTCTGGCCGGAAGAAACCCCGCTGTCGCGGATCCTTGCGTCTGCGAGACCGCCATCTCACCCAGTATCTACCCAGATAGTTCATTTTCCACCAGACTCTTGGGGTCCCGGGAGGCGACGATAAAGATGCCTGCTTACATGAATGGGTAGCATTGGCCTCACAGGATCCACCCACGGAGTACAATTCCAGTGGCTCGATTGCCGTCAAGGTATGAAGCTCCCCAGAAGACGGTCTGAATCGGGGATGTCGAGGGGTTAAAAGAATTGCCGATCAATCTTCAAGTGGATTTCATCAATAAGTGCCACTAAAGACTACATAGCCGTTGATATCGAGGAATAGGGTACTACCTCAACCCTCCGTCCCCAGTCCTCAGCCCTGTCTAATTATGCAACTAATACTGGATACGAGATACAAGGGTGCGGAAACATTTGGAATCTAGATACCTGCAACCACATGCGAGATCTGAGGTACCACTCAAGACCTGTATCTGGAGCCACAAGACCTGTATCTGGAGCCACAACACAAGTCGTCGGTCTCGTAAAGGCTTCAACGTTGTTTATCATCCATCCCAGTATCAGAAGAGGGGGACTACTGCAAAACAAACGGCGGAATAAATCATTCCTAGCCGAAAGGCAATCTTAGATTGTCGTCTACCATGACGAATATTTATCCGGGTTAGATCGAGTACGCAGAGCACAATCTGATTTCCTTGCCCTGATATGGGTTGGCATGGGACCTTCCCTTGACATACATGCAAAATGTATTATTTCGTACTAATGGACCAAAATTCATAACAGTGTTCTCTCTCACACAAGCGGTAACGGTGCAGGGCTGCTCTCACATACATACTGCTTCCTTAATTTATATGGACAACGAATAAAGTACTTATAGAGCTTTCCTGGACATCAATTCTATCATAAGCATTTGTTGGATAGTGAGGCACGTACTGGGGCCTATCTTGCGTAGAATCATGTACTTATTTCTACGTACGGATGCACCTTAAGTGCTCATTTCTTTCGTTGAAGGAAGCAACATAACAATGGCGCGGCCCAATCGATGTGTAAAAGGCAGCAGTAGGATCGCCGTGGGATCATAAAACACAATGTCTAAGTACCTCGACTATTTCCGGCTGGCCTCAGACTTGCTCCAACCCAAAGCATAGTCCTCCTTGTCTCTTCCAATCAAAGAGGAAAGTACTTCCCGCCACCCGGTGACCTGCTGCGCCTGTCTCGAGCAGCAACCGACGATGCGTTCCCAACGACATCCGAGAAGATCAGCGTGAAAGGCTCCGTGACAACCTGGTCCCAATCCGCCTCGATATCGGGGTTCCCAGTCACTCTCAGCAGGCGCAGCTGGAACCTATACGTCCCGCTGTCCTGCACGAAGGTGTTGTCCGCCATCCGCCCGTAAAAATAAGCGCTGGTGGCCGCGTCCCGCACGTAGTAAGGCTGAATGTCGCCAACTGTGCTGACCAGACCGAGGTTCACGCCGTCCTGCAGCAGCGAGACGTTGAGCCGCAGCGACCCGAACAGAGGGGTGATCTGATATCCCGGCAGGGTCAGGTTGGTAAGTGCCGTGCTGGTTGTGATATTACCCGTCACGCGCGGGATAGTGAAGGTGCTGGTCAGGTTGTTGCCGTCCAGGCCAGGGCGGACGTCGCCATCCGTCGTGTTGGCTATCAGAACCGTCTTCTCCTGCCCGGGGGTCGTGTCCAGCACAGGCACGCTGCGCAGCTCAGCGCCTATTCCGCCATAAGCCAAGGAGAGGTTATCACCGTTGGAGCCTGTGATCGTGATAAAGCCGCTGTACAGCGGGAGTCGACTCGCCTCGAGACCGGCCGGTGGCGTAACCTGTACTGTGAACGCAGCAGTCCCCCCGGCTTCCACTGTTGCCGATGACTGGGAGAATGACAGCTCGGCATGGGCGTCGGGCAGTATGTTTTCTGGGAAGGCAGAGTCGTTGTTGAAGGCCGTGACCGTGGTGTTGCCGGGTGAGAAAGTGTACAAAGTCGGGCCGGGATTGTGAGTAAGTTCATATGTCACGGAGTCACCTCCTCCATTCCGAATCTCGAAGCTCTGGGGCTGGCTGTACGCTGTGTCGTTGAAAGCGAGGTCGCTGACATTCAGTGTAGTGGTGGTCTTCAGAGCGGCGTAAGCATCGATCATTCCTCCGCCCTGCTGGAAGGCAGGAGCCAGGTAGTCCTGTGTCTCTCGCTGGTTTGACTGCATTCTGACTGGTTTTGCAGTCGTGGCTAGGCGGTTGATAATCTCGTTGGGCGTGATGCCAGGATGGGCCTGCCTGATGAGAGCCGCGACACCGGCAACGTATGGCGCCGAAAATGATGTTCCACTGGCGATGACGAGACCTCCATAGATCGTTCCACCAGCCGTCATGATGTTTGCACCAGGAGCAGAGAAAGTAGTGCCAATCTTTGCCTCATACGTTGGTCCCCATGTGGTGTAGTTTGACACGAAGCCCTGAAGAAGTGTGAGTCTTTCTTTCATGATTCAAATCCTTGGTTTGCTAAAAGGACAAGATTGAAATCATAGGAAGAGAAAACACTGGATATACTTACCCCACTAATGTCGTTTTTCATCAGTCTTGGTATTCTAGTGTCGTTATCAGGCTTCCAGGGCAAGTCCAATGTAATCTTGTTTCCACCGGCTACAAGTCCAGCTAATTTGGTTCCCACAGCATTGTCAACGTATCCCACGCCATCTAGCCAGTCAAAGGGAAATCCTTCGGTCGTCACGAGGGGTAATGGTCTGGTGGCAACGTCGTCAAAGTAGTTGTAAAATAGGATGTTCCGGATACCGGCGGCCTTTACTTGTGCATTCTGGTCGCAACCAGTAGTGCCTGCGTAAGGTCTTTGCAGTAGAATCACCTGATTTGGAGCGTAGGTTCTGTGGGATCTCAAGTCAGCTCATCGGCCATAACAGAGAGCTGAAATGAACGTTAGGATATGTTGGCTTTAGCTACTATAGGTTTTGTACGGCGTAGAAGAGAAGACGGCGTCCCGTCCTATACGCCTAGCACTGAGGCAGTAAAATCTGGGAGATATACGTACGTGTTTGGGTACGGTGTGCAGCCATTGACCTGCAAATTGATGATCTCCAGGGGCGAGGTCCAGTTTGCAGGGAACCCGGGTGCATATTCGAAAGGTACTGCTTCGCCTTCGTTGACACTGTATGAACCATTGGCGACCAAGGCCGGGCTGTAAGCGTTATCAATGGAGCCAATACTCGGAACTCCTTGTGTGCTGCTCAGCGAATTCGCAATGAATGTGCCGCGAGCACCATCGTTTCCACCTGCTATAATGTAGGCCGTCCCATTTGCCATAATTCTGGAAGCGATGACTCCCCACAGGTCGTTGCCCCATCCTCCTTGGCCTCCAATGGAGGCATTGATGACATCGACACCCTCCTCGTATGCAGCAAGGGAAGCGTTGACCCCGACGTCAGTCGAAACGCCTCCGGAGCAAGGAAACACCTTGTAGTGATAGATTGTGGCATTCGGCGCGACACCTACAAATCCGAACTTATATGGTAGTCCTGCCGCGATCGCCGAAGTTGCTGTACCATGATTTGCACACACTGTCTGCGGAGAGTTGTCGGGAACAGGTGGGTCGACATCGTTGTCAGGCTGATCACCGACAAAGTCATATCCTCCCGCTACTTTGAACCCTGGCCCAAATCCCCCTCCAAGGGCCTCATGGAAGGCATCGATTCCTGCGTCAATGATAGCAATCTTGATACCTTCACCTGTGATTCCCTCTGCATGAAGTCTATCCACCCCTGTCATTCCGTGAGGGTTTATCAAGGGCGTGCCATCCTGTCCAAAGTAGATCTGGGCCTCGTCGCTACCGTTGCTAGTCTGCCTCCGTTTCAACGAAGTGAAAGCCTCGTCCGTGCCAATATCCCGGTACTCTATCGGAGCTTGAAGATAGCGCACTGTGTTGGGATACACAGCTGCGATAGCAGGCATCTGGAGCAAGGCAGCCTCCAACAGCTCATCAGTAGTCATCAAGCCCTCACTTGCGCCACTGTCAGGCTCTCTAGTAATTTGAAAAGAGGCGCCGTTGAAAATGCTGCTCCTCAGATCCATCTTATGTGAGACTTGCACGCCCGTAGCATCTGACACTTGAGCAACAACATTTTGAAGGACATCCTGTCTTAAGTTAGCATCCTTGCCATCGAATCAACAGTCTCATTGACGCAGACTGGTCGTCGTCACACAATTCCGTCTTGAATACAAGCTATTTCTGGAATTCCCTGCCAAAACAACACCACAGCTTATGCGGGCTCAAGAGTCCGAGAACAGTCCTTTGTAAGGACTAAAATGTGCCTCGGAATGCGGATGCCTGGGCTGAGGATACACAGAAAAGGCTTGCTCACCACTGAGTGGGTCTGCGGGTCATCCGCGTATTCGACAATAAAGCCATTCGCCAAGCGGGACAGTGGTTGGGAACCAGAAAAGTCCTGGGCCACAACCCCGTGCACGAATTGGAAGGCCCCGAGAAGAAAAAATGAGTGTACAAGGGCCATGATGAATTGAGTGACCGAACAAGGAGCGATTGGGCTCTGTGGAGAGGCAATCTTGACGCCGGCGAGAGCTGTGGGAACCCGACTATCAATAGCAAAAATGCAGACGGAGCGGCCTCTGGGCTTGTGCCCCTGAAATGATATGAAGTCTTGTATAGACAATGCCCATGCCGAAGATCAGAGCATATCATGCTAGTAGTGGAGATTAAGCTTGGCCTCCAGCGAACCTCCCCACTATCACAAAGAGTAAATGCACTTGTGAGAGCTCGATTCATGCCATCCCGTACGGGCTAGATTACCCGGCGGGTGATCCGGAGGTTGGCGGAATTAGACTTAAGTGCTTAAAGTTAAAAGAGATTTGCTTGATCATAATTAGAACGCGGATGTGCTTGTTTGCAGGGGGAAGGGTTCGCACAGGACATATGTTTGTCCCCCACAAGAAACTCTATTTAATTAAGGAGCTCATAACTCGCCGTCTTGGCGGGTGGCAATAGCCGCATTACAAAACACACACACACACACACACATCTTGCCGCAGCGCCGAGAACGATCTATCCAAAGTCCCGGTATAAGGGAAACCACCATTTCTGTCGGCGTGCATTTGGTCGGAAGTCAACCTTATCGATAGTAAAGCAAATGATAGTAGGAGAGCACACAATTGAGATTACTGCGACGTCCAAGAGCGGCCAGGCTTGACCCAGGGCCGATATCATCGTTATGAAGGCCAGCATGACACCGAAAGTGTATCTATGGGTGCAGCTTGCCAAAGGGCTTTGTCTGTTAAACTTAGCGATGTAAACACAAAATCACCAGGTCAAACTGGAGAGAATCGGGCACGCAATGGGAGAAAGTATAATTGAGCAAGAGGTAAGCTTTGAACTACGCCTGTTGACCAACCAATCTTGCCATGTCCCACCCAAGCGGAGAAAAACAAACACAAGCAACGAACGCACAAAGCACAGATAGTCAATAAATCTAAATCTGCACTACTAAATCACATGGACTATGCATTTCAGGCGAATGTAGTCTTGAGAGTTGTTGCGGACTTGGTTGGTAAAGGCAAGGTTAAAAGTACACGGTCGACGAAATGTGACATTTAGAGCAACAGAGAATTGAGGTATGGAATACTTTGAGGTAATCTCACTGGAACCAGGTGGAAATTCGTTCTTCTGGCATGTGCAACAAAAAGACAGAACCACACGAATTAAATATTCATCAAATTGGTCACCACGCCTGTGTGAGGATCTGAGAGTAGCATTACTATCGTGGATTTTGCAGCGAGGAGTAGACAGCCTAAGCACCACAATGAGGCTCATGTATTTATAAGAACTCGATCCTGTCATATCCAGGTTTCGAATGAGAAGGGTCAGCAAGGTGGCCTGAACAAAGACAAGCGAAGCCATTCCGTCAAGATGTGTCACAGCAAATTTCCTATGAAGTCACAGGGTCATGATCCTCAACTTTTGAATCTAGTACACGGGCTTTGTTCCGCATATCAATTGTATTCGGCACTACACAAGTTAGCCAAGTGAAGCGGAGACAGCGCAAGAGAGTGTTGTAGCAGGGCTACGTCTTCCGTTTCTCCAGAGCAGATGCGTATGAGGCTCGTTTTGGATAGGTGATACACATCCGCTGGAGGAAATAGATGCACATCGTTGAGACTGCTTACCTACTCTTTCGTCCCGTTCTTCCGCTGATATGTCCAGCAGGATTGTTGCGCTCACTTCATACTGGACTCTTGTCACATTGCACTAGTTCAACGCAGCATTTATTATACAGGCAGAAGTAGATTGTTGTGTTCTGTGAGAAACTTTCGACGACAAAGAAAAACAATGAGAAGCGCAAAACTTGTAAATCCTGCTGATGTTCTCATGGTTTCGACCCACTGCGTCTGCCAACTCAATGATCATAATCTGGATTCTTTTGTCGGAACCACACATCTGAGGACTTTTGTCGCAGAGCTGACCAATCCAAGGACTGGTACTCTTTGATATTCTTGAAAGATGTCACCTGTCTTCTTGACTCCCATATTCAGATACGTTGTGGCACCTGGAAATGGGGGCAGGCAGCATTGGGTCAGTGAGATGTCATTGCAACCCTTGTTCATGCAGGAAACGGCTTGCGGGCATCCATTGGAACCCTTGTAGCACCTCGTCGTATGCGGAGCTAAATGCTGACTGCATTATGTCTGACAGGAGTCTTTGGCCTTTGGAATTGCAACCATTTGAAAACAAGTGGCTTATCTCTGTTCTAAATTGACTTAAATGTTTCCCTTGCTTGCTCAAAGGGACTCCGCTGTAGGAATTATAAGGGAATATTTACGTTGACCGTGTACGACTATGAACATCTCATCGCATTCATCTGCTTCTGGGCCTGTCTTCATGGAAATCTTCAAAGCCGCCTTCACATGGCCATATATTGGCACTCAAGCCCTTGCGGGCATCATCGCCATAATTGTGTGGAGAAAGTACTTTTATACCATCAGTGACGTCCCAGGTCCTTTTTTTGCTTCCTTCACCCGGTTGTGGCACCTTGTACAGGTACACGAGGGAGACCAGAATCTACAGATGATCGAGCTTCACGACAAGCATGGTAGGTTCACTCCAGGGTAATCATGACATATTTACATACTGAAGAATCTTTTTCACCTTCATAGGTCATTTTGTCCGAATATCTTACGATGAAGTCAGTGTCAGCCACCCTGACGCTGTTAGAAAGTTGCTGCTTGCACCTATACCCAAGGTCTGAACCAAACTTTCCCCAATTCTTACAGCGCATTAGAAATTGATCGTGATCAAGGGCTACTGGTATAAGGGAACAACAATTCCTGACTACAGATACATCGCACCTATGTCCGTTTGCGACCCGAAAGCCAAAATCGCCCTCTCCAAGGCCCTGTCTCCCGGATATAGTCAAAGTACGTTGTTCAAGCCTCTTTACGTTATGCATTGACTCACAGTAATAAAGGCAACGTGCTTCAATATGAACCGTATATCACCAGGACCATTGCTCATTTTCTTGATTGGATGGATAAATACGCCCAGAATAGAGCCCCTATGAACCTGAACGACTTCTTCGCCTATGCAACATTCGATGTCATTGGCGAGGTTGTATTCGCTAGGCCCTTCGGATTTCTAGATATAGGAGCTGACATAGGCAACTCCATCGCAAATTCGGAGGTGTTGAGCTACTTTGCAGCCGTCGCCAGCTTCTACCCTAACTTGCGCAATGTATTGCTCTCGAATCCGTTCATGACTTGGCTTGGAATTTTACCAATGGGTCATGTTTTCAACACCACCATGACTGCTGTCAAGGAACGTGAGAAGAATGCAGACAGCGAAACCCAATTTGTCATCGTGGATCATTGGCTGAGAGCCCTGAGACAGCAGCCTGAGCGTTTGCGGCCTCGCAACGTTTATGCTCAGGCTACGAACAATGTCGGTGCAGGCGCGGATACGGTCAACTGTGGTCTGCAGTCATTCTTCTACCATTTATTGCGCAACCCAGAAACCCTGGCAAAGGCTAAGAAAGAAGTTGACGACGCCGTGAAAGACGGAAGATGCACCTCAAAAGTGGTGTCATTCTCGGATGCACAGCAGCTGCATTATGTTCAAGCTTGCATCAAAGAAGCACTCAGATTCTTTACACCGGTATCTATGGGTCTTCCACGCCGTGTTCCAGTTGGCGGTATGAGTATTGGCGATCGCACCTTTTCTGCGGGTACAATACTATCCGTCAATCCGTGGGTCATTCACCGTTCCACTGAACTATGGGGATCAGACGCCCGACGCTTCAACCCGGAGCGTTGGTTCAGGGACGACGCGGCAGAGTTGGAAAAGAAGTACTTCATTCCTGTAAGTTCTCACATGGTACAGTGTTACTCATACTTCAAAGCGAACTGACAGTGATTATTTTGGAAGTTCGGTGCAGGATATAATTCATGTCCTGGGCACTATATAGCCAAGATGGAGCTCTCGAAGATCACTGCAACAATCCTACGGGACTATGATCTTCAACTAGTTGACGAAACGCAGGAATGGCAATGGAGGGCCAATTTCACAGTTCTTCCAAAAGATTGGCCAGTATACGTGAGCGAAAGGCAGTGATCTCAAGGTTTAAGGTTCAGAACACTGTTTGTGCCACGTGGTACGGCGAAAAATATCAGATAGTGTATCTGGATACGGTCCGCCCTGCATCAGAATTTAAGTACGTATTAGCGCACGTGAATATATCCAGTGCACTTTGCTTTGAGAATTCGAGTAGTCTCGAATACAGAACCGGGGTCATCTGCTACAAGCTGATCGTTGCTTTGGCTCTACATCACTCTCGGTTAAGGTTGATTTGACACTGTTTTCTGCCCTGGAACGTGATTGAGTCGAAATCCGGATGCACAAGTGAAACGTCGCCTCGGACAAAGGGAAGACGAAGATCTCTGTCGGCAACTACGTTGCCCATCGTGTTCGCATAGCTAGATATACCCTTCGCGGACGGAAAGTTCGGGGCACTATGGGGTCTTCCCTGATCACCAGGACCCCATTTGTCTGATAATCTCCAGAAGCACGGCGGCAAAGTACCAAAAACAGTGCCGCAAGATGCCTCGTTGATTGTGCCGTGCGACGATATGTGATTTACAGATGCGCTTTGAATATGTACATGGGAAGAATGGTAGTTGGGCATCACTCGTCCCAAATAGTTGAAACCACGGGGCCAGAAAGCACAACCTCTCCGACCTTGCCACCTTCCTCCTCGGTGATGATCAGCCCTGTCTCAACATCGCGCTTCCATACAACAACGGTATTGTTGGTCTGATGTCCGACAGCGAGCAGGTCCCCGGCCTTGTTCAGTGAGAACTGACGGGGCAACCAACCACCAGAGGGGGCGCTCTGAAGGAAGGTAAGGGTACCATCCTCATTGATGGTCCAGGTCGTCAGAGTGTCGGACGGCCCTGATTGATAGAGTGCAGAAGTGGAAAAGGACTTCTCGCGGGTGGAAACGATGAGGAATCTTTGATCCGGCTATTTATCCATTATGTCAGTATCTCAGGCAATTCACTAAACTGGGTAATAGCACCAAAACATACTGTTATAGCGCATTCACTAGCCGGCGCAGTATTAGGAGCCAGAGTGCTGTTCAGACCAAGCGCAGGTGCCTCAAAGACCTTGTCGAAAGTCAGACCAGAATCACCATAGGTGACCTTGTACGAATAGACATTCTGCGAGAGCTCGCCATCGAAGAAGAAGAAAGTCTCTCCAGCATCGTTGACCCGGAAGAAGCCATGTCGAGGGCCAATACCAGCGTCAGTGGTCAGGGGCTTAGTCTCTACAAGAGGAGCAATCGTGTCTGGCGCATAGGTGAAAACTCGAACAAGATCTCCGCCCAAGTCTGGAGTAAGAACAAATTTGTTGGTCGGGTCAATGATGACCTCGTGCGAGTAGCTGCGATCTTGGCGAGAGATTATCGGACCAGTCTTGTTGATAGTTGGGAAGATCGTCTGTATAGGGCCACTGCCCGGCAGAGTGCCATCCTCACCCAGGCTGAAAACACCTATCGCGCTCGTGTTGCTGCATCTTGTGAGTGCCTGCTCAAAGCTGCAAAACCTTTCGCCGCGATATACTCACTAAGAAGCAGTGATGTAGGCGCGCTTGCCGCTCTCCGCAGTCAAGATCTCGGCCCATACAGCGCTGGCGGGCCCCTCGACCCGAGCAATTCGGGACAGAGTCCCATCCGCCGAGGTGGAGAAAGAGTTAAGAGTTCCGACAGATCCTCCCCGGTCGTAGCAGTACAAAATGCTGTTCTCCTTGTCGAGCGTCAAGACCGAAGGGTTGACTTCGCAATCCTGTGAGACTGATGCCACAGCCAGGTCGTAACTACTGCCTGACCCGGTCAAAGACAGACTGGTGAGGTTCCCGTCGGACTGGGCCGAATACAGGGTGACCGCGGAGGCAGACGCCACGAAGGTCGAGGACAAAAGAGTCTTGTACAAGGACGCCATATTTCCTGGAGATCTACGAGCGAAAGACTAGAAACGAGAGGACGAGAACCCGAAGGCTCGACCTGACGGATGCTGTTGAAGCCTGCATTGCACGTATTTATTTATGCCGGGAGTGAACATGCAGTGGGCCCAGCAGACGCGCTCTAGTCAGCTTGGCGAGTTCTCCTTATTTCGCCTGTCGCCAAGCTGGAGTCAAGCACCGAGGGGTGCGAGTAAGTCCGTACGACCCACTGGCACTCACTGCTACGCAGTATACTCGCTCCTTGCCATTCCAGGTTCCTTCCCCGCAATTGGAAGAGAAAGCGGCCCGACTCAGCCAGTCCATTGGAGGATTAATCGGGGTGGAGCTTCTGGGATGGCCTATAGTTCAAAATAAGGATCAAGCCCTTGTATAAAATGTTTGCTGCAGTTAGACCAACTGGAAGATGGAGTCGGCAAGCAGCAATTCACCAGACTGGCGTGGTTACTCGAGCATACGCCATTTTATGGAGTCGTTGTATGTTGCCGTACTATCCGAGGCAGCATTCCCAGATAGAGTGCATTTCATTGATAGACTCGGGAACTCAGCCCCTGAGCAATTCCACCTAAAGTCTCTAACAGAGCAAACCATCCCCAGGCTACGGCTCTACAGGGGTATTAAGCTTTTTTGCTGTGCTCAGATTTAGGGCCAAGAAACTTGGTCTTGAAATGAATTCTTGCCCTTATAGGCATATACATTGTAAGGTACTGTCGAGAGGTTACCTGCAGTGATCTATCCATGCTCCTGCCATTGTGTGCAGATCAGCAAACCGTACTTCTTAGCGGTTCGCCACCGCGTGTCCCGCCTATTGGGCTTAGAACACGGACGTCTCACACTACATTTGTAGTTGTTCCATCAGACGCATGGATAGACTAGTGAATCCGCCCGAGACATTTGTAATCAATCTCCACGTCCAGAACCAAAAGAATGGAAATGCAGGTCTAGTCTCCATTGTCTCGAAGAGATTTTGGGAAAATTATAAGTCTATATCATACGGAGAAACCGCATCGCTCATCTTTACTGCCCGAAAAAGGAAAGAGACACTCGAGCCTTGAAAAATGACAAGCAAGACTACACCGACAGGCGTCCAGGTGTTCCACTACCTCAAACGAAACCCGAACCTCACGAGAGATCAATTCTGGGCCTACTGGCAAGATATTCACGGTCCAAAACTTGTCCCTCTAGCTGAAAAATATGGATTCATACATTATCAACAAGTGTGTTGTTAAGTTCAGCATTGTATCATTTCCAATCATCAATGACAACATATACTGAGATATCCGAAGTTCCGCACATTTGGCAAGGTCCTTCCCGTGTCTTCTCCGGAAGCTGCTCCAAACGTGGCAGATGTGGGTTTAAAGGACACTCCAAGTGAGCCGGTAGACTTCGATGGTATTGCTATGTTCCTTGTTCTTTCACTAGACAGCTTCAAGGCTGCTGTTGAAGATCAATACTACCTCAATGTGGTTGAACCGGATGAGCATAATCTGATGGATAAAAGTGCGCCAGGGAGGGGCGTGGTGGCAAGTTTCCAGGGTTCCATGATTCCCGTAGTTCAGGACGGAGCTGATGCAACTGGGGATGAGTTGAGTGTTGAAGTGAAGAAGGCTAGGAAGGCTTTTGCTGAAATTAATGAAGCGACTTAGGCCATGTGGCCTCACAACGGATAGAGCAGCTAGTTAATGATTTGAGTGTGTCTCGTCGGCTTTCATTTTGTAGGAAACTTTGAATGAAGTCTGTTGAGGATCACGCGGACTAGTTGAATGCGAATATAAAGGTGACAGCACATGAGCTACCCTGTGGACTCAAGGAAAAGCCAAAGTTCATTGAAGTGCATCCCAAATGGTCTTGAACTTGGACTGTAAGGCGTAGGAAGCAGTGTAGAGGCATCAACATGAAGCCACATAGCAATAGGCTTGCTATTTGAACATGACTCTCTATTCCGCCAATAACCTCAAAGCATAACTGCGTAAATGTATCTACCTAAATGGTCAAAGCTAGTTCTAAAACATTGGTCGGCACGGAAAGCAGAAAGAAGCAGCCTAGCTGCAATGTGTTGTTTTTGCCATGAAAACTCCTTTCCCCTGGAACCCGACTTCTCACATCTTTCACACATTGAAATTAGAAAGTGAATTGAGATTCTCAGTTTCTGTAGAATCCAAAGGCTTCCCCATGAATAGGAATGTCCCCCCCTCACCCTTCTCTCTATACGTATCATCTGCTCTCAGGCGTCGGTTGCAACTCTGCCAAGCTCTGACCCAGCCGCTTAAAGACTCATAAAGCCATCGGGCTCCAGTCTCCTCATAAGGCATGTTGATGGACAGACCCCGACACAGTGTGGCTTGCCACTCCTTCATCGTCTTAGTGGAGAATCTGCCGCTCTTAGAATCAGCTCATCGTGCTGTCCATGAGATTTTGCTTTACGATGAAGGGAAAAGGGGCGTATACGTCAGAGCTACATGTAATAGCTCCATGGCCATCTTCCCAGGCATTTGGGTATACAATGACTCTTAAGCACATGCCAACACAAAGAAAGTCACATTGTCTCAGACCCAGAAATTGGTGAATCTAAGTCTTGATTTCCTTCTTCAAGAGTACAAACCGGCCTCCAACGCCTAGCCCTGCCTGCCTAATGAGGGAGCAATGCCACAAATGACAGGTCAATGATTTCTATGTCATATAATAACTCCATGCGCAATAAAGACGGAGAAGCAGAGTCCAAGACGTGGTAAGGGTATCGTATTTTGACACACACATGCACCGAAAGTCATATCCAGTTCTTGATGAGCCAACCAGTCCATTTTCGTCACGTCTCTCTCAGACGTGCTCTCAAGGGCACCCTGTCGAGTGTTACCCCTTGAACAGATCATGTTCTCCATCCTGTCGAGTTGCCCTGGAACCCACCATGTCACTGCTTTGTCAATTACATCCAGCAGTGACGTGCATTGTGGTCGAACATGCTGTGTTTTCCTTTCATCCGCAGAGATTTTCCCGTCCTCATCTTTCAACTGCCTGGGGCATCGCATTGGGAACTCCGTCTCTAAACGAGACGAGGAGCCACCGGAGCCATGCAGGCTGAATTGTCGCAATAAAGTCTCTTGCTAAGCCGCGATTTCGAGAAATGTTCGCCAGCCATTTGAACTAAAAAAGCTCGGGTGCCACATTTCGTAGATGATATCTCGATATATAAGCAAGGACAGTTATTTCCAGACAGGAACCTAATCCCGGTTGAGCGACACAACATTGAGGCAGGCTGCTGCTCGTGCTCCTCTCCTTTACCTCAAATGAGGCCATCCTCGGCCGGTAGAATCAGCCGAGAACTGGAGCCGAAGGACAATTCGCGGGTCATGCCGCTGTAACTTGTGCGGTTGTGGCGGTTTGCGCACCGTACCTTGCTGGGCTCAGTCAAAGCTTGGATCGCCATACAACCTGGACTTTTCTTTACCATGCTCTCGGGTGCCGTTGAGCTCGCGCATAACAAACTCATAAGTCAACATGGTGACCGTAGCAGCCGGAACTGCCCGCATCATGTTTGTTCCCATGCCGGCATAGAAGGCTCTCCAGCCCTCCTCCTTCAGGATGGTCCTGAAAGTTCTAACAATGCCCCGATACTTCTGCTGCTGTTGCTGCTGCTGCTCTTCAAGCCTTTGCTTGACTATGTTCTCGGTCTCTGTCGGAGCGGGACCTAAAGGATGGTTGAGGCCTGGGATCCCGCTCACCGGGTCCACTACCACGCCATTGCCAGGCATCGGCCGTCTTTGGGTCTGGAGTCGTGTCCGTATGACCTCGTGCGGGTAAGTGGCACTGCTGGCCATGATCTTGGACAAGATCGAGGCGCTGAGAATGCCAAGCCAGTGCGACTTGGGATCGCTTTCGCTGGATGAGGCGCCCATGCCCTGTCCCGTGAATCTCGTCTTGAGATACTCATAGGCAGGGAACTGCACTGCCACGTGGGTCAGACCCAGTAAAGCCGGCGTGAGGCCTGAATAGAAAGCCCGAAGTCCCTCAGTGGTGTACATTTTCTTTGCGGCGTCCAGAGTGGAGTAATAGTGGAATTGCGAATGCATGGCCGGTCGGACCGTGGGCGTGTTGGCGCCTCTGGGGAACAGAGAAAATCGGGCTCTGTCGCTCCGGCCTGACTGTGACATGAGGCGTGTCTTGATGACCCATATGGGATTTGTGACAATTGTGCTGCTGGCCCCGGCCACAATGGACGACCAGAAATTGACGACGATCGTATTGTCTGCATCTTGTCAGCAAGTTTCGTGGACTCTGTCACGATCACCCGGCAATACGGCACTTGCGTGACCAGCGAGTCAAGCAGAGGGTAAGTCGACTTACTGTGGTATTGGCCTATCACTGTTTTGCTCTTGTTGTAGACAGTGAACCAAACAGCCCAAGTCGGCAGATAGCCCATGATTATGGGACCGAGACCTCTATACATGCCGCGCAGACCCTCGTCTCTCCAGATCACACTGGCTGTGCCAAACAGGCCTTTGTACATCTGGGGTTGACCGACATGGATTCCCCTCTGTAGATTGATTCCACCCTGGGCCTGAAGCTTGGTCTTGATGACGTCGAGGGGACAGGTTACTATACCCGAAGTAAACCCTCCTATCGCACCAGCCAGCGCGTTGAACTGGGAGTCGGAAGCGCGAGTCGCCCAGCGCTCAAAGCGTGACAGCGATGGGTCGGGCATGTTGGTGGTCGAAGAAGCGTATACCGCCTTGGGGATAGCTGTTGATATGGGGGATGGCAGTGCGGCGGTCTTCGAGTGAGTGTAGTCTGTGACGGAGGTCGGGGGAGGCCCATACTCCGCGGGTGTAGAAGCAGCAGTCCTTTCGTCGAGAGACATTCCTCTTCCTCGAAGGGAGCCCGTAGAGACACTGAGAGAGGCCGGGGCTGGGTGAGAGTGTCCAGAGGGGGCCCTCGGCAGCGGGCTGAGGTCCCCCGGAGAGGAAGTGTTGTCGGGGAGGAAGGAGTCGAGAGGTGTGAGCCCCGAGGACTCTTGGGATGGGGCCGCAGAATGCGACTCGAGGTCGGTCTCGGGAGTTCGTCTTGTCTAGGGTGTGGTAGGGTTCGACGGTCCCGGTGTGCGGGGAAAGCTTCCCACGCAGAGGCCGTGACACTGCAGCTAGCGGTTGTCGCAGGCCATTGACTTTGGGCACACGGCTGAGGATGGAGTTGTCTCGAAAATGGATGTCTTCAAAGGAGGTGCAAGTAGCAGGAGTGGTGGCTGGACGAGAGACGAGAGACCAGGAAAAGGGAAGGCAAGGGCCAAAAAGAGGGCCGTCGGGAATTGATGGCGATGACGGCAGCAGGGGCACGTATTTTGTGCGACCGCGGACAAGACGGTGAGTTTCTGCAGGTGAGACGGTCGGGAAGCTCTCTGCACTCCAAAAGTACCTTGACTTGCTGTTTGTGTGAGTCGCGATTACGAGCAAAAAGCAGGAGGTTGCTTGTTCAGGAAACTGATTGGTCTGCCCTGTGGTGGTGCTTCTCTTTTGCTTTGTGTTTAGGTAGGCAGCATGGCTCGTATGGGTAACAGCAGCACGTAGACAAGCTTCTCTCTTCCTCCAGCTTGACTCGACTCCACTGCAGTGCGCCCTTGTGCTGCTGCAGTGTCCAAAAAAACCAGGCCCAAGAGGCCGCTAATCTCCAAGATCTTTATCGGGGGCCACCTGCAAGCCGAGATAAGCCGCATTACCTCATAGCTTGTCGTCCGTTCCCGCCTACCCTCGTTGGTCACTGTGGTGGAGGTGCTCTGGCGTCTGCGCGGCAGCAGGTACGTACCCGTGCACATCAGAGCCAGCCGAGGTCACACCACGTGACTTTCTCGCTTTCGCTGCCGGATGTACCCATGTACCTATGTACTCATGTACCCATACAATCCCAGCTTTCCGGTTCCTCCCATCTCTGCCCTCTGTAACTCTTAGGCTTGATTAGGGAGAAATAATACACTGTATCACAGTGTGTACAGACTTTTAATATAGGTGTATATATTATAAAAAAACTAGCTATAGATCCTGGACTTAAAAAATTGCCTATTTGGGCTTAAACGCACTTTATCGCTACTACTTGCTACTATATAATGCCCCCTTTTCCCTAAATAAAACCCTAAGTTTTAATTATAAGAAGCTATTTTAACTATAAACTTCTTAGTATAAACTAGTATTATATATTAATAGGAGTAGTATAGTAAAATAGGCTATTATAAATAATAAAATAATAAATAAATAAATAATTTAAGTTCTTTATTAACTTATATGTTTGGTAATGTAGCTGTGGTTTTAAAAAAATTAATATAAAGAGGTATATAGCTATTTGGGATTGTTAGTTTTTTATATAGCTGTTGTTCTGGAAGTATTAGCTTCCTTTTATTCTTAATCTTTTTTCTAACTAAATTTAGTATTTTTTTAAATTCGCCTTACTGTTATAGTGTTTTTAATTTATTGTTAATACCTTAGTTTACTAAAAAAAACTTATTAGAAAATCTTACTGTTAGTATTAGTAAGATTAAGCCTATATTTTAAGATTAAAATTTCTTATTAAATATAAAGCTGGCTTTAAGGAGTAATTATTTATTTTTATTATTAACTTTTTTTTTAAAAAAAGCTTAGTTTGCTGTTTTAATTATTTCTTTATTTATATTATTAATTTTTTTTATAAAGAGTTGCTTAGTTGCTTTAGTTATTTTTTTATCTATATTATTATTAATTACTTTATTCCTTTTTTTAATAACTAAGTCTTTTCAAGCCCTCTAGTCTATTAATCTTTTAAAAGTAGTTAGGATATTAAAGTTACTTTTTTTATAAAGGCTTTTTAATATTGCTATTATTTCTTACTTAGTTTTATAAATTTAAGCTTTAATTTCTTTTATTACACAAAAAGATTTATAATCCAGCTTAATAGCTTTCAATTTTCTACTAATTTTAATAGAAAACACACCATTACAAATCCTTTACTTATAGTTTATTATTATAAAGCTAGATACTTTTGCTTATACTAATTAAGTAATTAGATTTAAATGCTCCTATAGATATTAGCTAATATTATTAGAATTTATAAAAACTTTTAAGCCTTATCTATACTTTTTAGGGGCACTAGTAATACTTTAGTTGAAAATAAAAAGACTTAGATATAAAAGGCTTAAATTAATTAACTCCCTATTTAAGGCCATATAATATTACTTTAAAGCCTTTTCTCTAATTTCCTACTTAATAAATTTATAAATTCTAAGCCAAATAAATTTATAAGCTCTTTTATAGTTATTATTACTTATAAAATAATAAAAAAATCTATAATTAACTTTTTAATTTTTATTTTTTAAATCTAAAGTAAAGTAATAGTCTTTTATTTTTATTATTTTTATAGTAATCTCTTAAACTAAATTTAATAAGTTTAATATTTAATAAGTATATTTAAAGTAAAATCTTATTATCTTATAAACTAACTTATAAACTTAAGTAATAGCTTTATATTTTTTTTTTAATAAATTTTTATTTTTATTTAAATTAATAGGCGTTAAAGTAATTCCTTAAGTTTTAAACTTTTTTTTATATAGTATTAAATATCCTACCTGCTTAGTAAAAGCTTATTAAATAGGGGTATAGGTAAAAATATTTATAAAAATCTGCTTAGTATTCTTTATTTTAGTATTTTAGTTATTTGTAAATAACTTACCTATTATATTAAAAACTATTTAACTAAAAGTATTAATTTTATTTATAGGCTAGTAGAAAAGGTAAGGGTTTTAATAATTTTTAAATTACTTTTTATATTTTAGTTGGAATATTTATTTATTTTGCAATAACACTTTATACAAGTTTTAGTGTAGTTAAAAGTTTAAAAACTTTTTATCTTAAATCCCAGCCTTACAAATAACCTTTTTATTATCTAAAGTAATTAGTTAGCTTTAATTGTCCTCCTTTAACTTTAAATTTAGGTTAGTAAGTTTTTTAAAGTTTTAAAACTCTAAATATTAGATTAAATTCTTATAAATAAGTCCTTACCTATTTATTACTACACTAAGTATAATATTTAAAAAAGAATAGTAAGTTTTCTTTTATACTTACACTAAAGGTTAGCAACTTAGCTTTATAAGCTAATAAAAGGTTAATAATAATTTATCTAATTTTCCTTAAACTTTATTTAGTACCTTTAAAGAAACCTAAATTGTAGATAAGCTTTATAAATATAGGTAAATACTAGTTGGGAAGTATGTTTTAATACTTTTTAATATATTGAAAATTAATTTTAAAACTGTTAACTTATTTTTTTAAGTATTAACTAAAATGTATTAGCAGCTTGCTAAGTATTAGGGAATGAATATAGGCTTTCTGCTTAATATATTAATTTAAATTATATCTCTATTAATAATTTTAGTATTAGCTAGCTTAACTAACTATTGGTTTAGGATTAGATTTTTACTACTATCTTTATTTAGGTTTTCCTTTTCATTAAAATCTCCCTTTTCTTTAGAATCTTCCTTTTCTTTAAAGTTTCCTTTTTCTTTAAAATCTTCTTTTTCTTTAATATCTTCTTTTAAGCTTAAACTAGCTATTTTAAAAATATTATTTATTATATTAATATCCCTATAACATTCTTATAACAACAGTATATTATTTAAATTTAAAGGTTTAAAAACTATAGTAAAGGTTTTATTCTATATATTTTTAAAGGTAGAAAAAAGGATTTAAATTTATAATTAAGTATTTTAATTAATAATAAATTTAAATATTTTATTTTAAATTTAAAACTATTAATTAAAATAAAAAATTATATTAACTATTTTTTAATTCTTTTTTTTAAAATATTTAATAAACTTAAGTATATTATTTTTAACTAGCTTTAAGTTTTAACCTATAATAAGCTTATAATAACTTAGTTTATTCTTTAAATAGTTAATTTAAATATAATAATCTGTAATAAAGCCTTCCCCTAATTCCTTAAAGTTATAAAAAGTTATAAAAGCTAAGGTAAAAGCAGTTTTAAAATATTTTAACTATTTGATTTAAATAGTTTTTTTTAAAAAATGCTTAATAGTTATATTAATAAATAGGGTAGCCTGTTTAATCTAAAACTATTGCCTTACTAGCATATTTTATATTAAATTAAATTTTTTACTTAATATAATATAAAACTTAAATAACTAAATTAAGGTTAAAGCTTTTTTAGTGTAAATTAATATTAAAGTGCAGTAAACTATAAAAAATAAGTATTATAATTTATAATTTAGGGCAGGAATTACTTAGTATTTATTAAGGAATTTTTTTATAAACTTCCTATACATACTACTAAAATAGTTAGTATATTTTTTAGTAATAGGTATAGCTGTTTTAGGAAAGGGGCTTGGTACTTTTATAGTTTTTTAAATTTTTTACTAATAAGTAATGTTATTCTTTTTACTTTAAATAAAAAGTTTTATTAGCTTATTTTATATATTTTTATTAAATATAATAAAAACCTTTTTTAGGTTTAAAGTAAGTTTATATTAATTAAAAATCTGTTTTACTAACTGGGTTATAGGCTTATAGTTATTTTAATTCCCTTAAATTACTTTTATAACTTTAATTTTAATTTTTAAATTAACTTTTTAGAATAAATATCTTTAATAATAGGCTTTAAACACTATTATTAACTTTACTTAAACATAATAATTCAGGTTATTTAATAAAAATCTAGTATAATATTATACTATAGCTAATAAAAAGTAATTATTAGAGATTTTAAATTTTTTAGCTTATTTTTAAAAATAAGTTAATTTTGCTTTATTTAAGTTATTATTTTATATTAATTTTTATAAAAATCTATTATAGTAAAAAAGATATTTATATTTAGCTAACTTATTCTTAATAATATTTTTAATAAATAATAACTCTTTATTTAAACTATTATTCTCTACATTACTATTAATACTAAACTATATATTTTAAACTAAAAACTATAACTAAGTTCTATTATACTTTTACTTATAAAAGGTTAAAAACTTATATACTGCCTTTATATAATAGCTAGTAATTAAGCAATTTTATTAATTTAATACCTAAAAAAATTTGTTATCTAAATTAAACTCTTTTAATCCTATTAGCTTAATAGCTCTCTTATATACATTTAGTTTAATTTATAAAGCTAGATTAATAAATTTCACATAGCGCTTTTTTAAAATTAAAAGCTTTATACTTTTAAGCATAAATAGGAACTTTTTCCTATTATCTTCCTTAGCTTTCTCTTAAAACTTTAAAAACTTTATAGCCTACTTAAAAACTTAGTTAAATCTGCCTTTTTAAGCTAATAAGGCAGTATAAAACTTTATATTTAAAGCCTTATAAGTTAATCTATATTACTATACTACCCTAATAAATATAATTAATTAATACTTAGACTTTTTATTTATATATTAAATATATTTCTTAATTTAAGCTTAGGGTATAAATTTATTTAAATTTTATTCTTTTAAAAAGTATTTAAAATTTTTAATCCCTTTTTATAACTTAGCTTTATTAGTACTACTATTAAATTAATCTTAAATACTAAAACTAATCTTGCTAATATATTTATCTAGGTTTCTAAATTTAGAGTATTTAAAAAAGGGTATAAGTAAAGCTTTTTTAACTTAAACCTTTATTAGCAAAGGGATATTATTTTAATTTATAGCACCTTCTATTTTAATATTAGTTTTTAATAATAGTTATAATAAAATAAATAAAATAGCTAAGCTTAACTTAAACATTTTATAACAGCTAATTTTTAATAATTTTTAATACTTTAGTTAAATTACTTAAAAATATTTAAAAAATAAAA